AAAGTTGTATAATACGAGTATAGTGAGTGTCAGTGAAAGTAGACACGCTACCGATTGTCCCAAGTGTGGAACAGTATATTGTATAATTGTATTCAATCGTTTTTGACCAATTTGGATAAAAAATTGGAAAACATTGTCGGGAGTCTTTTACTGTTTATATGTCCACTTGAGTAAACATTAGGCGACGTTAGACAATGACGGGTTTCGACATTCAGTGGCTCACCAGCAGCCAGGCTTCCTTGAATCTCGGTGCTGGTCAATTGCCAGATGCTATAAGCAAGGACTGGGGGGTAGGTGGGGGGGGAGAGTTCAGATTGTAATCGAAATATTGGAGAGCGATTGGGGGTACGAGTAAAACATGGGGTGGTTGAGTTTACTGATGTGGGCTGCGGGGGTTGCAAGTGCAGCAGGAATGAAAATGTGCAGCTGCGGCTCACGTGCGCGCTGTCGGGCAGGGCGTGATTTCTCACTCAATATATTTCCCTCGGATTCCGCTGGTTGAACCAGGAGGTGACATCGCAGCAGTCTTCGCACTGGACGTGGTGGGCTCGTCGCAGATGCGAAAGTTTGAATTCCAAGGGGCTGAAAGAAAGCGCTGTGGATTTCGTGCAGACACGGGGGCTTTCGCGGACTCGACACGGACGTTGGCAGTGATGGCTCAAGACAACATCACCCCCCAGCCGCGGTGATCATCAGCGCTACACTGCAACATTGACATACGGTAAGGCTGACGTTTCTGGCAATGGCCCTTGTTCAGAGCGGTTAAAGAAAAGCCAAATCTTTTCAGCCGCCTACGCAGGTTGGTGTTGCCCTCTGCTGGCCACAGCGTGTAACTCACACGAGTACACCACAACACTCACACGTGTACACCACAACACTCACACGTGTACACACCACAACACTCACACGTGTACACACAACACTCACACGTGTACACAACACTCACACGTGTACACACCACAACACTCACACGTGTACACACCACACCGCTCACACGTGTACACAACACTCACACGTGTACACACCACAACACTCACACGTGTACACACAACAACACTCACACGTGTACACACCACAACACTCACACGTGTACACACCACAACACTCACACATGTACACACCACAACACTCACACGTGTACAGACCACAACACTCACACGTGTACACAACACAACACTCACACGTGTACACACAACACTCACGCGAGTACACACCACAACACTCACACGTGTACACACAACACTCACGCGAGTACACACCACAACACTCACACGTGTACACACAACACTCACACGTGTACACACCACAACACTCACACGTGTACACACCACAACACTCACACGTGTACACAACACTCACACGTGTACACACAACACTCACGCGAGTACACACAACACTCACACGTGTACACACCACAACACTCACGCGAGTACACACCACAACACTCACACGAGTACACACCCCGCCGTGGTTGTCGGGTCAACCCTGACGTGTTCACATTTGACTAACAGACATCCCCGCAACGCTTTGGACAGCACTGCTGTGTTCTTGAGATCCTCCCTGCAACCCGGTGGGGTAGATGGTGATCGTGCTATGACAGGACCTCTCGAGACACCCCAATAGGGCACGCACAGCAAGCTCACCACTGAGCCATTGGCTGGTAATTGCGGAGATTTGATCAATCTTGACTTAAAGCTTTCGTGACAGTAGGAATTCATATTCAAAGAATAGATTTGATATAATTGTACTCCATTGGTTCACTTTGAGTTGAAGGTTGGTCCAGTAAGGGTTGTCAGCACCACGCATGGCTTCATTACCAATCCTCTATCGCTGCTTACCATGGTTATTGTTACAGCCAACTTCACTCATTGATTCCTACAGTCGCTAGTACTCCCCTTCTCAATGGTACTAACCCTGACTCAGCCACGGGTACCAGACGTCTAATGGTACTAACCCTGACCCAGTCACTCGTACCAGTCATCTCATGACACTAACCCTAACCCAGTCACCAGTAACATTCATCTCATAACATGAACGCGACCCATAGCCGCACCCTCTGGCACATAGACAGCCTCCAGTTTCAATTCTGTTCGTTCCATTTCCCCCGCGTGCATGTTCCACATTGGTGGGTTTCAGCCGAGAACACCCGCGGTGCTGAGAGTGGAAGTCGTGTACAATGAGTGTTTGTGTGTTTGCAAGAAGCTGTGACTGCGCCATTTGAGTACGGAACGCCGTGAGCGAGTTGTGATTTTGTGGTGCAGTGCGTTGCTCTGTTAATGCCCGAGTGGGTTGAGTGAATTGTGTGTGTGTGAGATGCTGGGGGTTACACAAGGCGCCCATCCATAACAGAGTGTTGTTGGGTGAGATCGCGTAAATATGTGTCGTTTAACCCGCCACCACCCGACACAGCCAATTAGTAAGGTTTTGTTACGTAAACAAAGCGTGGCCAATTAGTTACTACTTCAGCACACCGCTGTGTCGGAGGGTAAACCCACTACAACATTTACTATTCGTGTACCGTGACAACAACAACAAGCAGCAGCATCATCAGGCGACAGCCAGAGAGTCGTGAAGGAACCCTCCTCCTGGACGGGGTAGATGTGATGTCATCACTTGTGGGGGGGGGGAGGGGGTCTTAATGTATTAATATACATTACAATGGATCTCTGTCATTGGTTGAGTTATTCATAGTTAATCAACATACATATGTACATTATCCATGAGAGATGTTTTTGGGTTAGATCGCGTGAATACACAACCGTATGTTAATTATGGATGATTATGGATGATATTGGTCGCGAAAGCCGACGTGTTAATTTGTGCATTATGTATGTACCTTACGAATGCCGATTATGCGTGTACATTGTGTATGCACATCTTTCCGTTTGTGTCCAAAGATTGCTAAAGCTGTCATTGGCTGCTCACAGTTAATCACCGTCGACCTGTATAAGAATGCAATTAAACTTTGTACTTTTACTTGATAATACGCTTCCAAGCAACACACGAAGCCTGTGGCTATCAAACCGGCTCGAATTATTTTCTATTTCTCTCAATGTCAATAGATTATCTAATTAGTCTTGGCCAGCAGTAACTCGCTTTGCACAAAACCTCAACATTATTAAAATCAATTGCGTGTTCTTGCATATGCATGGATTCTATTGATCGTTCCAAAATAAGTTGGTGGTACGGTCATCATTTATTTAGAGAACATGTGCTCGCTAAGCAAAAGGGTGCCGTGTTGACGAGATGTTGACGCCCTCGCCCGATGCGCAGGAGGTTCGTAGGTTCGATCACGACCCTGACGCCGGTATATTTGGAGTTTGCGGTGTCTCTCTCTCCCCTTGGTCGCGTGGATTTTTCTCCGGGACCTCGGGGTTTTCCCCTCCACGTTTAGAATCAACATCACGCGTTCAGCGTATTTGACCGCTGCTATAAATGTTCACGTGATGATAAGCCACTTCGTTCAGCTGTCATTTGTGGCCAGGTCGCTTCTGAAAAAAGGGGCTATGTAGCTCAGTGGGCCTTACCTGGTAAAATATAAATAGTATAGTTAATAGTTTTAGATTGTAGCTATTTAGGAATAGTAAGCTAGGGTAGAACACCGTGTAAAGGTGGTCAATAATAGTGATGCCAAGGGAGGAGATCTCATCCGACAGCTTGTCCAGTAAGGAGATGATATCACACGTGCAGGTGCCTCTCAATGGGTATCCCTGCATCGCACGAGCGTGAGAAGAGGCAGCAGTAGCTCGGGGAAGACCTTCATCCAGCGGCGGAGTTACCGTGGCCGATGATGAATGACGACGGCGTTCCGAGCCGATGTTAAGACGACACCGCGAGATGAGGTCACGTGTAACGAGGTCGTCAGACGGGCAGCACGCGATGTGTGACATCGTGGCCACGAAGCCTTTGTGTTGTTATTATTATGCGCTGGTTTTTATGAGAAATGCAGCGCTGAACTTGGGCCCATCCATTAATAGATCTGCCCGTTTGTCTCTTGGGTGCGAACCCATTACAGCAACACAACTCTAAAGTAATACAATTTAATTTAACCTGAATACATGAGTATTTAGGTTAAAGCGACCCCACCACCACCACCCACAAACTACAGACAGATGGGCGGACAGAGGGGCAAGAGCTAATGCATCATTAACAACGCTTTAATCCTTCGTTGGACAGCGGTAATCGGAATCAATAATGATGGGGCCATTAGGGTGGCAATCCGAGGGTCGTTTCACTCGGGAGTGTTGCCAACAGACTTTGGACGGGCAGCTTTATCTTGTAGATGTGTCCGTTGGCAAGGTGGGATGATACGGAAGGTACAGAAGGTTGAGAATGAGACATCACAACGTTTTAGGGTTTTTTTTTCAAAGGCGGTGGTTTGCAGAGAGTTGAAAATGTGCTTAATGGAAATCAGTGTCGGATTATCCTCGTCGCAAAAGTAGCTACTACATATGCTACGGGCCCCGCACTTTCAAGGGCCACCCGCGCTAAATGCTTTCAAGCGATCAATTTCGGTTCGATGATTCTGCACTGCTCTATTACTATAGTACTGTACCGCCTTCAACTTTTATGAACGACTGGGTGTTTAAGGTGAGCGATTTGTCGTATTATCTGGCTGTATAGCAAATGAAAAAATACAATGACTTTACTATGCAAGTTGACAATTAGTGTTTTAATATTTGTTTTGTTTTAAATTTAGGGCCCCTGTATAATTACAAATGCTACAGGCCCCGCACTAGCTTAATCCGGCATTGGTACCAAGACTGAGAGCTGCGGTATTGAGATTGTTCTTTGTTAATTGTGGAATAGGAAATAGCGCATGGGGAGAGAATTGGTATTTAATTTTGGCATTGTACACATTTTTGAAATCTAGATTCGACACTCATATCCCTAGCACTGCTTTTAGTGTTTAGTTTTGTTGAAATCACCGAGTTTGGCGACACCGCCGCCACCGCTGGAAGAAATAAATCAGTCGCGGACGCCGCGAGGCACGGCCAACATCGTGGCGACTGTTTGTTTATTTATTTCAAAGCGCGATGTAAGGACAATTCCTCGTTCCCGCGGCGCGGACAATAACACTGCAAACTCGTAGGGGTGGGGGCAGGAGAGGGAAGCTGCCCCCCCACTCCCGTCACGGCGGGGGGGGGGGCTGTAGCGACACACACACACACACAGACACACACACGCGTAGTAGGCGGTCGCGGCCAATATTAACCATGAAAACCTTTTTCTTGGGTGAGATCGCGTAAATATAAATGTCTCGTGAACCCACAATCACCACGACCCGACACGGACCAATTAGTAAGGTTTGACATGTAAACAGAAGGTGCCAGTTGGTTACTGCTTCACCACACCGCTCGTGTGTTGGAGAGTAAACACACGTTTGCAATTTACTCTCCAACACACAAGCGGTGTGCTCAAGTAGCAACTAATTGGCACCTTCTGTTTACGTGACAAACCTTGCTAATTGGCCGTGTCGGGTGGTGGTGGTGGTGGGTTAACATGAACATTTACGGGATCTAACCCAAAAAAAACCTCTTGGGTGGGTGGGGCGGGGGGGGGTTACTGGGTGGGGCGGGGTTAATGGGTGGGTGGGGCGGGGGACGGTTAGTGGGTGCGGTGGGTTACTGAATAGGGTGGGGTGGGTGGGGCGGGGGGGTTACCGGGTGGGTGGGGGTTACTGGGTGGGGTGGGTTACTGGGTGGGTGGGGTTACTGAGTGGGGGGGTGGGTGGGACAGGGGGGGGTTACTGGGTGGGTGGCGTGGGTGGGGTGTGTGGGGTGTGTGTGGTGGGTGGGTGTGGTGGGTGGGGGGGTGTGGGGGGTGTGGGGGGTGTGGTGGGTGGGGGGCACAGGAACGGGCGAGGTTGATGAAAGCAAAGCGCGCACGGATGAGAAGGGCGGCAGGAAGAGCTGGCCTTCTGGGGATCAGGAGAGGGTTGAGGTTAGGAAGAGGGGGTCAGGTTTTAGGATCAGGGGGTTAGGAGAACGGGGAAATAGGATAGGCTTGGGGTGAAGGGACCGGGTTAGAGTTAAGAGTTCAGGTTAGGGACGGGTTTTGGTTCAAGGGCGTTTTAGAGTTTGAGACAGGGAAGTTAAGGTGTTGGGGTTAGGCATTAGAAATGGGGGATAGGATAGACTTGGGTGGTTTGGAATCGAAGGGTTTGGGGTTAGAATTGGGAATAGGCATAGGGTTACAGAGAGTTAGGGTAATGGGATAGGGGTTGTGGTTAGTGATAGCATTGAGGCTACGGTTGGGGTTAAGAGATAGGGGAGTGGGTTGGGATTTCGTGAATGGTTCGGCGCGAGGGATAGGGGGTGTGGTGAGTAATACGCTTGTGGAAGTCGATGAGGTTGGAATGGTTGTGGTTACGTATGTGGTTGTGGTTCGGGGTTGGGTTATGGACTATCTTTCTGAGCAGCAGTATTTTGCACTACAGCGCCAGCTTCACTCGGCATTCTACAATCTATCCCGATTGAACCACGATTCAAACCCAGAATGAGTTTGGTCTGGTTCATACTGTCTCATATGATACGATGTGTTTGGTCAGAATTATTCCTTCATTGGCCTAAAGGAAACAATTGCATATCATTTTTATACGATGACCGATTTTCGCATACACTCTTCGACGCACGTCGCATGAGCATAATAATCGTTTTTAATTCGATCAATAAAGTACCTACGTGTTTGGAGCTCCCTTTAGCGGAGGCCTTTCCGCCAGCACAGGCACGAGCAAAGTAATTGCAGGGCTGCAACTTCACCTTTTTCCGTTTTACTTACACATTCGTCGACCACCCTGCGCACGCAACGTCATGAATCTAAAAACCGGGTGGATCTGAATCAAAACAACCGGAAACCATCGACCCCGGGGGCACGGGAATGAGGTGGGAACCTCAACAAAACCGCCACCGAGGTTCCGCAAACGCAAGGCGTTGGCGCGTCTCTCTCTCTCTCGCTCTCCTCCGAAGCAACACAACAAAGTGTCGTCCTGAATCAGGACAGGGAGGGCCGGCGCCGGTGGTCCCGAGCGCGTGCGATGCGCCCGGGCCACGGGGCGCCTCCCAAACTCCCGTTCCCCCCCACAGTCGGGAGGGCCACAGCCGCGTGCTCTTGACGGACAAGCATGGCGCGTACACGAGCCACATAAATAACGGGTGGTGCCTGCTGGCAGGCAATCGGCGCGGCTACCACCGCGGCAGAACTGAACCCCCCACCCTTCCCCTTCTCTTGCTTGGTCACGGGCAGCCTCGACATTGCTCTGTGACCAGCAGTGTGGATGGGAGGGGGGGACGTGCGGTCGAGCGGGTTTAGGATGCCAGGGTTAACGACAGAGTCTGGGATATACACTCTGGCCACCTCCTTCATGAATGACAGCTGCTCTCAATGGGTTCTGCTAGACAAGGTGCATAATACGAAGGCGCTGGTGGGGTCGGGGGCCAGAGAGGGCGAGGGTGGCGAGTGGTGATGGCGAGCGGTAGACGGCGAGCGGCGGAGGGGCTCTCTTCGTCGCCGCAAGCCGGTGCTGCGCCTGCGGCGGCGGTGATCTTAGCGGCTCGGCGCCAGCGGTGGCTACGAGGACGCCAGCGAGTGGGCACAGCCGTTGAGCAGGCCGCACGGAGGGTGGGTCCCGAGCGCGTCGTCAACGTGCCCGACCATCATGCCGCAGTCGCTCTGCAATGACAGCGGCGCCACGGCGGCGGTGGTGGCCGGGCAGACGACTCGGTACAGAGAGCCGTGGCACATGAAGACAAAGACCCCCCCCCCCCACCACCATCGCGTAGCCTTTAAACAACATTTCTATAACACAACGGACTGCAGCGTTTATTTACTTGTGCTATTGATTGCAGTGTTCTACCTGGATAATCCTTCGAGATGGAAGGTCTCGTTTGCAAGGGTTCCCTCGGTGTCAACTGACGTTAGCAAACAATTACAAAGATCCCCCGTATAGCCTTTAACAGACTTTGGGCAAGTGCTGTTAGCGAGCGCCTATGAAGGCCGGCAGGACACACGAGGGGGTGGTCGGCCAGCACCACTCCCGGCCACCTTTGTTCCCCTGGTTGCAAAGTTAATATACCTCACCCGGTACTCATTTGAGGCTGAGACGACCTAGGGAAGGCCCAGTACCGATTCAGATAATTGGCACAGGTGTTGGCCATTATCGAACTCGGGTCGCCGGATTCGTAGCGGCGTGCGTTAACCGCTGCACGACTGCTCCCCATAACAAAGACAGACTCGAAACTCACTCAAGCACCAGCTCACCTCACTGATGAGGCCAAACTGCACCAGTTCAGCCACCAGCATTTGTGAGCTGTCTCCTGTGAGCACACACAAAGATCCAACATGTAGCCTTTCACACATTGTTGGAGCATTTGCTGTAGCAAGAATCAATGAAGGCCGGCACGGTGCACGAGAGGGAGGTGTGGTCAACACCATGACTGTCCACCTATGTCTCCCCAGTGCTGATATTTACACACCGCACCAGGTAATCATTTGATGCTAAATTTGACTGAGAGGAAGCCCAGGGCTGGTTCAGATGTCACTCATGCTAGCTGTGGTCGGGTCCAAAGTGCAGCGTGCCAACCACACCACCATCACTCTCCACAAACACACACACACACATGCTAACCACTAAACCACACACACATTAACCACTACGACACACACACATTCGCAAACACACACACGCGAGCACACATACAGTGCGACAGTGTTACGGAAGCTGCAGCAGCAGTAGTTACTTTGCAACTTAAGTCGTGAAAGAGCATCTGCCTGCCCGTGCACGCACACACACGTGCACGCGAAAGCACGGCGCAAGCACGGCACAAGCACCGCACAAGCACATACGCACGCACCTGGCTGGATCTCACAGCTGAGCTGCCGGTTGAGCTTGTCATCCAGCTTCAGGAAGAGCAAGAGCTGTGGGGGGAGGGCAGGACGAGCACTTTTAGGTAACGAACTGATTTCCGCGCGTCCACGGCGCCCTGGTCACCGGCTCGGCACCACCACTGCTGCCATCGTCACCGTGGTTGGCGGACTACGAGGCGGGCACGGGTCACGCGCTGCCCCGCACGGCACGAGGCATGATCCTCCCCCATTATTTATCACACCTGGTCCGAGCGGGTGAACGACCTTCAAGACGCACACTGTAGGTAAACATCATTATTATTACTACTGCCCCTTCAGGGGGAGGTAGACAAAGCTGGCAGTGTTAGCGAGCACACTGGCACAGTCTGCCGGGTGGATGTGCAACATTAACAATTCAACGGTTCTTTGCGAAATCAATCGCAGGATTGAAGGCATGCAGTGTCGAAGATTAAGGGTTCGTTTGGCCATACTTCGCCATGCTGGTTAGTACAGGTTGGTAAAGGGGGGGTGGGGGGCAGTTGTGGGGGGGGGGGGATACTCAGGTCTGGTTGAGATACGACTCACCCCTGGTGGTAGCCATGGCCTGTAATCCAACTCGGGTGTGCTGGGTTTATAGCACAGTGTGCTAACCACTGCACAACGGTCCCCCCCTCAACCCCGCAGCATAATAGGTCGTTATCTATCCTGGAAAACCACGCCGAGTCGTAAGATGCGATTTCAGGAGGGTCCTTGCTACACTGGGAATATTCGGCCACTTGCAGTAAATGGGTTTGGCAATGTGGGGGGGAACCGGCCGCACGCCCGGAGAGAGCGCATGCCCACCGCACTCGGAGATGACATCAACAGCTTCCGCTCACTCAGATTCAAACCATGGCATGCTGCCGTATCTCGGCTGCCACCTTGCAGCTCAAACCTACAACACCTGGTATTCTCACGCAGTCTCCCCTAACAAGTGGTTAGCCAGGCTCAAGAAATTCTGCTTAGCTTTCAAGCTCGGGCCATTTATCGTCGTGGTTTGGGGGGATTGGACCCCGCGCACTCACATGTCGTCGGCTCCCGTCCTCGCACACCTCCACGTTGCACTGCACGTGGACCACCTGCAGAAGCGACAGATCATCAGCTCGCGTGCAGCGACCACACGCAGGCCCTGCTGCGGCCAGGCCACGGACCCCGGATGCCAGATCCCCTGCCTTGGCCACCGGTGCGGTTGAATGGCCTGCACACTCGATAGCTACGCCACCGCCCTCAGAATGCTGCTGCTGCAGGCCGTGTGTGTTGAGTGTGTATTGAGTGTGTGTATTGTGTGTGTGTGTTGAGTGTGTGTGTGTTTTGTGTGTGTTTTGTGTGTGTTGAATGCGTGTTACGTGTGTATGTGTTACGTGTGTGTGTGTTGAGTGTGTGTGTTAAGTGTGTGTGTTGAGTGTGTGTGTTAAGTGTGTGTGTTTGAGTGTGTGTGTGTTGAGTGTGTGTATGTTACGTGTGTGTGTGTGTTGAGTGTGTGAGGAGCACGTGTGTTGAGTGTGTGTGTGTTGAGTGTGTGTTACGTGTGTATGTTACGTGTGTGTGTTACGTGTGTGTGTGTTACGTGTGTGTGTGTTACGTGTTGAGTATGTGTTGTGTGTGTGTGTTACGTGTTGAGTATGTGTTGTGTGTTGAATGTGTTGTGTGTTAATTGTGAGTGTGTGTGTTAGTGTGTGTTGTGTGTTGTATGGTGCAGGCCCCTACCCTGCGCGTCTCCTGCTCAATGGGCTCGGGCGTGGGGCTGCGCTCGGACTCGGGGGCTGCGGGCGACTGGGCGCGTGCCGAGTGGTGCGGCTGCGGCAGCCCGAACGCCGTCAGCGGGTAGATCCCATTCCTGCTCGCGCGCGCACAAAGACAAAGATCCCCCGTGTAGCCTTAATAGACTGTTGGGCAAGTGCTGTTAGCAAGCACCTATGGCCAACACCACGCCCGGCAGCCTTTGTCTCTCCCAGTGGCGATGTTTACACATCGCACCAGGTACTCATTTGAGGCCGAGTCAACCTAGGGGAGGCCCAGGATGGTTTCAGATAATCGTCAGTGGTGTTGGCCGTGAGTGGGAATCGAACTCGGGTCGCCAGGTTCGTAGTGCGGCACGCTAATCGCTACACCACCGCTCGCCACGCACACGGTGTAAACGTGTGCGATGAAGAACCATTTCTCGAAACGTTGCCCATTACATATTTTACCATAAAAGGCTACAGTATTGATATTAACGAATGTGTTGAGTTCTATGTTAATTGTGCTTGTGCATCACTGCCAAACCAGCAGCACCAGATATATAATTGGTGCGATTAAATGTGCTCGTGGGTGCTGCAGATGCAGAAAATGCCAGCCTTGTCTTGCTATTCCCACCAATTAGTTTTGGCAGCGGACTGGAACGCCATGGAACGATATCTCCCCCCACGTCAGGAATTGTGACTCTGTCAGCGCTTTTAAATACAATTTAAAAAAGCTATTTTTATTCATGTCTTTTCCTGCAGTTCGATCCCATTGTACCAACACTGTAATTTTATAATTGGCTTTTAACATAGTTCTTAATTTGATCTATATTGCAAGTGTAGTTATTATTGTATTACATCTGGAATATATTCACTTAGGAGAAGATAGATTTTGGCATTTTGTAATTTTATCCAGACCATCCCTTCGCCTCATTGCCACATTTAATCACGAGTTGACTGTACAGGAGACACGCACTCCAAGCGCTCGCGTCTACACACGAATCGGCGAGACACGTACTTGACGTCTTCGAGAAACTTGTCGAGTTCCAGGGACGAAAGCTGAGAAAACCTGGGAAGGAAAACGAAGGAAGTGAAAGAGGTTCTGCTTGATCACACATCGCGAGCCTCCTCTTTAGGCCTGATAAAACCACATGCAGGCACCACACACACACACACACGGAGAGCGCACACCTTCTTGGGGAACCAAAAATAGTTTATATGCAGTGCTCTTCAAATTCTCAGCCACCTCTGCCGTTATTTGCTGATTTTTTGTTTTTATTGGCCACCCTCCAATCTCAATCTACTCCTCTTCACCCACTCTCCTACCTCTCACCTCACTATTCCCCACCAGGCACTTTGCCTACCTCACACCTCTCATCTCACTCCACTCCCCTCCCTCCACACTCTCTCCTACCTCTCAACTCACTCCACTCCCCTCCCTCCACACACTCTCCTACCTCTCAACTCACACTACTCCCCTCCCTCCACACACTCTCCTACCTCTCAACTCACACTACTCCCCTCCCTCCACACACTCTCCTACCTCTCAACTCACTCCACTCCCCTCCCTCCACACACTCTCCTACCTCTCAACTCACTCTACTCCCCTCCCTCCACACACTCTCCTACCTCTCAACTCACTCTACTCCCCTCCCTCCACACACTCTCCTACCTCTCAACTCACTCCACTCCACTCCCTCCACACACTCTCCTACCTCTCAACTCACTCCACTCCACTCCCCTCCCTCTACACACTCTCCTATCTCTCAACTCACTCTACTCCCCTCCCTCCACACTCTCTCCTACCTCTCAACTCACTCCACTGCCCTCCATGCGCTCTCCACTCCGGCAACTAAAGTTTTCCGCCAATGTCTCCAGAGAACCTTCGCTAAGTTGTAAGTCGTTTATTCTCTTCTGCTGTCCCCAGAATCTGGAACTCCCTTCCCCCAGCCACCCGTGCTGTCTATGACTCCAACACCTTCCTTTTGTTTCTTCTACCTACGATTTAGACTGCCTCTCTCCCGCTCCACGAATGAAACGTGCCCACCGTGTCCGTACGGCGTGCTGAACTGCAGTCGCATTCAGACGCGGCTACATCAATCCACGTCGAGCTGCAATTCGCTTGTCGTGTGCGTCCGACCGAGTTTGCCGTGTACGGCTGTGCGTAGCCTGCGCCGAGTGCTCGTGCTGCGTGGTGCGGGTACCTCCACTGCACGCCCTCCCTCCCCAGGTGGGAGATCTCGGCGATGACTCCGTTGACATCAATCCTCTTGGTCATCTCCTCCACGGCGTTCTCCGCCAGGGTGTCTGCACGCAAACACAACTTTCCCCTGCAATGACGGTCGCCGCCAGATAACTTTTTTCACAATTGTGACACGAAAAGCAAGCAACGTCGCGACAATTGGGGCGGTGATGCCGCCCAGCGGTGGCTCGTTGGCCACTTGTCCGCAGACTTTCACGGTTCAAATCCGACAAGCCGTCCTGGTTATTACTGCCTAGCAGACTCATGCCCGCTGGCAGGCCACGTGCCACGTGACCTTGTGCCGCACAGGGACAGCTGCAACTGGCGGTGCCCCTTTCAAAGAAGTACGAGATGTGATGCAGGTCGTTTGTTGCGTGCAAAGTGCTCGGAGACAGCTCGGCGTGAAGGAAGGCAGCTCGATTTAAAACAATCGTTATTATATATTAACTATGGTTGCCATGACATCGTGTTTCACGAAACGATATACATTTTCAATAGCAATAGTAGCTAGTTGAGTATTGAGTAATAGCAGTAAATGTAGCTTTTGAGTAATGATAGCTAGTGGGTTGAACGGCTTGTCTGTTACTCAGTAGCTACTATTAGGCAACTATTCAAATCGCAATAAAAAAACTGGTTATCAGAAAACATTAAAAAGATACTATTCTCCTCAGGCCCCATGGTATCCAGTACAGCATTCAACTCTTATCATCCACTCCGTCTCTCTCACCTCTCGAGGTGTGTGCTATAAAGGAGGGCTGCTGCTTGAATCAGTCGCCGATTACATACTCTTCCTTGTAAGGCCGCACACACACAGTCAGTGGTCACGAGCAAGAACGAAACTCGGGTGGCCAGGTTGGTAGCGCAGTGCGCTATCCGTTGCGCTACTGTTCCCCGTGGACACCACTAGCACACACACGCACAGCACACACACGACCAACACACACACACAGCACACACACACACATGCGGGTGCTTACGCGCGTGTCCCAGGAAGCGGTGCGCGGCGAGCAGCTTGAGGGACGGCACCTCGAAGAGCGCCGGGTGGAAGAGCAGCTCCCGCGCCGTGGGCCGCCCCGCCGCCTCCGGGCACAGGCACCGCTGGATGAACTCCTGGCCAACGCGCAGGGGGCAATCGCCCACATAAAGATAAAGATCGCCCGTATAGCCTTAACGGGATTTTGGGGAGAGTGCTGTAAGCGAGTAGCACCCACGCAGACCGGCCCGAGTGGTGATGTTTACACATCGCAGCAGGTACTTCATTTGAGACTGAGTCGATCTCGGGGAGGCCCAAGACCGGTTCAGATATTCGTCACCGGTGTTGGCCGTGAGCGGGAATTGAACGCGGGTTACCGGGTTCGTAGCGCAGTACGCGCACACCGCTGCGCCTACCGCTCCCCACAGACGCACCCACACGTGTACGCACGCTCATCACCTGGGTGCGGGAATCTGTTCTAGGCCGCCTGATCAAGCGGGACCTGGCTGAAATGAATCTCTGGCGATGGCCGAGGACGAGAGATTGGGAGTTATGGGTAGTGCAAATGTTTTACACTGGTTTGGTGTGGGGAATCATTCACTCATGGCAGGGAGGTGGGAGGGGTCAGGTGCGAGGTGACGCTGCACATTTTTCGATGTTGGGAGTTGGGGGGAAAAAAGTAAAAACATCTTCTGCAGGGAGATGCTGTAGCCGAGGGGGTAGGGAACCAGACGGCTTCGCAACACGCGTGAAGGACATGGGGTTTGATTACCGGGGTCAATTTACAATGAGCTTTTGTTTAAGCTGATTAAAAATAATGTTCATATACATAATTAACGGGTGTGTTGCTATTTGGGACTCATTAACGTATAAAAAAAACGGCCAAACTGATAATTAATGTGCTATGCAGAAGAAACATTGCCCAAAACTTGACCTATTTATTGTTTTCTTTTATGGCCACTGCATTATCCATAAACGTGTTGAGTTTTTTTCGTTGTTAATCAAAGGGAAGGGTGGCCCAAACCCTGAAGACACAAACCAGAGCTAAAAGGCAATATTTGAAAACATGCAAACTCATTTTGCACCGAGAGCCGCCCGTTGGCTTTCGGACTGCCAATTAAATATTACAAAAGGATGGACTGCGTGTTGGGAAGCGTTATATAATCCCACCACGTGCACGCGTTATTTTCTTGAACCTGTTAATGCTCAAACGAAGTCAAACGGCTCCTCCGCCCCTGTCCGCCAACCCTATTTGCCACCCCCCATTGAGTTTTGGTAGAGAGATAAACGCTCTGTGCTTCCAACCCTCCCCGCAGGTCTGTCAGACTGAAGGGCAACGGGCCCTCTCGCACTGCCCTATCCTTGTGGCGGCCACGCACGGCTGACGAGCGTGGCCGTGAGCGAGGTGCGCGATGGTACCCTCTGCAGGGGGTCCTCCAGGGAGCCGATGGCGGCCTGCACGGCCTCCTGCGAGACCACCGTGGAATCACCGTTGGGCTGGATCTCCAGCACGGCCATCTGGAGCGCACGCACGCGAGCGTTAGACGCACGCACGCGAGCGTTAGACGCACGCACTCGGAGGGAAACGCATGCACACGCAGACACGCGCGCACAGTTCTATCAAACTCACGGGGTGTCGTGAAAATGACGCAGGAAGAACCCTTGAAACATATATATTTTTAAAAATTCAACCGTGTGCAAAGCAATGTCGCCCTATCGTTAGCTGCGTATTCACGCCGCGCTGAAAAGTCACACGCAAGTGCTGCCCCAGTTGAGGCCCGCACTGTACAGTAACCTCTCATCGGTACACTACTGCTCCCACCACATCTCGCGACCAAGCTGAACATTTTTACTTTTTGAAGGTATTTTTAAACAAATCATAATATTCTGTGCTGTGATAAAAGACACGTTAATAAGAAACTCAAAAATAGAATTATCCCGGGATTGAGGAAATGCTGTAAAATACGAGCGTAGACGCACAGGTCCATTACATGTGTGTGTGTGTGAGCGGAAGTGGAGTGGTTGACTCACTGCTCTAAAAACCCAGCGGCCCGCATTCAATTCCCTCTCACGACCAAAGACAGTGGCGAATATTGAACCGACCCCGGGCCTCGCCTAGGTCGACTCAGCCTTAAATATGAATACCTGGTGCGGGTGTGTAAACATCACCACTGGGGAGACTAAGGCGGCCGGCAATGGTGTTAGCCACCAAACCCTTCGTGTGCCGTTGCTGGCCTTCATAGGTGCTCGCTAACAGCACTTGCGCCATCAGTCTGTTAAAGGCTACAAGGGGGGGGGGGGATCTTGCGTTTGTCATTGTCTGAAGCGAGTAGAACTCACCTCCAAAGCGCACATGCCAAATGAGTAGATATCCACTGCTATAGTCATGCCGGCCAGGTCTGCAACAACAACAATGGCAAGCAACAGCGAGAAGTGAGATATCAGAATACAGTAAAACCTTGGATTGCGAGCATAATTCGTTCCGGAAACGTGTTTGTAATCCAAAGCACTCGTGTATCAGTTGTGATCACGTGACGCTCGGCAGACAAAGGGTATACACGTACTACTCGTATTGCAAGACTTCGCTCGTTTATCAAATTAAGATTTATTTTAAAAATGTGCTCGTCTTGCAAAACACTCGCAGACCAAGTTACTCACAATCCAAGGTTTTACTGTATTTATTGATACTCGAGGAATCCGATGAGCTACTAAGCTTTTCACAGATGTCCAGTGGATAGCGAGGGTGCACAGGGCGATTAGTGGATGCGGGGCACTGAAGAAATGCACATGGGGGGTGAGGGGGGGGCCTGGGGAGATGCGGAGCGAAGGGTCTGAAGTGTTGAGGCCAGCAGCGAGTAGATACCTGCGTACTCTGGCGCCAGGAAGTGCAGATCCTTCTGCTCGGCGCGGAATGTCTTCACGTGGTCGTTTATGGCGCCGGGGGCGACTGCGGGGCACAAAAACCGCACAGCGCCCGCGTTGAGACGTCTAAGCCTAACCGCCGCACTCCACGCTTGCGTGTGTCCTCCACGTGCACACACAAGCACCTCCGATTAGCACGGATGGCTACGTTTGGCGCGAAAGAAATTCAACATATATACATATACGCTGCCGCTTCGTCATGCCACTGCTGGGTGAGAGCCTCTCCAACAACCATGTGGGTCGGTGAAGGCGGCGAACCCACACGTGGGAGCGTATGAGTACAGCACAACAATGAATTTTGTGCACTGCCCTCTTCTGGTGGCAGGATGTTATCGCCCACACCTGGTACGCAGGAAGCTGTAGGTTCGATCCTGACCCTGACACCTGTATATTTGGAGTTCGGATGATCTCCTTGTGGTCACAAAGCCTTTCTCCGGGTCCTCCGGTTTTGCCGCCACATTTAGAAACATGCGTTAAGATTATTTGGCTTCTATAAATTCTCACATATGATGATATAAGCCACTTCAATGAGCTATCGTGTGTGACCAGGTCGCCTCTGAAAAAGTGCAAATAGCTCGGCAAGCTTCACCTGGTGAATACAGTAGATCCACAAAACTAGAGTTTAACAGTTTCTACTGAGCACCACGCAGCTCACAGCCTTGCAGTTACACCAACATTCGGGTGCCATACTGTATGTATATAAAACTTCTTTTGCACCGTACGTATCCAACCGTGCTAATCGGAGGTGCGGAAAGGAAAGGAACGATACGCGCTTGTTAAGTTAAAAGTCGATTCTTATAGTCGTGGTACTTTCAATTTTTTGCTGACACAACCAAATACCAAAGTGTGTTTCTAATTGCCAGTTCGGCTTCTGTCTTCTCTTCATTTGGTAGCATTCTCAGACGAGGCTCGGATTATAAAAACACGGAACAGGAATCACTTAGAGAGAGAGCAGCAACCCACACACACCACCACCACCACTCCAGCCCGCCTCACCGGAGCCAATCTTGATCAGCCCGTTGTGCTGCATGAAGATGGTTTCGCACGTGAGGTTCGCGTGGATGATGGGCGGCACAAACGAGTGCAAGTACCTGGATGGGCCAGTGCGTACAGTCACACACCACTCGGACACCCAAGCTTAAATCAACCTCTGGAGCAAATACATATTTTTTTGTCCTTAATTTTTTATTCGTCCTTTCCGCGTGGTTTCTTCCCGATTGCGCATGCTATCGGGTGTCCACGTCATCGAAAGCAGAATCACTTGGGATTTCTCAAGAGCCCACGAGATCCTTCGTCTTAGAGAATGGCCCATGGAAGTGGCTATCACAGAGTTACCTCCGATATCCCTTCAAGTGAGCTCTACGCCATACAGTAGGGGGGCTGCACATTCCCAACCGCCTGGTAACCGAGAGTAGTTTGTTGCAAACAATTAAGTTGATATATTTTTTTCTATTCTCGAAACTGGAATTTGGCCAAAGTGTTGAACCTGATTTAACGTGATCTTTTTTTGTTCTCTGCCGTCATTGGTGACTGCGCTGAGCCCAGCAACTCACGAGACTCGAGTACCCGGTTTAATCGTGGGCAGTTGCTCGAATTAAAACAACCCGTGACCTCGGCAGCGTCGCCTGAACACTTTTGACCTCTGGGCCACTCTCGACCACCACTCTGTGGCGGGTTTAGGAGCGCAAGTGAAACATTTTGTGGTAAACGTGAATGAAAGCGGCAAAAATTTGTAAACGTGTCGCTACCCGAGAGCGGAGAGGATCTGCGTGCACCAGCGCTTCCAGGCCTGAACACACACGGGGGGGAGGGAGGTGGGGGAGGTGGCGTGCACACAAAGGGGGCAAGGGCACGCAAGCAAGTGGCCCGGTTAGAGCGACACAGCCCGGCAGCCTCGCTGCAAAAGCACTCGCCGTGCTCTCCCACTCCGCTTGCGTCTGACAGCGTTCAACTCTCACATAAACGAAAGACAAACACCCTCCGTGTCGCCTTTAACAGATTGTTCGGGCAAGTGCTGTTTGCGAGCACCTACGAAGGCCGGCACGACGCACGAGGAGGAGGTCTGGCTAGCACCACGCCCGGCCGCCTCTATCACCTGTGTAGCAATATTTAGACACCGCATCAGGTACTAATTTAAGGCTGAGTCGACCTAAGCGAGGCCCAGGACCGGTTCAGATAAAACCACCCATCTCACACACACATATATACCGCTTACTTCTCCAACTGTATGCACACACTTCACTCCCAAACACCGATCACCACTACACACTCCACTCACCTCTTAAAGATGCTACCCACCCTTCACCATTTATCTCACACACTTTTCACACTGCGTATCTCTCACACTGCTCACTTATAACACACACACACAATACTCACCCAGACATCGTTCACGCAACTGCACAACGCTCACCCCGCACTGCTAACTTCTCTCACCACCCGCTTCCCACACACTACTAACCTCACAACAGCCACCCCTCTCACACACACACACCCCTCTCACACCCCTCTCACACACACACCTCTCACACACACACACACCCCTCTCACACCCCTCTCACACACACACCTCTCACACACACACACCCCTCTCACACCCCTCTCACACACACTCCTCTCACACACACACACCCCTCTCACACCCCTCTCACACACACCCCTCTCACACACACACACACCCCTCTCACACCCCTCTCACACACACACCCTCTCACACACACCTCTCTCACACACACACCCCTCTCTCACACACACACCCCTCTCACACACACACACACCCCTCTCACACCCCTCTCACACACACCCCTCTCTCTCACACACCTCTCACACACACCCCTCTCTCACACACACCCCTCTCGCACACATACACCCCTCTCACACACACACCCCTCTCTCACACACACCTCACACACCCCTCACACACACCCCTCACACACCCACACACAAACCTCTCTCTCACACACACACACAGCCCACCTTCTCGTTCATGGTCTTGTGGTTCTTCTTGGTCTTCTTGAGGAACTGCTTGAGGCTGCCCGAGGACATATACTCAGTGATGAAGATCACCTGTCAGGGAGAACACCGTCACGTCAGGGAGTGTGCTGCGAGGAGCCTCGTGACCGCTCACCTCCGTGTGCCGTGCATCCTGCCAAGCGTCGACAACCACCAGACCTGGGGCCAATTACACGTGGAAATGTGTCGTCCATAAACACTCTCAATCATCCACGCGGCTAAATCGGCTCAAGCCTCCCGTAAGTCGAGCGACTTCCATCTTCACGAAGTGATCCAGGAAGTCAGAATGAAGACGTGTTGCTTGCATTAGAACTGTGCTCATGTGAGGGCTGCTTAACATCCAGCTTCCGCTGTACAGTTGATCCCGGGTCTGTGCACAACACTTGCTCACAATGGTGCAGAGTCGTGGGCTATACGCACCCGGGCTTTGCTCTCCCTGATGTCGGCCCAGTAGTTGTGGAACTTGACGATGTTGGCGTGCTCCAGATGGATGAGGTTATTAAACACCGTCTTGATCTTCTCCTGTGGAGGAGATGGAGTAAGGGTTAGGGGTGTGTTTGTGTGCGTTTGGGTCGGAGGGGTAATCAGTACTTTCATGGTTTAGCGCATTCCGCTACGAACCCAGCGACCCGAGTGCTTGCTCGCAACCAATATCGATGACGAACATCTTAACAGGTCCCTGGCCTCCTTCCCCAGGTCGACTCAGCCATGCCGGCCTTCATAAGTGCTATTCACTAATAGCCTCTTGCCCCCAACAGTCTGTCAAAGCTACGTGGGGCTCCTTTGCCATTGCTGTGCAAACTCGCATCACGTCCGTGTTCGTGGACTTCCTCAACACCCACCAGCAGAGCCGTCCCTAGGGTACGGCGAATCGGGGGCGACCGCCCCGGGCCCCGCACTTTGGGGGGCGCCCGCGTTTCGACGTCACGGAAATCAGATGGAATACTCCCGGTTGAGTTTGAAGGCACGGGGGGTGGGGGAGGGCCCATACGGCGCAAGTTGCCCCGGGCTCCGCACCCACCCCCACCTATGGACGGCCCTTCCAACCTGGGCCCGTGGCTTCACAGCTTTGCCACAGAAATCAGCTGCCAGAGGGCAGGCAGGGGTAGCAGGGACCGACAGCGTGGGCGACACAAACAGTCCAGGCTTACTTTATCACCGATTTATTTGTTTCAGGTCGCTGGTTTCAGTTTTTTTTCATTTCATTTCAGTTTAATTTATTAGGTATAGCCCTGTGAGCCATTCGGCTCTTGAATCAGATGCAACTGCAACAAACAAAAGACAAAAAACATGAAAAAAAACATCTTAAAGTGACTATGTGCAAACAGAAAATCCAGGAAAAAAACAGCAAAATATTCCAGCTGGTAAACTGGAGTAGAAGGCACGTGCTGCCTATGAGCCCCACAGCCTGAGCGCGAAATGTACTGAATGTGGTGTGCCGGGTGAAATAAATATATTCCGTGTCGCCGGCCCAGGCAGACAGATAAACGCTGACTATTTGAGTCCGGCTGACAGCCACGATTCTTATCCAGGGCCGCGACAGAAAAAGAGTGGCAAGAGTGGCGATTTAAACTCCCGAAGAATCCCGCCGCAGTAGGGAATGGAGACCTGCATGTCTGCCCTGTGTCTAAGTGAGTGATGTTTGAGTGAGTGGCTTGTGACTAGAGTGAGTTGTGACTGGGTGGGTGACTTGTGACTGGGTAAGTGGGCGTGTGTGGGTGAGTGAGATTCCAGTGCCCTGTGTCTGCTGGGTGAGTCATCACCCCCCTCACCACCCCCCTCACCACCCCCTCACTCACCTCCTGCGCCTTGTAGTTGCGTCTCTCGGAGAACTGCACCTCGTTCCAGACGACCTCAACTCCCTCCTCCGTGTCCATGCCCAGGTAGGCGCTGTCGATACCGGGCACATTGCGCTGGCTCACCTGGTGAGAGAGATGAGTGAGAGAGGTGAGAAAGAGAGGTGAGTGAGGTGAGTGAGTGAGGTGAGTGAGTGAGGTGAGTGAGAGAGGTGAATGAGAGAGGTGAATGAGAGAGATGAGTGAGAGGTGAGGTGAGTGAGGAAGGGAGGTGAGTGAGGAAGGGAGGTGAGTGAGGAAGGGAGGTGAGTGAGGTGAGTGAGAGAGGTGAGTGAGAGAGGTGAGTGAGGTGAGGAAGGGAGGTGAGTGAGGGAGGTGAGTGATTGAGGTGAGGAAGGGAGGTGAGTGAGGTGAGTGAGGTGAGTGAGGGAAGTGAGTGAGAGAGGGGAGTGAGAGTGGTGAGTGAGGTGAGTGAGAGAGGTGAGTGAGAGGGGTGAGAGAGGTGAGTGAGGTGAGTGTGGGAGGTGAGTGAGTGGGGTGAGTGAGTGAGGTGAGTGGAGTGAGTGAGGTGAGGGAGGGAGGTGAGTGAGGTGAATGAGGTGAGTGAGAGAGGTGAGTGAGAGAGGTGAGTGAGAGAGGTGAGAGGGGTGAGAGGGGTGAGGTGAGTGAGGTGAGTGAGTGAGGTGAGTGAGGTGAGGGAGGGAGGTGAGTGAGGTGAATGAGGTGAGTGAGTGAGGTGAGTGAGGTGAGAGAGGTGAGTGAGAGGGGTGAGTGAGTGAGGTGAGTAGAGAGGTGAGTGAGAGAGGTGAGTGAGTGAGTGAGGTGAGTGAGAGAGGTGAGAGGGGTGAGAGGGTGAGTGAGGTGAGTGAGAGGGGTGAGAGGGGTGAGAGGGGTGAGAGAGGTGAGTGAGGTGAGTGATAGAGGTGAGTGGGGGGGGAGTAAGAGAGGTGAGTGAGAGAGGTGAGTGAGGTGAGAGAGAGAGGTGAGTGTGGGAGGTGAGTGAGAGGGGTGAGTGAGAGAGGTGAGAGAGGTGAGTGAGAGAGGTGAGTGAGAGAGGTGAGAGGGGTGAGTAAGAGAGGTGAGTGAGAGAGGTGAGTGAGTGAGGTGAGAGGGGTGAGTGAGAGGGGTGAGTGAGTGAGGTGAGTGAGTGGGGTGAGTGAGTGGGGGGGTGGTGAGAGACAGCGGCGAGCGGCGTCACTGATCAAGCGACCCCCGTCTCTCGAGCGGCCCCCCCCCGCCTGTCCCGGGTCCCGAGCCCACCCCAAACCGCCCACCTCCTCGCGCCGCTTCTGCCAACGGCCGCACGGACTCTCCTCGAGGATCTCGCTGTCGTCCTCGCTCTCCTCGTCCTCCTCCTCCGCCGCCGCCTTCTCCTGCTTCTCCGTGTCCGCCGACATCGTCGCCTTCCTGCGCCTGGACCGACCGCCCGTGCGTCGTGGGGGCGGGCTGGTGCCGGCGTGACGTCAGCGCGCACGGGCGCGTGCCGGCGTGACGTCAGCGCGCACGGGCGCGTGCCGGCGTGACGTCAGCGCGCACGGGCGGGCTGCCGCACGTCAAGGCGCTTGGGGTGGGGACGTCATCGCCAAGGCGGGTGCGGCGACGCGATGACGTCGGCGCGCAGCCGGGAGTATTGGACGCCGTCCACGCAACGGCGTGACGTCACCGCGCACGGGCGTTGCGGCGACGCGATGACGTCAGCGCGCAGGGCGGATTCGGGCACGGAAGTTGACGTCATCACGTAGGGCGGGTGTGACTACGCGATGACGTCGGCGCGCACGGCCGAGCGTAGCCGGAATTATTGGACGCTGCTCGCGACACCACGCAACGGCGTGACGTCACCGCGCAGGACGTTTGTGGAGACGCGATGACGTCGGCGCGCAGGGCGGATTCTTACGTCGAGGGGCACGGATGTAGACGTCATCGCGTAGGGCGGTGCGGCAACGTCAGGCGCACAATGCCACGACGTCACCGCCCAGAGGGTGTTAGCGACGCAGTGACGTCACGACGCAGGGCGTGACAGCAGCGCGCTCACGTCATGCGCGTGTTGTGACGTACCGCGGCAGCCGCAGAGAATCGTGCTTTATAAAAAATTAACCCGTAAAAACAAAGTTTTTCACTATAAATCCTTTATATGCGTGGCATCGGTTTTATTTTATTATTCATTTCTGTTTTTCTTGAGTAAGAGTTTCATTTTTATCACATTGGTATTTTAAATTAAATATATATAAAAAAATCCTAAAAAGTGGAAAATTTAGGAAAACATTTTTCACGAAAATAAATTGTCACGCACAACGAGTCTGTGTGCAAAATGTCAGCTCGATTGGATCACGGGAAGAGGGTTAAAAAACGACCGAAAGATTTGCATGGTCGTAAGCGCGCAAGAAAGCAAGCAAGTGAACTTAATAGAAAGGATTTAAAAACTAATTTTACGTAATGCACGGACGCGAAGAGACGATGCATTTATGCCGGACGAAAATGGAACGTACAGTGTTATGATCATGTTTAATGACGTCCTGTGCAACGCGCGTGACGTCACGACGTGCGAGATGTACGTAGTGACGTAGGCGCGCTGCACTGACGTGGACACGTTACCATGTAGTCACTTTGCACGTGGTGTTAACGTGGGGGTGAGAGAGCTCAAGTTCATTTATTAGGTATAGCCCTGTGAGCCATTCGGCTCTTGAATCGGGTGCAACCGCAACAAACAAAAAACATGAACACATCACAGTTATACGAACATGATTTAAGTGCAGAATCGAATAACACGAGTGACTGCGATGGCAGTGGAGCAGGATAAAATCTTGCCAGTTTGCCTAACGCTGATCCTTACAAGTGTAGTGACATAGAATCGGTAGCAGCATAGCGCTGGCTGCTGACAGGGAAGGGGATCTGCAGCTACAGCAGCCCCGACTGACAGCAAGTCACGTGATAGACCAGAGAGGGATGTAGTGGAAAGGTTACGGAAGGGGCACATCGAGAACCTGCTAGTAGATTCCAGAAGGGGGGCGTGGCCGGGGTGGAGCCAGACCACGCTGACGGTAATAGAGGGGCCCCGGGAGGGGAGCTCGGGGCTGTCGTGTGGAGTGGGATCCCGTCGTGCTGCTGCTGGAGTCTTCACTGTCGTCTCCATCTTCACCGTCTCGGCGTCGTCAGTCAGGCAGTCTACCAGCTGTCCTGACTGGGACACGTAGTTACCAAGTGTGAACTGTTAAGGCCGTTAATAAACAGAGTGCCTCCTACTCAGTCAGTCACTACACAAGTAAATCGGCTTGATGTTTCAGGTGATGCTATATTGACTGAATTACAGTTGGAGCTCACACTGTTCCACCGAGTTGCCTGAAAAACGCTTAAGTCGACGTGCGGACGCTGTTGAAATAACATGAGCAGTCGCGTTTATTTGTTTATTATTTATTTTGACCACAATACAATCGTTTCATTCAAGGTTAAAATTACACAATTGTTTCCACATAAATTCTTGTGAAATAATCCCGGCACAAGACACTTGGGAGTCACTTAAATTCGCAGAGTCACTTATTGAAATGCAATCATTGGGACATGAAAAGTGAGATTATCGAATTTCCCAACAGCACCGCTGATGAAGAAACCAACACGGACAAACTTTTCTAACGCTACCGATTTAAGCGATAGGCTGCCCATTAAAAAAAAAAAAACTTTTACTGCACGCAGATTTTCAAGATATACCATTTCATTTAAATATTCCATTTATATATATACCTAATGTTTGTTTTCAAACTTGGTACGTGGGTCAAATTTGCTGCCTGCCGCTTACGTCATCGGTAGGGTAGGGCAAGCGAGTGACATGGTCGGTCGGGGAAATGAGCTGTAGGGGGGAAAAAACGCACAGATGAATTCTCCGATATTAAACATCAACACTAGTCACGAAGACGACCCTGACATGGAACGCACGAGACAATAACTAAGCCAATTTATTACAACACACCTACAGCAGCAGCAGCAGCACAGCAATACAGTGTTAATCATTACAGACAGTGAGCCCACTGTGACGGAATGTTGGGCTTTGGGTACAGGGGTTGTGCTGCTGATTCGGGGATGGGGGGCAGGAGTAGGAGTGTTCTAAAGGAGGCATGCTACTTGGTAGGGTTTGCCGCGATATCATTTTTCACAACAAGGCTTTTTCACATTACGGTTCATGATATGACGATTATCGTAATGTCAGTTTTCCCGAAACTTTGTAATTGTATGTCCGCAATGCAATTGTACTGTTGTCGTGCTTTGCTGTACTTGGCAGTACAAAGAAGAGATTACGTAAAAGTTTGTCAACTGCAGTTTGCTCAACTGTAAGCCTACCCGAAGTCAGTCATATAATCATTGCAACTTTACAATCTGTAATGCTGTAAACGCACATGCTGTCAGTCACACAAGAATTAAGTGATTAGAAACAATGCGTCATGTAATTGCCTGGCCGTCAATTTACTCCGAGAAAAAAACTTTACAAAGCACCAATTTAATAGACAACAGTTATTCGTTTTGAACTTGAATCATCACGTCAATTACTTAATAAATAAATGTTTACAAAATTAAACTATGAAGAATCAGCAATAGTCACGATACGACAATATGCAAAGCAGACTATACAATTATTACGGACCTTGTAGCGTCTTACGGAACACCGTAGTGTCACATAACGGCAACCCTACCGTCAAGCGATGGCGACATGCTTTCTGAATCCGCCTGAAATGGACATGGAGGGAGGGGGGGGACGTCTCTGCTCCTATAGGGAGGGAATGTGCAGTGAGGAGCAGTCTCAGCAATACACGTGTGGCTGCAGGAGCCACGGGGGAGGGAGGACAGAGGTCACAATCGGGTACCCGATACCCGTACCCTACCCGATACCCGGCTACCCGTATCCGGCCGGGTACGGGTACCCGTTTGCGACCCTGGTGCGGCCGGGTACGGGTACGGGTAGCCGTTTGCGACACTGGTGCGGCCGGGTACGGGTACGGAATCAAAATCTGTTTGCGAACCCTGGCGGAGGAGTGGGAGGGGGAAGAGGCTTGAGACGCGGGGCGGGGCTCACTGCAGTGACGAGGGAGTAGGCGGAGGGATTCACTTGTAGTCGAGCAGGTTGAGGTCCAGCTTGTAGTACACGTATGGGTAGTACTCCTGCTGACTCAGGTTCAGCCCAGGGATGTCCATACTCGCCTGTGGAGTGAACAATAGGGTTGAGGGCATTACATTCAGTCGTGAACAATTCTCAAGCCACCACTGAGGAGCTTTAATGGTCAGACTACGGTCAATACATTTGCATGTATAAATAATGCATTTGCAAACAAGACAATTTTGCTAGGTGGTTAGATGGTTAAACATAAGAATGTTTCGCGCTGCGCTACGAACCCGGCGACCCGAGTTCGATTCCCGCTCACGGCCACCAAACAGCAGTGACGATTATCCAAACTGGTGCTGGGCCTCTCCTAGGGCGATTCAACCTCAAATGGGTACCTGGTGCGGTGTGTCAACATCGCCAAAAGGGAGACAAAGGTGGCCGGGTGTGGAACTAGCCACATCACCCCGTCGTGTGCCATGCCAGCCTTCATAGGTGCTCACTAATAGCACTTGCCCCAACAGTCTGTTAAGGCTACGGGGGGGGGGGGCATCTTTGTCTTTGTCCACCAAAGGTATTCGAAAGTCCTATTCTGCCCTCGGTAAGGAAAGGGTTCCCCCCAACCCTGATGTGACCCCGTGGTTACATCGATGATGGCGGCGGCGCTGCTGTCGAGGTGCTTGTAAAGTCCGTTGAGCACTTCCCGCAGCTTGCGAACCATCTTCTTGTTGGGATGCAGCAGCATGGCCTGGAAGTTCACTGGGAGTCCATACCTGCACACGGCAACAAGGCATTCATGGGCACCTGATGAGAATGCTTTACATATTGACCGCTGGCTAAGTCGCATACAATAACAAGTACGTCCTGCTTGAACCTGTGCTCCAAATAAGGGTTAGGATCTAGTAATTTAACCAATGATTTTGACGAGTAAAACATTAATTTTAGAAGGTAATATGAATCATTACCCAGAAGTGATGTGCATTTTTTACATGGTTTACATTGACTACATCCTTATGTTTTCACTGCAATGTTACTTTGAACTACTGCACAAAAATCGCGTATTAATAACATTGCATGATTTTTCATCTGCCAGAAACATCATCATTGGACCGCTCACCGCAGATCCTGCATGGTGTATCACGGCACCGACCAACAACAACGTGTGCTCCAGAAGCCATCCATGTTCCATCGGATTAATCTGTCGCCAAACTGCGACACGGTCAATGACTCGGCAGGGACTGCAGCCGCTGCTGCGATGGCTCGTGTACGCGCGTAACGCGACGCGCGTCTTGCTGAGTGCATTGGCTAGGAGATGGGGGGTGGGCCGCCGGGGGGAGGGGGGGCGTACCGGAGCACAGACTCCACGAACACCCGCAGCGCCTTCACGTGCGTCCACGCGATGAACGCCTCCGAGAAGTTCACCTTGAGCCACCTCACCAAGGGACCCTGCATTGCACGTGAACACACGCGTGAACGCACATGCGTGAACACACCCATTCAACAATAACTGAATTAATTACGTGAACGACTCCCATCGTTTTTTAATTTAATGGGTGTGGGAAGGGAGTGTGGGGCTGTCATGCATAGGAGTGGTCCTGGTATTGTGCCACCAAACCCTTTGTGTGCCGTGTCTGCTTTAAAAAGGTGCTCGTTAACAGCACTTGCCTCAACAGTCTGTTAAAGGCTATATGGGGGATCTTTGCGATTCTATGTACATATATACAACTCCTTTCGCTAATCGGAGGTGCGATTATCACGGTTGGTGGTATCGTAGTTAGTGCACTGTGCTATAAACCCAGCGAGCCAAGTTTGCTTCCCAGCCACGGCCAGCACAAGTGGCACACCTCGAAACTGGTACTGATTCTGGGCCTCCTCTAGGTCGACTCAACCTTCAATGAGTAGTTGGTGTCGTGTGTACACATCTGCACTGGGGAGACTAAACATACCAGATGTGTTGTTGGCCACACCAACCCCCCCCCCCCCTATGCACTTCGCCAGCCTGCACAGGTGCTCACTAATAGCACTTGCCCCAACAGTCTGTTAAGGCTACAGGGGGAGGATCTTTGTTTTATTATCTGTGGGTGCACACGAGCATACAAACTGCTTTTTCTTGTCGGAGGCGAGGCGCGTGATCTCCTCCTTGTCGGCTGCCAGCTCCACCTCGTTGTACTGGAACTCCCGCACGGTGAACCTGGGTCCCCGTGTCCCAGCGCGAGCCGACAGGGAAAGACGGGGCGGGCGTCAAAAGAGTCTCAAAAAACCACGACACGTACTGACATATGCAAGACCCAACATTAATATTACTCCCATCAGAACTACGGGTAGTCTCATGACACAAGACTGACTTAAGAAAAGTGTTAAGAATAAATAGAAATGTGCAAATGTTTCAATCCGGTAACACTCTCCAGGATGTAAATGTCCTTGGAAATGTTAATCAGCGATAACGTTACCTTGTGAGCCAAACAAATGAAATGACATCACATGGTGCATGGCGTAATGACCTTGGCTGAAAAGGCTTATCCATGGTATTGTTATTTTGGCCAGCCTTTTCATCAATTCGGTCAGTTTTTTAATCGGGTAATTCCCCAACAGCAACAAAGCTATGTACACGAATTAATTTATACTGCATCCTCCTTACAATAGTTTACCATGAACCCATATTACAGATAGTACAGAAGGACAGACTGACGGACAGGGCTATTCTTTTAATGCTTTCAATCGTAGTTCAGAGACTTTAGAAAGATTGTTTAAAGAGGCAGAAAAAATCCACAATGTTCTCACTTGCTTTCACGCGCCTTGTGCTTGAAGTCATCGACAGCTTTCTGGAATAGGGTAACCGTGAACATACCACCCTCCTGGTCTTCCACGATCAACCTAGGCAGCAGTAGCAACACACGGTACTCACATTACACTCACTACACTCACCAGACAGCAGCCCACTACACTCACTGGAGGACCTTCATTAAAAGCAAACTTGGGATTGAACACTGCTCTAAAGGACGAAGATTCGTGCCTAAATGCTTCTGCAACTTAGACCACCGTTCATTTCAACCACTTCAGGGCCCTGCTATTGTAGAGCCAAGGTCACCCACAGTGGCAGCTGTCCCTATGCGGCACAAGCTGTATGCAGCACTGGCCTGTAAATGTGCATTAGTCTACTAGTGGGTTTTTTTCACAAGCAAGTAATTTCGTCATTTTGTAAAATTTGGACCAAAACTCTGGCACACATGGCCTAATCTTTTTCCACCAATTCACAGGAACTGTCATATTCACTGTCTTTTCGAACTTCTTTAGCTGACCTCGGAGGTGAGCGCACTGCTGCAACGACGAAGGGAGACTCACTTGGTGGAGCGTGGCACCACCATGTCCGTCAGCGTCTCGTACACTTTGTTCCACTCGGTGTACGCCGCCCTGCGGGTAAAGGGTTCGGAATAAAATAGACTTTACGCAAAGGAGGTCCGGTGTTAAAGGGCACAATTGTATTAAGTGATTTGAGATCATTAATAGGCTCAACCAAAACAGAATACCCCCCAAAAAATCCTCTATTATGGAGGCTCAACCCTGGCAAACGGACACAATGACGAGATGGAAAATGGGTTGTCCGCTCATATAGACTGTTGATTCTTTTCATCATCATCAGCCATGATCAAATAACTGCTGGATAAAGGCCGCCCCGAGCCGTCGCCATCTCTCACAGCCCTGCGATGTACTCATCCACCAAACAGCTGCACATGTGCCGATGTCTTCGCTCGTTATCTTCGCGGTGGATGTCCCCTTTGTGCACGTTTCCTCTCTCGGCTGCCACTCCCGTCGTTAGCCTCGACCAGCAGCCACCGTCCATTCTAGCAACGTGTCCTGTCCAAGCCTGCGTACGTTTATTACCAGTTATAACGACGTCTCTAACTGATGTTTTATGATGAATGTGTTCCTCTTTCTGTCCTCTCAATGTAACTCCAAGCACAGCTGTAAGGTGTGCAAAGAAGCATCCGCAATGCATGCCCGCTTGAAAAAGACTCATTATACTCGGCAGATAAAGGTGCACAGAGGCCCAACTCCGCCTTTAAGAGAAAGCCTTGCCCTACAGAAGACCTCGTAAACATTGGCCTTGTTGCAAGCCCACAACGAAATATATTTTGTTCATGTACGGTGCCGTGACGCACTTGGGCACGATGACGAGCAGGGTGACGAGGTACTCCGAGTCCAGGACAAAGTCCTCCTTACGGACGATGTCAGCCAGGCTACGCGTCATCAGGCTGCCACTGCACCCAGAAGACAAAGACACACAGAGAGCGAGGCTGAAAACACACGGACCACCCGCTTCCCACGAGAATCACGGGAACAGATGGAGATGGGGAGCGGCGAGGAGGCGACACGGTGTGTGGGGCCTCACGTGTTCTTCCTCTCAAGACTCTGCAGGCTGCCCTTGAGGTTGTTGTACACGGACGCGCGAGACTTGAGGTCATTGTCAATCTGAGAGACGCCCTGAGAGACGCACGCAACGCAAACGCGCATATGGGCAGCGCGTAGCACCACAAAGCACAGCGCACAAAGAATCACACACATTTGTGGCGTACATACAGCGCTTAATTTTACAGCTGGGCCTGTCCGGGTTTGGCAACCTATAAAACATATCAACACCCAACACACCACATCCAACTAGCACAGCTGGCTACTTATGGTATGGTGCAAAAGAAGTTCAACATACATACACCATACATATAGTTCACTACGCTACGCTTCCCACCGTACCTCTCTAGGCCTACTGCAGTTTGCCAGTGAGCCTAAACATATCTGATGAAAAATTAAGCCCCGTGTGTATATAGTTATCAAATGCCCTGTTATTCAGGATACAGAAAATGTACATGGTGATGTAGAATAAAAACAGTGTATCAGCAATGCAGCTGGGCTTTTGGAGTACACTGCTTAGAGCGGAGGTATTAAAAAACCTTTTCCTGAATGAGAGCAGAATACAACTCAAATACACTTTAGTGGGGCCGCACATTTAACACACACAAGCTCCGTAACATTATTAACTAATAACGTGAAACACACAAATGCAATCCCTGTGCCTGCTTTCCTCATGCATATGCGCGATGCCGATTTCCTGTGAAATATTTCTGCAGCAGCGAGGCATTATGCGGGCACTGCATGCGTTACCTTGGCTATTATGTCGGATATGTTCTTGAGAGATTGCTTGATGGGGTACTTGGCCATGTCCCACTGGAAGCGTGTCACGTAGGTGAAGAGGTCAACTGTGGGGGAATCACGCATTTCACACACACATGTGAAGCGGGCACCGAGTGAAGTTCAGTAGATAATGCACCTCTTAAATAATGATAACAGACTATTTATAACACGGACAATTTTTCGAACGGAAGAAAAAGTTCAAGCGCGACTCGGAGGCACGGTGCTCAGTTCAGACGATAGCTCTTGACAGTACCCAATCGTTTCACCGCCACGCAGGAGTTTCTGATCCATCTATATACCCTCGCCTTCAAACCAGTAAGAAATATTACTAATCACAAAAAAGAACACATGCAGGTTGAAGACATCATCTTGACCGTTTCTAAAAGTGGGCTGGGACACATCGCCAGAAAGGATGACGGCCGATCGTCGACAATACCGACGGAGTAGCGCCACAAGTGCACACAAGAAGACGTCAACAGTGGAGTGGAGCAATGACATCAACTTGTGTGCTAATTCTATGTGGATTGTTACATTGCAGGAAAGTAAGAGGTGGGGATGGCTTGGGGAAGGTTTCATACAGCAGTGGATTCACTGGCGGAGCCAGTGGGGGGGGTGGGGTGGCACGTGGCCCCCCAATGATCCGATCGAAATCCCTAATTTCGATCGGATCATTAGTCTGAGTCCATAATTGGCAATAAGTAACGGCAAAGCAGTTATAAGTGACTCACAGAATTGTGCGCAGTTGCGTATACAGTACACAACTTCCCTGAAGGCAAACACCTTCAGCGAGCACGATGTCGATCACACACGGTTCGAATTCGACCCTCGATCGATGGCTGTGCCATCGCCGTACACGCGTCGAATAAAAAGCAAGGGACAAGTCCTTACTTACTAATAACTATCATTTTTCATTGCTGGAGGGGTTGCCCCCCCTACCTGAAAATCCTGGCTCCGCTATTGAGTGGATTGATCTTGGCTGATGCCGATTCTTAACCCCTAGCTCACATCTATCCCCTATCCCACACTGTTGCTGTTATCTCAACAGCAGCAGTGCTCAGGTGCTATCCGCCAGTAAACTTCCAATCCTCACCTCCGTTGGCGAGGAGGTTTTCCTGCACTTTGTCACGGGAGTCTTCCAGCACCTCGGCCATGTACTGAGCAACCTTCTTCACCACGCTGCACAGGGCCACACACACACACAACACCATCCCTGTCAGACTATCAACCTTGGGCTGCATATGCCTTGAAAGGGCCCAATCACGTCAATCTCAGAAGGAGAGATGGCCTGATTAGTATTAAATTTGAGACTGCCTGGAAATAGCAGGTGTTGTAGGCTTGGGTTGCAAAGTGAAAAGCATATGCAAGTACAGTGAATGGATTCATAATCTATCTGTGTAGAACTTAGCGTGTCATCATTTCTGATGCATGCGTTTTTTCTCTAGGCACTCTGGTATCCTTTCACGTGAAGTCACTCATTAATGGAATTAGCCAAACATCACAATGTATGCGTACTGTATTATGAAACAATATATAGTAGCGACTTATTGATGCTTTTCTGGGTAAAGGGCATTTATTATCGAGATTATTACGTGCAATACATTGGTGGGAGGTGGCAGTTGGTGCTGAGGCGACTAATGTGAATGTTCATACAGCACAGCACAGGCACTGGATGTCACTGTATTATGTAATGAGTGATGAGTGGAGAGTGTGTGTATGCATGGGCGGGCATCTGTCCACTTTGGACACGTGCAGCGGTGGTATAGTGACTAGCACACCGCAATGATTGGCGGCCATGGCTAACATCACTCGGTCGACTGAGCATTATCGGAGTACCTGGTGCAATATAAACATCAGAAAGAGGGAGATAAAGGTGGTTGACTACCAGGCTACACTACCTCGTTCGTGCACTGTTCCGGCGAGCAGCACTTGCCCCAAAAGTATGTCAAACGCTTTATGGGGGGGGGGGACCTTAGTCTTTGCCTGTTCACCGACAAACTCACGTTTCCACAAAGGTGTCCAGCTTGGCGAGTTCATCGGAGAGGCCCACCAGAACGTCCAGGGTGCCCACCTGCATCACAATGCACGCACTACCGGTCACCGATTCACCAACACCACCTTTGTGGACCGACCACACCATTCACAACTGTCCCACCGCAGCCGTCACCGCTACCCCGGTGGACACCACCCACCTTGAGGTCTGGGATCTGGAACTTAAAGTTGGCCGAGAGGCTGTTGTTGCGCGTGGTCTCGGAATTCAGCTTCTCCCATGTCTGCTGGCACGTCTTGTCGCCCGGGGCCGAAATCAGCCAGAACTCCGACATTCTGCCTGCGAGAGACACGCAGTGGGGGCGGGGGGGGGGGCATCAGGTCATTAGTCGATTAAGTGGACTATATTGAGAAATGTGTGAGTGGTTCCTTTGAAAATTACGGGCTGCCTCACACGTCCTGCTGCCTTCTGAAGGTGGGAAACCCCCTACAGGCTACTACCCAGCGTGCATTGATGTCACCAAGTCATGCCCATCACCACCCGTCCAGAGGCACATGTCAGAACAGAGATAATATATATTATCTTAACCCCTTTTTGTATTTTTGTATTGGTCAGTAATCGATTGCGAAAGTAACACAAATACAGTACGACTCACACAAAGCTTCCCTGAGACTCTCCCATAGAGACTGTCTCTCCCATCACTTTCAGTGCATCTCTTTTCTAGCGATCAGACTGTCACCCAGATCTCAAGAGACTCTCTCTCCCAGCAATCAAGACTGTCACCCAGATCTCTCAGATACTCTCTCTCCCGGTAATCAAAACTGTCACCCAGATCTCAAGAGACTCTCTCTCCCAGCAATCAAGACTGTCACCCAGATCTCTCAGATACTCTCTCTCCCGGCAATCAAAACTCTGTCACCCAGATCTCAAGAGACTCCCAGCAATCAAGAGTGTCACCCAGCTCTCTCAGATACTCTCTCTCCCAGCAATCAAGACTCTGTCACCCAGATCTCAAGATACTCTCTCTCCCAGCAATCAAGACTGTCACCCAGATCTCAAGATACTCTCTCCCAGCAATCAAGACTGTCACCCAGATCTCAAGAGAATTCCTCTCCCAGCAATCAAAACTCTGTCACCCAGATCTCAAGAGAATCTCTCTCCCAGCAATCAAGACTCTATCACCTAGCTCTCTCAGATACTCTCTCTCCCAGCAATCAAGACTCTGTTACCCAGATCTCAAGATACTCTCTCTCCCAGCAATCAAGACTGTCACCCAGATCTCAAGAGACTCTCTCTCCCAGCAATCAAAACTCTGTTACCCAGATCTCAAGATACTCTCTCTCCCAGCAATCAAGACTCTGTCACCCAGATCTCAAGAGACTCTCTCTCCCAGCAATCAAAACTCTGTTACCCAGATCTCAAGATACTCTCTCTCCCAGCACTCAAGACTGTCACCCAGATCTCTCAGATACTCTCTCTCTCCCAGCAATCAAGACTGTCACCCAGATCTCAAGAGACTCTCTCTCCCAGCAATCAAAACTCTGTCACCCAGATCTCAAGATACTCTCTCTCCCAGCACTCAAGACTGTCACCCAGATCTCTCAGAGACTCACTTTCCCAGCAATCAAGACTGTCACCCAGATCTCAAGAGAATCTCTCTCCCAGCAATCAAGACTCTGTCACCCAGCTCTCTCAGAGACTCTCTTTCCCAGCAATCAAGACTCTGTCACCCAGATCTCTCAGATACTCTCTCTCCCAGCAATCAGACTGTCACCCAGATCTCAAGAGACTCTCTCTCCCAGCAATCAAAACTCTGTCACCCAGATCTCAAGATACTCTCTCTCCCAGCACTCAAGACTGTCACCCAGATCTCTCAGAGACTCACTTTCCCAGCAATCAAGACTGTCACCCAGATCTCAAGAGAATCTCTCTCCCAGCAATCAAGACTCTGTCACCCAGCTCTCTCAGAGACTCTCTTTCCCAGCAATCAAGACTCTGTCACCCAGATCTCTCAGATACTCTCTCTCCCAGCAATCAGACTGTCACCCAGATCTCAAGATACTCTCTCTCCCAGCACTCAAGACTGTCACCCAGATCTCTCAGATACTCTCCCAGTAATCAAGACTGTCACCCAACTCTCTCAGATATTCTTTCTCTCTCCCAGCACTCGTGAGAGCCTCCCTTATCGCTGCTCGCTCTCAGGGTGCCGAATCTCTCATTTGTCACAGAGGACTGGGCTCTCAGAGAGACCCTCACCGCAGCTCTCACGCTCGTTTGAGTCTCTCTCCGCGACAGCGACTTTCACAGAGCGCGGAGAGCTGTCGCTGCTGCTGCTGCTGCTGCCGGGTGGGGGCGACCGAGACGGGCAGAGGATGCAGGCAACACCGACGCTGCGGCCTGCAACCGTTCCAACTCGGCTCACGACCATTCCCTCACCTCAAAACCCCGTCAATTTCCTCACCCTCACACATTCCTCACCATCACCTCCCTCACCACCATATTCCTCCCCTCCACCTCCCTCACCTGCAATTTCCCCCACCTCCCTACTCATCACCTCCCTCACCCTCATCTCTCTCGTACCCTGACCACTCACACCCTCACCTCCTCCGCCCTCACCCCTGGCTACCCTCACCTCACTCACCCTCATTTTCCTCATTCCAAAACTCCCTCTCAGTCGTCACTCTCACCTTTAGTTCCCTCAGCTTCCTTGAGCCTCACCACCATCGCCTTCTTCACCAACACCCTCACCTCTCGCACCCCTCACCTTCCCGTCTCCCTCACCTGCACCCATCACCGTTACCTCTCTCACTCACCTCGCTCAACCTCACCTCCTCACCCCCCTCTCGCCTTCGCTTCCCCTCACCTCCACCCTCCTCACCTGCCTTCTGCACACCTGACTCACCTCACCAACCCTCTCTCTCTCCTCTCATCTCCCTCACCACCTCCACCAACCTCACCCACCCCTTTCACCTCATTTATCATCTCCCTCACCCTCCTCTCATCTCCCTCACCACCTCCACCAACCTCACCCACCCCTCTCACCTCACCTCATTTATCATCTCCCTCACCCTTCTATCATCTCCCTCACCACCTCCACCAACCTCACCCACCCCTCTCACCTCATTTATCATCCCCCTCACTCTCCTCTCATCTCCCTCACCACCTCCACCAACCTCACCCACCCCTCTCACCTCACCTCATTTATCATCTCCCTCACCCTTCTATCATCTCCCTCACCACCTCCACCAACCTCACCCACCCCTCTCACCTCATTTATCATCTCCCTCACCCTCCTCTCATCTCCCTCACCACCTCCACCAACCTCACCCACCCCTCTCACCTCATTTATCATCTCCCTCACTCTCCTCTCATCTCCCTCACCACCTCCACCAACCTCACCCACCCCTCTCACCTCACCTCATTTATCATCTCCCTCACCCTTCTATCATCTCCCTCACCACCTCCACCAACCTCACCCACCCCTCTCACCTCATTTATCATCTCCCTCACCATCCTCACTCTCCTCTCATCTCCCTCACCACCTCCACCAACCTCACCCACCCCTCTCACCTCACCTCATTTATCACCTCCCTCACGCCCCTCCACCCGACCCTTCTCGCCCTCACACCATCTCACCCTCACCTCACTAACCTCACCCTCACCTCACCCTCACCAGTGGCGCTCACCTGGCGGTGAGGTGGGGGGGGCGCTAACAGGAGCCCGGCTCTGGCTGTGGGGGGGCCTCTTGTGTTGACGACGTCTCGTGACTGCCAGGGCCTCTGCGTGATTGCGTCACCACCGCCACCACGTAACCTCCTCACCCGCGTACGTGGCTGCGTCACGACGGGGTGACGTCATCACGCACGACGGGGCGACGTCATCACGCTCGATGGATCGTCATCGCGTCCAGTGGCGTTGCGTTTTCAGCTGCACTCCCGCGCGCTCTCGTGGACAGCGGTGGGGTGGTCCGGATGTCTCGCGACACCGCCCCCCTCCCCCCCATGAATTAAATGGGGATCACAAGACATCTGGACCACCCTGTACACAATCTGGCAGACAAGCATTGGCGGCTTAAGTTTTCAAGTTTCATTTATTAGGTATAGCCCTGTGAGACATTCGGCTCTTGAATCGGGTGCAACCGCAACAAACAAAAAAACTAAAACAGCATGATACTGCTGATGAGACATTGAATATCGAAACCGGTCCTTGTCCATAACATCTGGCAGTTCAGCATTGGCTCGAGGAAGCCTGGCACTGCTGATGAGACATTGAATATCGAAACCGGTCCTTGCCCATAACATCTGGCAGTTCAGCATTGGCTCAGGCAAGTCTAACACTGCTGATGAGACATTGAATGTAAACCGGTTCTTGCCTATAAATATCTTGCAGTTCAGAATTGGTCCAAGTGCATACATCCTGACTGCCGATCAGACATCGCGTTTCGAAACCAGTCGAGAGGTTCCTTGTTTTGAACCAATGCTGCTGTAATTGTGTGCTCCCAGGAGGCCGCGTGGCGGATGGGCTGCTAATTATTGTTTGTGTTACGTGCAGGAACAGGTATGGTGGGTATCATTGTCTGCGTATTGGTTTCGTGACTTGTCTTCGCCCACAGCGCTAAAAGCTCAGTCCGTGTTGTGGCCACTAGAGGGAGCCACTCGGCTCACAGTTCGCGAATAACTTGGCATCGTCCACGCGCCAGGGTTCACGACATTCCTCAACATAAGCCCTGCTCCCTCCCACGCGCGAATCCTCGGCATTCCGACTGAATTAGACTCCTTCATGTGCTTGATTTATCATCTCTGAAGCATATTCCGCCCGTGCGGGGCTTCGTCTGTCACGGAACACGTGCGGACCAGGCAAGGACGTGCGGTCAGGGGAGGCAGGGGAGACAAAGCCTCATCTGTCATACTCTAATGAAAATAGCTGTTACGAAAAGTAAACAAAAAGAATAATCAAATCAAATAAATATTAAGCTTTTTCCACTGATCTGTGTTATAAATGTCCTTTCTGTGCGATTCCAATCATTGTTATAGTTAACATCGCCAAATTTGCGGAGCTCCGCTGCAAATACAGGAAGAGACGAGAGGTGAAGCAGCGACGAGCTCAGCCTCCCCTCTGATTGCGCAACCCCTCAGTAACTGGATGGAGCGCGGGCAATAAGCGCGTGCCTGTTACTATCTCAGTATGTCACCAATGTAATGTTTGTAGACCCCTTCATTTCATGTCCTCGCCTTCCATACGCCAGGTAACTTATTTCACGTATGTGTATAAAGATATATAGGCTCGCTGGTCTCGTCATGAAACTGCAATGAAAAAGCACCAGGGGAGGCAGCTATCACATCTGCCTCACTGAGGGGGACGTGTCTAACACGCCCCCCTCAGTGAGGCCACGCCTCCTCAGTGTGTGAATCTGGCTCTGACACTAGCTAGTGCCTCCCCAGCCATTGACCTCACCGCACGCCACTGGTACCAGGTACAGACGGGAGTAGCCAACAAGACCTTGCACACAGTTGATGTAAAGTTCCAAGTTACTTTTGTTTAACCGGCTGAGACCTCAAGTGGACCACAGGATGAGTCTCGTTTGGAAGAGTGAGTTACACGCGTCACCGAAACTGACGTAGGAAATACGAAAAAAAAGTATAGCCGCTTAAGCAAACACAAATCTGTACAAAAACAACGGCGTCACGTGAGACATAATCGAAAACGTTGTACAAACACAAATAAATGCCAAATATTAAGTTAATTTATACTGGATATGGTGTGCCGGGTGCAAAACTATTTTCAGTGGCAGACCAGGACTGACCCGGCAGATATTAAGCCTTTCGCAGTGCAGCATTAGCGATCATAAATATAATTAACGATTTGGAAGCTGGCGCCTGACGACAGATATAGTATTGCAGTTGCGATCATGGGTCGCGAGCAGCGCGCGCAGTGGTTAACACATTGCACTGTGAGCACAAGCACATGGGTAAGATTCCTTGGCCATATCTAACCAGCACTACTGACCAGTCTGATGAAGCATTGGTCAAACAAATGTCGTGACCGAAATATGTTTGAAGCCTTCATCCAGCAGGGTGCCGCGGTGGCTGGGAGATGCTAACCACCTCGCCTGGCATACAGGAGGCCGTGGGATCGATCCCGACCCTGCTGCATATTTGGAGTTTGCGTGTTCTTCCCGTGGTGGTGTGGATATTTATCCGGGTTCTTTGGGATTTCTATCCACATTTAGAATCATGCGTTTGAGAGTATCTGGTTGATTTAAATGTCGTTTGGCTATCGTTTGTGGGCAGGTCGCTTCTGAAAAAGCGCTCTATAGCTCAGTGAGCCTTACCTGGTAAAATAAAAAAAAGTTTAGTTTAGCACTAGATTTATAACGAGATATGCATTATTACACTGCAGTACATACGTATTGCTACTTGTACACAGGCCCTTCTTGTTAGTCCACTGCTGGATGAGGACCTCTGCCACCCCAATCGGATCGTCAGGGTTATTTAACCATAGTTCACCACGCTGGTCAGTGTACGTGCTATGAAGCATGGACATTGCCCGAAACGTCGCCTATGATTACTCCTTGGTTCTTTCGGTAAAGTCACGTAGAAATAACCAAAGAGTAATTCCTGCAGTCACGAAAGCTTCAAATCAAGTTTGTCGCCTATGACGAATGTGCTGGTTGTAGTTTTGTAAATTGTGTCTGTGCACCACTGACAACGCAGCAGCAGCATCAGTAAATACGGTCAGTGTATAGGTTGATGAAGACCGGGGAGCAATGGTACAACAGTGGATTGTTGCTGCACTGACCACTGCTGAGCACCACTTAGCACACAGTCCATTCATCGTCTACAGCCATCTGGCGTGTAAGATGGTTTCTCATTCAGATACTATGCAGACTCAAAGCCTGCGTAGCTTCTGAGATTGGGAGCATTCCGTGTGATTTTGGCACAGGCAGTTACTACAGTCTATCTGTGTTTTTATTGCAATTTGCCACCAATATTCCACCTTACGTGAGTCAGCAGTACTGCACTGTAATGCTTCAAAAGGTTTTTACCAGATGCCACCACCATCATCATCAGCCAAGAACAATCCACTGCTGGATCAAGGCCTCCCCAAAAAAAAACATCTGCACATCTCACGCGATCCTGCGATACCGCAATCGACCCAGCCAGCAGCAACCTGCACAGAAGTCGATTCCCGTCGCTCCACGTGCAAAGTGAAAAGGCGCTTCTCGGACGCGTTCCCCCTTCCCATTGGCTTCCACTTGGCGTCGTTAGTCTCGACCTGGGTCAAAAATAAAGCGCTTAAGTGCGACCACTAATCACCTGTTCACGAAGGGCTGTGAGACGACGGCGTGATGAGATGCTGCATTGAAACACGTGACGGATGCCCCCCAAATCTCCAACCCACCGCCCCATGCCAAGCTGCCACGTGCTCTGTCTGACATGACCTCGAGAGTCGAGAGTTCCGTCGGCAGCCTTGCTCCGTTGCTATTAAACCTCAGCCACACGCGTCGGCGACGTCAACAGTTGGTTTTGTTATTTCAGCACTGCATTTTGTCACGCTTTTTTCCCCTTCCAATTCTGCTTGAAAGCGGTAATGCATTTGCCCTTTCCCCCACCTGCCAGTACCGAGAAGCGAAGCGGAATGCGCAACAACTCTCTTAAAGATGACCCAGTGCGAGCGAAACGTGAGTAGCACGTTGTTTGGCTACGAGGCACTTCGCCTACAGAGTATCGGCCACATGGACGAAAGCGTTACCGGCGCCCTCCCCTGCAGAGCATCCCTCCCAGAGAGCCCCCTGGTCTCAGCTTCTCGGCGCAGGCGGGACGCGATGTACGCACCTCCTTTCGATGGCACGTTAAAGATTACAACCCAAGTGCGTATGCGCGTGGATTTTTTTTGTTCCCTCCCTTCGGTTTATTTTTTATTTTTAAAACCTCCAGCGGATGCTTTCCGAGACGCCACTCGTCCACTAGACTAGAGGACGCCAAAACATTAAAAAAAATCTGGCGCCGCTGGCTCAACCTCGCCAACAACATTGGGGCTGAGACCGGACCTCAGATGCCTCCCGTTTCCACCTTTTCCTGGCCAGACTCGGTCCGATCACGGGGAAGCCGTTCGCTCCCAAGGGTCTCGTCGACGTCCAACGGAGATGGTGGTGGGGAAGAGGGGGGCAAACGCGGCGGCGAATCTGGAGCCGGGGAGAGGACGGAGAGGCACCGCGTGGAACTTGGCGCGGGCTGCCAGTTGAGAGATGCCAGTGGCACGCGGTGCTGGAGGAGGAGGAGGGCGTGCGAGGCTCTCCTCCTCCTCCTCCCCTCTCGTATTTATAGCTGCTATAGATAGCCGGGAATGTGGGCCCACGGGCAAGCGAGCGGACGCACCCCGCCACCGGACCGTCTCTCCACCTCCCCCACCGCGCACCGCGGCGGCAGGGGCCAGAGCGGCCAAAGCGGCCAAAGGGCCCCCCCCACCACCCCACGGCCCCTCCACCCACCACCCCAGGTCCCCCCCCCCCCACCACGACCAGGCGTGTCCATCCCACGGCGAAAGTTCCACGCGCGGCCACCGCCGTCACCGCCCGTGCCCTTGTGGAGCCGTGGGAGATTTTGAAGAGACACGCGAGGTGATGTTGGTGACGACGGTGGTGGTGATGATGATGGTGGTGATGGTTGTGGAGTCGTGATGTGCTGCTGCTGCTGGTGCTACAGCTGCTACGGCATTCCTGCCATGCCCGGGCTAGTGGCGTGAGAGACGGAGAGGGGAGGAGACCTTTCGGGAACGCAGTCGTCGCCATCGTCTCAGGTTTGCTCCGTGTTTCACGCTTGCCTGTGTATCACAACCTTTATCGATCCACTGCTGGATGAAGGTCTCGCCCCCCATACTTCACCATGCTGGTCAATACGGGTTCGTGACAGGAGGGGTGGATTTTGAGTGGAGGGAGGGGGGTGGGGTCCGGTTCAGGTGGCTGGGTTCGCAGGGCGCAGTGTGCCGCTAACCGCTGGCTTAATCCGCTAATCGCTTCACAGAAATTGCGCGCGAGTGGCTCTTCTCGGTGTCTTGTTGGAACTCGCCCCCCCCCTCTCCCCAGGACAAGACCGGTGTGGCGTAGGTGGGCCGGGAGGGGGGGCAGCAACCATGGAGGGGTCAGGCACGGAGGGGGTCTCACGAGACCCCCGAGGCGCTGATGGCGAGGTGGGATCGGCCACCCGGGTAATGCCCGGGAGCCGGCAGGCGCGCTTTACGGTGAGAGCCCCACGCCACCACCCGCCGATCCTCCCACCCGCGGCGTGCGATATAAAATGTTCACGATATGAAACGATAGCAATTCATGAGCACCACGTGACGATTATCGCGATATCGGTTCGCGATAACATTGTTTTGTTCGTATTTCTATCGTTGTTTTTTTTTACGCTTTTATTGTACATCGCGGACGAATGGGGATGTACTTAAAACGTTCGTCAGCTGCAGTTCACTCATCATTGGAACTTTACAATCTCTGACGCTCGTAACGGGCGTGTAATCTGGTGATGCTGCTGCTGCGTTGGCAGCGGTGCACAAGCAGCGTTAACGAAAATAAACGTGACACATTCGTCGATAATAACACCTGTGGCCTTAAAAGGTAAAAAAAAAACTAAAATAATTATAATGCGCATATCAACGACAGTACCTCATTTAAAGCAACAACTACTACAATGGTTGTGTCATTATAAATGCCGTGCCATCAATGATCTTTCAAACACATTCCACGAAGCATTAATGCACTAAATAAATGGGTATTTATTGAGAACATATTATGTGTTTATCATTTCAAAAACATGTTTTAATAGGGGATTAAATATTTTCTAAATAAGCCACGATAATCGTGATAAGATGGTACGTCGCAGACCAGACGATGTGCTTATCTAAATTATTAAAAAATAAAACGTTGTCATTTTACCAGGTAAGGGCCACTGAGCTATGTAGCTCTGTTTCAGAAACGACGTGGCCACAAATGACTCAACGAAGTGGCTTATCATGTGGAAATGTAAAGCAATCAAATACTCTAACGCGTTTTATTGATTCTAAATGTGGAGAGAAAACCCGGAGGTCCCGGAGAAAAATCCACGCAACCACGGGGAGAGAGAGACACGCAAACTCCAAATATACAGCAGCAGGCGTCAGGGTCTGGATCGAACTCACGGACCTCCTGTATACCAGGCGAGGTAGTTAACATCTCCTAGCCACCGTGATGATGATGAGAGAGAGACAAGCAAACTCCCAATATTCAGCAGCAGGCGTCAGGGTTTGGATCGAACCCACGAACTCCTGCATACCAGGCGAGGTAGTTAACATCTCCTAGCCACCGTGATGATGATGATGAGAAAGAGACAAGCAAACTCCCAATATACAGGCAGCAGGCGTCAGGCTCTGGATCGAACCCACGACCTACTGTACACCGGGCGAGGTGGTTAACATCTTGCCACCACGGCGTCCCCCCCCCCGCCCCATCGCGGGATGATGTTGACGAGGTGGGGGCCGCGTTGTTGTGTCCACAGGTGAGGTCGGCCAGAACTGCGCCTGTCATCGGCTCCATCCAGGAACGTGGGGAGGAGGACTACCATCCTCACTCGGACGGCTGGGCCCCAGGCGAGCAGGTGATGTGGCAAACCGGCCAGACACGAACATCGCCCAACCGAGCGGATTGGGAAAGAGGCAACGAACTGGGTGCCAAGTAATAATCGTGATGCTGGTAAACCAGAGGACCAGGCAATCGGGTAACGGATAAACTAGCAATTAGTGGATCGGACAACCAGGTGATCGGCAAACGGGCATTAAGTAAACTAGCGACCAGGGAACGGATAACTATGTGATTGGTAAACAGGCAATCAGACAACATATAAATTATAGGGTAACTGAACCAAGGTAATGGGTAACTAGCTCACAAATTAACTTAAAACTAGGGAGCATACTGCCGGGTAATGGGAAACTCTCAATGACCAGCGTGGTGAAGTATGGTTGTGTACATTTCCCCTCACGGTAGTGCAGATGTCATAGCGAGAAGTGGGAGGACTGGGAGCATGAAAGCAGCAAAGGTGAAGTTGATGATTCACAAACGGTGGCCCTTATGGGGGAAAAAAATATCCACATAACATGGTCGAGACAGAATCGTAATAAATAGTGCTGGGTTTTTTTAAATGCGATTCCATATTGCAAATACTTCTCATAGCACAGGAAGAGAAGTTTCAGATGTCAAGAATGAAAGATGAATAGCTAACGCTGCCCTTCACAATACGATTATTTCATAATCTCCGCAGCTGCACCAGCAAAAATCTAGAGCTTTCTCCCACTGCACACGCAGCAGCAGCAGCAGTAGCAGCAGCATTAAAACACCATCATCCACCTTCAAGCAGCAAGCTCAAGGCTCTCACCCTCGCCTGTTCAGGTTCCCAGCTGTCCAGGCTCTCACCTATTACGGCACTTACCTGTCCAGGCTCTCACGCGTTGAGGCCCTCACCTGTTCAGGCTCTCACCTGTTCAGACTGGTGTACGAGAGACTTTGAGCTCTAGTCTCACGCCTCTAAGTTCTCGATCGAACATTGCCTCCGATTTCCGACACGTATTTAATGCGCGTTATAAATTGTGATTTTTTTTAATTATCATGAAAAAAGACAAGCTTACTGGACCAGGCGAAATAATGGTGCACGTAACTAAGAAGTATGATCACATTGTTCCGTGTTGCTTTACCCAGGAATGTCTCACTTCGTCCCATGACGTTGTTTTTTAAGGACTATCCTTGCCAAGTATTTTTGTAGTAGGGGGGAGGCGAACGTTGCTTTATGTAATCCCAGTTGGGTAATTTGCTGGTGGGTGCCAAAACAGCCAACGACCGTATGTTGGAGAGTGAGACCTTCCCATTGGACAAAAAAACAACAAACAACTTGCCACCTGATAATAGTTTTTTTACCCTTTTATCTGGCAACAAAACTGACGGCTTTTTTTTGTTTCCAGATAAAAGGGTAAAACACCAATGATCATAATTTGCTACTGGCAAAGGAGGTTCCAATGCTGTAAACTTGCCATCTATTTTGCCAAAAATGTGTACACACAGAAAACAAAGCCCAGCACCGGGCCGCTCGTAGAACGATCGTGCGCTCCGATGAGTGCCGTGCGAGCGCGTTGACTTGATGCTGCAGATAACCGCAGCGCCGTGTCCTTTGTGAGTGAAGTCCGACAGCAGGGTCCGCCAGGCTGCACTCAGCGGCACGGGGGAGCCCTCCGCCGAGACCACGGACGAGAGAGACTGGGGGCACAGGGGGACGGCGGGGGGTCCGGGGGCAGCCGCGGAGAACTCCGAGGTTCACTCGCCGCTCCGTCGCCGCGGAGAGGACGACGTGGATCCAGAGGTGCGTCGGTCTCCACACCCAACCCAGCAGTGGCTACACGCAGTGCAATGGTCGCGCATAGCGTGGTTGGCATGGCCTCTGGCGAAAGGAATGAAATGGGGCCTCCTGTAAAATTTCCACGTCGTCTTCATAGCCCAGCCCCTGTGCCCCGCTGGTCCGTCGGGTCCACGTGCAGTTGCACCACCCGCACACTTTGACAGCTGCATCCACGGCATGATTTCAGCTGGATCTTGAGCAAAATATTTCAAAAGGCAGCGCACCACATCAAGTGTACAATCTGTGGCCGTGGCCATTGATCACCACCCCGGCCGACCTGGAAAATATTCGGTGAGAATTCAAGCCCCGGGGTTTTCCACCGCTACGCGACACCCAGGCGCGCGTCGCCATGCACGGCACCAACACTGCTCGTGAATTTGCAACTGGCTTTCGCCACTGACCACCGACGGGTTAATAGTAGGGGGACGCAGCATATGATAAGTCTGCGTGCACGCGCATGCAGGCGTACCGGGGCAGTCGACTGTCACGTGATTTAAGCAAGGCAAGCTGCCAGCGGCGGCGCGCCCCCCTGCCCACGTGCCGCCATAAACTGCAGCGAGCAAGCGTCCCGGATTTGGATTGTGTCCTTGTTCAAAATGTGCTGGCCGCGCGCTTGACTCATGTGATACGGGCAAAGGGCAGGGCTACCTGAGTAGTGGGTGGGGCTACCCCAATAGTGGGCGGAGGCTATAGAGTAGTGGGCGGGGCATCACGCACAGTGGGTGGAGTTACATGAATAGTGGGCGGTAGCTACCTGGGTAGTGGGCGGGGCTACCTGAGGCTACTCACTGTGTGTGTGTGGGGCTAGTTACTGTATGTATGTTGAAATTCTTTCACACCGTACGTAGTCAACCGTGCTAATCAGAGGTGTTGGGAAGGACTACGAACTAAACACAAAAGCAGTTCTAAAGAAATTAGTTTTCAATCTAGATTTAAAGTGCATAGTTCCAGTGGCTTCCTCATATCGGAAGGCAGAGCATTCCAGACGGCCACAGAAGAACATGTGAAAGCGCGCGATGCGGTGACCGTCTGGTAGACTAACTATTGAGTGGGTGTGCCGATGTAGAAGTGGGTGAGCTTCCCAGAAATGCCATTGCTTTCAATGTGTAGTTCATTCACGGGACTAACAAAAATCATTTGAAGCGGTTTTACATTTGTGCAGTTAACATTCTGATGCGTGGCTTGCGCCTCCAAACATACACGCCAGCAACCAGGGCAGACAGCTGTCGCGTGATACAAGCAACGGCATGCACGGCAGCTGCCCCACGTGCCGTGCTGTAAACACGCGGAGTATTCAGGCCGCCGAGTCTCTGGGCGGCTCAACCGGCCATATGCTGCACATTGAGCTGGAAACCCTGCAGCCCACTTTCACATAGCCACACCCACTCAATGACTAGCCCCCTGCACACACAGTGAGGGCCTCCTGGTCACTTTAACAAGTAGGCCCTCCTTACTAGATTGAGTACACTGGACTTAATCTAGTTGGAAGCGGCGCGGATTATTTCACGCCGGGATAATCGATGATCGCCTCTATTTGGTGATGCTGCTGCTGCGCTGGCAGTGGTGCACTAACAAGGACAACAAACCTCAACACACTTGGGCAAATGCACCGCGGCCTTAACAGCTACCACTGGGCAACGATTCACGCGGCAATTTCAGAACCGGTCATCTCGTTTTCTTACGCGTGTTGTGCGTGCGTTCAACTTCTTCCACGCCGTACGTAGCCAACCCGTGCGTGCCGGGGAATGTCGCCTGACTTTTAACCTTGAAGTGATGATGATGATGATGTTGTTAATCGTTGTCTTGTTGCAGCACCCCGCAATCGACAAGCCATCGTATAGAAGATTTGCCGCCATCCCTGTGAACTCCCTGCTGCTCGACCAGAAGGCACCAACCACACTCACCATCAACATCATCATCATTAACATCAACATCATCATCAACATCATCATCAACAGCAGCATCATCATCATCAACATCATCATCAACAGCAGCAACAGCACTCATAGCAACATCATCAACATCATCAACAGCAGCAGCAGTAACAGCACTCATAGCAGAAACATCATCATCAATAGCAGTAGCAGTCATAGCAGAAACATCATCATCAACAGCAGCAATCGCAGTAATAGCATTATCATTATCAACAGCAAAGACAAAGATCTCCCGTATAGCCTTTAACAGACTGTTGGGGCAAGTGCTGTTAGTGCGCACCTATGAAGGCCGGCACGACACACGAGGGGGTGGGCGGCCAGCACCATTCCCGGCTGCCTTTGTCCCCCTATTTGCAACGTTTACACACCGCATCAGGCATTCATTTGAGGCTGAGTCGACCTAGGGGAGGCCCAGGACCGGTTCAGATAATCGTCACCGGGCACACTTGCGCACGCACCACACATGTGAATTTAAACTCAACTTTAAATTCACCTGTCGCTTACTGCACCTCCAGCGACGTGTTTAGCAATCATCCAGCGCTGTGGTGAGTGCATTGTGTGTCAGCATCTCTCTCTCTCTCGCTGTTTGTCCCACGGGGTGGGAGTCCAGGTGGTCGAGCGAGGAGCGTCTATGCGAGACTGGAACAGCCTGCCAGACGTGGCGTGTGAAGCCAGTGACCAGGTGACTACAGCAACGGCAGTGGCGGTGACGTCACCACAGCGCTTGTGCCAGGCTAGGTGCACTTTGAGGCCACGTGAAGGGTCACGGACTCGCTGGAAGGAGGTCACGGGGTGGCTGAGCGGTAGGGCGAGCGGCTCGCAATCGGAAAGGTTGCAATTTAAAGAAATCCTGGTTGGGTGTTGATGCAGCCCATCATTCCTCCGCTGTGGCTTATGGATGGACTCAACCCCACCCTAGGAATGTGGAATTTCCAACAAATGTATCAGGGCAGCAAACGGGAGACGAGCATGCCTTCGGTGATTACCTGAGCAGTAATTGGATACTCGAGGGGAAAATGTATGTATGCATGTACGTTGAACTTCTTTCGCACCGTACGTAGCCAACCGTGCAAATCGGTAAAAGCACAAAAATGCTCAAATGCTCAGTCTATTCTGTCAATGCAAGGGCGTCTTACCCTGAATGAGTGCACACTTGCGCACCAGGCGTGCTTGTGAAGACTCCAGAACAGTTACCGCACTACCAGCGTTAGACCTGAATACCGCGTCGATCACAGTTCTGTGAGGACTGCGGACTGTGCAGAGGCAACACGGGGGGGGGGGGGGGGGTGGCGGTGCCGTGTCATGTGACGGGCTTCGCGGACGGCCCCGTGGGCTTTTTAAAAAATCCTTTATATTAAGTTCGCTTGCTTGCTTAGGACCATGCAAATCTTTCGGTCGTTTTTTAACCCACTTCCCGTGATCCAATCGAACTGACATTTTCCACACAGACTCGTTGTGCGTGACAATGCATTTTCGTGAAAAAAATTTTCCAAAATTTTACACTGTTTAGGGAATTTTTAAAAAATATTTAATTACCAATTGTTTAATGCTGCCAGACAATCATCTGACCCATAGGTGGCAGCCATCTCAAGCCAGAGGACGAGAGGACTCTAGCCGCCCCGATGCCACGCATATAAAGGATTTATAGTGAAAAACTTTGTTTTTACGGGTTTACTTGTTTTTCCTCGTTTCCCGTCCAGGCTTCGTCGTGGGACGCGTGGCCCGGCCCGTCCGAAAGCTGGCCGAGTCGGAGTGCAGCCCAAAGACGAGCGCAGAGCGTCTCGCCTCAAGCGTGGAGCGGTGGCAGGGAGACCAAATACGTAGGTGGCCACGCATCGTCCCCGAGGGGCCTTGCCGTAGCCCCGAACCGCTGGCTTCCATTAGGACCCAGGTCTCGTCTCTTGGCACAGCTGTGAAAATTTTAATCGGGGCCACAACCACCTGTGGCCGTCCATATCAACGACACTGTCTCCATCACCGGTATCGCCTGTTTTACCTTCAACCGCTCGCTTTGCGATTGCTTGTGGGAAGCGTGTGTTTTAGAATGACGCGTGGATTAATGTCGCCACTGGTTGCCGCAATATGGCGATACCCGTTGCTGGAGATGTGCTTGAAACGTGGAAATGCGTCGGTTGTCCATAGCGGCACTTTTTCTGAACAACAAACACGCGCGTGCACTGCCGGGACTATTCAGAACGGTTCCCGTTCCGACACGGTACGGCGATGTTTCCACAGCGGGACGTGGGCTGTAGCAGGACCAATACGGGACACACTGGGACTTGGACATTTCAACGACTGTTGCGACCATAATAGAGGCTCTTTTGGGTTAGATCGCGTAAATCTATAAATGTGTCGTTAAACCCGCCACCACCCGACACAGCCAACTAGTAAGGGTTGTCACGTAAACAGAACGTGCCAATTCGTCACTGGTACAGCAACACCGGTGTGTTGGAGAGCCAAGCCACAACATTTACAATCTGAGTACGACGTTTCGCCAGTAATTACAACTGGCATTATCAGGCGGCAGCCAGATTCAGCGACACATTTATATATTTACGCGATCTAACCCAAACAAACCTCTATTATGGATGATATTGGTCGCTTTGCGACATTGCGATACGTTGAACGGTGTCAGGTTCATGACACTCGCGTCATCCGTTTTGCAAATTGTAGTTATTCATTATTGTTGCTCTGTTGACAAAAAAATATAGATAATTTCCAGATGAATGATTGTGGATTAAGAGCTATGATTATTAAGGTTTTAAAAAAAACATACCAATGATGCATGTCTGTTTGCACGCTTCACAGCTGAACGTGAGCCTATCTAAGTCTAGAGACATTTATTTATGTATTGCGTAACTGAAATCATGTTTCATTATAAGCATGATTTATTGGAAACGTCCAACGATGAGACGAATTGTGGCAGGCTTAAGTTGATGGAAATGCTGTTGATTAACGTTTAAGTGATCTTTGTTCGTACTGGACTTACGGCAGAACACAAGACACACCGTGCAAGTTACGGGGAACTCATCTTTCGCACGCAAGGGAGATGGGAAACTGATATCGCTCTAAACCTAACATCATGAAACTTTTTAATGCACCGCATCATGAAAAATGACATCACGGTAACCCTCGTGTCACCCTAAGGCGCCACACCGTAGCCGCTAATCCCTGGCTTCCATTTGGGCTGAGCTGGTCACTTGCGTGGCTCTGTGTGAGCCAGCGGCTTAGCTTGGTTAGCATGGGTCCTGATGCTAGCAATGAAAGGGGGCTCCTCTCTCAATAATCTTCCCCTCCTCTTTGTAGCACGATGCCTGTACTCTGTGCCCCGTGGACCCCGATGCAGCCGCACCGCATCGTACGCCCGAAAGCTATGCCGCCGGCACGAGCTAATCTCACGGACCGGCTGGCAAATGTAACTTGCGCTCAGCTACGCGCGGGCTGACGCTGGGTTGGGTGATGAAGGTCTTCTCTGTGAGTTGTGCAAGGCAGACGTTGATGTGTGCTGACCTGTCCGTCACGATCCAGGCGACCATCAGCCTTTCCCGGCCGCCAAGCTGGGACCAAGACAAGAACCCCGTAAGGACAATGCCGCTTTGCTCCTGCCACAAACCAGAATCAGAATGTGTATTTACTTCTGGAGGAATCCGATGAGAATATTTAAAGCTTTTTTTCACAGATGTCCGGTAGAGTTGAGTAAGAACGTTAGAACAACAAACAGTACAACAACAACAAACAGTACAACAACAACAAACAGTACAACAACAACAAACAGTGCAACAACAACAAACAGTACAACAACAACAAACAGTGCAACAACAACAAACAGTGCAACAACAACAAACAGTACAACAACAAACAGTGCAACAACAACAAACAGTGCAACAACAACAAACAGTACAACAACAGCAAACACAACAACAACACGATAGCTGTGCAAAATACAAGAAAGGTAAACAAATCACCCAAAACGTACAAAATAAAACTAAACCATCCCCATCCTACCAGGTAAAACCTCCTGAGGTATGAACTTATTTTTCAGAAGTGACCTGGCCACAAATGATACCTCAACAAAGTGGCCTATCATTTTGACATTTATAGCAGCTATATAATCTAAAAAACCTAAACCCTTGTCCCTCCAATGCTCACCATGCTTCCTGCCATCACCAGGTGTGCTGGGTTATGCCAATGCACATCCACCGGCCACGTGACTCGCCTGTAGAGCAAGCGGCCGGCAATCGGAAGGTTGCGAGTTCTGGCCTTGGTTGTGGGGGTTGACTCGGCCCACAATCCCTCCGGGGTCAATAAAATGAGTACCCATTTGTGGGGAATAAGTCGAGAGTAGTTGTCCTATGGAAAGACTCTTCCCCTGTCATAGTTATGTGAAATTTCCACCGCTTACTCAGGGTCGTAAATGGGAGATGAGATTGCACTGTAGTGGCGCCAGGCGTGCTTGTGAAGACTCCAGAACAGTTATCGCACTAGATTTGAAGCTTTCGTGACTGTAAGGATTCATATTCTTAGGTTTTTTCGGTAAAGTCACGTAGGTAAAAAATTTAAATTATCAAAAGTAAAATTAAAATCACGACTTGATGCAGCAATCGTGCTGTGACGGTTCCACCTGAAGACGGAAGCTTGTGTTGCCTCCGAAACGTCGTGATTTTTATTTTATTTTACTTTTATTAATTTTAATTTAAAAATTTTACCTACGTGACTTTACCGAAAAAACCTAAGAAGATAGTTGTCGCACTACCAGCGTTAGACCTGAATACCGCGTCGCTCACAGTCCCGTGAGGACTGCGGACTGTGCAGAGGCAACACGGGGGGGGGGGGTGCCGTGTCGTGTGACGGCCTCGCGGACGGCCCCGTGGGCTTCCTTGTTTCCCGTCCAGGCTTCGTCGTGGGACGCGTGGCCCGGCCCGTCCGAGAGCTGCCTGAGTCGGAGTGTAGCCCAGAGACGAGCGCAGAACGTCTCGCCTCAAGCGTGGAGCGGCGGCAGGGAGACCAAATACGTAGGTGGCCACGCGTCGTCCCCGAAGGGCCTTGACGTAGCCCCGAACCGCTGGCTCCCATTAGGACCCAGGTCTCGTCTCTTGCCACAGCTGTGAAAATTTAAATCGTGGCCACAACACCTGTGGCCGTCCATATCAACGACACTGTCTCCATCACCGGTATCACCTGTTTTACCTCCAACCGCTCGCTTTGCGATTGCTTGTGGGAAGCGTGTTTTGGAATGACGCGTGGATTAATGTCAAATCGACGTTTTTTTACCCGTTTGTATATGCGGTGTAGTGTGGTTGGCACGGGCCCTGGTATGAGAAAGAGCATGGGGTTCCCTGTATACTTCATTCCACACACTAAAGTGCTTGCAAAAAATAAACCACAATGCATTGCTGATCTCGTCAAGGAAAATAAACCATCACGCCAACTCCGGTCATCCTCGCAGCGGCTTGGCTAACCATCGAACAAAGACGGTCACCGCATCACACGCTTTCAGATGCGCTTCTACGGCCGTCTGGAACGTTCTTCCTTCCGATATTAGGAAGCCACTGGAGCTACGCACTTTTAAATCATCTAAATTGAAAACGCATTTCCTTAGAACTACGAAATACATTGAGTTTGTTGTCCTTTCCCTGCACCTCCGATTAGCAAGGTTGGCTACGTACGGTGCGAAAGAAGTTCAACACACATACATATTCCCCCTTCTTTGCAGTTGCACTGCGTGCACACTCGCGATGATCTCACGGACGGGCTGGCAAATGTAACTTGTGCTCTTGGTTTCCGTACCGGCTACAGTCGGGCGACAGGAGGTGGTTTCTGTGAGTTATGAAAGGCAGGCAGACGTCACCGTGTTACCGACTTGTCTGTCGCAATGCAGGCAACCATCAGCTTCAATCGCTCGCCAAGCTGGGACCAGGAGAAGTCGCCCGTAAGGACCGCTCCGCTCCGCTCCGGTCACGTACCCTTGCACCTCGGCTCGCTACCTTTAACAATAAATACATATTGTCTGTTCTCCTATAATGCGGTAGTTGCGTTCCTGCAGAACACCGCGTTAGGGAAAAACCGCGTGATAATAAATAATGTATAATAGAGGGTAAAGCACAGTCCGCGATAACACGTGAGATGCGTACGCAGGCTGAACAAAGACTGAGGCACGCGGGTAGCATCTAGAAGCATCCAGCAGCATCCCACCTTGTGTGATGATGCTACGCCGATGCAGCCGTACGACCGCTTATTCCTGCTCACGCGACGTAGTTCCATTCACTCGATCGTGTTATATCCAATTCGCATCCGCGTTATAAAAATGCGTTCCCTAATACATTAATAGCGTTATATCCAATTAGCGTTATGAAAAAGCACGTGTTATAGGAGAACACACGGTCAACGGAAATGAATGGAAAATGAAAGACGAGTCACAGTCGTGCGATTGTGGCCATGCACACCCAAATGATGGAACCGTAGAGGAAACCGCTCTAAGTCTGCGCTCTGTCAATGGAGGAGGCGGAGGAACAGCAAAATTACACAAAACTCTCTCTCTGTCTCTCTCTCTGCTGAAGACCTCTCGTCGTCGTCACCGGCAGCCTCGACATTGGCATCGAGCTCCTGAACCACATTGCTGCCGTACGTGCATAAGAAAAGCATAGAATCATAATGATAATACTACTACTACACCTACGACCAAATCACCTGCAATGAGCCTGGCTAGGTCTTGGATAGGTGGCAACCGTGATCAAAAAGGTTGCCGTAGGAATTGGGTAGCAGAGAGCAGTGCAGTACAATTAATTGTTGTACTCTACCTTCTATGACCCCATGTCTACGCTCATCGCGCTCACCAAACCACGCTGACCGGCGTGGTGAAGTATGGTCAACTAACCCCGTGACCCGCAATGCCTTTGGGAGGCCGACATGCAGCAATGTATCGATAAAAAATCTAAAAACGACCGTCTCATCGGTCACTCTTGCAAATGAGACTCTTGTCCCGGTCTCCTGAGTTCTCACCGGGCTCCACAAAATCGACGTGAACCGCACACTCGCTGAGCGTGGGCGACGCGGACGTTTCTCCGCTCGCGTTGTGGGGAGAGCGACGTCGCCGCGCTAACCCTGCCTCTCGCGATTCCAGGCAACCATCGTCTACACCCGCCCGTCAATCTGGGAGCAGCAGCACACGGAGCCTGTAAGCACCGCCGCCGCCACTGCCGCCATTGCCACAAACCCGTTGAGGATGAACACTGAACAATCATGTCGTGACGCTGCGTCGCCGCCGCCTGCGCTGCCGCCGCATGGCATTCGTTCGCTCTTGAAGAGGGAGGGAGAGACGGATTTAAGAGTCGCGAGGAACCGCAGAGATGTGGGAAGGCAGCAGCTAGGCGGTCAGCCGGCGCTACCGACGATTGCCAAAGTTCTGCTGTTTTTTATACGTAAAGGTGTTTTTAGTCAGTTGTATGTACGTTGAACTTCTTTCGCGCCGTACTTAGCCAACTGCGCTAATCGGATGTGCGGGGGAAGGACAAGCTAAACATAAATAGCGGTTCTAGAGAAATGAGTTTTCAACATAGATTTTAAAGTGCTTCCTATTATCGGAAGGAAGAGCGTTCCAGACGGCCGCAGATGCGCATCTGAAAATGCGCGCTAAAGCGAGTGTCAACATGCGGCAGAAAACCGGAGCGCCCGGTGAAAACGCACACGTGAGAGGGGGAAACGCTCTATCCCATACAGGTGGAGCAGATGAAAATCCACATTTGCTGTACCGCCCTGTCCTAGCAAGGCAGAGTATGGCAACTCCCCGACGTCCACGGGGGGAGGGAGTTTCACGGCATTTGTGCGATCCACCAACGCTCGCATAGAGATGATGAAGAAGGACCATTGCACGAAATGTCGCTCGTTATATTTTGTTTTCTTCTAAGGCCACAGTGGCATTGGTGAATGCGTTTAGTTGTTTCACGATAGCGAGGTAGTCAATCAATAGGCAGATAAATAAGAAATAATAAGAAATAAGGAAGATCTTGAGGCTTGATTTTAACAGGAGCAGGGAGTTGACAGCACAGATGGCTGAGGGATGGGAGTTTCAGACTCTGGGAGCAATAGAGGAGAATGAGCGACCTTAACCACGTTGGTGAGATGTTAACTCCCTCACCTGGTATACAGGAGGTCGTGGGTTCAATCCTGACCATAATTCCTGTATATCTTGAGTTTGTGTGTCTCTTTCTCCGTGGTGGTGTGGATTTTCCCCTGGGTTCTCCGGGTTTTCCCTCCACGTGGAGAAGCAACAATGCATTTCGACTATTTGGCTTCTGTGGCTGCTCGAAATGTCTACACGATAAGCCACTTTATTGAGCTATTATTGTGACCAGCTCGTATCTGAAATAGAGCTACATAGCTCAGTGGGCCATACCTGGGTGGTGGGGGGCAGAGCTTTGTGACGTCATATTTGAGGGGGGGGTCTGACTTTTGTGACGCCGTGTGACGAGGGGCAAAACTCGTCCAAAATCGCATGACGTAATTTATGGACGGCCCCTAAAAGAAAAAAAATATAAAGTTTAGTTTAGTAACCAACTGGGCTTGCGTCCTGTCGACACGGTGCCACGGGGGTTACACCGTTGGCGATTCTTTCTCAAGTTTGCTTTGTTGACTTGGGTCGTATCTGTGGTCCAGATAACGAAACCAGGCCGGATCGTGTCCCTGGCACGAGAGAAGAAGGAGGGGGGAGGGGTAGCGGGCCCCCCCTCGCAGCCCCGGGCTCACCGCCCTCCTCACCAATCACCCTCGGACCTCCCGGCCGCCGCGCACAGCGCCAAGGTGAGTGTTGCACACACACACACGCACACACGCACGCACACACATGCGCACGCACACATGCACGCACGCACACACGAACACACACATGCACGCACACACACACGAACACACGTACGCACACATGCACACATGCACACACACACACGCGCGCACATCCGCGCACACACATAAGAACACACGCACGCACACACACACGCACGTACACACATACGCACGCACGCACACACATGTGCACATGCGCACGTACACACACACGCAAACACATGCGCACATGCGCACATGCACACACGCACGCTCGCATCCACACTAGGGCTGAACGATTTGGGGAAAATATCTAATTGCGATTTTTCTGACATATATTGCGATTTGATTTGCGATTACATATTTTTTAGGTCAAGCTTCAGTTGAATGTTCACGATACCATCAATATATGAACGGCTCTATAAAGATTCTAATGCAAAGGATGAGAACTTCAAATATATGAATTGCTTCCAACGTATTTATTAAAATGTTTTAATTGAAATAGAACAATCAAACATAGAACAATTAAATTTCGATTTAAAGCTTTCGTGACTGCAGGGATTCATCTTCTTGGTTCTTTCGGTAAAGTCACGTAGAAGGGAAATAATAAAATAATAAAAATAAAATATTATAAAATAATTCTCACGACGTTTCGGCCACAATGCAAGCAGCCGTCCTCAGGTGAAGAACAGGTCTGTCGGGAAGACAGCTTCTGAATGAGCTCATTCAGACGCTGTCTTTTCGACAGACCTGTTAGCAAGCACCTATGAAGACTGGAATGCCACACGAGGGGGTGGGTCGCCAGCACCACGTTTGTCTCCCCAGTGGCGAGGTTTTTACACATCGCGCCAGGTACTCAACTGAGGCTGAGTCGACCCAGGGCAGGCCCAGGACCGGTTCAGATCATCGTCACCAGTTTTGGCCGTGAGCCGTAATCTAACTTAGGTCGTCGGGTTCGTAGTGGACCCTGTCAACCGCTACGCCACCGCTCCACACACACGCGTGGAGCACATGCGCACACACAACAACAACAACAACCGCCACTCGTCACTAAGTAGCTGTGACGTCATCACGGCACTTGTGCCAGGCTATGTGCACGTTGAGGCCACGTGAAGTGTCGAACGCCGGCTGGGAAGAGGTCACAGGGCAGACCCTGCAGGTGCCACATACGCACACACACGGCACGCAGCACACAAACCCACGATCTAAACCAATTTCAGGTGTGCAGCCCTTTATCAATCGACTACAGGAGGGTGGAGGGTGGAGGCGACACCGTCACCAATCCCCCGTCCCTCTCTCGTCCAGGTGATGGCGGCGGGCGTCTCCATGACGACGATCCACGAGAACGAGGAGCTGCCCTCGACCCTGCCGCGCGTCTCGTCCCGCCGCGTGAGCCACGCAGCAACGATGATTCATGTAAACTTGTAACGCGCCGCCGCACGCCAATTGCTCGCTCTCGATGACAGAGAGAAAGAGAGAGAGAGGATGGCTCGGAGGTGCGACGATTAGCGCAGCTGGCTGGGCACGGTGCGAGAGAAGCTCGGCGTGCCTGGACACGGACAGATGGGAAGGCAGCGGCAGCCAGAGCACGAGCCGGCGCCAACAATTGCCCAAGCTCTGCGGTCCTCTATTAAGGTGTCATCGCGCCGATTAATGAGCGTTTGATACACGTGGGAAGGAAAGCGAAGCACCCAGAGGAAACCCGCGCGTGCAAGGAGGCAACACCCGATGCCGTACAGAGAGGACACGATATTAGTCGCGTTTTGCCGTACCGCGTGTGAGCCAGCGTATGGCTCCTGGGTTGCCGCGATTAGGCGGTACTACGGCTACACGATCATCGTATTACCCGCTACACACACTCTGACAGCTGACGGCACTGTGCTTATGGTGAATATAGTGGCTTCCCACCTACAATATTAAACAATCTATCCCTGAATCAGTCGGTGACAAATTGTATCGACTCACTGGGGGAACGGTGGGTGAATCGCTGCACGATCTGCGCGTGAACGCGCTACGCGGCGGAGCGATCCCTGAGCCATCGGCACTCAGTGGATGTCTGAGCTGCTGTGTCTGTCTCTGCGTGTGTGCACGTGCGTGCGTGCACGTGCGTCCGTGTGCGTGTGTGTGCGTGCGGTGCAGACGCAGGGAGGCTGGGCGGCCACACCGTCTTGGAACACCGTCCCGAGGCATCACTACAGCCACATGCAAGGAGCCGGTATGTGCACTACAGTGCAGCCGGTACGTGCATTGCAGCAGGGCAGTGCAAGCATGCAATGTTGACCATGTGGTGGGATCCGTTGGGCTAACGACAGCCCAACGTTCTGCATTTACCGAGCGCTCTACACAGAAAGTTTGAGCGCGCCGTGGTGTGGGATACAGGAGAGAACTCTCATTTGAACGGTGCCCAGACGCCTCTCTCTGTTTCTCTTTCTTTTTTTTTTATGTTTGACTGGCAGCTGGAAATCAAAGCGACCCCGAGAAGCCTTTTCCTCCCTTTCCAAGAATATCCGTGAGTGTCGTCGCACAGTGCCCCCACAACAACATTCCACACCATCCACGGATTCTTGGGGTATAAACTCCCGTGGCAAACTTGCCAACCCTACCGATTAAAGTGGGCAACGCTTGTGCCTTGAAGCAAGACGTTCCTGGCTTCGATTCCTGACTCGGGGGCCTTTCTGTTTGGAGTTTGTATCTTCTCCCCCTGTTCTGCAGAGTGTGTGAGTGTGTTTGAGTGCGTGGGTGAGCGAGTGTGAGTGGGTGTGAGTGTGTGAAGTTTGTATGTTCTGCGTGGGTTTCCTCTGGGTTCCACCAATACAATTTTTGCACACAGCGTTGGTGTGCGGTGCTTTTTCTGCAATATTTTGCTGTCTTTTCTTGGATTTTCTGTTTGCACATAGTCACATGTTCACTTTAAGATGTTTTTTGTTCATGTTTTTGTTTTTTGTTTGTTGCGGTTGCACCCGATTCAAGAGCCGAATGGCTCACAGGGCTATACCTAATACTTGAACTTGAATGTAACTCATATTGGTTGAGCATCCCAATGCTGTAAAATGACGCGGAATATTACTCAATTTACACAGCAGCACCGCCTCCTACTGCAAGCACCCGGCAGGCTGCCGATGGTCAAACCGTCAACCGGAGCGCCTCTCAGAATTCCTCATTCCACTGCGAGCGCGGGTGGGAGTTGAGAGGGCCGGAGGTGGGGGCTGACGGCTGTCTGAGGCCGATGGAGAGGGGGAAGCGAGGGGGGAGGGGCTGGATTGGCTGCTGAACGGCACGGTGGAGAGTTCCTCTGTCCTAGCTTGCGAACAGTGAGCTTCTTTCGTTTTCCATCGTTCCAAAAATTCCTCGACCCACCTGTGTGTACCTCGGCACCTCCAATTAGCACGGTGGTGCTACGTACGGCGCGAAAGAAGTTCAACCCGCGTACATACGGCACACCAGTTACGAAGCACTGCTCTGCCGCATACAGACTTTCGAAGCGTCAACTTTATTTTTGTTGCTTTTGCTTCCTTCCAAAAATATTGTGGAGCGGTGCGATTGGTAGGGGTTGGCGAGTGAACCGTGGCAAGGCCTGAGAGAGAGGGGAGGGAGAGAGAAGGGAGGTCGGCCAATTGTTCTCCAACAGTATGGCCAGACACCGGGCTGCCGAGACAGGCGTCGGAGTGGATGGACTGGTGGAACGCCGTTAGGAGGGATCTTGAGAGGTCCCGTGTTCAACGCGCAGCATCTGCTTGGTCCGGCGGAAGGTAGCGAGCGTCGGTGAGATTTGTGGTGGCGTCAAAGGATTTGGCAAAAGGTGGCAACCTTGTTGACTGGTGTGGTGAGGCCAGCACAGGAAGCGTCCCTGCCCTGGTTCTGCCAGGCCGGCGGGGTACTCGCACGCACCGGGAGGTGGGAGAATGAGACTTGGAGTCCGGCTGGGACCTGCTGCCTGCGTTGTCTGCTGCTGCTGTTCCTGCTGCTGCTGCCTGCGTTGTTTGCTGCTGCTGTTCCTGTTGCTGCTGCCTGTGTTGTCTGCTGCTGTTGTTCCTGCTGCTGCCTGCGTTGTTTCCTGCTGCTGCTAACACAAAGCTCGTTCCGCCGCAGGCCGACAGGAAGCCGCTCTACCGCGAGTTCGCAGCCATCCCATCCCGACATTCCCAGGTGCACAGGCCTGCTTGCAGCACACCTGCCTGCACCACACCTGCCTGCACCATACCTGCCTGCACCACACTTGCCTGAACCACACCTGCCTGCAGCACACGTGGATGTGGTGGCGGCTCACTGGGGGTGGTGGTTGTTGCTTGCAGGAGGGTGACCACGACGAGAGGCCCTCGAGCGGGGTGAGCTTCGTGTGAGAAGAGAGAAGGGAGCGTCGGGAGCGCTGGTAGCGCCGGGAGCGCTGCGTGCGTCTCGCGTAGCTGCAGACGGCGGTGCACGGCGGCAGCGTCGTCGAGACGGCGCGGACGGGGAAACTGCGACTGCTCCAACGAATGAATGGGAAAAATGCAGCGGAACATGGAACTCGGGGAAGATCGGCGATTGACGAGCGGTGATTTGGCGTCAGCTGCGTCTCCAGGCAGTCCCAATTTAGTCATCTACAGGAACTGCCCCGTCGACGTGCAACGTCGGGCCAACGTTGGTTGACATTGGCCCGACGTTCCGTGTTTATGGGGTACCGTGCCATTAGATTGCGCGTTTCAGAATTGGTTTGCGATTGCACGTGTTTTTTTTTACCATTTATTTATTTTATAATTGTTATCTTACATAAAGCAATCTAAATATACATTACGCGCTGTGGATGGACTAAACGGGCAAAACCGGGGTACCCCACCGCTGAATTATCCCGGTGTTTGGAGGACACTGCAGTGTCCACCCTTCAGTGTGCACGGCTTGCTTGCACAACTGCCGTGAGCATTACGCGGTGGTGGCATCACTTCATTATGACGGTCGAGTGGGTCATCGACTGCCAATTTTGCAAAAAGTGAAATGTGTAAGCTTCCACTTACAAAGACCGGATGAGGCTTACGTGTGAAATACTCGCTCCGTGATCGAGACCAGAGGCCCTCTGCTGAAGTATGAAATATTAGAAATCATCTTTCAGGGGGGACAGGTCTCAGATATTTTGTCCATTCACAGCCCTTTGAGTTTCAGTTGATGAAATATTAATGGAGACTGCTCGCTTTAGTGTTTGTGTTGTGGCGTAGGGTTAGGGGTCACGGTTTTGTGATGAGAAACTGCCTTGGGTTCAAGGCCCAGACCCATGAGGCCTAGGCAAAGGCCGAGGTCAAAGCCGCAGGCCAAGCCGAGGCCGCGGCCGGGAGGTCTTCAGGTAAAGGCCGCCGTCAAGGCCAGATCCTCTCGGCGGAGTTCAGTGGGGCGGTGACACGGCTGAGTGGTAGAGCGTTTGCTGCTGAGGTTAGAACCCCCCAGCCGCCCTGGTTATTACTGCGGATGTATTGTTAACCAAGGCTGGTTAGAGGCGGGGTATACAGTTAGAGCTTAGAGTTTAACGTTATGGGTTAGGCTTAGGCGGTCGGGCTTATGGTTATGGTTAAGGGTTTAGGAGCTAGGGTTTTGGGTTAGGGGTTTGGATGAGGTGAGAGTTGGGGACAGTAGTACCTACGACTACATTTCTTGCCCCGCATCTGCGGAGATAGTATCGGCTGCACGGTATACAATACGCTACGCACATACACGGTGTGCCATGAATGATTGTGGAGTCAGGGTATCAAACAGCCGGGACACAGGCCCCATGTGAGCCCTGGTTTACCAGTAACAATTTTTTTTATGGTTTAAGTGGCAAAACATCTAAATGCAGCCGCCCTTCTGAAAATGATTCTTCAAACAGCGAGGCATTCTTGGATAAATAAATGTAATTATTGCAATGATTGAGAAGACAACACGGCCTAGGAGTTGCGGTTGATGTTATGGTATGAAAAGCACTCCCCAAATTCTCAAAAAAATATTCTCGAAGGACCCAAGAATGCGAGCTGCGACGAGATAACATCTCGCTGAGATGACGAGAGGTTATCTGCCTCGCATGGTATGCAGGAGGTCTTGTTTTGGATCCCAACCCTGAAGATGCCTGTTGTATATTGGAGTTTGTGTGTTCTATTTCAGCGAGTGGATTTTTTTTTCTCCGAGTCCTCTGGTTTTCCCCATCCACATGAAGAAACGTATTTATATTATTTGGCTGCTACTATAAATTACCACGTGCGATGATGATGACGACGATGACGATAAGACACTTAGATGAGCTATCGTGTGTTACCAGGTCAGCTCTGATTAAATAGCTAATATCTCAGTGGGCTTTAAATGGTGAAACCAACATAGTAGCAGTAGGGTCGGCGAAGCTCCGAGGTTGAGGCTTGAGTGCTGCAGCGCGATCGGCATGGATCCTTGTGCAAGGAATGTAAGTGGGGTCCCCCCCTGTTCAAATTCCTCTCTGATTCACAGCCTTGGCGCTTGGATCCGCCAAGCCCATGTGAGGTCAGATGCAGTTGCACCGCCCGTATACACTCAGTAAAAAAAATATTATTATCATCATATCCAATTGTTATACTCCATAGTGATGCCACTGATCAGCCGCGAAGTCTGCGCAGAGCGCAAAAAGCCGAGTTGAGTGCAAGCGTGGACGCGAATGTCCACTGCACGTCCACGTCGTGACGGCGTGGCTAAAGCGCGACGATCGCCCCGGACGATCGCCTGGTCGTTGGGTCGACGATGGAATCAAGGGCGCAACGCTTTCGCCATAGTAGCCGCGCTACTTTGCGCCGTGGCATCTCAGCGCGCGATGAGCAACTCGCGTCGCATCTCATCTCGCACGTGTGGAAGTGGCAGGTCTTGCTGTGCAGCACGAGGCCTGCAAGCGGGCATTAGTCTGCCAGCAGGGGGCGATTATTGCTGCTTGTGTGTAATCTCATTTGAGTAATTTGGACTCGCAGTGCACACGTGACGCTATTTCGTGGCATTTTTGTTGTTGTTATAGGAGTCCTGCATGGCGTGAAAACACCGGGTGTTACTGGGAAACGTATAACAGGTCGGCCTTTTGAGTTTCTGTATAGAAGCGGAATGTTTATTTGTAATACTTTGCAGTGTGTATCATTCAATAAAATGTTGATTGAAACGTGAGCTGCTGCTTCTGTTGGGTAATTTAGATTCGTGGGTAGCAGTAGCAGCTCTTTACACACCACCACGGGAAGGGGAGTAGGAGTCAAGGTTGCCGGCATGCGTGGAAAAAAATTAATGGAAAATGGAAGACAAAGAATGGGAAATAAGTGGAAGAGGATACAATAGGAATGGAGAAACGGGGAGCAAAGAGTCAAGCGAGACGAAGAGACGGGGGAAGGGGCTGCACGGGGGAACGGCGTCTGTTTTCAGAGGGGGCGGTGACTTACGTGTGGCCACGCCTGCTCCGAATTGCTCCCCTCAACCCAACCGCCCCCTGTGAAAACAGACGCTTGAGCTGTATTTAGATACAGAGGTGTACACACACAGGAATAGACTCGTTTTATGAACCACCTATCAGAAAAAAAATTCACAAAGCGCTGAACAATTTACGCAGCAGTCACACGGAGGGGTGGTCTGGGCCGTATAGGGGCAGTTGACAATTCGATCGGCTAAATAGAAGGCAGCATCTGAATATTTATACTGGAGGAAGCTGATGAGCTATGAAGTTATTTTTAAACAGATGTCAAGTAGGGGCGGGTAAGAACGTCCCAATAACATAACACAAATACACGATAGTAGTGCAAAGTGCAAGAAAGGTAAACAAGTCACCCAAACACAGATAAAGAAAGACGTAACCACCCCCATCCTACCGGGCAATGCCCACTGAGGTATTAACATTCTTTTTCAGACGGTGGTAGAGGCCATGTGGCCGATGGGATGTGTCAACAAACAAACAAAAATCTAAATTTTTTGCTTATGTCGAGAAGCATAGGGGGTGAATTGTCTGTTTTTTTATGTTATGCACACATTGATATGTTTGGCAAGGACAGATCGGCACGTTAGATTAGCACTGTACAGGAGTGGAATGTGGAATTTCTGGCATTGATTGAGGGGATGGGACGCCATCCAGCGAGGGCGAAATTGTCACTGTTTTACGTCGACGCTGATATCTTTGTCCTTTTGAGGCCCACTGTGTTATTGACAAACGTGAGTTTGATTTTGAACAATAAGAATAGGTTTTATTCTTTATAGCAATAAAAAAGTGTTAAGCACCAAATGGATACCTATTGCAAGGCATCAAATGTGCATTGACCATATATATATATATACATGTGGAAAAACATGCCAACATACGATAATACATGCAACGTCTTTGAAACTGATTGGCCTACGCCAGAGACAGCCTTCCTTATCGTCTTGTCTCACCAGTGTCAGAGCAGATAACGCCAAAAGGCGAACAGTAGAACAGAGACAATGCAATTGTCAGGGCATTTATAGCTCGGATTGAGCAGTGATATCTCTGGGACGTTTTTTAGCCGGTGTGTAACAGGGTGAGTTTTCTCGTTCATGTGTATTGTGCACCACTGCCAACGCAGCAGTGGTGCCCCTTTGCCGACTTGAATGGGACTTTCAAATCTCTTTTGGTGGGAACGGTTGCCACCTCCAAGGTACAATAAAAACCCCGGGGGGCATGTCATGAGATGATGAAGACCTCACAATATAGCAGCGGGGATGAATACACATCAATGCGTTGTCGTGAGGACGGTCTGTATTGGAATTATTACGCTGCTGGCAACAAAGCCGGGACATTTCATTTTATCAGGAAAAACGTGCGGAATTTACATGGACTGTTGCCACCTTAACAAGCAGATTATCCTGATGAAAAATAAACCAAACAGGACAGGGTGGCACCCACTATTTGGTTGGTTCCAAACGTTAACACGTGGCCCGTGTGGATTGTTGTTAGGGTCCTCCACATTTAAGAAAACATGCCGTTTGATTATTTGGTCTGATATCAATGTCCATGCGATCGGTCACTACGTTGGGTTTATCATGTGTGGCCAGGTCGCTCCTGGAAAGAAATAAAAGCTCTAGAGCTCAGTGGGACTTACCTGGTAAAACAACAAAAAAAGTTTGTTTCTTTTTTAAACACACACCTTCATGTACTGTACAAAACACTCCCCCTCTCTAGTAACCCAATTAGCGCGGCTGGGTGAAGATGCCCCAGTGAGGGATAAATAGGCCCCGCGGGCTTTATAGCATCCACGCCACCCCCCACACCTGGTTTAGGTTGCAGCAGACCAGGCATGTCACAGGGTTGTTGGTATGTACCTGATTATAAGACGCACGGTGTGTGTGTGGGCTTGGTACGTCTTATGGGGAGCGGTAGTGAACGCGCTGCGCTACGAACCCGGCGACTCCAGTTTGATTGCCCATTCACGGCCAACACCGGTTCTGGGCCTCCTCTAGGTCAACTCAGCCTCAAACGAGTACTTGGCGCGTTGTGTAAACATCGCCACGATGGAGTCAAATGCGACCAGGCGTGGTGCTGGCCACCCACCCCCTCGTGTGCCGTGCCGGCCTTTATAGGCGCTGAACAGCAACTTGCCCCAACAGTCTGTCGAGGCTATACGGGGGACCTTTGTATTTGAGGTGCGTCTTACATTCCGGTGCGTGTTGACAACGTTTAATCTGTAGAATACGATGACACACGCACACACAAGTCGCCGACGCTGTCATAAGTGTTAGCAGGCTGGCTTAGTAACCGCAGCAAGAGATTTTGTGAGCCAGACGTGTCACGGTTTGTAAAGTCTACCCAGTCTCTCTGTGTGTGTGTCGCAAGCAGGATATCAGAGGCCAAGCAAGTGTGGGCTGGTTCACAGGTGAATGAATGGTGGTGGGCAGGTGGTTGACGTGGTGTTGAAGCGGCGTTGGTCAAGTGCGTCTTGAGTTTCCACCCCAGGTGAGTGTTGCACAGGTCGGTTTAACTGTGCAGACCGGAATATCTCAACCAAACCGGTGTATCTATGCAGTCTGTGTCTCTGCAGTCTGTGTGTCTCTGCAGTCTGTGTGTGTCTACAGGCTGCGTGTCTCTACATGCTGTGTGTCTCTACATGCTGTGTGTCTCTACAGGCTGTGTGTATCTGCAGGCTGTGTGTGTCTGCAAGCCGGTGTGTCTCTACAGTGGGCCAGTTTGAGTCACGGGCTGGTACGGTATGTGAATGTTTGTTGTCGGATGTGGGGAATGCGAGGGAGGAGTCCGCACAGAGAGAGAGAGGGGGGGATAGAGTGGGAGGTAGTGAGAGATAGAGTGGCAGGGAGAGGGGGGGAGGTAGAGGGGGGAGAGAGAGGGGGAGGAGGTAGAGGGGGGAGGGAGAGAGAGATAGAGGGGGAGGGGGGCGAGAGAGAGAGGGGGAGGAGGTAGAGGGTAGAGGGAGGTAGAGAGAGGGGGAGGGGGGAGTGGAGGGGGAGGTAGAGAGGGAGGGGAGTCGGGAGTCGAGGAGGGGAGACGCACAGGGGGCTGCCATCTTATCGCCAGCAGCGCAGAGCTCACGGGCGGACAGGTGAGCGATCCACACCTCACTCGTTCACGGGTGCCCCCCACTACCAGCGATACGCTTCCCCCCCCTCTTCAACAACAAGGGTACCCCCACCACCTCTAAGCAACACAGGGACCCCCCCCCCCCCCGACTCGCTTCTCCCCTCTCTCCCGGAATGAGGGGGCGACCCTGGCCCAGGTGCCGGGAGTCTCAGGTGTGGCTCTCGCCTCCCTCCACGCGCCACCCCTCGTATCTGCTCCTCTTACTCTCATTCAGCACCCCCCCCCCCGTGCCCCCCCCTGCCCCCCCCCCGCGTGCCCCCCCGTGCCCCCCCCCGCGTGCCCCCCCCCGCGTGCCCCCCCCGTGTCCCCCCGCGTGCCCCCCCCCATGCCCCCCCCGTGCCCCCCCCGTGCCCCCCCCGCATGCCCCCCGTGCCCCCCCGCATGCCCCCCCGTGCCCCCCCCCCGTGCCCCCCCCGTGCCCCCCCCGTGCCCCCCCGTGCCCCCCCCGTACCCCTCCACCACCACCTGGATTTACCAAAAACTCGCGACTATTGAGTGGATCCCCACCCTCCACCTCCAACCACCACTCCGAGATAAGCGAGCGCCGCTTCATCATCAGCCATGGTCAATCCACTGCTGGATGAAGGCCTCCCCCCCCCCTCTCTCTCTCCAGAGCCGTCTTCCATCTGTCTCGCCAAACAGACCCCAACACACAGCACACACAGCACACACACAGCACACACACACAGCACACGCACACACACAGCACACACACAGCACACGCACACAGCACACGCACACGCACGCACACGCACACGCACGCACACACACACACAGCACACACACGCACAGCACACACACGCACAGCACACACACAGCGCACACACACACACAGCACACACACACACAGCACACACACACACACAGCACACACACACAGCACACACACACAGCACACACACAACACACACAGCACACACACACAGCACACACACACAGCACACACACAGCACACACACAGCACACACACAGCACACACACACACAGCACACACACAGCACGCACACACACAGCACACACAGCACATACACACAGCAGCCACATACACAGCACACACACGCACAGCACACACAGCACGCACACACACAGCACACACACACACAGCGCACACACACAGCGCACACACGCAGCACACACAGCACACACACACAGCACACACACAGCACACACACAACACACACAGCACACACACACAGCACACACACACAGCACACACACAGCACACACACACCGCACAGCACACACAGCACACACAGCACACACACAACACACACAGCACACACACACAGCACACACACACAGCACACACACAGCACACACACACAGCACACACACAGCACACACACACAGCACAGCACACACACAGCACACACAGCACACACACAGCACACACAGCACAGCACACAGCACAGCACACACACACAGCACACACACACAGCACAGCACACACAGCACACACACACAGCACACACACAGCACAGCACACACACAGCACACACACAGCACAGCACACACAGCACACACAGCACACACACACAGCACAGCACACACACAGCACACACACAGCACAGCACACACAGCACACACACACAGCACACACACGCACAGCACAGCACACACACGCACAGCACACACAGCACACACACACAGCACACACACACAGCACACACACACAGAACACACACACAGCACACACACGCGAGTGCTGTGTGTGTTGGGGGTCGTTACTGTCGCTCGCTGCCTCGGATCACGTTCCATCTCCGCCGCTGCTTTTTCAGTCCTTCGTCTCGACCACTCGCGGTGTAGATGTTGATGATGTCGATGGTGATGTGTAGATGTTGACGATGATGATGTGTAGATGTTGATGATGTAGATGTGGATGATGATGATGAAGATGTGTGTGTAGCTGTGGATGATGTCGTTAAACCAAGTGGAGTATAGCGAAACGTCGTACTCGAATTGTAAATGTCGTAGTGGGTTTACTCTCCAACCCACCCTGTGTGTGCTGTACCAGTACACTATACACTACACTATACACTACACATTACACTACACACTACACTACACACTACACTATATACTACACTATACACTACACTGTACACTACACTATACACTACACTACACTATACACTACGCTACACTATACACTATGCACTACACTATACACTACACACTACACTGTACACTACACACTACACTGTACTATACACTACACACTACACTGTACACTATACTATACACTACAACATACACTACACTATACACTCAACTATACACTCAACTATACACTCCGCTCCACACTACACTACACATTAAACTACACACTACACTATACAAACTATACACTACACTATACACTACACTGTAATTGTAAATGTCGTAGTGAGTTTACTCTCCAACACACACCCTGTGTGCGCTGTACTCGTCACGAATCGGCACGTTTTTATTCACGTGACAACCCTCACTCGTTGTCTGTGCCGGGTGGTGGCGGGTTTAGCGACACATTTATATTTACGCGATCCAACCCAAACCAACCCTTATGGATGTGTCTTCACAACCTAAGCGCGTCCTCTTCTTGTTCGCGATTGCTGCACTGGACTATTGATGTCGTCTCGCTCTCACCACACGCCACTCTTGTTTCTATGGCGCTGTATGCTTGCCAGTGTAACCAGCACGGGTGCTGTGCAACATCTGTGTGTCACGAAGAAGGGTCTTTTCCCGTCGTCTGCGTGGTGGTTTTTTTGGGGGTTAATAATTTCGCTCATGCACCACTGTCAACTTGGCAACAGAAGCAGACGGTTGCCGACTGGGTCTGTGCCCTGGTTTGCAGCAAACTGACGGCCCTCCTATGGTGTGGGTAACATCGCACACCGATTACTACAACGACAACGACTACTACTGTGTGTGGCCCTTTAAAGAGGAAGTATAATCGGCGACGTTTCGGCCAAATTCTCCCCCAACCTTCACAGCACATAAGTAGAGAGAGAGGGCCAGGGGAGAGGAAGTGGATAGATAATGAGAGGTGGAGACTGCACTTGTTCTACGAAGACGGGACATGATGAGAATGCCTTGAATCAACACAGCGTCTCGATTGTACTCCTTTTATTTTTTGTGTTAAATTGGCATACTTTTAGGTTTTTTCTGAATCCTTGCAGTCACGAAAGCTTCAAATCTAGAATTAAATTGGCATCTTCCAACATTGCTCGGCGTGTCGAAGAATCGCAATCACGAAATTGATTGATACCGGAGGAATCCGATGAGCTGTAAAGCTCTTTGTCCACAGATGTCCAGTAGGAGTAGCCCAATAAAACCCTCCCGTATAGAGTTCGCTGACAGTGGGAGGCCCTGCAAATTGCCAAAGCAGGCAATTTGCAGGGCTGCTGGACCTTCAACTGTTTTGTTGTTTGTTAAATAGCGCTTCTGCCAATAAATACCCCAGGAACCACACCAATGCTGCTGCTGCTACTACTACACCTTAGGTGAATTCTTCGCAAGTCCTGGCAGGTGTTGCTAACTTACTTCTCAGACTCCCTGGGGGCACATTCACCCCAGCCGCACACACACACAGCTCTCACAATGTTCCCTGCGTGCGTGCGTTCTGATTTGAATTTTGGCAGGACATTCATGCGGTTGTTTCCGTCGCTTTATCGACCCCCCCCCCGTGAGTGTGATGAGCCCAGGGGTCGTGAGACATTCCCGCCTTGGGCGTGAGAACGAGAGAAAGAGGGAGCAGTGTTTTTACTCTGCAACAATCTGGGGGACCTTTGAACACCATCAGCCTGTCATAGCGATAGCGTCAGTCCCCCCCACCACCTCCACCGTCTGTGTGTGTGTGGGCGAGGGTTTGGTGAATGACACAAACCGATAACTGCTTTTTAATGGTCCACTACCGGGTAGCCAAGAGGTAATTGTCTGCAGTGTTCATTTGTTGATGATGTTGATGTTGTTGGATGGAGGTGGGGAGTTCTCGCACGCCTCCGTGCTGGACGTCTGTGAAAAATAACTTTGGGGCCGTCCATAAATGACGTCACGCACATGGGGGGGGGGGGGGTGTCAGACATTTGTGACGATGTGTGACAAGGGGGGGGGTTGAGAAATGTGAAGTCATATCAAAATGCGCAACTATAAATAAATATAGACAACACGTTCTACTTAATTAAAGCAGTCACGAAAGCTTTCAATCAAAATTTAGATAGACTTTTTAATAAATGTTTTCTCAGAGTGCAGCGGCTCATTAAATACGCACTACAATGACAATAGTTTAAAGCGATTTTGGGGGGGGCAGAGCTTTGTGACGTCATATTTGTGACGCCGTGTGACGATGGGGGGGAGTGGGGTCAAAAATCGTCCAAAATCGCGTGACGTCATTTATGGACGGCCCCTTTACGGATAATCGGATTCCTCCAGGGGTAAATAAACGTTCTGAAACTGAACCCCGTTTTTATTTGACCCAAGTAAGGCCCCACTGAGCTATGTAGAGGCTCTTTTTTCACACCATGCCACAAATGACAGCTCAACGAAGTGGCTCATCGTGTGGAAATGTCTCGCAGCCAAATGGATCTGAGCGTGTGATGTTGATTCTACACGTGGAGGGAAAAAACACGGGAGGAAACCTGAGACAAATCCATGCAACCACAAGGAGAACGAGAGAGAGAGACACCGCAAACTCCAAATGTGCAGCAGTCGTCAGGGTCGGGATCGAACCCACGATCTCCTGTAGACCAGGCGAGGTAGTTAACAGAGACACGGTGGTGGTGGTGGTGGTGGGGGATTTAACAAACGACGTTCCTCCTTTGATTCAGCTGCCACGCCGGGAGATTGAGTCGAACCTGCGGCCACCCCGCTTCGGATGACGAGTCCAGCGTGTGCGCTGGCTAACCTTTACGCCGCTGCAGCTAAAAACGCTAGGAATGTGATCTTTGTGTGTGTTTTTTATTTTAATCTGCGTGCTCAAAACCCGGTAACTGCTCATTTACCGGTTTTTTTTGTTGCAATGCGGTCACAAGCGATGACACAGCAACAACAAAAACACCAAGAGCCGGTTTTAACAACCCGAGTGTGCAGTCGACAAAGGGCCGTCTTGTTAGCCCTGCTGCATGATGAAGGCATCTCGATTTAAAGCTTTCGTGACTGCAGGGATTCATCTTCTTGGTTCTTTCGGTAAAGTCACGTAGAAGGGAAGTAATAAAATAGACAGACCTGGTCTTCACCTGAGGACGGCTGCTTGCGTTGTGGCCGAAACGTCGTGAGAATTATTTTATTATGTTTTATTTTTATTATTTTATTACTTCCCTTCTACGTGACTTTACCGAAAGAACCAAGAAGATGAAGGCATCCTCAAGACTTTTACGTCATGGGGTTGTGGCGGGGGGAGGAGGGGGGCGGGGCAGGGGGGCCATACTTCACCACTCTGGTCAGTGCTGCTAGGGGTGGGTTGACGCGTCGCAGGCTCCTGCTGTTAGCCCGTCACGGGGTTGGAACACTTTGGCGTTGCCACGCTAAATAGAACCCCACCCATCACCTCGAGTAGGGGCGGGGGGGGGGGGTCCCTTGTCATTCACAGAGACGATAAGAACCCGCTCTGTCGGTCGTGCTCGTGGTGGTGGTTGCTGCTGGTGCTTGTGGTGGTGGTTGGTGCTGGTGGTGGTTTCGGGTGGTTGCTGGTGGTGGTGGTTGCTAGTGGTGGTGGTTGGTGCTGGTGGTGCTGGTGGTCGTTGCTGCTGGTGCTTGTGGTGGTGGTTGCTGCTGGTGCTTGTGGTGGTGGTTGGTGCTGGTGGTGGTTGCTGCTGGTGGTGGTTGCTGCTGGTGCTTGTGGTGGTGGTTGCTGCTGGTGCTTGTGGTGGTGGTTGGTGGTGGTGCTGGTGCTAGTGCTGGTGGTGCTGGTGGTGGTTGGTGGTGGTGGTTGGTGGTGGTGGTTGTTGGATGTTGGTGGTTGGTGTCGTCTCCCACCCTCGCATTGGTTGCCTTCTCCCCCCTACCGGGCCTGTCAACCTCTCTGGCCGCTCCCCCTGTCCCTATAGCAGCCTCTACTGTACTGCAATATAATGCTGAACAAATAACACTGTGGTGCAAAAAACATTATTTGTTTGTCCCTGGGTAGTAAGTGTTATTTCCTAATTGCTTGTGCCTCAAAAGTACAGAAAATGGCTATTATTCCCCACAAACTTTGCTTTTGTAACCAGGACTTTATGTGAACGAAAGACACAAATGCACACGCTTTCTCATTGAAAATAGGTACATTTCAAAATATCACTGTCCTGGTCACAAAAGCAAAGTTTGTGGGGAATAATAGCCATTTTCTGTACTTTTGAGGCATAAGCAATTGGAAAATAACACTTACTACCCAGGAACAAAAATCGTGTTACATAGCATAATAATCGCGAATTTCCCATCTCTTTTACACGGAATTAATGACCAAGACTCAATGATATAGATTTTAATGCTTACACTGCAATAGCATTACAACGGTTATTAATGTGCAGTTTAATCTGAGTTATTAATGTGCAGTTCAATCTGAGTTATTAATGTGCAGTTTAATCTGAGTCACCATCACCAGGGAGCACAGGTCTCCTTGGCTCCTCCACATGGACCCCCCTTGGCTACTCCACATGGACCCCCCTTGGCTACTCCACATGGACCCCCCTTGGCTACCTGCACCCTTGAACTTTGCGGGGAGTTGGTGGCGATGCAGACAGCCCGAAATGCATCATTTGTGCAGGAGTGGTGTTGGTGGATCACACAAAGGTCGTGAAAACTCCCCTTCCCGTGCGCGTCCAGGAGGTGCCGTACCCTGGCTCGCTAGGACAAGGCAGTACAAGGCAGTGGACTAATCTCCATCCGTTTCCATCTGTACGGGGACAGAGTGTTGTCATTGGGGTGCCACGATGGCAAGATGTTAACCACCTCGCCCGGTATATGGGAGGTCGTGTGTTCGATCCCGACCCTTATGTCTGCTGTATATTTGGAGTTTGGGTGTGTCTCTCTCCCTGTGGTCGTGTGTATCTTTCCCCGGGGCCTCCGGTTTTCCCCTCCACATTCAGAATCAACATCACGCGTTTAGAGTCTTTTGCTGCTATCAATTTTCACGTTGATAACGTTGAGCTATCGTTTGTGATAGCCCGGTCGCTTTTGAAAAAGAGATGTAGCAGCTCAATTGGCCTTTATTATGTTTTATTGTTATTATTTTATTATTTCCCTTCTACGTGACTTTACCGAAAGAACCAAGAAGATGGCCTTACCTGGTAAAATAAAAATGTGTTTGTTATAATTACAACTAATGTTACTTCCACCCCGTCTCGTCGGATGTCCGCACGCGTCACCCACAGCAGCGCCACGCTTGACGGTGTGGGGGGGGGGGGTGCCATGGCACGACCGTCCCAGCAGTCGTCGGTGTTCGACGATCGAAGGGACCGCGACCGCCTGCCGCCGCACTACAAGGAGTCGTACCGCCTGGCCATCGACGTGCTGGTGGAGCGGGGACGCGACGCCTTCCGCGACTTCCTGCAGCGCGAAGGCACCGTGCCCTTCCTGTCCGAGCAAGAGGTGGGTCGAGAGCTCCCGGATGGACATCGGTGTTTGCGAAGGTCGGGTCGGGTCAGTTAGGGTGCCGCAGAGGTCGCAAACGGGTTTTGATTCCTTACCCGTTCCCGTACCCGGCCGCACCAGGGTCGCAAACGGGTATCCGTACCCTACCCGATACCCGGCTACCCGTACCCGGCCGGGTATCGGGTAGGGTATGGGTACCCGATTGCGACCTCTGGGATGAAGCCATGTTGCAGGCGCGGGTGGGTTGATTCTAGGAACTTGAATTGTGAGATGAGACAAGACGTTGGGAAATGAGTGACAAACGGTGACTCACCAGTGACTCACGGCCTACCCGTACCCGGCCCTGGTAAAAAAAAAACATAAATAGTTTAGTAATCGTTTAGTTGAAGTTATCTGACCAAAAATATCAATAAATCATCATATTAGCCGCAAAATCCTGCGAGTTAAATTTACATTTGAGTCGGCATCGGGGCCACAACCGAAAAACACCGCGGAGAATGTGTCTATTCCCAGAAAGTGTCTGAGAGCGGATCGCGGTCATAATAACAGTGATGATGATGGTGATGACTTAGAGGCAAAGTGAGAACAGCCTGTGTGGGGGGAGAGCTTTTGACAGTTTAATTTCAAAATGAAAAGCAACAACATTGCGCCTGGAGTGGTCCGCCGCGGTCAATCGGGAGTGTATCGCCCTGCTAAGACGCGGCTTGAAACGTGGACACCAGCAAAGGAAATGAAGAGGGTGGGGGGGGGGGTGAAAGTTCACGGACAAACGTAAAGCGATGCGAGTCCTGGGAATTGCACTGCAGCCGGAGTGGAGGAATGCACGGATTAGAGAGCGTGCGAAGTTAGAGACGTCATAGTGGCCGTGAACAGGGGACGGTAACTACACTATGGGGACCTCATTTGCCAGTAAAAATATGATAATTGGTTCTTTACCCTTCTATCTGGCAACAAAACTGACACCTTTTTGCAAGGAGTCATGTTTGCATAGACCGCAATACCTGCAGTCATAATACAAACAAAAGAACATAACTCTGATAATGTGCACTGTCCTTGAAGTTGATTGGTCCACACCCGAGACAGCTTTCCTTCGAGCCTAGTCTCATATGGGTTGGACCAGATGACGCCAAAAGGCGCCTTTTGGCGTCATCTGGTCCAACCCATATGAGACTAGGCTCAATAAAACGGAACGTAAAATTCCGATTTACCGCCGCTCGCCCTGCAGGTGGATCACATTGAGAGCACGTTCCAGTCGCCCGCTGTCACGACCCGGGGAGACGATGGCGACGAGGTGGGCCAGGACTTTGGGAGCTCGTCGTCGGGCACGTACTGGCCCGTGTACTCGGACACGTCGGCACCGGACCTCGAGCTGGGCTGGCCGGCTCCCGGACGCTTCCTCGGGCAGACGAACGTCACGCTGCACTTCCACCCGCCGCTGGGGAACGGGGTGCCGACCATCAAGGAGGTCATACGCAGGCACATCAGAGGGGCCTCTAAGGTATGATGACGCCACGCGACCACCAGCGACGTCACTACATTCATGCTGTAGCCATAACGTGACAAATGAGTCGTGTAGTTTTCTAGCCTTAGGGACCCTCCCCATGACGGCTGTCCCAGTGCAGCACGAGGTGAATGTTGCAGCGAGCGGCAGGGGGGCGACGTTGCTCTTGGCTTTCCAGTTTCCGAGTAATCTTAAAAATGTGGGCCGTGATGTCGCTACCCACTCGCGCCCTCCCCTTGCCAATGACGTCACGGGATTTCTGGAAGGGCGGCCGTGAAGCGGGCGGCAGGTGGTCGGTGGGTCGACGCTCGCGCGGTAAAACCACGACGCGGTTGCACCGTGCGCAAATAATAACGCGCACCCAGTGTGGGGCGGTTATTTGGTCAGGGTGGATATGTGACCTCCACCCCCTTTAACGAGCCACATTCACCGCGACCTGTAGGGGGGTTTTCGCCTTCGGTAGGGCAGGATGTAGATAGAGGGTGGGGGCCCGGGTAGGGAGTTGCCGACAATTTCAAAGGGGTCCAAACAATTGAGTCGGTTAATCAACATAAAGAGGGATCGTCGGTCTTTAAACATCTGGCACTTTTTTTGGCAGGGCATTCTTCCCAGTCGACAGCCCCCCCGCCCCCCACTTCCCCCCCACTTTTCCTCCCCCCCCCCTCCCCACTGCAGGGCCTTACTAAACCGAGTCTTGCGCCGTGACTTCCCCTCTCTTGTAGTGATGCGTGTGTAGTGTTTACAAGGCCACCATGTAATGATCTGGCCAAAAATAAATGTGTGCCGTTAATTCCCTCCGCCACCCGACGCGGCATGTACAAGTCGGGCGGTGGAGGGTCTTGCCCGCGCACATTTGGCCAGATCGTTACGTCGCCTAAACCCAACAAACGAAAAATAGAAATCGTGAATCGTAATATTGGCCGCTCGTAAATGAGAGCTACGTGTCGTGCAGTGCATTGACCTTTGCGCATTCCTCCGCACGAGAGTGCGAGATCGCCCGGCGCGTGACTTTTGGACGTGCCGCACCTTGGTCGTTCATGTCCGTTCGGCGTGGAGCTGGGTGGAGTTTCAGTTCCGTGCGTCCGAGGTCTCGCGTGGGCTGCAGCAGTCGGCACCCACGATTGGAATATTGAACAATAGCGAGGCGTGGAGTGATAAACACGACCGCAGTTTTAAGAGTGCACCATGATCGCGTCACCTGCGATCACGGCGCCACTCATCTGTTGAGCGGAGACGCAGGCGTGGCTGTGGAGTTGCATCCGTCACCATCGTCATCGTGAGCCTTGGTGCAATCCGCCGCTGGATGAATGAAATGTCTCCCCAAGTCGCCGCCATTCCTTCACGGTCCCGCCGTGCAGCAATCCGCACGGTTTTGTTGCGCACGAGCCGATCTTGTCGCTCCATCTCCCGCGGTGGGCGTGCTCGCTCTGGCGCTCTGCCTCCTACGAGTGGCCATCCCATCGTTTCGATTTAAAGCTTTCGTGACTGCAGGGATTCATCTTCTTGGTTGTTTCGGTAAAGTCATGTAGAAGGGAAATAATAAAATAGAAATAATAAAAATAATAAAGTACAATTCTCACGACGTTTCGGCCACAACCTTGGTAGCCCTGTTCTTCACCTGAGGACGGCTGCTTGCGTTGTGGCCGAAACGTATTTTACTATGTTTTATTTTTATTATTATTTTATTATTTCCCTTCTACGTGACTTTACCGAAAGAACCAAGAAGATGCATCCCATCGTTGTTCTCACCCGGAGGCTGCCGCCGACCCATCGTCCCTTCGAGCGGCGTGTCCACTTTTATTAACAGTCCAAACTTGCGTCCCTGAACCTGGATATACGCTCTCCGTAGTCCGTGCGTGTTCCCCCTTCTCTCTCTGGGTGCGCTCGTAAGCGTGCGTCTCTCGACCTTTGCTCCGTCGTCTTCTTCGGTGACCCCCCCGTTTCTCGTCCACGTGACGGTGGGAAACGCGCGCAGATAAAAAAAAAATAAACAATAAAAATTAACAATAAAAATAAACTATAAAAATAAAGCCGGTCGGCGTCGTAGTCACGGCAGATGATTTTCGTACCATCGTGGTCATCATTCCCGTGCCTTCGATTAACACGGTTGGCTACGTACGGTGCGAAAGAAGTTCATGATACGTACATCGCTGACTTGTAACAGTACGTTGACGAATTTCCTTCACAATTCTGTAAAACGCCTGATGAAGCCGGTTGATGTAATCACCAGCGAAACGTCACCGTACTCAAGTTCTAAATGTCGTGGGTTTACTCCAACAGACACCGGGTGTGCCGAAGTCTAATTGACACGTTTTGTTTACGTGACAAACCTCGCTAATTGGCCGTGTCGGGTGGGTGAATGAAACTGAATGTTTTCTAAAAAATAATTATTTAATTGTCATCGATTCATGAACGAGGGTGTGCTGGTATATAAACAATTCATAATGAGTGCACTTACTCCTCAACTCTATTTATGTTACGGATTATTGACGAATTTCACTCGCGCCCCACCCCCCCACACCCCCACCCCAACACCCCCACCCCCTCACCCACCCACACCCTCACCCCCCCACCCCCCCCACACCCCCACCCCCCACACCCCCAGCCCCACACCCCCACCCCCACACCCCCACACCCCCACCCCCTCACCCCCACACTCCCACCCCCTCACCCCCCCACCCACCCCCCCACCCACACCCCCCCACCACACACCCCCACCCACACCCCCCCACCCACACCCCCACCCACACCCCCCCACCCCACACCCCCACCCCACCGCACCGGCTGCAGGTGGTCGCCGTGGTGATGGACGTCTTCACGGACGTGGACATCTTCCAGGAGCTGCTGGAGGCGGCCAACGTGCGCCGGGTGCCGGTCTACGTGCTGCACGACCGCCTCAACTTCCCCCTGTTCCACGACATGTGCCTCCACCACGGCCTGCGCGCCGGCGAGCTCGAGGTAACCACGGCCGGGCGCCGCCTTCCCACCCCCCTCCCTCCCTTCTCACCCCCCTCCCCCCCCCTCCAGATTCAGAATATTTATTGAAACTGGAGGAGGAATCCGATGAGTGCAGGAAAGACAAATAAATTTGCACCAATGACATTCAAATAAAACTAAACCCTCTCACCGTCCTTCTCGCAGACGAATGCCCGTTTGCGGGCCACGTGATGCCGATCCGCCTTGTGCTGTGCAGGGACGGCTGCCGCTCGTTTCCTTCCACAGCCAAACAAACAAACACAAGAAAGAAGCCACGCGGGGAAATGGGTACTGGGCCAACAATATCCCCACGCTTTAAAATGCCCAACGTGCCAAGTTGCTCGATTTGGGATTGCGCACAGCGGCGGCAACATCGCCCCCCCCCCTCCCCCATTCTGCGAAATCTTTGGCAGGACCCCCCCTGAAAGGGAGCCCCCCTGAGGCTCGGCGAGACTGTCCTCAGGTGAATGCGGCGTGACGATAACTCTACAAAAACAAACCACCGCACGTGGAAAGGACCGTGTCCGACACCCCCCCGTTCTTTCACCGTGCGTTTCCCCTGCTAAGGAGTCGCAATCCTGACCATCGTTAAATCTCTCTAAAGAGTCGGCTGTGTATCGAAGCAGCAGCTGAGCTAAACTAAACTTTGTATTTTACTAGGTAAGGCCCACTGACCTACATAGCTCTTTTTCAGAAGCGACCTGGCTATAGCAAATGATAGCTCAACAAAAAGTAGCTTGTCATGTGGACATTTCTAGCAGGATTCTAAATGTGGAGGGGAAACCCGGAGGACCGGGAGAAAAATCCAGACGACCACGGGTAGAGAGAGACACGCGAACTCCAAATATACAGTAGCAGGCGTCAGGGGTCAGGATCGAAACCACGACCTCCTGTATACCAGGCGAGGGAGTTAACATCTCCTAGCCACCGTGATGATGATGAGAGAGAGACACGCGAACTCCAAATATACAGCAGCAGGCGTCAGGGGTCGGGATCGAACCCACGACCTCCTGTATACCAGGCGATGGAGTTAACATCTCCTAGCCACCGCGGCGCTCCTCTTGACGATATTGACGGGGTGTGTGCGCTGCTGCGTGTCGTCGCCCAGAACGTACGAGTGCGGACCCTGCCGGGATCGCTCTACTTCTGCAAGTCTGGCGCCAAGTTTCACGGCCAGGTGTTCGAGAAGTTCATGCTCTTCGACTGCGTCACGGCCCTGTGCGGTTCCTACAGGTGACGCGACGAGCGGTTGCGGGCGACGTCCGTGGCACCGCCGCAGACGCTACCATCGCACTCCCACAGGGAGCGCCGTAACGCTGCTTTATTGTATAATTTTTTTGCTCAAATTCGTAGCAATAATATTTTTAGGTAGCCAAGGCACATCGCAACAATGCAATAATATAAATAATATCAACATTGTTACGAATTCTATAATTAATGAATATTGCTAATATTAATCGTGTTTCACATGCCGTTTGATACGATTAATATTAGCAATATTAATTAATTATAGAATTCGTAATAATATTGATATTATTTATATTATTGCATTGTTGCGATGTGCCTTGGGTACCTAGAAAAAATGTGTTTCGCATGCCATTTGATACATTTTTTCTAGGTACCCAAGGCACATCGCAACAATGCTTTATCTTGTGACGTGACTCTTGGCGATATTTATTTTTGCTTACATCACAAACGCTTTTGCGACATGACCCTTGATGCACAGTCGGAATAACATTTGGGGGGAAATTACAATTTATGAAAGGCTGAACGTTAAACTAAAGTGCGCTGTGTGCATGTCCCCTGTCCGCTGTGGTGCGTGCGAGCAGCTTGACGTGGTCGCACGAGAAGATCCACCGCAGCCTTGTGCACGAGTTCACCGGCGAAATGGTCGAGACGTTCGACGAGGAGTTCCGGGTTCTGTACGCGCAGTCGTCCTGCCCCTACGGCGACTCCTCCGCGCTCGCCATCCCCAGCCAGGTGCCCCCGCCGACCAGGGGCCTCCAGGGCCTCCAGGGCCTCCGCGGGGCGCCTCACCTGGGCCTCGCGCTGCAAATCGAAAAGCACGACTCGTCCGTCGACTCGTGGGTGTCGTCCACGTCGTCCCGGCGCGCCCTGGACCAGCAGACCCTGAACTTCACCCACCACGACTTCATGCGACGCCCGATCGACAGCACGTACGCCAGGATGGAGGCCCAGCATCTCCGGCGGGAGGATCGCTACACGTTCACGGCGAAGCAGGAGGTGCTGAGCGAGAAGGAGTACCGGGGCGTGGCCAACGTGTCGCAGCGGTTCGTCGCCAACGCCCAGGTGTTCGCGGGCGAGAAGGAGGTGTGGAAGCGGTACAGCTACGCGGGCGAGGCCACGGAGTCGCACTCGTTCCTGCAGCGGATTCAGGACCCGTACTCGTTCGCCTCGGGCCGCGGCGCCCTGGAGCCGCGTCCGAGGAACATCGGCGGCGTCCTCCCCGGGCAGGAGTTCCGCCGTCTCCAGGGCGGCGCCGGGGCCTACGGAGACCGCTTCGGCGAGGGGCGAGGGGACGACGTGTTCGGGGATGACGGGGCTGCGTTCCCAGACTCCGCCGGGAACGCGAAGCGGATAACGGCGGCGGCGGAGGAGGAGGCGCGCGACATTTCCCAGCAGCAGCAGCTGGCGCCGTACAATCAGCGAAAGAAGAGCGAGTTCCCGGCGCAGCACCTCATGAACTCGCGGCGGGAGGCGTGGCAGGGACAGCCGGGCAAGGCGGACGGCGGCCGCAGCGGCGCGCAGCAGACGTTCGCCTGCCAGACGTCGCCGACGCAAACCCAAAGCTTCCAGGAGGAGGGGCCGTTCGCTAAGGCGGGCGCGGCGAGCAGGGCGAGGGAGGGCGACGCGGGCGGCGCTGAGAAGTCCGCCAAGCAGGGCCTCCGACGTTGGCGGATCAATTCGTTCCTGAGCTCCTGCGAGAATCCCGCGGAGGCCGAGGCGGGCAGGGCGGAGGACGACCCCAGGCTCGACGGCGAGGCGCGGGTCGGGGAGGGCGAGGCGCGGAGCGGGGAGGGCCGCGGGTCGCCAGCCGCGGACGCGGCGGTCGCCGGCTTTGCGGACGGCCTGACGAGGCACGAATCGCTGCGCTCCAAGATCAGTCCCATGTTGCAGAGGAACTCCAGGTTGCGCTCGTCGCTCATCTTCAACTCCGCTCGGCAGGACGCGGGAGCGTCGGAGCAAATCGCGAAGCGGGGCCCGGGCAATTCCGGCGGGGCGGCGACGGCGGCAGCCGACGAGGTGGCGGCCGAGGCGCCGGCTGGCGGTTCTTCCAACGCGGCCGAGTTGAAGGAGAAGGACGAGCAGACGGCGGTCGCTCTGCCCGCTTCGGACCTCCAATCGAAGTACGCGCCCAGGGAGCCGTTCGTGAGGTCGAGGTTCCTTTTCAGCAGCCTCACGAACCGCAAGGCGGCGACCGCCACCGCGGAGGAGGAGGTCCGGGCGGCCTCGGACAAGGTGGGCCCCGTCGCCAGGCCGGACTCGCACATCAAGGAGCTCTTTCCAAAGCCGCAGCCCTTGGCCGAGAGTCGCACGGCACCCGCGGGGAGCGCCGTTTCCAAGATAAACCCCTCTCCGGGAAGCGAACAGACGAAGTTAACCCAGATCCAGCAACGTAATGAAACGATTCCGGCTCGGTCAAAGTCGTCGTCGTCGTCGGCCGACACGGGGGCCCAGGTGACGAGGAGGGTGACGGACAGCGCTGCGCAAGACGTGAAGCCGGACCCGGCGAGCGACGGGGCGAGCCGAGCGTCCGCGGAGAGAGCGTCACGGCTCCAGGAGCTTCTCGACAAAACCAACAACAAGAAGGAGAATTCCCCCGAGAAGGCGTCTCCTGTAAACGCGACCGTGGAGAGAGCTTCCCCTCGAGAGCCGTGCAGGCCGAGCGCTCCGCCCGCTGCCAGCCCCACCTCGGCAAAGGTGCCTCCGGCGCAGGACGCGGCGTCCGGCGTCTCCCGAGCGCCGGCAACGATCGGCACGTCGGAGCTGAGCCCTTCCCCGGCCTGGCGCAGCAGCAGCACCTCCACACCCGTCCTGTACGGCAGCAATCTGAAAGACGACACCAAGGTCATGTTGGAGCAAATCTCGCTGAGCAGCCACAAGTACAAGGACGACAATCACAAGGCCGCGCGGGGGGACGATTCGGCGAGGTTACCGCGGGATGCCGCGGGTGGCGGAGGATCGAGCGTTGCCAGCCCGAAGGAAGCCGCTCCGAGCCAGGCCTCGCCCACGACCACCGCTCCCGCAGCCGACGAGGACAGGTCGGACGAGCTCATCCGGAACCTGGAGAGCAAGCGCAAAGAGAATCGTGCCTACAGCCGCTTCGAGGTGTTCTACAAGACGGAAGGAACGGAGGCCAAGCCAAAGGGCGTCTCCCCCGTCGTCTCCCCCGTCCATGTCCCCGATCAGTCGCGATACGTGCCCGATAGGAACCGGGCGATGGAGCAGCCCTTGAGCAACAGCCTCTTGCAGAAAATCAAGGTTACGTTTAAAGGAAAAAATTAATAACCCTCCCCGGCCTTGCCATACAGAATTGTCGTCGTTGCTTGAAACTACAGTTGTGAAATTATAGTTGTCGCTCTCCGTCGGCATGAGCCGACATGAAGAAGAATGGGGAGGGGGGGGGTGGGGGAGCGGCTTCGTCGCAAAAGAGAGAGGCGCTTCACAAACGGCAGGTGGCGATGAAGCACAGCTCGCACGATGGCTTCGCCACGTGGCGATTTTTATTGCGCCCAAAAGCACAGCCGCTGACTGCGCCGCCAAGGAGTCGAACGCCTCCCACGTACAGCGAGCAAGGGTCGCAGTTTGGCCGGGGGGCAGTCCTGGTAGTGAGCGGGGGCCACCTGAATCGTGGGTGGGGGTCGCCTGAATCGTGGGTGGGGGTTGCGAAGGAAGTCGGTGGGGCCAATCGCCGTGGCCAGAGCTCGCGCAGTTGTGGGTTGTGGCTTTGTAGAAGTCGGCAGGGCTCACCACCATGTATCCCGGTTAAGCCTCCCAGAAAAGTGTGTTCCTTCCCAGATTTAAAGCCGATAGATGGGTTACTTGAGTAATAATAATAAATAAAAACATTTCGGTGCTGTTGTACAGTACAATATATACATATCCGTGTGTTGGGGTTACATGTATACTCACAAGTATTGTTTATTCTATGCGTGTGTGTGTGTATATATTGAGCTTGCACTTGGGATTTTATCATACTGAGAAGTCCGTGAAAACCATGGGCAGAAGGGTGGGGCAGTGGGTAACACCTGAACCTCGCAGCAAGATGTACCTGAGTTCGAGTCTCCACTCCGGGGGGGAATCTTTCAGCGTGGAGTTTGTGGTTCACCTCGTGTTCTGCACGGATTCCCTCTCGGTTGTCCACTTTCTATCCAAAAACATACAATGTAACCGGCAGAGGTGGGACAAAGTCATTGTTATGCAAGTCCAAGTCGAGTCTGAAGTCATCAAATTCATGACTCGAGTCCAAGTCACATGACTCGAGTCCACACCTCTGATAACCGGTATTGGCTAAAACACGTCGCGGTGCAGAAAAGTTACCCGCGGGCTACTCGGTTGGGATTACACGCAGCAGCAACGTTGCCTCCTCCTGCGAAAAAACCTGGCAGGACTCTCCTGAAAGAGACTTGGGACTCATTGAAGCATTCCTGGCTGAGAATACACGTAATAATCATGAAAATATTACATGTCCAAATGAGCCATAGGGCGCCACGGTGGCGAGATGTTGACTACCTCGCCTGGTATTGAGGAGGTGCGTGGGTTCGATCCCAAACCTGACGCCTGTATATTTGGAGTTTTCATGTTTCTCCCCGTGGTTGCGTGGATTTTTCTCCGGGTCCTCCGTTTGTTTCCTCCACATGTATGAACGCACTTGCAGAGCAGTGGTTCTTCACCTTGACTGCAGCCTTGCACCCCAGGTTAAGAACCACTGCTTTAGAGTCTTTGGCTGCAGTAAATTGAAAAAGAGCTCTATAGCTCAATGGCCTTCCATGGTAAAATAAAAAAATATAAAAAACTTCAAACATGGCCATGTGCCACGGCTGCTGCTGCCACTGCCTGAGCACGAGTTTCGAGTTTTTAACCAGGTGAGGATTCATCGAGGGGCAAGGATGAGTTTTTTTGCGACGGTGACCTGGGTACAGGTACGTGCACTGTTGGCCTTGCGTGCTTGACGTGGCAGCAGGGCCTGGAGTTAGTGGTGACTGGGCTGTGTGTGCGCATGTGCACACGGATCTTGTCATTCTAGTTTAGAGGTTGGGTTTTTTCTATATTGTGTTGTGTGTGTGTATATATTAGCGTTTTATATAACCCATTGTTAAGAGCCTGTGTGGCATTGCCATTGTGCCTCTTGTCAACAAGTGGAACCTCAATTCCTCGTGGTCACGGGCAGCCAGCGGCGTAGCTATCGAGTGGGGGGCGCCTCAGTGGCAAGATGTTAACTGCCTCGCCTGGTCTACAGGAGGTCGTGGGTTCGATCACGACCCTTACGCCTGCTGTTGATTTCGAGTTGGCATGTGCTCCCTGTGGTCGTGTGGCTTTTAGAATCAACATCACGCGTTGATTATTTGGCTGTTGTCAATTTCCACGAGATAAGCCATTTTAGTTGACCTGTCATTTAGTGGCCAGATCGCTTCTGAAAAATAGCTACCATAGCTCCGAGCCTTAGCTGGTAAAGTAAAAAAGAGTTTCGTTTGTCTAGTGCACAGGGGGGCCCACGTGGGCCGAAGGGGCCCAGGTGCCAGGCTTCTGAAGTTGGGGGGGTGGATTGGACGGAGGTGGCCCATTCCGTTCGTCGCTCCGAGTGGCCGTGCCTACCAACGCTACGAGACTGTTCGCCGCCGAGTTTGCCTTTGTGTCGTCGTGGCAATAAACACTGCGTTTTGTTTTGAATGACCACAAGTGCTGTTTTGCGCGCACATAATGGGGGATGCGCTCCGTGTGGCGCTCGCGGCAAAGCTTGCGACGTTGACGCAACGTTGGCGTTGGAGCAGTCGGGCCAGCGTTGGGTCCCAGCAGCGTTCCACGTCGTCCGTGTGAATTCACTCTGCACTTCCCCCAATGCAGAATCTGTCCGGTCGCATAAAGCACCGCCGCCGCCAAGGGCTTTCCCTCTTGCTTTGTCACGTAAAGCGTCGCAGGCCAAGGTCGAGAAGTCGTCTCGGCCAATGCTGGTGATGTCCACCACACCTTGCTGCCACTGCTTTCTTTTTTTGCTTTTCCAGTCCAATTTTTTGGATCTGCCCCCTGGTTGCCAACGCCCGCCTCTGTCGCCTGCCTCGACCCAGCAGCCCTCGCGCGTCCCACCCGTCGCCATCTCCACATCACGATTGCGTCTGCGACACTTGGCCCCACCGCGTTCAGTGTCAGAACTTTCAACCTCATTACCCTCAGTTTAGCCGTGACATTCCGAGGCGTCGTCTCGGCCACGCGCCGTGTATTCGAAGGATCGAGGGTGCTGTTTCCCAGCTGCTCTGCGTGAAAGCCAACTTCGGCCCCAAAGTAGTCACCCGTGTCCGTCTCAACACCGAAGCTTGGATTGATTTTTTTAATATTAAAAACGACAAACATCGCGGTAATGTTACCGTGTAACAAGGATCCTTGACAAGCAAAAGCCTCTGCAAAGGTACCACAACAGCGACGAATTCAAACGGCATCATGAGCGACGGTTATGGTAAAATATAAAGCAGATAGCTAGACCGGTTCGTTCAGATTGTTCGAGAGGCTGGTGCACGCGAGACAAATAACGAAATGGTGGGGAAAGTCGGAACGGTGGTGCAGGAGAGGGGACTGAGGATTAAATATCACGATTTGACCTATGAACATCTTAGTTTATTGACCTTTCCTCCGATTAGCACGGTTGGTTACGTACGGTGCGAAAGAAGTGCATGCATTACTTTGTCACGGCACGTGGGCCACATGCTGCCCCCTACAGTTTGAACCAGACGTAGCTCTGTGGTATCCGCTTCCGCGTGTTGCCGAGAGATCCGCATGGAGTCTCCGTCTCGCGGCGCACCGCACTGAGAGCACGGTCGGTGTGGAGATGAGAAGAAGATTGACACTAAATAAATATCCCCTTGCTCGTGGCCAAACCGCTTCCAGTTCCACGACCCCTTCTTGAAGACGAATCCGGTCTGCGTTTCCTGTGTTAGGGACGGAGCATCGTGATGATAAGTCATGGGACCCCTTTTTGCCACTATCAAAGTATGAAAAATTAAAATAGGCGTTACCCTTTCTGGCAATAAAACAGAGTGTTAATGTCGAACTGATTCCTTGCAAAAGGCATCTAGTGTTCGAACATCTTAACACTTGTTTTATTTCCAGTAAGGGTACACTCTATTCTTGTTGTTCATATTATTATGATTATGATGATGATTTCGGCACGCTGTGTACAAAGCAGCGCCGCTGTGATGAGTGGACCGGTACCATCTCACTGGGCAGCCACCGTCACCGCCACCACCACCACCATCACCACCACCATCACCATCATCACCATCATCACCATCACCACCATCACCACCATCACCAATACCATCACCACCATTACCACCACCATCACCACCGCCGCCCGGCTTAACGACGTTGCCCTCCCACGACTGCACCCCTCGGGCCCACAGCCGAGGCGTTTCCCAAACCCAGCATGGCCCTCACCCCCTAAACTTAGTTGGGGGGCGCCACGGTGGCTGAGATGTTAACTACCTCGCCTGGTATACAGGAGGTCGTGGGTTCGATCCCGACCCTCACGCCTGTATATTTGAAGTTTGCGTGCCTCTTTCCCCGTGGTCGGGTGGATTTTTCTCCGGGTCCTCTGGTTTTCCCCTCCACATTAAGAACCATCGCGCGTTTAGAGTGTTTTGGTTACTGCTTTGAGTCTCCACGTGATGATAATCCCCATTTTGTTGAGCCATCGTTTGTGATAGCCCAGGGTCGCTTCTGAAAAAATTAACCCGTAAAAACAAAGTTTTTCACTATAAATCCTTTATATGCGTGGCATCGGTTTTATTTTATTATTCATTTCTGTTTTTCTTGAGTAAGAGTTTCATTTTTATCACATTGGTATTTTAAATTAAATATGATTTTTTTTTCCTAAAAAGTGGAAAATAAATTGTCACGCACAACGAGTCTGTGTGCAAAATGTCAGCTCGATTGGATCACGGGAAGTGGGTTAAAAAACGACCGAAAGATTTGCACGGTCGTAAGCGCGCAAGCAAGTGAACTTAATATAAAGGATTTTAAAAGAGCCACGCAGCTCAGCGGGCCTTACCTGGTAAAATACCAAACATTTCATGGGACCTCCTTTGCCATTACCAATATATGGGAATAGGTTTTCACTTTTTTTTCTGACAACAAACAGGTTGTTAAGATGTTAAAACACCAAACTGAGACCTATTACAAGGAATCGTGTGTGCATTAACCACAATACTTGTGGTCAGAATGCAAACAAAAAACGTACTCTGATAGTTTATGCATTGTCTTTTAAACTGATTGGTCCACACCAGAGACAGCTTTCTTGCATTCTGACCACAAGCATTGTGGTTAATGCACACACGATTCCTTGTAAAAAGCTTTCAGTTTTGTTTCCAGAAAAAAGGGGAAACCCCCTATTATTATATTTTGGTACAGGCAAAGGAGGTCTAATGATGTAGAGTGGTACTTATCAATCCCCTCGGAGGGGGTGAAGGGCCGAGTTGACCCCCCCCCCTCCTCGCCCTCCTTCCTGGACCTGCCGATTGCGCTCGGAGCGATCGAGGTGGACAAGACGGCGCAGCGCGCGCGGGTGACTCTGTTGCTGTCGAGTGTGCAGGCGGTGCAACTGCACGGAGGGCCCGGGGGCTGGAGGGAGGCACGAAGTTTTCCAGGCTACGAAGGGAAGTCATTGGGAAGGGGGGGGGGAGATTGTACGGTGGAGGTACTGAGGTGGCGGGGGGGGGGGTATTTAATGAATTGGAGCAGGACCCCGTGCCAGCCACGGCACTAAGAGTCTGTCGGCTCGAATTCAGCTCTCGCTAACAGCGGGGGCCAGGAGCCTCGCAAAGAACGAAAATAAAGACACCACCCCCGCCAATCCTCCCTTGTTCCCCCCCAACGACTCGGCCCAGATGTTGACTCGGTGTGTTTGCCGTGCGGGGAAGATCGCTCTGCCGCGCGGCAATTAATGAGCCTCGCTCGAGTCGTGTCGCCCCCGCCTCTCCACCACCTCCACCACCGCCACCACCACCTCCACCACCACCGCCGCCGCCGCCGCCACCACCACCACCTCCACCGCCGCTGCCGCCGCCACCGCGATAAGGCGGTGCGCAAAAACGGGAGCCGGGAGAGGCTTCCGCGCCGGGCGGGGATAAAACCGCGACCCCCTGGGGAGCCCCGCGCGCGCAACGGGTCCCGTGCAGCGCCACCCACAGAGGACAATGTCCCTCCCGGCTGCCCTGACCCTGCCGGCTGCCCTGGCCCTGCCGGCTGCCCTGACCTTGCCGGCTGCCCTGGCGCTACCGGGTCGCCTGGCGCTCCTGTTCGCTGCCCTGCTCGTTGGTGAGCAGCACCCCCGCACCACCACCAACACCGCCGCCACAGCCACCCAAGCCGATCAGCGCGCAGAGAGGTATCAGCCGGTCGCCCGCAGTAAACGTGGGCAACGCAGGTAAAAATAAATAATGAAAATAAATAATAAACTAATAGAAATAATAATAGAAATAAAATAAAAAATCACGACGTTTCGGGCGCAACACAAGCGTCCATCATCAGGTGGGACAACCACAGCAAGAAACAATTGCTGAAGTGGGCAAAAGAGCTGCTGTAGCAAGGGGCTATATCGGTGGGTATTACCTTGTTATCGACTTTACCGAAAAAACCTAAGAGTATGAATCTTTGCAGTCACGAAAGCTTCAAATCTAGAATTAATACCCTCTACGGGGAGGAATTCCACCTATCTGTTAGAGTTTTTAACAGACAACGAGACAAGAAGTCACAGCTTCTCGGGACGCTGGCCTTCCTCAAGAGATGCCGCGATAACAAGGTAATACCCATCGCTTTCACACTCGCATCTGCTGACCTATATAGCCCCTTGTTACAGCAGCTCTTTTGCCCACTTCAGCATTTGTTTCTTGCTGTGGTTGTCCCACCTGTTGCGCCCGAAACGTCGTGATTTTTTCCCTATTATTATTTCAATTATTTTATTATTTATTATTTATTTTTACCTACGTGACTTTACCGAAAAAACCTAAGAGTATGTGGCCAACGCTGGCGCATGTGGTGAGCCGAGGTGGTCGGCAACCTGCAGCTCCTGGAGCTACAGCGCGGATCTTCGAGGGCTGCTTGCAGAGGCCGCAACGGCCGTCTCGTCTTCATACTTACCGCGGTTCTTGAAATGTTGAGTTTTGTTGTTGTTTGTTTACCGAATTCAAATAAAAATGGCTCTTCTCGTTATCGGTAAATGCCACCGCTGAGCAGATAAGCCTCTTTTCGACCGAGGCTATGGCGTCAAATGCCACGTGCGCGGTGCCTCGACTCGCTGTGGCATCTTCGTATGTGTGTGTATGTGTGTGTGTTGAACCAGGGTTCATCGCAGGTGTGATTATAATTTGGGTACGTGCCACTGAATATAAGAATAGGTGTTGCCCTTTCTGGCAATACGACCGTTTGTGTTAAGATGTTAAAAAACCAAACAGAATAATGTTTCGAGGGACCCTGTCTACATGAACCACGCACGGAACTTGTGGTGAACACGCGACCGCAAGTCCCGTGCGTGGTTGATGCAGACAGGGTTCGTTGAAAAAGGTTTCTGTTTGGTGTTTTAACATCTTAACACAACTGTTTTATTGGCAGAAAGGGTAAAATCTATCGTCGTATTTTGATACTGGCGAGAAAGTTCCCATAGTGTAACTGAATGTTTTCTCAAAAGTATTTTTTAAAAATCGTAATCGATTCATTTGTGAACTGCAACGAGGGCGTGGTTGTATAAAACCCAATTAATGAGACGTGCACCTCCTCCTAAAACTCTGCCAGCACTGGCGACGCATGCGTGCTTACGTGCATGTGTACCTTGAACTTCTTTTGCACCGTACGTAGCCAACACCACACTCCTCCTCACCTGCACCGCTCGTCGAGACCACATCGCCCGGGATGCTTGCACACTGCTGGTACCACTGGCTCCACGTCCCAGATCGTTTTCAAGATCTCACTCTCCTCCATCATCTGGATCTGCCATGGACTCACCCCTGCCTACTGATTTAATCTCCAACTACAAAGACCCCCCCTGATAGCCTTAAACATACTTTTAGGACAAGTGCTGTTATCGAGCACCTATGAAGGCCGGCACGGTACATGTGTACGTTGAACTTCTTTCGCACCGTACATAGCCAACCGCGCTAATCGGAGGTACACAATGGAGTGGGTGGCCAGCACCACGCCCGACCGCCTTTGTCTCCCCAGTGCCGATGTTTACACTACTGCACCAGGCACTACTCATTTGAGGCTGAGTTGACCTAGGGAGGTGAGGTGGTCCGGGACCGCTCACAATTATAATCGTCACGTGTGCTCGGCACGAGCGGGATTTGAACTCGGGCCGCCGGGTGCGCGGCTCGCTAACCGCTGCCCCACCACTCCCCACACTCACTCTCCCACTTGTCCTGGGTTAACTGTGATCGCAAAACTGAAAAACTGAAATGTCACGATGTTAGTTTGCTGTCCTTCCCCCGCACCTCCGATAAAGCACGGCTGGCTACGTACGGTGCGAAAGAAGTTCTCCATACGAAGCGAGAGTGTTCTGGACGGGTTTCACCGTTCACTGGCTCGTCAGCAGCCGTGATTGGCCGATTGTAACTGGCCGTCGGAGTCACCGCGTGGCGTCTCGCTGCTCTGACAGGAGAGACTTTATCCGGCAACTCGGACTGCCTCTCCCAGCGGCTCGAGTGCGACTCCGACCCCAGCTGTGGTAGCGTGATCGCCATGCTGGAGTACAACTGTGACCCCACAGGTAAGTGGTGGGTCAGAGGGGTGAGTGGGTGGTGGAGGCTGTGTGCCGTGCTAACAGCACTTGCCCCAACAGTCTGTTTAGGCTATACGGGGGGATATTTGTAAATCATAATTAATAGCCTTATAGACACATAGGGTACCATTTAACACGTAGGCTTTCGCGACCAATATCCATAATAGAGGTTTTTTGGATTATATCGCGTAAATATTTAACTGTCTGAAGGATGATTGAATATTATCGACGATTCAGCATGAGGTTGTGCAGCTATTATTATGGGACGTGTCCCATAACTCGATAAACACCACCGCTGAGTCGATAACCCTTTTTCGGTTGAGGCTATGGCCTCAAATCCCACGTGCGCGTTCCACGTTATAAAGGTGCACATTCCGCAATACCTCCCCACCCCTTCCACTGTGACCTCCGCCCGTAGCGAGCGACCGCGACCCCGCGGCCGACCCGGTCGCGTCGGCCCACCGCTGCCGGGAACCCCACGACTGCCGCGCCACTCGCGCCTTCGCTCAGCTGCGCTGGCCCCGCCTGACCTCCTGCTCCTGCGGCGGAGGGGAGGAGGGGGACGGAGACCGGCACGGGGACCCCCGCGCGTGTCTCAGGCTCCGGGGCCTCTTCACGGAGGCGTGCGGGCCCGGACAGAGCGGTACGCTTTGGGCCCGGAGCGCCAACAGGCGTCGCCGGAATCGCGTTTGCAAGTTTGCTCGAGGCAGGGTGCGAGCCTCGGGTTGATGACCCCTCCCTGTGGTTTCACCTGTGTCCAGGGCCGGGCGGGGACCCGGGCCGCCCCCCTCGCCGCTGCGCGCCACCCTGGTGGCGCTGCCGGGACGAGGGCCCCTCCTGCCGCGCGGAGCTGGCGAAGGTGACGCGCGCCTGCGGCTCCCGCGCCGAGCGGCCGTGCCCGCGGTGCCAGGAGGCCGCGGCGGCACGGAGGGACGAGCGGTGCCGGCGGGCGTGGGAGGCGGCACGCAACGCCTCCTGCCTCCACCCGGCGCCCGGCGGCGGTGGCGGCGGCGGTGGTGGCGGTGCAGCCGAGGTGGCGTCCGCTCTCGCCGCCGCGCCCCTCGGCAAAGCCAAAGGTGCGAGATTCAGGGCAGGGGCGGTGGGATCTTGGGACTTACCTATTTAGGAGGAGCGGTTCCCGACATTATATCAGTTGAACGCGTAGTTGGCGTTCGCGACCAATAATATCCGTATTACAGGTTTTTTGGGTTAGATCGCGTAAATATATAAATGTGTCGTTAAACCCGCAAACACCCGACACACACGAATATGATTGTCGCCTGATGCGGCTAGTTGTGAATACTGGCGAAACGTCGTACTCATATTGTAAATGTTGTGGCTTGGCTCTCCAACACACTGGTGTGCTGTACTAGTGACGAATTGGCCACGTTCTGTTTACGTGACAACCCTTACTAGTTGGCTGTGTCGGGTGGTGGCGGGTTTAACGACACATTTATATATTTACGCGATCTAACCCCCTAAAAAAACCCCTCTATTATGTTAAATATCAATTAAACACCAATTGTCAGGGTCTCGTGGTCCCCCCCACCACCCACTCCCCACCCCCCGGCCTTGGATCTGCAGCTGATGCAGGGCGGGTTCGGGATGCACGGGGATTGGACCCGGCCATGGGGCAGGGGTTGTCGCCACCCTTTGGAATTTGGTTTGCGTCCAATTTAAATGGGCAACTCGTGCGAATGACGTCACGGCGTGCGCAATGTCCACTTGCGCGTGAAGCAGACGTCGCGTAGTTTAGTGGAGCGGAGTGTTTTCACGGTTTAACGAAGCACCGCAGCATTAACCAGGGCGGCCCGATAGTTTCCAGACGCGACGAGCGGCAAACGCGCGGCCGCTGGGCCAACTTCACCGGCCATTTCTCATCATACACCAGTGGCGGGTGGGGGGGGGAGAGGGGGGAGGCTTTAACTACCTCACCTGGTATGCAGGAGGTCATTGGTTTGATCCCGACCCTGACGCCTGCTGTATATTTGGAGTTTGCATTTCTCTCTCCCCGTGATCGCGTGGATTTTTCATCTGTTTTATTCCTCCACATTTCGAATCATACGTTTAGAATAATTTGGCTGCTGTACATTTCCACACGATAAGCCACTTCGTTGAGTTATCATTTGTGGCCCGGCTGCTTCTGTAAAATAGCCATATAGCCCAGTGTGCATTACCTGGTTCAATCAAAAAAGATATACACACTTTAGCTTAGTAGTTTAGTTTATAGTTGCGGCCACGTCTGACCGTTGCGTTGCGTGCTCCGCGCTCTGCTGCTGCTGCGCTCGCAGACACGGCGGGGAAGGCTTCCGCTGCGGACGCCTCGAGCGGCGCGGCCTGGAAGTCGAGCCGCCTCTACCAGCTCCGTCAGTACCAGCGCCTCGCGCATGCCACACACCGCCCCGAGCTCCCAGCGCGCTCTTCCAGAGATGGACGGCGATACCTCGAGGACAACTTTCACCGAACGAAAACACAAAGGGGAATCGGCGAGGCGAATGCCAAAAGCTTAATTTTAGCTTGGCAAATGCATTCCTCTCGTGCTTAAGGGTCACCGAAATGTTTTCGGAGGCCCGGAGCGATATGACGGACGAGGTGCTCTCAGTTTGCCCTCCACCCTCCTTTCCAAAGGCCACCCCCCCCCCCCCCCACTTCTGATCTGAGGCCTGGGGGAAAACTTGCGTTACAGCGCACTAATTGGAGGTGATCCCGCACCTCCGTTGAGCACGGTTGGCTATGTACGGTGCAAAAGAAGTTCAACGTGCATACACGCAGTGAAAGTATTCACGAACAGGTGCGTGCGAAGTTTTTGGGATTTTGCTTTCGACTGGGACACCTGTAACAAATGCAAATGTACACTGAAGCGGCGATGTGTTTTTCAAATTGTCATCACGATGGCGAACACCCTGATATATCGTCGTGAACATCTCTCCCTGGTTCATAATAATATGCTGCACAGTGGCAGTGGAGGTCGCAAAATGCACGTGCCACCCCCCCCCCCCCCCCCACTGGTCGTGAACTTTATACAACTTCTGCAAGTCGTTCTCATCACGAGGTACCATCGTATTTTGATATTAAAAGACATTCAACATCCCGTAAGTGTCATTAAACCCGCCACCACCCGATTAATAAGGTTTGTCACGTAAACAAAACGTGCCAAATTAATTACTCGTTCAGCACACCAGTGTATCGGAGAGTAAACCCACGACTCAATCTACAATTCGAGTATCGTGGCGTTTCGCCCGTAATCACAACAACAACAACCAGCATCAGCATCATCAGGCGAGTTGCAGAGAAATCCTCTTCCTGTTTCGGTCTTCACGCCCACGGGTTGACTCCTGCGCTGCCTCCCGCAGAGCGCGGCCTGTCGGCCTCGTGCTCCCAGACGGTGCCGCTCTGCCTGGGGGACGCGCCCTGCAACCGGCGCGTGGTGGCGTTGGCGCGCTCCTGCGCCGCCCCCTGCGAGCCCGAGCGCTGCTTGGCCGCCACGCGGGACTTCTACCACGACATGCCGTACCGCGTCGCCGAGCGCCTGCTGCTGTGCACCTGCGCCGCCTCCTCCTCCTCCTCCTCCTCTCCATCCTCTTCATCTTCCGCCGCGGCGGCTACGGAGGAGGACGAGGGGGAGGATGCCGAGTGCCGGGACGTGCGTGCCGCTTTCCACCAGCAAGCCTGCAGCTCGGCGTCGCCCGGGCTGCCCGCCACCCCGCCGGGCTGCCTGGACGTGCTGGCCGCTTGCCAGGCCGACCCTCTGTGCAGGTAGGAGGTCACCGTGGTGGGAGGTCACCGTGGTAGGAGGTCCTTGTGGTAGGCGGTTGTCCGCGGTAGGAGGTCACCGTAGTGGGAGGTCGCCGTGGTAGTTGAGAGTTTATTTTGTATATGTGTGTATGTTGAGCTTCTTTCGCACCGTATGTAGCCGACCGTGCTAATCGTAGGTGCGGGTTACTCACGGGACCAGGATAGTCACATTTGAAAGTGACCCCGTGTCCTTTCCCACTGGCTACAGCTCCTCCAGGCAGACGAAGCTGATTTGAGAAAGTTAATGAGCGAGTGGGTGAATGAGTGGGTGGGTGAATGAGTGGGTGAGTGAGACGGTGGGTGAGAAGGTGGGCGAGTGGTGGGTAAATGATTGAGTGAGATGATGAGTGAGCGAGCTTTTGGACGAGCTAAATATAGCGTTTATTTTGTTTAACCGGATGGGAACTCAAGAGACCGTAATGACCTGGGTTCACAAACACCGACGTCACGTGACACATCGAAAAACCATTGCACGAAATGAAAGTCGACGCGAAACAATTCCTCGTGGCGGTAAGCCCGCTCGCGCAGATCAATCCTTAGTCTTGATCATCGTGCAATGACAATAGAGCGCTACGTAACGCTCAGCCGCCCTCATTCGTCGCGCGAAACGTGCGACCTCTTGCGACGGCAAGAGGTCGCACCTCCGATTAGCACGGTTGGCTACGCACGGTGAGAAAGCAGTTCAAAATACATGTGTATGTCCTGCTACACCATTACCCACTGCTGCGCACTCACACTCCGACCCTCCATCTTTACAACCACCACCACTACCCACAAAATCACCGTCACGTGTCTGGGGATGGGGGTATGGGCGAGGCCTAAGCGTAAAGAGGCGGAGCCTGAGGAAGAAGGGGAGGGCTCTAAAAGGGAAAGGCGCAGAGCCAACAGAGGTGGGGGGGGTCTACAAGAAGGAGCGAGTCCTGTAGACGTTGAACTTCGCTGTTGATTTAAGGTAATCGACGCACAGAATCAAACACATTCTGCAGGCAACAGCAGAGCTTTAGTGCCGCAGATGCGTTCAGAGGCCGACTAATAAACTCAACTATTAAACAGGTTTATTTTATTTTACCAGGTAAGGGCCACTGAGCTATATAGCTCTTTTTCAGAAGCGACCTGGCTAGAACTGATAGCTCAATGAAGTGGCTTATCGCGTGCAAATGTATATCAGCCAAATACTCTAAACGCGTGATGTTGATTCTAAATGTGGAGGGGAAAACCGGAGGACCAGGAGAAAAATCCACGCGACCACGGGGAGAGAGAGAGACACCGCAATTACAAATATGCAGCAGCAGGCGTCACGGCCGGGATCGAACCCGCGACCTCCTGCATACCAGGCGAGGCAGTCAACATCTCGCCACCGCGACAAGCTGTGATATATAACGCCGGGGCGCACGCGTGCGCGTGTGTGTGTGCGTGTGTGCGTGTGTGTGTGTGTGTGCGTGCGCGTGTGCGTGCGCGTGTGCGTGTGTGTGTGCGTGTGTGTGTGTGTGTGTGCGTGCGTGTGTGTGTGTGTGTGCGTGTGTGTGCGTGTGTGTGTGTGTGTGGTGGTGTGTGTGTGCGTGTGTGTGTGCGTGTGTGTGTGCGTGTGTGTGTGCGTGTGTGTGTGTGTGTGTGCGTGTGTGTGTGTGCGTGTGTGGTGTGCGTGTGTGTGTGCGTGTGTGTGTGCGTGTGGTGTGTGTGTGCGTGTGTGTGTGCGTGTGTGTGTGTGTGTGTGCGTGTGTGCGTGCGTGTGTGTGTGTGCGTGTGTGTGTGTGTGCGTGTGTGTGTGCGTGTGTGTGTGTGTGTGTGCGTGTGTGCGTGCGTGTGTGTGTGTGTGTGTGCGTGTGTGCGTGTGTGTGTGTGTGTGTGTGCGTGTGTGTGTGTGTGCGTGTGTGTGTGTGCGTGTGTGTGTGTGTGCGTGTGTGTGTGCGTGTGTGTGTGTGTGTGTGCGTGTGTGCGTGCGTGTGTGTGTGTGTGTGTGTGCGTGTGTGTGTGCGTGTGTGTGTGTGCGTGTGTGTGTGTGTGCGTGTGTGTGTGCGTGTGTGTGTGTGTGTGTGCGTGTGTGCGTGCGTGTGTGTGTGTGCGTGTGTGTGTGTGTGTGTCTTGCAGCCAGCGCTACGCGAACTACGTGGGCAAGTGCGCTGGCGCGAGCCCCTACTGCACGCGTGACGAGGCGTGCCGGCGGGCGTACGTGGCCACGCGAGGCACCGTGCTGCAGAGGGCCTGCGCGTGCGGAGGGGGGGCGGCCGGCGACCGGGAGGCCTGCCTGCTCTTCTACAACGCGCTGCACAACGCGTCGCACCTCGGCAAGGCCCGCGCGTGTTGTGTTTTCTCTGCGCCTGGGTTTGGGGGCCGCTCCGCTCCGCTCCCCCCCTCACTCCCTCCGCGATTTTGGGCCGTCTCCAGGTCGGGTGTTGAGTTGGCAGAAAATAGCTGGAGGCAAAAAACACTTCGACCCCAGGTCTGATAAAAATCTAAAATAGCACCGACATACCTAGGCCCAGGTCTTGTTCTTGTGTGTTGCCTTCTTCTGATATTATAAAGCCACTGGAGCTGTGCACTTTTAAATCGAGATTGGAAACTAATTTCTTAAAAACTGCTTGTATAATGCTAGTTTGTTATCTTTCCCCCGCACTTCCGATTCGCACAGTTGGCTATGTACGGTCGTGAAAGAAGTTCAACCTACGTGCACACATTGAAAGAAGTTGATCAGCAATGTGGATATGCACATGGCGAGGCTGTCGAGTGAGCAGCTTCAGGAGTGGCCTCAAATCTGAAACACTGGCGGCGAGCGATCGATGAGAGCAGTAACGTTGCTACGAGGTCCACGGTTCGAGGTCTAGACTCGCGTGGAGATTCACAGAATCACACAGAGCCCCAACAGACTCGCGCAGAGACCCATCGATCAATGATGGGAGTGGGCAGCGGCATTACTTTGCGGTCCGTGATCTGTGATTGGTGAGCGGCAGTCGCACCTCCTACATCGGTGTAGTATGAGCAGGTGGCCGCATAAGCCGTGCGATGTTCTGATGCGGTGCACCACAGACCGTTGATTGACACCGGGAGGTTCTTCGGCGGGATCAGACCATGCAGCGTCCGCTAGGAACATCGGCGTTGTCTCTGGTTGCGCTCAGCTGAGCCTCAGGGTCGAGTGAATGGTGCCTTGGGAGTTTTACGCTGGGTTGCTCGTGCGTTCGAAAAAGCACGGGGGAGGGACTGGCGCAATATGCCATGTGGGTGCACGTGGGCCAAATGCGACGGGGCAATGTTGTCGCCTTGCCACTGTGAACGAGTATGGGGGGGGGGGGGGGTTGCAGAACCAGCGGCCGACGCCCCCCCGCTCGTGTGAATCTTGCAGCAGTGGGCTAATTGCGCGTTCGTGTTGGCCTCCGCAGTTGCTTGCGACAAGTTTCGCCTCGACGGCCTGGAACCGGTGGGGAACGCGGTCTCGGCAGGCTCCCTGGACAAGCTGATTACAGCATCGTCCAGTCTGGGTGAGTTGCTGCTCGCCCCGTCGGCGCTTTCACCACGTTTGCATTTCTACAATTCCTGCGGGGGGGTGGGGGGGGTGTGGGGCGGTGGGGGGGGGGGGGGCCCTTGGGTCACGTGGTCCCAATGTGAAAGAGCCGCGCACGTGCCACCCCTTGCACCCTGCAGGGCCCCTGCTGTGGGCGCTGGCCTACTCTGGGGGGCTTCTGCTGGGTTCGGCGGTCGCCTGCCTCCTGCTGCTCAGGTGGCGGTAAGCGCTCGCATCACCCCCTCGCCCCCCCCTACCCTCCCCCCCCCAGTCCGCCACCACTTCCAGTCGGAGCGCGGTGCCATGCCCCTTGCAGAACGCGTCGCGGGTCAACGAGAAACTTTGACCCCCCCCCCCCTTGCCCCCGGTCGCACCTCCGACTAATTAGCGCCGAAAGGAGTTCAAGGTACGTAAGTACGCAAAACTTTTTTTTTTTAAAGATGACGGTCGTACGTTGAACCTCTTTCGGCGCCAACCGTGCTAGTCGGGGGTGCGGGGAGAAGGACAACAAACGAAACGCAAAAATGCGGTTCTAAAGAAATTAGTTTTCAATTAAAAGAGAAAAGAGTTGTCAATGATGCGGCCCTGCAGCCTCGTGGTGGCTACGCACGGCACGCCTCGACTGACTCGCCTTCGGTCCAGCCCTGTGGAGGCAGCAGCAGCAAGCAGCAGCAAGCAGTAGCAGCAAGCAGCAGCAGCAAGCAGTAGCAAGCAACAAGCAGCAGCAGCAAGCAGCAGCAAGCAACAAGCAGCAGCAGCAAGCAGCAGCAGCAGCAAGCAGCAGCAAGCAACAAGCAGCAGCAGCAAGCAGCAGCAGCAAGCAGCAGCAGCAAGCAACAAGCAGTAGCAGCAAGCAGCAGCAAGCAACAAGCAGCAGCAGCAACAGCAAGCAGCAAGCAGCAGCAAGCAACAAGCAGCAAGCAGTAGCAGCAAGCAGCAGCAGCAAGCAGCAACAAGCAGCAGCAAGCAGCAGCAGCAAGCAGCAGCAAGAAGCAGCAAGCAGCAGCAGCAAGCAGCAAGCAGCAGCAGCAAGCAGCAGCAAGCAGCAAGCAGCAGCAGCAGCAAGCAGCAGCAAGTAGCAAGCAGCAACAAGCAGCAACAAGCAGCAGCAAGCAGTAGCAAGCAGCAAGCAGCAGCAAGCAGCAAGCAGCATCAGCAAGCAGTAGCAAGCAGCAGCAAGCAGCAGCAGCAAGCAGCAGCAAGCAGCGAGGGTTGGTGGATCATGGTACAGATGCCTGCGAAACTCCCTTCCCGTGAGGGGGGGGGGGGCATCGAGGAGGTGCGGCACAGCCAGGGGACTCATCCCCATCTGGAGGGGATAGAGCGTTGCCCCCTCGCTCAAGGTGTGGGGTTTCTCCAGGGTGCTCCGGTTTTATCCTCCCCACGTGATGAATATACGCGACTCGTCGCTGCAGACATCTTACAGGTAAATAACTCAGTGGAGCAGCAGCGGCGGTGGTAGGACCCCTCCTCAAAAAGAGTTCTACGACTCCTGAATATAAAGTAAAGAATTATCTCATCGTCTTGCAAGGTTAAAGCTGTTTCGTGGCTCTATCGAGAGACCCGCTCCTGAAGGCCACGCCAAGATTGTCGTCTGAGCACAACCGCGTACCACGACACACAAGTGGTGCGGCGCACAGAACCCGTGAGGGCATCACCACGCGTGGTCCCTGAGCAGCGCGCACGTTGCGTCCCACAGAGCGGCCGCCGCTGTTGCTGCTGCATTAGGGGGAAGTGGTGGCTCGAAGATGTTAACTACCTCGCCTGGTATACAGGAGGTCGTGGGTTCGATCCCGGAACCTGACGCCTGCTGCTGCTGTATATTTGGAGTTTGCGGTGTCTCTCTCTCTCTCTCCCCGTGGTCGCGTGGATTTTCCTTCGGCTCCACCTTTTTTTTTCCCTCCACGTTGAGAATCAACTTTATGCCTTCAAAGAGTATTTGGCTGCAATGAATTCCCACGCGATGATGATGGTGAGTCCCTTCGTCGTGGAGCTACCATTTGTGATGACCAGGTCGCTGCTGAGAAAGAGCGACTTAGACAGCTCAGTGGGCCTTCTCAACCGGGTGAAATAGAACATCGTCTAGAGGGGTTTTGTCGTTGTCGTCGTCGTTGTAAGTGGTGGCAGCAGGAGGATGAAGAGGAGGAGTAGCCGAACAACGAAGATAGAGGTCGGGGATGGCCGACCCTGGCCATCCAGGCCGACCCGGGCCATCTCCGACCCTGGCGTTGACGAGCGGGCCAAAGTCGCGCCCTGTGGCCAAGGGGCCCGCGTGTTTGCCCCGCGGTGCGCCACCCACCTCCACTTTGTTACCATGGTCGATCCCCCAACCTTAACCCCCCCACCTCCACCACCACCACCTCGCCAGCCACCACCTGCCCATTAAGTCCCCGAATTGTTTCCGTTTTAAGCGGTCGTTAATTTCGCCCCGGATCGCTGCTTCTTCAACGCAGCTGAGCGCGCCGTGATCGCGAGTGATTGAGAGAAAGCGCAGTTGCTCAGCCGTGGGACCTCGTTCTGTTTCTATGTACAGTACAACAACCAGCCCCCCCCCCCTCCCTCTGGAGTGGTCGGAGACCCTCAGTGCTCGCCACAGGGGCAACGTGTGTTCTCGTGCGGGTTTAAGGTCCGTAACCCACCCCCCGAGTTTACGGACGCCAGCTGCCAAAGAACAAACCCCGTCGCTGCACGATATCCCCAGCCCCTGATGCGTCAGTCGCAATTTGCCCCTTCTCTGTGCCTTGCTGCGAGCATCTCAATAAAGGCTGTGGCCTTAAAGAGGTGCAGGATGTATGTACGCGTGTTGAACTTCTTTCGCGCCGTACGCAGCCAACCGCGCTAATTGCAGTTGGGGGCGGGGGGGGGGGGCAACAAACTAAACCCAAAAAGCAGTTCTAAAGAGGAGAGTTTTCAATCTAGATTTAAAGTGCACCGCTCCAGTGGCTTCCTAATCATAGCCAGAGGGCCCATCCTCACTCTTACCACGCTGCCGCTCTGCCATGTGCTATGAAGAAGGTGCATCACCCTAAACGTCGCCTGTTGCAGTTAAAATGTTCAGGCCACATGCACACACACGGTGGTGTTATCGATTATATTTGAGTCTATGTTTTGATTGATAAAAATCGCCTTTCGCCAAGGCGTCTGCCAATGCTTGCCGACTAGGGTACAAAATGGGTAAATAAGAGAATTATGGGCTGGGTGAAGTTGGGCCGTTGGTAATCGGGTTTGGGAAAAGGAATGAGATGTGGGCAGCAGAGGAAGGAGGCGATGGTGGCAAGGGGTTGAAGGAGGAATGAGTGGAGCGCGAGAGTGGATGAGGCTGATAGAAGGGGGTTGCGTAAGAGGTGGACGGTACGGTATGAAGTGAGCGCACGGAATGATCGGGTCAATGGGTTGCTCGGCTGAGCTGAGATGAGGGTAGATTGAGGGTAGATTGAGATGAACGCGTTGAGTTGTTTTGCTTGTGCCGATCTTTGTTTTGCTTTACAGGAACAGCGTGAAGCTGAAAAGACGCTCACCGCACTCAGAGAAGAGACCCAAGACCACGTCTGTCGACGCTTTAGGCAAATGACAGTCACGGTTTATGCGTCGTAATTATTGTCCGTGCAATCACTGTAATGCCGTGCGTGTGGTCGTGAAATTATTCCTAAATAATAAAATACTCCGTCTTATCTTCGTCGGGTATGTGACGTTATTTTTTTTGTCGCATAGCGCGGTCGCGACTACACTTAATGACAGTTTCATTTTATACAGCGTCGTTCATGCCAACAGCATCCCACAACGCTGTACATGAATTCTACATAAGGACCGAATCCCATATATGCGAAAAAGCCCAACACACACACCGAGAAAATGAAAAGCCTACGACTACCAAGCAGAATCAACACATTGATAAACGAATTAAGAAATGACACCAAAACACAAAGTGCAAATAACAAGAGAGTTATTACAACCAACAACTTACACGGCTTCACTTCGCTCTGCTCGGTCGTAGTAGATGCTTGCCAAAATAAGAGCGCACAAATTGAAACTGCCTGCCGAGTAGCGCACACAGCAAGGCCGGAGCCATGGAGTCAACATTATTGGGGGGGACCAAATCTTCCAGGGTGTCTGGGGGTCCCAACCCAGAAAAATATCTATATTTGAAAACTCATTTCCTGTCTAAAATAAAATAAAATTCACTAACACATTGGATGGATTTTTTTTTACAATAATGTCTAATAGTGTATTGTATTACATTGTTCTGTTTTAACTTTTTTTTTTTACCATTTCTTGTGTCATTGTATGTAATGGCAGAGATTAGGGATTAATAAAGTACAACTATAATCATATAAACAGAAATCTATGCATTGATTTATATGAAGACAAGTCCAGATATTGTGGCCAAGGTTTAGCAAATTGTTCTTTATATTTACATAGCAAGGCAAACATTTTTAATAGCAATATATTGGGGGAGGGGGGACATTTTGAGCATATTTAAATATTGATGGGGGTTGTGTCCCCCTCAATATTCGTTATAATTACGGCCTTGGCACACAGCATTGCCCACGTCCGAGCGCATAGCCGCCAACGAGTGAATTCAAACCGCATTCAATATTAGGAAGCCAATGGAGATTGATTGAAAACTCATTTTTTAAAACTACTTTTTACGTGTTAGTTTGTTGTCCCCCCCCCGTACCTCCAGATGAGCACAGCTGTCTACGTACGGTGCGAAAGAAGTCCAACGTACATACATAAGTATGGGCCTCTCTGCGTTTCTGTGGGTCTCTATGGTTCGATACGAGTATCTGGTTCTCTGTGGGTCTCTTCCGATACCACCGCCACCTCCCCACTTTTCAATTTGTAACATTAAAGAATGTAAAATGTCCAGGGTTTACATTTTAAAGAGATAAACACACGGGGAGGGGCTAATCGACGGCGAGAGAACAGAAAAGGCAGTGTTGCGTTAAACGTGTTAAATATTGTCTCGCAGAGGGTTGTAATTGACGCAGTAAACGGTGCTGGGGTTATGATTTGTATGCACAGTTGTGAACGTGACGTTCATAATGGAATATATAAATGCACAGAGTTTATCACTCTGCCTTGGTTAGAGTCAATTACCGACAGCGCATTATTGCTTCCACATGGTACATGTTCATGATCCATGTTCTCACTCAAGCATATTTTTTTAAAGTCTAATCTTTGAAATCGCTGATGATAGCAAATAAAATAGAATCACGAATATTGTTCGAAATTTGGTGAATTACAAAAAAAATGTTCCAAGACCAAAACACTGAAATGTAAGAGTCCAACAGTTATGCGTAATAAATAACAAAACACCATACCGTGGCAATTTATAAACTTATTCTGCTATTACATGTATGTGTGGTGGTCTTTTTTAAAAGAAGGATGTAAAACATTTCACGGACAGACAAGATGAGTAACAAACGTGTTACGGATACCAGCAGGGTACACAACAAGACAATTAATAAGAATAATTAGAGACAAGGTAGGGTTAGATTTATTGGAAAAAAATATTCAACAAGATACTAAATATAAAAGTTGCTTTAGCTGGGAACGTGAGGTGGTACCACAAGGAGCTGGGAAAGACAGCACAACAAGTTCCACGAGCAATTTCAACAATTGGATGCAACTTGGAGAATACGAAGCACAGTTAGTTTGTAAGTATGTTGAACTTCTTTCACACCGCGTGTAGCCAACCGTGATAAGTTTTTTTTTTAAGTTTAATGAACCATCTTGCCAGGATTGGGCAAAACTGAGTGCATGTTTCACCGAGGCAACCAGAGGGCACAGACTACGTGTTTCTAACATAACGTAGCATGCACCAGCTGCATGCGGCTCTTTAAGGACTGCTTCGTGACGTTAAATGTTAAGGACCCGCTGTCTCGTTTTCACCACAATGCATTGCGGCTCTAGAAATATTGAGTGTTTTTTTTTTAAATACTGAATTCTAACAAAAAAATCTCTCTTCTTGTTATTTTGGCTGCCAACCTCTGGGCCTCGCCCCCACCCAGCATTGTGCGATCACGCCAGCAGGTCGCCTGAGCTGGCACGGGTAGCCTGAGATGACACGGGTAGCATGAGCTGGCACGGGTAGCGTGAGCTGGCACGGGTAGCGTGAGCTGGCTCGGGTAGCATGAGCTGGCTGGGTAGCCTGAGCTGGCACGGGTAGCGTGAGCTGGCTCGGGTAGCATGAGCTGGCACGGGTAGCTTGAGCTGGCACGGGTAACGTGAACTGGCTCGGGTAGCATGAGCTGGCACGGGTAGCGTGAGCTGGCACGGGTAGCCTGGGCTGGCACGGGTAGCGTGAGCTGGAACGGGTAGCATGAGCTGGCACGGGTAGCATGAGCTGGCACGGGTAGCATGAGCTGGCATGGGTAGCCTGAGCCTGCACGGGTAGCATGAGCCTGCACGGGTAGCATGAGCTGGCACGGGTAGGATGAGCTGGCACAGGTAGCTGGCTCAACAGTGCGCCCTGGCGGTCACGTTTGGTGTCTACACCCAGCGGTGTCAGAATCAGAATCTTTCTACTGGTAGGAACCTCCTGGTTACACCAGCCCACACGGGATTATTGTGTCCGTCCGTCCGTCGTGAATCCAAAAATGGGAGGGGTGGGGCTGGGTGGAGAGGGGAGGGTGGGGAGGGGCTGGGTGGGGAGGGTGGGGAGGGGCTGGGTGGGGAGGGTGGGGAGGGGCTGGGTGGGGAGGGTGGGGCTGAGTGGGGGGTGGAAGGGGTAGGGGGTGGGAGGGGTGGTGCTGGGTGGGGAGGGGCTGGTCACCCCGTGGTGCCCTTATAAAACTCAACGTTTAACCTACTCACGCCGGCTTGTGCCCGCCCTCACAGTCAGGCATATTTGCGGAATACACCACGCCGCCGTTGACCCTGGCCATTGACCGAGCAACCCAACGTTCCTACCATCTCCCTCTGCAGGGATGTGTTTTGTACTGGAGGAATCCGATTGGCTATAAAGCTCTTTGACGCAGATATCCAGTCGAGGCGGGTCAGAACGTTACAACAACAAACCACACAACACCACTGTGGGAGTGTAAAGTAGAGGGAAGGTAAACATCACTTTAAAAAAAGACACCAATACGTGTAAAACTAAGCTATGTTTTGTACATTACCGGGTAAATCCCACTGAGCTATTAACTTATTCTTCAGAAGCGACCTGCCCATAAATGATAGCTCAACAAAGTGGCTTATTATGTGCGTATTTATAGCAGCAAAATAATCTAAATAATAATAATGTCACGTTGGGTGGGTAACGTGCAGTTTTTTATCCACAAATCTCTGCCCCCCCCCAAAAAAATGAAACATGCTTCAAATCGCTTTAAATTATTGTCCTTGTAGTGCGTATTTAATGTGGCGCTGCACTCTGATGTTGTAGGAGTGTTGTTATAACAATTAGTGTTGTTATAACAATTCGATATTTATTTAAAGTTGCGCATTTTGATGTGACGTCACATTTCTGAACGCCCCCCCCCTCGTCACACATCGTCACAAATGTCTGACCCCCCCTCCCGAGGTGCGTGACGTCATTTATGGGCGGCCCCATACTGTCGGCGAATGTGCCGAGTTGCGTTCGACTATGCTTGTGCACCACTGCCAATGCAGTAGCAGCAGCAGCAGAGCAAAATGAATGTGTCTCGCTGTCATCATGTCTTCTCACCCTTGTCGAGGACCAGAAGCTGTGAATTGTGTTTAGGGTGGTTACATTCGGAGTTTTGGCATGGGAACCCTCCCCGGTAAAAAAAAAACCGGTAAGAGGCGGTTCGCCGCACGGACAGAAATGCCGAGAGGCAATACACATTTATTATGGTTTATCATTTTCAACTGAGAATCGAAGGGAGTTGTCGCAGTGGTGTTAAGGATAACCGCCACACTGGGCCTGCAATCCAGAGGCGCACCGGCTCGATTCCATCTCCCGGCGCGGAAGTTTAAATAATTGAGCAAGTTTATGAAGTCCCCCACCGCGGTATGAGAAGCAGAATCTTTCTTTTAGGCTGCAGGGTGGTGAAGTAAAGTGTGGGTATCGCCACCTGTTCCGACTAAAGTTCCACTGGAAGCGATTATCGGTTCTTGGCTTTGCAAAATCGGTAACTGATTCTGAGAACGTTTACTGGTTTGCCATTTAACCGGTTGCCTTAAAAATAATAATGAAATAACCCTATGTGCCCTGTATTTTGGATCACCAAATATATACACATACATTACATACAGTGTATATATATGCCAATTCAAACCAACAACCGCTTTAGTGAAACTTTCTCTAAAGCGGAGTTATCATTATTGGAAGTCGGCGTGGGGTTTAAGTCACCGCCTGAATGTGTTGAGTCGGCAGGTGACCGTGCGCTCTGGTCTATCAGTGCGAGCATCCCAACAACGCAAGGCACTCGTGGAAGAAGAAAAAAAAAGCCTCGACACTCAGCGAAGCATTCGCGGGTGACCAAATCGTTGACTTAACACTTTTCCTTCGGCGTGCAGCGAGCCGCTAGCAACTGGAAGGTCACAAGCGAACAAACACTGGTTGACTATTTTTTAAAAATATTTCACCACGTAAGGCCCACTGAGCTGTACAGGTATGTTTCAGAAGTGACCTGGCCTTTACAAATGAAAGCTCAACGAAGTTGGCTTGCCATTGTGTGGACATTTATATCAGCCAAATATTCTTAATGTGGTTACCCCCCCCCCCGACTCATTGGCTCCTCCCTGCCCAGCACCCGATATAAAACACACGTGTCTTGAATATCTTTCTTCACACGCTACAGTAATTTTACTGGAGCAGTTACATCTGATGACGGAGGCTTGTGTTGCTTCCGAAACGTCGTGATTTCATTGATTTATTTTCATTTATTATTATTTTGTTTTATTATAATTTTTTTACCTACGTGACTTTAACGAAAAAACCTAAGAGTATGAATCCTTGCAGTCACGAAAGCTTCAAATCTAGAACTGTAAATGTGGAATGAAGAAACCGGAGGACACGGAGAGAAATGCAGGCAACTACGGGGAGAGAGACACGCAGACTCCAAATATACAGCAGCAGGCGTCAGGGTTGGGATCGAACTCACGTCCTCCTGCATACACCAGGCGAGGGAGTTAACATCTCGCCCAGAGCCGGCCCTAGACCTTTGGGGGCCCTAAGCAAAATTTAGTTGGAGGCCCCTTTGATGTATGATTTTTTTCACCCACTCGCTAGCAGTGACTCTAGGGGGCCCTCTGCTGGCCACGGGGCCCTTTGCAATTGCAAGGGTCGCTTAGTGGCTGGGCCGGCGCTGATCTCGCCTTTCAGACCCAAGAACCCTCCGTAGGTCGATCGAACTATTGTAACTTTGTAGGGAGATCGACATAGCGGGTTTCCTCTATCGACATACTCGACCCTGTCATAGGAATGTGGAGTTTTCCACACCCGGCTGTGTCGGCTTAAAACCTGACATGGGCTTATTTGAGCGTGAATTATTTTTGACTCGAATTGTTTTGACTTAAAGCTTTCAGCAGATGTCAGTGTAAAGATTGCTTGTGTTGCGATCGAAACGTCGTGATAATTGTATTATTTTTCTATTTACGTGGCTTTACCGAAAGACCCAAAAAATATCGATTTTTTTCCCACGTGAACACGCAAGTGATTCTCGCTCACGGTCAACACCAGTGACAATTATCTGAACCGGTACTGGGCCTCCACTAGGATGACTCAGCCTCAAATGAATACTTGGTGTGATGTGTATACATCGCCACAAGAGATACAAAGGTGGTCGGGCGTGGTGCTGACCACCCACTCGCTCGTGTACCGTGCCGGCCTTCATAGGTGCTCGTTTACAGTACTTGCCCCAACAGTCTGTTAAGGCTATACGGGGGATCTTTGTATTTGTGTATATATATTGCACGTACACGTGGCTGTGACGAGTCTACGCAAGCATTCCTGGATGAGTGTCACGATCGGAATGGTAACAATGCGAGACTTGCTTGCAATCTCACCGCACGCGTTCGTCAACTTATCCGTCTATCTCGTGGCCCCTGTGGTTCGTTGGGGGCGTCACTCGGATGATGGCACTTGACATGATCTCTCCCACCGTCTCTCTCTCTCTCTCTCCACATCTTCAGGAAACTGGGGGTGCCCTTCTACAACAGCAGCTTCGTATATGGGGTGGTGCCTTACCAGGCTAACAAGCGCCATGACCTCGCCAACTTCGCCTGCGCTCAGGCGAAGTTGGCGGTGTACAGAACGAGGAAAAAATTAACCCGTAACCCGCACTATAAATCCTTTATATGCGTGTTCAATGGGCCACAACCCAGCCCACATTGGTCTTTGAAACGGGCGGCTAGAGTCCTCTCGTCCTCTGGCTTGAGATGGCTGCCACCTATGGGTCAGATGATTGCCTGCCACCATTAAGCAATTTGTAATTAAATATTTAAAAAATGTACCTAAAAAGTGTAAAATTTTAGAAAAAAAATTTCACGAAAAGAAATTGTCACGCACAACGAGTCTGTGTACAAAATGTCAGCTCGATTGGATCACGGGAAGTGGGTTAAAAAACGACCGAAAGATTTGCACGGTCATAAGCGCCCAAGCAAGCAATTGAACTTAATATAAAGGATTTAAAAAGATGCTGCAAGGTGACACTGACGGCTGTTCTGTGGTGCTTCCAGTGTTCATGGGCCTGCTTAAGGCGCGGCTCCGGCTTTAGCACGCATACCACACACATGTCGGTGATGTGCACGTCTTCTTCGAACGCTGGGGAGCCGGAAAAGCCCTCTGTACCAGCGTGGACGGCAACCTCGTGTTCACCTTTTGAAGCGCTCGCTCGTCACCGTGCGTGATGAGTGGTTGAGAGACAGGGTGATTGGGTGAGTGTGTTGTTGTGACCTGCAGTGTGGTGTTTGAACACAGAGTGGTGGGATCAATGCGCAAACGTTCTGGGGTGCAGTAACCACGGCGGTGGCAACAGAAGAGTGATACAGAGACGACTGACGCCAGGTGCAGCGAGTTGCTGGAGTGAATTAGCGAATGAATGGAGTGAATTAGGGAGTGAATGGAGTGAATTAGCGAGTGACTGGACATTCGTCACCCTGACCGCTGCTTCGTTGTGATTTCACAAAGCTGTCTGTGTTGTTTCTGTCATTGCCAGGGGCCCCGTGACTCACACGCCCTGTGCAGTACACACATGCTCGTATCAAACATGTACACCAATATCATTGGCAGGGGAACCCCCCCTGTATCGGGAGTAATAATAATCCAGTCGGCATTTTTGATACGAGTGTTTTGGGTAATTTTTTTTTTGCTTTATATTTTTTTTTTAGCGAAGTTCATAATTTCGCGTGGGTTTAGATTCGTTATTTTAATTCTTTTCTGGTGTCAACTTGAATTCAAAACACCCTCAGGTATTGAAGTGCACATGTGAGGGACGCCGGGTGTCCGCCCCAATCGCCTAATGTTAAAAATAAATAAATAAACATCGTCTCGTTCGCAAATCTGTCTGTCCACGTCAACATGTGTACATGCGTGTCTTACACATACAATCAGCCACACGGTCTTCTGTGAGTGCATCATTCACTCAGCATTGATTGGAGACAATCAACCACTCGGGACTGGTTTCCACATTCAATGTCTTTATCAAGTTCAAGTTCATTTACTAGGTATAGCCCTGTGAGCCATTCGGCTCTTGAATCGGGTGCAACCGCAACAAACAAAAAACAAAAACATGAACAAAAAACATCTTATAGTGACTATGTGCAAACAAAAAATCCAAGAAAAGACAGCAAAATATTGCAGAAAAAAATCACCGTACACCAACACTGTGTGCAAAAATCCCAGTGGGATGCAAGTAAAACAACAACCACAAGACAACTTAGATTAAGGCCATCAGTCTAATCTTTGTACTACAACAAACAAACATGGCCAAACCAAAAAACTTTTCGAAAATCACCAAAATAAAACCATAAAAGCAATGAAACAGTGATCATAGGAACTGTGACCGAATTTTCACAATAAACGACGTGAACAACATGTACTACCAAACTCTGCAGCCATAGCTGGCTGCATGAGTCACTCCACAACAGCAGGAGCATCAGTCGGAGTATCAACATTTTTCAATGCACCTTTAAGATCAGCACACTAAATCAAAACACAGATCATACTTTGCAGCGATCATCCGGATCGAAACATTCTATTTTAGGCCACTAAATTGCAGCAGAGTCCGTCTCGCTTGAGTCAATGCTGCTGTTTGTGTTTCTCCCTCGGGATGGTGACTTTTGGAGGATGAACGTTGAGATATACAAGGGTCCCGGGTAACCAATAGGGTCTGAATCGGTCTGTAATAAAGGGCCGTCCATAAATGACGTCACGCACCTGGGGGGGGGGGGGGTTCAGACATTTGTGACGATGTGTGACGAGGGGGGGGGGGGGGGTTTGAGAAATGTCATCAACATGCGCAACTTTAAATACATATAGACAACACGTTCTACTTAATTAAATAGACTTTTTAATAAATGTTTTTTCCTACAACATCAGAGTGTAGCGCCACATTAAATACGCACTACAATGACAATATTTTAAATCGATTTGAAGCATGTTTTCTTTATTTTGGGGGGGGGGGGGCAGCCTTGTGACGTCATATTTGAGTGGGGGTCTGACTTTTTGTGACGCCGTGTGACGATGGGGGTGTCAAAAATCGTCCAAAATCGCGTGACGTCATTTATGGACGGCCCCTATGGGAGGGCACTGATAAGGGGTTGATAGGTATGTTAGTGGTGAATGTAGTGGTGAGTGTACTAGTGGTGAGTGTAGTGGTGGTGAGTGTATTGGTGGTGAGTGTATTTATGGGTGTACTAGTGGTGAGTGTAGTAGTGAGTGTACTGGTGGTCAGTGTACTGGTGGTGAGTTTACTAGTGGTGAGTGTACTCGTGGTGATTCTCTATGTGTCTGTGTTTCTCCCTTCTGATGGGACTTTTGTAGGGTGAACGTTGAGATGTATAAGGGTCACGGGTTAACCAACAATGTCTGAGCTGGCCTACAATAAGGTATAGGACACTGATAAGGTGTTAACAGGTGTGACACCTTTAACACTTGTTTTGTTGCCACAAAGGTTAACAACACCTCGTCTCATTGCGTCATACCAATCTTCCTCTTTCGCACGGCTGCCATCGATGCTCAGCAAACCCGGGCCCGCTTGACACGACGAACAGCGGGGAGGGCGCGACCATGCGCGCCTCTTCACTCACAGGTGTGCCGGAAGAAGCTTGCGCCAGGTGAGGTCTGTGGGCGCGTTCGTGGAAAGTAGTTCCAGTACGCAGGGACACAGTAGCGTACACGGACGAGTACTGTACACACACACACACACACAAGTAACAACCTTTCATTGCTGGATGAGGGCGCGTGGATTTTATTAGATGTTTGTCGATGTTTTAATACAGATTTAGTGGAATTGGTCAAATGTTCGGATACTATCTCGCGGGCTTCCTGCGCAGAATCAGCGACGCAGACTCCATTCAAAGCGACGTCTCAGTGGCTAATGAGGCTCCGGCTGAGCTGATCAGGTAAGACAGAAGCTGCCTTGTCCATCTTATATCACCTCCCCATCACCCTAAACCCCATCATAAATCTCTCACGGGTGACGGCGGCGTTGTGCTCAGGGTACACTGACTGTCCCGAGCCAGTGGAGCTTACCCAGTCACTCGTTTTGTTTACTGAAGGGCTTGCTAGTCGAGAGATGCTGCTATTCGGTTACCTGCTCATTTTCGAGTTAAAAAAACAACTGATCATTGGGAGGTATTTTTTTTATTTTAAAATGTTATTCTCATCGGGACTCCAACAGTGTAAACAAATTGCTCGTATCATCACCCACTCTCGTCTCTCTTGTTTTGTGTCCGTTGCTCGAAACGTCGCGCTATCACAGTATATATTATTATTTTAAGGCCACACACACACACGCGCGCGCGGTGTTACCGACGACCGCGTACCAATTCTGCGGGTTTATCGGTGGATAATAGCCACGGCGAATGTGACACACTCGGTGGAGGTGCGTGGTCGGGGCAGCGAATGGCGGGTTTCGGTTTTTGTTTCAGATGGTTGTTGCTGCCGCTGTCCTGCTGAAGGGTGAAAGAGTTTAACACGGCGGGCTAGAGGAGACAAAAGGTTCAAAACAACATCAGCCTAACGGTTGGGGGCAGCCAGGACACTAATGAGAAGTGAATAGATGAAGAAGTTAATAAGTGAATAAACGAGGTGAATAAATGAAAAATGAATGAATAAGAAGTGAATAAATGGAGAAGTGAATAAATGAAAAGTCAATAAATAAAAAGTGAACGATTAAGAAGTGAATAAATGAAGAAATCTATTAATAAGAAGTGAATAAATGAACAAGTGAATAAATGGAGAAGTGAATAAATGAATAAGTGAATAAATGGGTCGATCGGTGAAGACGAAATGAGGCAATGTGAGCCAAGGGATGGGACACAGGCCAGCGGCCTGACGGATCCTTCTCGTCCCAGTGGACCGTGAGAGATGGTGACGGACGGCTCGGGGGAGGAAGCAGGCATTCATCCAGCAGTGGATTGACCACGGTGATGCGGTGAAGCAAATGTAGGGATCGAGAGGGCCGCGTCACGCCGTGTGATGGTGCACGCTTATCATGTACACACACACAGACAAAGGTCCCACACCAATAGCCTCGACAGACTGTTGGGGCAAGTGCTGTGAGCGAGCAGCACCTATGAAGGCCGGCACGGCACACGAGGGGGTTCGGTAGCCAGCACCACGCCCGGCCGCCTTTGTCTCTCTAGTGACGATGTTTACTACACATTTGAGGCTGAGTCGACCTAGGGGAGGCCCAGGACCGGTTCAAATGATCGTCACTTGGTGTTGGCCGTGTACACACACACACGCGCGCGCGTGTCACATCACGTTGACGCGTAGCGCCTCGAGACAAGAGACTCTGGCGTGGAGCCGAGGGGGTGTTGGGGGTGCCGGGTGAGTTGTTATGGTTTTAGATGCCAGTGAAGTGAGTGTGTTGTTCTAGTGAGCCGTGTGTGGTACAGAAGGTTTCTCGCCAACAGCACTTACCCCAAACAATTTGATGGATTTATTACGTTGGATCTTTGTGTCTTTGTGTGCGTGTTAGCGGCAGTGTCGTGGTTAGTGACGATTATCTGAACCGGTCCTGAGACTCTCCTAGGTCGACTCAGCCTCAAATGAGTACCTGGTGCGGTGTGTAGTAAACATCGCCACTGGGGAGACAAAGGCGGCCGGGCGTGGTGCCGGCCACCCACGCCCTCGTGCGCCGTGTCGGCCTTCATAGGTGCTGCTCGCTAACAGCACTTGCCCCAACAGTCTGCGCAAGCTACACGGGGGATCTTTGTGTTATAGTGTGTGTTTAGTGTTTATTGTGGTCTTGTTAAAGTGTTGTTACAATGTGGGTGTGTGTTAGCCGAGTCAGTCCCGTGAGCCGTCAGAGAACCTTCGACACGTCACGCGATAGCCTCGAGGTGCACCTAGTCTGGCACGGGCGCCGTGGCTGCTGTTGTTGATAGTGTGTTTCACTGACGGTGCTTTGGTGTGTGTTGTAGTGAGTGTGTTCGTTTTAGTGTTACAGGTGAGTTTGTTGCAGTGTATTTCAGTGTGTGTGTGTAATTACTCATTAAAGTGTGCTTTGGTGTTATACGGTGTCCCAGTGTCATGGTGTGTTTTGCCATGTGTGTGTGTGTATCATAGCGGTCAACCCACACGGTTTACCCCGTATTCTTGTGCAGGGAAATTGAGTTTTCAGGTCCATACGGCGTTACAGCCGTTTCAATACCGGCAAAAAATTTTTTCCATTTGTTTGTGTTTCTCCCTTGTGATGGGACTTTGTAGGATGAACGTTGAGATTTCTAAGGGTCACGGGGTGACCAATAAGGTCTGAGTTGGTCTGTAACAAGGTAGGGGCACTGATAAGCGGGTTGACAGGTTTGGTGTATTCAGTGACCTGTGTGTGTTCCGTGTGTACGTGTTGAGCGTGTGTGTTACTGTGTACCGTGTGTGTGTTACTGTGTACCGTGTGAGTTTGTGTTTATTGTGTCTGCTTTTTGTTACGCATTCACGATGTCACTGTGTGTTGTGAAGTCTGCTTCAGAGCGCTCTCTGTGTGTTTATGTTCTCGCCTGCTCCGCGCGTTAGTCTCTCCGTGTGTTATGGTGCATTTCCCATGTGTTCTTCACTGTATGAGCGTTTTGTTGTGTTGCGTGCGTTTAATGTGCCATATTTGTGTGTGGGTCTCAGGCCCATATTCTTATAGCCATGCTCGGCTATGGCTCAAGTAAGCCACTTCTGAGCCAGGCTTAACTCGAACCGACTATGAGCCGCATTTAACTCGAACCGGCTCTGAGCCAGGCTTAGCTCGAGTCGGCTCTGAGCGAGCCATGGTCCCGGCCATGGCTCGGGATAATTTCCATATGCCCGAGCCAGAGCCGAGCCGTGACTTAGATGATACGACCCCTTGCTGTGTGTGTTGAAAAGGCGTGTGATTCATACACGCGTCTTGTTATGGTTGTTGCTACGCGCGTAACTGATTCATTCATTCATTCGGAAAGAGCGCCCGAGATCGGATTATGTCCGCAGCCGAACAGGGGTGGTATGAAGCCTGGGTAACAGTGCTTGGATTGGTGATCACTACCATGCCTAACAGTTGTTATAGGCTGCTCGGGGGCTGCGTTGTCAGCAGAATCCATTGCGCTGGACTTTGCCCCGCAAACCTCCTGGAATGTGCTCCGACCCGCCTTCACAAAGCTGTGTTGACCAGCGTGGTGAAGTATGGTCAAGCCACCCCCCCCCTCCACCCGGCCGGCACGGTGTGGGGAGGACCTCATCCAGCAGTGGACTGACAAAAAAAGTGTCCACGTTTTGTGTTGCAGTGCGTGTGCGTTTGTGCGTTATTCAAATAGTGGGGAGCGGTAGTGTAGCGGTTAGCACGCTGCGGTACGAACCGGCGAACCGAGTTCGATTCCCGCTCACGGCCACGAACCACAGTGACGACCCTGGCCCTCCCCTACGTCGACTCAGCCTCAAATATTTGAGTAGCTGGTGCGGCGTGTAACCATCGCCGCTAGGGAGACAAAGGCGACCGTGTGTGGCGCTGGCTACCCAGCCCCTCGTGTGCTGTGCCGGCCTTGATAGGTGCCTGCTGGCTAAGAGCACTTGCCCCAAAAGTATTTAAGGCTACACGGGGGATGTTTGTCTTTGTATGTCAATTACCGTGAGTGATTGGAGGGTGTTGTGAGTCGCTGTTTGTTCTGTTCATTGACCCGTCTCTCCCTCCCCTCCAGCCAAACTCTCTGCTGCCTTGCGCTCCTGGGCAACTTCAAGAGGAGACCCTCCCTCGCTCCCTCCTCGCTCCGTCACCTCCTCCTCTCCTCCTCGTCCTCCATGGGCTCCGGGTAACGCGGGGATGAGCAAAGTACGGAGCCGGGAGCGCCATGCAAGGTGAGGAGCGCAAAGTCGCGGAGTGTGTGTGTGGGGGGGGGGGCGGTGGAGTTCTTGGTGAGCGCGCACGACGCTGACAGCCCCGCGGGCAGAGTTGGGAGTCCCCCCCCCACTCACGACCAACGCCGGTGGCAATGAGCCGAACCGGTCCCGGCGACTCCAAATGAGTGACCCGCTATGTCAACACTGCAATTGGGGAGGCAAAGGGGAGGCCTGGCGTGCCTGCTTACTCACAGCGCTTGCCCCAACAATCTGTAAAGGCGATGTGGATTATCGTTGTTACACAGTTGCTCAGCCCAGTTCTAAAGGGCCCAAATCATGAAGGGGTCAGTTACAAGCGGCGTTATGAACTTTGTAATAGATACGAGTGTATCACGCTCGTTGAATTGAGCGAGGTTATCACTAAAGAGTTTGGGGGTGGTTAGAAAGAGAAGCGAGGTAGCGAGTGAGTGGGCGAGTGTGTGAATGGATGAGTGAACGAGTGTATATGTACGTAGAATTTCTTTCGCACCGTACTTAGCCAACCGTGCGAATCGGAGGTGTGTTGTTGTGACTTGAGGTGTGGTGAACGAGTGGGGCGAGTGTGTGACACAATGGATGGGTGCGGGAGTGTATGAAAGGGTGGATGATGAGTGGGTGTGGTGCGTGTGTATGCGTGAGTGAGCAAGCGAGTGTATTGTTGTGATCTGCAGTGTGGTGGTGCTTGAACAGTGTGCATGGGATGAAGCAGTCAACAACATGGGCGGAAGAATCAATCAATGAAGTAAACAGCATCACGCCCGGCTGCATGTCTCCCCAGTGTCGATGTTTACAGTTACGCACCGCACGAGGGTACTCATTTAAGGCCGAGTCGATCTATAGGGGCGACCCAGCACCGATTCTGCAAGCGCACCCACTTACGCACTTACGCATGTGTGCACGTGCGCACGAGGAAATGCTCGCGCACAGCGGGAAGTCGTGGTCGGTGAACGTTCACGCCCCAGAAAGCAGATTTAGAGCAAGTGGAGCGTGGCGGAGCACGGGGAACCTATCCTGGCACAGGAGCAGCTCAGCAGTGGCGTGTGTGTCGCGCAGAAGCTCCGGGGTTGTGTGAAGGTACGTGTGCTTACGTGTGTGCTTGTGGGTTTTTTTTCGCTTGTCGGGAGACAAAGGCGGCCGGGGGTCGTGCTGGCCACCCACCCCCCGCGTGTGCCGTGGCGGCCTTCATAGACACTCGCTAACAGACCTTGCCCCAACAGTCTGCTCAGGCTATACGGGTGATCTTTGTATTAGGTATGCACGTACATCCTTAGTGTAAGTCTTTACGTGTTGGTGAGTGTGTGTGTGCGCACAAGAGTGGGGAGCGATAGGGTAGCGGTTAGCACGCTGCGCTACTAACCTGGCGACCCGAGTTTGATTCCGGCACACGGTCACCAAGAATACCAGTGATGATTATCTGAAGCGGTCCTGGGGTGCCTCCCAAAGGGTCGACTCATCCTACAATGAGTACCTGGTTGCGGTGTGTAAACATCGCCACGAGGGAGACAAAGGCGGCAGGCGGTGGTGCTGGCCACCCAACCCCTCGTGTGCCGTGCCGGCCTTCATAGGTGCTGCTCGCTAACAACGCTTGCCCCAACAGTCTGTGTCTTTGTGAGTGTGTACACGTCTGTTTGTTCACACACAGAGTACATGTGCATACGGTAGTTGTGTATATGGTGGCTGTGTGGCCTTCATAGGTACTCGCTAACAGCACTTGCCCCAACAGTCTGTTAAGGCTATACGGTGGATCTTTGTCTTTGTGTGTGTGTTAGTGCGTGGGTTGGTATGTGCATACAACCCTTAGTGTACGTGTCTGTATGTGAGTGTGTACACGTGTGTGTGTGTGAGTTCAGAGAGCCATCCTGCACTGCAAGGATTGAGTGGTTGTTGCGGGTCTCTGAGGAGAAGGGAAACGCCTCGGCATCCTGTGATGATCACAAGTTGGACTTGAGGGTTTTCCATCAATAAAGCCACTTGCAGCGTCACAGCAGTTGCCACCGTGAAAGGAAACGAAATGGCGAACCGAACTTTTTTGCACCGTTGCAGAGCATCTAAAGGTTTTTGGAAAAGGGTAGAAACATCCAACACAGATAAGGGGCCGTCCATAAATGACGTCACTCACCTGGGGGGGGGGGGGTCAGACATTTGTGACGATGTGTGACGAGGGGGGGGGGGTTGAGAAATATGACGTCACATCAAAATGTGCAACTTTAAATAAATATAGAATTGTTATAACAACACTAATTGTTATAATAACACTCCTTCAACATTAGAGTGCACGCCACTTTAAATGCACACTACCATGACAACAGTTTAAAGCGATTTGAAGCATGTTTTCTTTTCAAAACAAAAAATGGTTTGGGGGGGGGGGGCAGAGCTTTGTGATGTCATATTTGAGGGGGGGTCTGACTTTTTGTGACGCCGTGTGACAAGGGGGGGTTCAAAAATCGTACAAAATCGCGTGACGTCATTTATGGACGGCCCCTAACATCACGGGGCAAAGTAGGCTTCACCTCCCTGCTTGGTCTGCGGGGTGTCAAAACATGGAGGAAGTTCCCCAATTCCCTGTAAGTGGCTGCATTGGTAGAATGCGTGGTGGGGTTGGGGATCCCCCTTTTCAAGAAGTGGAACCACTGCAACAACTCATCTAAAAACTAAACTATTTTTTATTTCAGCAAGTAAGGCCCACTGAGCTATGTAACTCTTTTTCAGAAGCTACCCGGTCACAAATGATAGCTCAACGAAGTGGCTTATCACGTGGACATTTATAGGAGCCAAATACTGCAACTACCGAGGACATATCTCTCTGTGTGCTGGGAAAGATCCTGGCAATAATTATTCAACATCGCCCTGATAAGTATGCTGAGAAGCTTACAGAGCCCCAATGTGGTATCAGGGTAGGGAAGTCCTGTACAGATTTTATTTTCTCTGTCCGTCTACTATAGCAGAGCTGTGTCGAATTTCAGTCGGACTAACATCTCTGCTGTATGCACGTGGTCAAGGCCTATGGATACCATGGCTTTGGGTTATTCTTTGTGTTTTCAGGGTCCCTGGCCCTCTGATCATTACCATTAAGTTAAGGACATTCATGGTGGTTTGATAGGCCAGGATAAAGCTGCGTGGTTGGGAGTCAGAGCCACTTACGTTTTACCTTTGGATGGGTGACAGAGATGTCCTCTGGCTCCTACACTATTTAACATAGTTTCTTTTACATTTTCAGTTCAAGACATGTTCACGGCTGTAACGGAGGAATTTACATCTCGTACATAAACAATGGGAGGCTGATCTGTGCCTGGGTGTGGTCAAGGGATGACTCTCTTCAATGTTGAAAAATGTTACAGAATGCATTGACCTGGTAATTACTGAGGAGGTGGAGACTCATCCTGAACCAACCTGCAGTGTGCCACAGAGATATCGGTAGGGACTTACCAGCACCCCGCACTAAAATAACCTGCCTACTATTTGTAGGCGATCGTATCTCAACTCGGATGTTTCGTTGTAATTCACCGTGCTGATAAAGGGTGGGGGGGGGCAGTAGCGTAATGAGCGTGGGGGCAGGGGGTGCCTCGCCCCCCCCTCGTGGCCAAAGCTACGAGTTGGGTTAATTTTGGGTAAAATCAATGAAAATGGGGTATTCCGATAGCATAAAATGAGATGTGATAGAGCAAATCTGAGATCAGATTTGGAATCAGCACCCTGAAATTAGTCTAAAACAGCTGCAAAAGTCCAGGCCAGAATTTTTTTTTTGTGTTGACCAGTGTAATGTGTGCATTGCCCTCGAAACCGATTGCCATATCGTCTCGATACTGGCAAAAAGGGTGCCGTAGAGAGACTGAAGCATTTATCGATTTATGTAAACTCTGACTTTAACATAGCCACTTCCGTGACCAGTTCCATGCTAATGCCTCACATTAACATCATGCTAATCTTCCAGTTACATGATAATTTCTGACTTTAACATCCTGCTAATTCTCTCACATTAACACAGCTTATTCAATGCTAAATTCTTCTGTTGATATGTAAACTCCTTTGTCAAGGCGCTCTTCTCCCACCCAGCTTAAAATACGCTGCCAAGCTTAGCAGTGTTCATTGCAGTGCTGTCTTTCAGACAGCGCTGTCTTGACACTAGGACGGCTCCTTGTGTTATGGCCGAAATGTCGTGAGAAATTTATTATGTTTTACTTTTATTATTTCACTATTTCATTATTTCCCTTCTACGTGACTTTACCGAAAGAACCAAGAAGACTGAATTATTTTTCGACTCAACGTGGAGGAATGGAAGGTGTTGCATTTTATCCGATGACAATGCTCCGGTCTGCGTTGCCTTGAGGGAATCAAAACTGGGGATGAACATCTGCGCGCGGCCCTTCAACCCGCAGCTCAAGGCTCAGAATCGTCTTGAAGACGCTGAAACTAAATTGCTCGGCGCCCACTGCGGCGACATTGGTTCGCACAAGCACAAATAACAACAAAATACTCAGAATCATCGTAATATTTATTTATACTGGAGGAGTCCGATGAGCTATGAAGCTCATTTTCACAGATGTCCAGTAAAATAGAAACTCAACACATCCGTCAAAACCGTGTTTCTGGCAGTGGCCGTGGATGTGACAAACAGCTATTGGCAAAAACATCATCTCCATTATTATTATTATATATATAAAACATACATATAACATGTCTATTTTTTCCTTTTAAGGCTTCCCCAAAGTGTCATTGAGGAATCTGGTGAGCTTTTGAAAATAAAAAAGTTACTGCGTTTCAACGTTGACTTTTGACATTTATGCTCAACGCGAACTTCAGCCAGCTAGGTCTGTGGCACCGCTGCGTGCCGTTAACTCGAGGCCACATCTGCTCCACGGCCCATGTGAATGATTCACAGCAAAGAGTCTGGGTCCGGGCGTCCGTGCCCCAGTATCGCACAGGATGCGCGTGGGCGGTGTGGCCACCGCCACCTGTACGCGGCGCTTCCTTGAGCCACCCGCCGGGCGAGGGTTAGAGTTGGGGTTAAGCGTGCGTAGCCCTTGACAGCGACGAAACCTTTGACGTAACTTACACTAGATAACATTGTTCATGATAATGACTTACTTATCCTGGTAGGAAGACCCAGCAGAGAATGGCTTGACGAGAAAAGAGGTTGGTGCCAGAAAAAGATGTGAGCTCTACTTGAGCGTACTGGCACAAGACAGAGGAAAGTGGAAACGACAAATTACGAAATGTGCAGTTGACACCTGATGATGATGATGGTTTATCCTGGAAAGCCACATCTGCGTGGCCATCTACCAACCCTCGCTGCTGCCTCCACAACGCTGGGCTACGCGCCACGTGCAGCAGCGTAGCCACCGCTGTCACCGGGCTAAGGAAAAACACCACGAGGGTGAGAATAATTAACCGGTTCAGTACTTAAGGGTGCTGCGCGGCCATTGTGTGTGAGACACACTATGCCTGCCTGCCTGCACTGAAGACAAGAACACGGGCAGATCCCGAATGTAAACCAGATGAGGCGCCGTTGACACCGAGAGGGGAATTCGTCAAGGGACGACCGAGTCACTTTGCACGGCACACAACTACGTGTATTTTGTTCAGCGATCAATCGGCCATTCTAAAGGTGTTGAACACAAGGCATGAAACTCGGTAAATAAATAATTGCATGGAATTTTCTCTGCATGTGGGAGGAAACCAAAGCGCACTGCACGTGGAGAAAACCCACGTGGCAGTATACGAGGGCAAATAACTGAAAGGTCTACACAGATGGGTTCACAAACCCACTCGACATGTTATATCCGCCTCGCATCTGAAGCGTGGCTTGGGAACTTTAATACTTTTCTGCGCGATCCACAAACGCTCGCCTCAAAAGCGCTGGATGGCCGGCGCTGAACACGCGTTGCTGAAGGTCGTAGGTTGTGGTGGTGGTCGTGGCCCGTATGGTCACTCAACCGCCTCAAGCCAATCTTCTCTGGCTCGAGGGGAGTTGGAAGAAGCCAGCTCTGTCTGACATTGGCGACGACGTGACCGGGCAATTGGATGAATAGAAACCTCGCCAAAGCGAACTTCTCTTGACACTTGCGACAATGCAGATATCGGCCCCATCGCCCGTTTCAGAAAAAACACAACCAAACCAACACAGGATTCTCATGCTCGCAATCCCACGTGTGAGAATGGATTGTTTTCACATTTTCTAAAATGTTTTTATGTTGGACGTAATTCTAATAACATCACTTTCCCAGGTAGGGTCTTGCAACATTGGCGTTTTATATTAAGACGTTTTCTTTATGCATGTGGGAGGAAATCCGAGCACCTGGAGAATACCCACTCGTGCGAGGGGGCAACACTATATCCCTGTACAGATGGGACAGACAGATTGCGATTTGTACGTATTACTGTACCGCCTTTGAGCCGGCGGGTCAGGCGATGGATGCCTCCTCCTCGACGCCCACGGGATGGGAGTTTCAGAGCATTGGTGGGGTCATCCACGAACCCCTCGCTGCTGTCTCCACAGTGTTGGATTACAGGCAGCCACGTGCAACAGAGCCACCGCTCGGCTTGGTTGGTTCACGTGTGCGGGTGATTGGTGGGATTACAGAGAGACAGCAACGGCCTTGGGGAGGCCTTCATCCAGCAGTGGATTGATCATGGCTGCTGCTGCTGCTGCTGCTGCTTACGATGAGTAACCGATTGCCTGGTCATTCAGCGTATCATTCCCATGTTATTGATTGCTTCATTTATTACTCAAGACTCATCAGTAAAACGTGGTGGCAGAATTGAATTGGGGATGCCGACGCGTCTTGTGTGAAATAACGAAGTGACTGACGAACCAAATATCTGACGACGAACGCCGAGCACATCGGGGAAGGTGCGAACGAGACCCGGCGGGCGTAAACACGGAGAAGCGGCGAAGCGGATGGGCGTGGGAATGAGCCGAGGCGATGCCGCGGGTGCACGAGTGGGGAATTGCTTGAAAATTGGAGATTTGGAGCGCGCGGTGGAGGGGGAGGGGGCGTCTGAAATGATCACTTAAGCGCCAAATGTTTGCACAAATAACAACAACAAAAAACTCGACACATTCATCAGTGACACACTGACCTTTAAAGATATCAAGTATTTAAAGGGCGATGTTTGGGGCAATGGCCCATCTTTTTATGGAAGACTTTGCTGTTTTTTCCTGGATTTTTCTGTTATTCGTATTATTATTATGGTTGCCCAACCCAGGAAAGCCTTGCTGAGTCTCATGACTTGTTTTCAGGAGGGTCCTGCCAAGTTTTTGCAGGCGGAGGACGATGATTGCCATTTACTGTACTCCATATTGTTGAGCAATTTGCTGTTGACATTTTTTTTTATCTGGCAAGGTTTGGACCCTGACGCCAGCACACAATGGGCCTACTCTTGCGAACGACGTCGGGGGTTGGGATTATTTTTAACTAGAAAATGCAAGCCCGGCGTACCAAGCCGAAAAGTTTCCGGTGTTACAAAAATAACAATGGAGTCATCCATTACGGCGCGAGGGAACCACACAAATGGGAGAGAAAGAAGGGAAATGGGGCACCCCCCCCCCCGCTGCCCCAACACGTCAGGGGGATTTTTTTGAGCGTCAACAGTGAAATAGTGAGAGAAGCGGACGGCACGTAGGACTACTCCAGTAAATACGCCCGCAGTAATAATCAGGGCGGCCGCTGGTTTCGAACCGTGGACTTGTGCAACAAGCGGCAAATGCGCGACTGCTAGGCCGCATGACCGCCAGGCCCATGGCCAAGTTACTCGGTCCATCCCGTGGCCCTTGTCACCATCTTGTGCCATCACTCCGAGCTCTGCCCACCTCGCATCTGTAGGCGATACATCCTTCTGCGCCGCTTACTTCCAGCTCGTCAGCGGCCATCCCCGTCTTGCCGATTCGTCTGTGGCTTCCCACGCCTCTGAATCTATGTAAATGAGTGTTTTTTTTGCAAGTTATGAAGTTGTAACTTCATCTCACGCTGGGCCTCCCCTGGCAGGAGTCCAGCTGGAGCCGGTGTTTGGGTCCCTGGTGGCTGCTGGTCAGGACGAGGAGGAGGACGAGGAGGTGGCTGCAAAGTGGTGGGACGAGCAGGCGGGAGCCCTGGGCCCTGACGACGTGCGGCTGGAGCTGGGGGGCGATGAGAAGGGAGCGGGGAGCGTGGAGCCCTCGCCCTCTCTTCCTCCTCCTCATCCTCACGGCGCCAAGGAAGGGCAGAGCAGCCTGGAGCAAGCGTGCAACGTGAGCGATGAGTGTACATACGTGTATGGACATAGACGCAGAGAGAAAGTTACAAAGACAGAGATCCCCCTTCGAGCCTTTAACAAACTTTTTGGGCAAATGCTATTACCTATGAAGGCCGGCATGGCACACAAGGGGGTGGGTGGCCAATACCATGCCCGCCTGGCTTTGTCTCCCCAGTTCTAATGTTTAAACACCATATCGGGTACTCATTTAAGGCTGAGTCAACCTCGGAGAGGCCCAGGACCAGTTAAAATATTCACCACTGTTATCGGTCGTGAGCAGGAATCAAACTCAAGTTGCTGGGTTTGTAGTGCAGTGCATTAACCACTCCACTGCCACTCCCCATGAGATAAATACACACATGCATACACACACACACATATGGCCACTAAAAAAATAATTGCAGAATGTAATCGTAAACCCAAATTGTTATAATTCATTGAATCGCTGAGGTGTGATAGTGGCTAGGAATGGTAATGTGCATAAGAACCATGGTTGACTTGCCGTAGTCCGAGGGATTGATCAATGCCAGCAGGTGGCAAAATTGACATTAGCAATCTAATTGACAGTCTCCCACCCTTTAAAGCATTTGAACGCATACTGATCATCAACGCACAAACTGCGTAAAAAAAAACTAGAGAAATTCATCAATATTTACAAGCGGTGCGATTTGCTTCAAAACTCCGTATGTGGTTAAGAGGGATTTGAAATTTAAAATTGGGCAGCCCGAATTAAAACGGCCGGATTGGCAATCGTGCGAGGTGGTCCTGTGGCCAGCGCGTTCACCCGAGGTTTCTTAAAATCGCATTGACGTATAACCGCTAACTGCGTGAAATCTACAGCTAAAGAGAAAAATAATGCTTATCTGCTGCACACAAAACAGAAATGTCTTGCAACAAACCTCACAGTTCCACCTCTTTCAACTGAGAACCGAAGGGAGCTGCCGCAGTGGTGGCGGTGTAACCTGCAATCCTAGAGGTCGCCGGGTCGATTCCATCTCCCGGTGGGGCAGTTTTCACTGAGAATCGAAGGCAGCTGGAATCGATTACTGGTCTCTTGACTCTCAAAAGAGAAAGCGGTTACCGGTTGAACCGGTTACCGATGAAGAGCACGAGTTCACCCACGCATCTGTTCCATGAATCCAGTTCCGCCCAGCTGAGGTAACAATCTTCATAACCCCTGCCGACCTCACGTAGCCCTACAGGCTTGCCGGTCTTCGTGCGGAGGCGGCATCCCGCGTCTCCCACGCCGCCTTCGTCCCGACGCGTTCTCACCCAGCGGCACTCTCCATGCGCCCACAGGAGTCCAATGCCACCCAGGGTGCGGCGACTCAAGCGGGCAGGAGGGCGCGTTCCGTGGCCCAGTGGTCGGTGCAGGACGTGTGCCAGTGGCTCGCCAAGTTGTACCCACGCACGCACAAGATCTACGCCGAGCGCTTCAAGATGCACGACGTGACGGGTACGTCTCGGCTGTCCCTGGAAACTCCCTCCCTCCCTCAGCTCTGAAAGTTGAATCGTGGATATTCTTAGTTTTTTTTTCCGGTAAAGTCACGTAGGTAATTTTTTTTTTCTAAGTAAAATAAAAATAAAATAAAAATCACGACGTTTCGGAGGCAACACAAGCTTCCGTCTTCAGGTGGAACCGTCACAGCATGATAGCTGTATCAAGTAAGATCAATTCCAAGGTGGGAGGAGCCAAGGTAGGCCCCTGGATATTATTATTGTGAGGTTCGTGCAACTTTACCGCAGCGTTGCTCACAACAGTTTTGTTGACCATGCTGCTCTTTGGTTGGTGATGGGGAGGGTTAAGTGCGGTCCTCCCACCTCTTCTTTCAAGGGGTCTGGCCAGTGTGAATGAGTTCGCCAAATAGCCTCTGGAGAGGTTCTCTTGAACTCCCTCCAGCGAAGGTCCTTCCACTAACAGTAGCATGGGCAATAATTCAGTCTTGGGCTGTGGTCATCATTGTACCAGATCTGCTTCCCTCAAGGGGCTGAAATAAAGCCCGAGTTTCAGTCTAATTACCGCGATGTACCTTTAACTTTTTTTTATGAACGTGATTGTAAATTGCTGTGATTGGGTGTCTACGCAGCGCCTGTCTTGTCTACACGGTACTATCCTGCTCGGAGCAGCGCGGGGAGGAGGTTTTCACCAAGCAGGTGCTCGAATCTGACACTGGCGATTATCACGAGTCAATCAAACGGACCTCTCTTGGCCACGGAGGTGTGCCCCCCACTCAGCCATAGCCGGTCCCCTTTGTCTGTGCCGAGGGCAGGTGTGGTGCTGCTGCAGCTGACGGAGCGCAAGCTGGAGAGGATAGGCCTCGTGGAGGAGCAGCGGCAGCAGCTGCTGCACCACGTGCTGCGCCTGCGCCTCAAGGACGACATGCGCTACCTGCAGCAGTCCCTGCGGCGCCCGCTCCCGCAACCTGTGACTCCCACTCCGAACTCCAGCAGCTGACCCTGCGCCCCTCCCTCCCCGACTCTGGAGGCAAAAAATCTTACAGGGACCCTCCACCCCACCCCACCCCCTACCTCTCACTCACTGTGGGGAAGGGGACTTGCCTTACAGGGACCCTACACCCCACCCCACCCCCTACCTCTCACTCACTGTGGGGAAGGGGACTTGCCTTACAGGGACCCTACACCCCACCCCACCCCCTACCTCTCACTCACTGTGGGGAAGGGGACTTGCCAATTGGGCTCTCAAGGGCGTGTGACGTGCAGGACGGAACTGCCGAGACTCATGCCTGCGTTTTGGAGACGAGGGTTGGTGGATTGCATGCAGATTTACAAAACTCTCACTCGCCGGCTAGGTGGAAAGCGCAGTGGGTTCCTAAACCCATCTGTGCAGACCTATGAGCGAGCATTATCACCTCTTGTGCATGATAGGCCTTCTCTGGTTACCCGGGTTTCTTTCCACACAGAGCAAAACCGTCCTTTATGTGGAATTGGCCAAGCATCATCCCAATGACAGAACCCTCCTGGACAAGGAGTCTTGAAACGCAGTGAGGTTTTCTTTGTTAAGACAATATTATGAATATTCATAGGTGGCTCTGTCGGCAAAAGTTTTGCTGGCTGGTGGCCATTGAATTGCCTAAAATTTTGGGCTCGGAGGACCCAGTTTCGTAGCGTGGTTGAGATTGGCCCTCGTGCAAGGAATGTACCCCCTCTTCATAGTTCAGTGCCTGGGCTCGTCTGGCCTATGGGCCGTGGTGCAATTGCACTGCCTGCACACTCGCTATCTACGCTCCTGCCTTGGCCTTGATTCTCCAGCTAACAGCATCGAGGGTGATTTGGGTAGGGGAGGGAGGAGGGGACTTAATTTCTCACCGAATATATTTGGGGGTCACTGGTAGACTGGAGTATGTATGTATGTTGAACTTCTTTCACACTCTACGTAGCCAACCGTGCTAATCGGAGGTTGGAAGTGGGTCACGTGTGACTGTTAGCCACAACCATCACGGGGAGGCATGATGGACGTGGTGTGCGGGGCGTGGAAATATTTTTCTAAATTGCTAACCCAGATAGACCCTGGACACAAGGGAGCGAGTGGACGAGAGGCACAGCCGCCCACGATGCTCTGCAAATGACAAGCTCTGACGGGATAAGTAGGGTCCGGCATGGCGAGCTGAAAGCTAAGGACAAAAATGTATTGGAACAAAATGTGGAAGATGAACAAAAACGTTGGTGGCCGGCGTGGTGCTCCGCGTTTTTGTTTGTTAACGCGCAAAAGTAAATGCTCACGTGTTTTTTCTCCCGTTTTATCTCGAGATGCAAAAAGTGAGAGGCGGTGGTAAAAGGTGGTGTGTGGTACGTGTCTTGTAGGTCCTCCAATGTGTTTTCAGGCTGTGCGAAGTGTCGTTTCACGTGATGTCCTCCGTTTCACTGCACGTGCTGGAAGCTTTTTCAGGAACTGAATTCAGCTCCTCAAGAGTCTTAACCTGTACCCTCAGCACTTCCCATTTCTTCATGTTCTGAAGAAGCTTCCAGCACGTAGTGAAACGTCGGACGTCATGCCGGACATGCGGTGCAATCTGAAATGCACCCGGTGGACCAATATAGTACCAACGTGATAACTGTGCAGCAGGAATCTGTAAGGTTTTCAGCTCATCATTTGCATATATCCAAAGCTGTCAGTATGAATTTGAAATGAACGAACAAATTTTGCCTATGCGCAGCTGCTGTTTGTGAGACGACACTGTGGGTTTTCGGAGGGAAATGCAGAGAATCCCATTGTTGTACAATACTATGCCCCAACGTCTTCACCAACTGGCACGGACCAGCTTCGTGAATTATAATCACTTAAAATAAAGCCTACGTGCCGCACGGCGTGGGAAGGCCTTCTTCCAATGGTGGATGGACAAGAGGTCTGTATATGTGTATGCAGCTGCTGTTGGGCTGTTTCTACCAGCAGATGGGGGCTTGTAACCCCCCCCCATGGTGCTTGACTTTGTTGTTGATACAAGTGAAAAGTGAGAGTAGGTGACTAGATGCTCAGTCTGGTTCATTCATTCTTGCGGTGTATGTACGGCATCGACAAGCGTGATCGACGTTGCCGGCTGCAGTAAAACAATGCAATGCATTTTATTTGGCAGCGTTTTGTACTTTGTAGGCGGCGTGTACCCACTGCAATGATGATTGTTGATCCGTTGTATCGCTGTCCATGTTTAAGGATAACTTTGTATTCGTGAACTTGTAAAGGAACTTATGTAGACGAGGGAAATGTTCACCGAATCGTTGTTGGAAGCGGTTGCTGTAAATACATTTAGATGCACGATGATTCGTAACCGATTTATTTTTGTGGGTTTGATCGCGTCGGTACAATACCAATGTGTGTCGTACACCCCCCTCCACCCAACAAAGTGGCATGAATAAAGTTGTCAAGTGAACACATTTTTATTGCTTTGGCACACTGCTGTGTCGAAGAGGAATCCACGTGTAACGATTACATTTAAAAACAGTCGATTGCTTGTTAATGTGCAAGTGTGCCAATGCAATACGAATTCCCAAGTTTGTTTAAATAACAACTTACGATATATTCGTCTTTGTTGTGTGGAGGGTGTACAACACACATTGGCATCACACTCACGCAATCTGACCCGTGTTACATTTAGCAGAACAAATCTGGATAGAAATGACAGCTGCCGTGGCGAGATGTTAACTGCTTTGCCTGGTATGCTGGAGGTCGTGGGTTCGATCAGGTTTGCATGTTCTCCCCGTGGTTGCGTGGATTTTTCTCCGGGTCCTCTGGTTTTTCCTTCCACATTTAGAATCAACATGTGTTTAAGAGTATTTGGCTGCTATACATTTCTACCTAATAAGCCACTTCGTTGAGCTATCATTTGTGGCCAGGTCACTTCTGAAAAAGAGTATTACCTTGTAAAATAGAAAAAATAGCTGCTTGCCCGCTCGTGGTCAAATCTGATGACAACTTCTATTCAGATCACTGAAACATGTCACGTGACTACCCAGGGTTGTATGTAGACCAATAGTTGTTCATCAGACACACGATGTTTTCAATGGCTAGACAGAAATCTATGCCAGGGGTGAACAAACCGTGGCTCATGAACAAAGTGGGCCTCCCACGGACTTCAAAGAGACATAGCAAATTGTATTTCCATTTAATCATACAGTACATTTATTTGAAACAGGAATGATCTGCACTCACCTCTGCCAATGGAGCCAGACATTAGTACTCCCAGGGGGGGCTCCCACAGATTTCTCAATTCAAAACTCCGCAGCCAACCATCGTGAGTGAACCGGCCCACGTAACCACCCCACGTGACTTTATCACCCTCGGCCATATGAAGATTTTGGTTTGTGGCTCATACTCATAGATAGGTTCAGGAAGTTTGGCAACCATCCCCCACCCAGCTCTATGCAAATACCGTACCAAGACGGCATGGGTGGGAATGTATCGTTGGTGACAATTTCTAGCGAGTAAATACCTGAGCGTGTCATGGCCTTTATAAAAGCCTATTTCTGTACAGGGGAGGGGCGCAAAGATCAGCGTGCGTGCAGTGTGGATGGGGTAGTTGGCTAGTTGCTGTCGTGAGGGCAGCCAGTGATTCTAGGTCTTGCAGGGAACACCAATTTCACTCCGATCTCACAGCGGGCCGCAATTGGGCCGCCAGCGATTGATGCCATGTGATCGACCGACCTCTGATCATGAATAGACGCGGTTTGGAAATGAGATGAATCGTTCTATCTTGCCTGATGGTTGCTGATGAGTAAAAAATGTGCAGATTTTTATTCATTGAGATGACCTCTCACCCGAGCAAATTAAAGGCCAGTTGAAAAATCTTAAAGCTGCAGTGGGCCCATAGTCTCATGGACTAAAATGTCCACATAAAATTTTTATGTCATAATTGGCTTTACTTAAAATTTATCCTCAAATTTTTACACTTTTATGCAGGTGATCCATTGTAACAGTCGTGTGAATAGATGCTTTTTCAGTGTTTCATTGACAATAATAAAAAATAGCTAATTAAACTTTATATTCATTCAAAAGCTAAGATTAACGCTTCAATAGTAAGGCCAGATAATGGACACGGAACTTGACCCATTTCAACGGGAATTTAGTAGCGAGCTGCACGGAGTGGCGAGTCTACGCGGGGCAGGCAGAGTGGAGGGATTCAGAGTGGGGGTAGCCACACAAAGTCACTTGATTTACGGGGAGGTTTGAGCTGATTTAGATATACAGACAGTCTCCGGGCTACAGAAGGGTTAGGTTCCGGAGAACGCTCCGTAACCCGAATTTTCCGTATGTCAGAAGCTGAACAATTTCCCCCAAAATCAACGATAAAATCCCATAGCCCGGAATAGCTGTGCCTCCACTACCTGATTACTAGTTGGTGTTCTCTCCGTTCTCTATCGCTAGCCGTATCGTATCGCTTGTGCATACACTCTGCACTTCCTATGATTCTTTAATTTCGTCGAAAATCTACCCTAACACTACCCAAAATTAAACTATTGGAACATATTCTGTATCCAATTGTTTATGAATACCACGAAACATTTGAATATTAATTGTTAACAGAAAGTAATCCCTTCCGCATGTTCGTTTACCGTGCATGATGCTCGGCCTAGACTTCTCTGATCGCTGTTAGCTCAGACCATAATCAATGGAAGTGTAATTGTGTGAAATAATGTAAATACAGTAAATAAATCATGAAATAAACTTAAAATGAAGAAAACTAGCAATGTAAATATGGTAAAAAAAATATAGTTCTAAGCGTAGAAAACAAACAATTACGTAATGCTACAAAAGGTAAAGGATTACGTAACGCTACAAACATTTAAATTTACCGTAATCCTTGTGAAACTCGGGTTCGGTGAAGGCGATATTATTCCGCAACCTAATCGCGCTGCACTATTTGCGCTTATGTAGCGAACGCAAAATTTCCCGCACAGTGAATTCTGATTTTTACGAGAACGTTTCCGTAAAGTCGAATTTCCGTAAGTCGGGTCTTCCGCAAACCCGTGGACTTAGTGTGCAACGGCTTTTGTATTGCAATTGCAAACATCCGATGCGCTGCAATGCCACGTCTGCCTGCCAGGTGGCGATATCAACACCGAAAATGAAAAGGGAACAACATTCTAAAGTGGTTTTCCCTTTGCCATTTAGGTTAGCCAGGTTTCTCTGTTCTTACAAACATGAGACTCATCCTGGACTCATTGAGTTCTCACCCGGTATAACCTACGAACTTACATTTTATTTATCCAACAATAACTTGGAAAGGAACCGTCCGTGTCGACACAATGTAAAGTGGCCCTTGCAAGTGAGGACTTACTGAATCACGCGCTATACAGGGTGTTTAAAAAACATGGACTCGATTTGAAATGGCTATATCTCTGCAACCACGAACATCCCATGAATGAAACTCTTACCACTTGAAAGAGCGGGGAATTGAGTTTCAAATGATGACCGCGAGATGCCTCTCCCAGCGCACAAACAGCCCCTAGCCTCAGTCATTCGCAAGACGGTGACCCCGCAACACAAGGGGCGTTGTGCGTTGTGCAGTTCAGCAAGACTGAATCCGTAATTGCGGTGCAGCGTGCGTTTCAACGGCGTGTTGGCATTGATCCGCCAATGTCAAAGGGCGTTTGGGACGAATTCAACTATCGTCTCGATGTTGTCCGTACAGCAGGTGGAGGGCACATAGAGCATTTATAAAATGGTTAGTAAAACTTGATAACTCATTAAACCGTTTCTAACTTTTTGTGTAATTGTAACATGTTGCCATTGTGAAATATACTGCTTTGAAATTGGGTTCATCTTTTTTAAACACCCTGTATATTAATTACACTATGTAACATAATTGTTGTTCCTGGTTACTGTTATTTTCTTATTGCTTATGCCTACAAAGTATAGAAAATGGCTATTATTCCCCACAAACTTTGCTTTTGTGACCTGAACTTTATGTGAACGAAAGACACAAATACACACGTTTTCTAATTAAAAATAGGTAAATTTCAAAATATCACTGTCCTGGTCACAAAAGCAAAGTTTGTGGGGACTAATAGCCGTTTTCTGTACTTTGAGGCATAAGCAATTAGGAAATAACACTTACTACCTAGGAACACATGTGTGTGTGTGTGACCCAGTGTTATAATCACCGTGCCGCCAAGTGTAAAATATTCCCACTCCAATACCCGATTAGTTGCGGATAGGGACGCGTTAATATTCGTTGTGGGCCGTATTTATGGCACGACTCGTTGGTCACGAGGTTGTCTATATATGCACATTTTGTAATCTTCACTGTAAGATAAATAACGTTTAAAACACATTGCGGTAACTAGCGTGATATACATGCATAAAACAACGGATCCCACGATTGGTGATTTCTATACGTCTTGTTTTACTGACTCGTTTGTAGAGTGATGGAACATGCTCTAATTCGCATATAATTTGCACAGTGGACAACAAAACATCTCAAGTGAATGGTTTAATTAACGTATCGTGGTGGGTAATTAAGAATAAATGTCGATGTTAGACCACGCAATGCTGATATTAAGATGTATAACTGGAGTATGTCCTGTGCTGTAGTCGGCGCTTAATTAAAAAAGATTCTTAAAATTACTATTTTGTGCCCTTAACGGTTTCGCGTCGTAGTAACCCCGCCGGGCACTAGAGGCCGCTAGTCACCACAATTGAAAACAAAATCAATTATTGAGGCAACATTTGTATCGAATGACAGTATACCAGTGCAGGAACATCACATGAATGTTATAAATTCGCCGTTTGTATTAATTATTAGTTACGAGACTCACGCTTACGTAAACTTTAATACAAATAACAAAGACAGAGATCCCCCGAGTAGCCTTCAGACTGTTGGGGCAAGTGTTGTCAGCTAGCAGCACATATGAATGCTACCGGCTCTGTGGCACATACACAGAGGGGGGTGGGTGGCCAGCACCACGCCCGGCCGCCTTTGTCTCCCCAGTGCTAGAGATGTTGACTACACACCGCATCCGGTGCTCATTTGAGGCCGAGTCGATCTAGGGGAGGCCCAGGACCGGTTCAGATAGTGGTCACTGGTGGTGTTGGTGGCCGTGAGCGGGAATCGAACTCGGGTCGTCGGGTTCGTAGCGCTAACCGCTGCGCCACCGCTCCCCACAGTCAAAGATATACACAATCATCATCATCACTCGGGCGGGCGATACAACGAGTACCACTTTGTGACTAGGTAGTTCGTGTGTCCTTTGGAGAGAGAGAGGGGGGGGGGGTATTTTGGGAATTCAACAGAACGCTTAAATAAAAAAAAACGTTACAATAAAGTTAAGTATAACTTTTAAAATAAGGTTACAATAAGTTAAGTATAACTTTGAAAATAAAAAAGTTACAATAAGTATAACTTTGAAAATAAAAAGTTACAATAAGTATAACTTTGAAAATAAAAAGTTACAATAAGTATAACTTTGAAAATAAAAAGTTACAATAAGTATAACTTTGAAAATAAAAAGTTACAATAAATATAACTTTTAAAATAAAAAGTTACAATAAATATAACTTTTAAAATAAAAAGTTACAATAAGTATAACTTTTAAAATAAAAAGTTACAATAAGTATAACTTTTAAAATAAAAACGTTACAATAAGTATAACTTTTAAAATAAAAACGTTACAATAAGTATAACTTTTAAAATAAAAAGTTACAATAAGTATAACTTAAAAAAAGTTACAATAAGTATAACTTTTAAAATAAAAGTTACAATAAGTATAACTTTAAAAAAAAAGTTACAATAAGTTAAGTAAATAAAAACGTTACAATAAGTATAACTTTTAAAATAAAAACGGGACAATTACCCCACACACGAGACGTTAGAGGAAACACGTGCTCACTGACGTCACGTCCGGCATTAATTTGCGCGGGAATCGCGAGAAACCTTTTTTTGGGGGGTCGCAACTTTCCTTCCGTCCAACTCCGGACGAATTTACTTTTGTCAAATATAAAATACATATATACCCTTGTAAAAGTAAATCCACGCCGTTGTTAGTAATACACATCACGTACGCAACACGTTTGTGTGTGCGTGTTAAATCTTATTTTGTGTGTGTTGAGTCTTACGGAGCGCGAGAGGACGGCGATGGTGGTGGTGGAGGCGACGGATGGCGGCGGCGGCGGTGGTGAGAAGGTGGCAGAGAAGACGATGAATCTGGTGGAGCAGAACGGAGATCAGCAGCAGCAGAAGATGATGGAGGAGGTCCAGCAAGAGTTGACGGCGGACAAGAGGCCAAAGGTTGCCCAGAAGGTCCAAGCAGAGGACGAGGAGCAGCAGAAGACCGCGACGAAGGCGGTCGGCCACCGGCAGAAGCAGACCGACGACGTGGAGATGGATGATGAGGATGATGATGATGAGAAGCGTGGTCACGATGAACACGAGTACCTGGACCTCGTCCGCCAGGTGCTTAAGCGGGGCCGTCTCAAGGGAGACCGGACGGGAACTGGGACCAGGTCCATGTTCGGGATGCAGGCTCGCTACAGCCTCCGAGGTACAGAGGGCATCAGAATCTGTGTATTTATATCTCGGGAGGAATCCGATGAGCTGTAAAGCTCTTTGGAACAGGTGTCCGGTCGGGGCACGGGGTCAAAACTGTCACATCGACAAGCGAACACAAAACCGCGATAGGAGTGCAGAGTATAGGGAAGGTAAACAACTCGAAAAAATACAAATGAAACGAAATCTTACCATCTTCTTGGTTCTTTCGGTAAAGTCACGTAGAGGGGAAATAATAAAAATAGAACATAAAAAATTTCAATTTTTAGAATTTTAATAATAAAAATGCATTTTAATATTTTAATAATAAAATAATTATATTACATAATAAAATGTTATTTTTATTATTTCCCTTCTACGTGACTTTACCGAAAGAATCAAGAAGATGAATCCCTGCAGTCACGAAAGCTTTAAATCGAAAATTAAATCTTAACAGCTAAAGCGCATTGAGGCCCACTGGTGCCTTGCTATGTTCTGGAGATGTATGGCCCTTACTTAAGCCAGGTCATAATCCCAGCCCTTTGAGAATTGAGAGTACTGTATAGTTTTCAAGGGTGACCAGAGTCACTGAGAAATGTGGCATACAAATAATCTCATACAAATTTCCTAAATAAAATATATAACTATATAACATGGATGCCCTGTTTCAAATTCAAGTGAAGTACGTGTTGAAATGCGAATGTACTATATACATTCCCTAGCATTCATATTTTCTTACTATTGAATCAAATTTTTTTCGTAAAATAGTACCAAAGTAACATTGCAGTTAAAATGTAAGAATGTAGTTAATGCATAACCCATGAGTTAACCTTCACGATTGTACATTATTTTGGGAACTAGTCATGACTTTAAGGTAACGTTGCAGTTTACCACCTGAAAATAAATTTTACTCTCTGTCAAAATTGGAGGGTCAAGTACTCAAAAGATCCAAACTTTTATCTGGAGCGTTAATTGTGGAGCTTGAGATTTTCTGTTATACGATACATTGTTACATTTCGAGTGATAGAGCATTTTTTCTCTTTCATTGTCAGGTGGCCGGGTTGATGCATGGTGGTCTCCGCTTTACCTGTGCGTGGATGCATTTGTGGTTTTCTGCAGGGCAGTTTCCGCTGCTGACGACCAAACGCGTGTTCTGGAAGGGGGTGCTGGAGGAACTGCTGTGGTTTATAAAGGTATGCCCATCACAATTGTGTTGTGTTTGTTGTGTACTTGCCACATTAATGAGCAGATTTGGCACAATATAAATTATTAAACAGTGGAGGTATTAACGTCATTTACCAGTGATATCTAAACCGGTATCTGAATCCGTGCTGGGCTCCCTCCATCGCCGGTCCGTGCTGGCCAGTTTAGTGAAACTTTGATCAAACGATTGCCATAACTGACATGGTTTGATTAGGCCTTCATCCAGTCTCGTCGTATGTATGTATGTATGTTGACCTTCTTTCGCACCGTACGTAGCCAACCGTGCTAATCGGAGGTGCGGGAGAAGGACAACAAACTAAATGCAAAAAGTAGTTCATCATTCTTATAACATGACCTTTAACAATATTTACAACATTTATTTTTACAGGAAAGCCTCACTGAGCATCGAAGCATTTTTTGCAGGATGGTCTCGAATTGGGATGTTAAGACGAGTTACTTTTGAACTGGCATGTGGGTGGAGACCAAATAATCCAGAGAAAACGATTAAGTATGAGTAGATAATATGCAAAGGTTCATACAGGTGAATTCACAAACTCACTAGCTCTACTGTCATCTTCTTGCCAATTTGAGAGGTTTATAAATCTACATAAGCCACAAACCCTTGCTAAAAAAAGTACACAAAATCTTAGAAGTGTTCCCTCAATGGCTGTAACATTGCCAAAATAACCTTCACTTAATCTCCATTGGCAGTGAAAATTTACATGCACATATAAATACATATGCTTCATTTCATATTGTAATTCATATGCGTTCCGAGCTATGTTGAGCATTCCCTCGGGGTGATCATTCGCATACGGGGGAGCACTGCGGGATGATAACGAAGGTGCAGGAAATTTTAGCGGTCTTGGTGACATCCTCCAGGGGTCCACCAATGCCAAGGAGCTCTCCGCCAAGGGCGTCAAGATCTGGGACGCCAACGGCTCGCGGGCCTTCCTGGACCGGCAGGGCTTCCCCGAGCGCGAGGAGGGAGACCTGGGTCCTGTCTACGGCTTCCAGTGGCGCCACTTCGGCGCCGACTACACCGACATGCACGCTGGTGCGTGAGCGAGCACATGCAATGCAGGAACCAGATCGCCCACTCATTGAGACCTACTGCGGTTTTAATCCCTTCGGCAAATAATCATTTTTGCAGACTACACGAACCAAGGCCTGGACCAGCTTCAGCATGTCATCGACACTATCCGGACAAACCCTGATGACCGACGCATCATTATGTGTGCCTGGAACCCAAAAGGTGAACCTTCTTGAAACATTTTATTCATGGGATTATTTGTTAAAGCTTTTCTTAATATTACAGGTGGTTTGTTTTACCAGAAGTATTTTATTGAAGAGAAAACACCAGGGGAAGATACAGTGTACGGTCAGACGGGGTTGGGTAGTGGAACGCCTGGTGTTATTTTAATCGTGGGCAACTGTAAACTAGAGTCAAACCCAGGATCTTGGCACATCGTTCATTGGTCTCACCCCTGACCTGGCCACCTCTGTAACGTGTTGTTTCAGGTTATTTTTGTTGAATCGAATCTTGCAAATGCTTTCTTCTGCTTCCGTGTAGATGTGCCACTCATGGCGCTGCCTCCATGCCACGCACTGTGCCAATTCTACGTCGCGGATGGAGAGCTGTCATGCCAGCTGTACCAGCGATCGGCTGACCTGGGACTTGGGGTGCCCTTCAACATCGCCAGCTACGCACTGCTCACCTACATGATTGCACACATCACTGGTCTCAAGGTAATTCTCATTCTATATGGAAAAATCAGATGAATACATTAACAAACAATAACCTAATCAATACGTACTACCTGCAATGCCATATAGATCGGACACATGGACGTTAATTAATAAAATGGAAGGGTACGCAAATGAACTTGGAGAGGCACATGCCTGGAATTACACTGAAATTTAGAAAGAGGAACACATGGATGAGAGAACATGCACAGGCTAAAGACGTAATTACAAGTTGTTTTCTGTCCTGTAATACATCGAATCTTATGGGAATTTTGAAATATAATTTGGTATAAAGTTAAAATAATTTAGCTGCTCCTCACTCGTTGATGTTCTCAAAACGGTGTGCGACCAGAGGAGGCCAAAAGGCGTACAAATATATTATCAGAGTACGTTTTTTGTTGGAATTTTGACCACAAGTATTGTGGTTAATGCAGACATGATTCCTTGTAAAAGGTTTCAGTTTGCTGTTTTAACATCTTAACACCTGTTTTGTTGCCAGAAAAAAGGGGAAAACCTATTCTCACATTATGCATTCTACGTATTTCCCGCCCCCCCCCCATTCTATGTAGATAAACAATACGGATTACATATCCTGACTTGCATGTTTCAGATAAAATTTGTATAGTTATTTTTTATCTCTCCCAATCATCCCGCATAATTGAGCGTTGACTTGACATTTGAGTGGATTGTTTTGGCTTGCCTTGACCACACCACGTGTGTGTGCTTGCTGTGTACGTGCCTGCAGCCTGGAGACTTCGTCCACACCCTTGGAGATGCTCATGTCTACGTCAACCATGTAGAGCCGCTGAAAACACAGGTGAGGTGCTTGTGGATCGAGTCTACTGCACCTACGTGACTGATTCACATCGGTCATTCGATTGGGCGGCAGGGTGGCGCAGTGGTAACACCTCACAAAAAGAAGGACCTGCGTTTGTTTCCTGATAGGGTGCCTTTCTGTGTGTGGTTTGAATGTTCCCCTCTTCTGCATAGCTTTCCTCCCGGTTCTCCGTTTTCCTCCCATAGCTAAAAAAGAAACCCGTAACTGGTTATTGGCCGAACATCTCATTGCTGAAAAAATATCTGCAAATTACTGCAATGGGATACAGCATGTGAACATTTGGCAGGACCCCCCCCCCACCCCGTAAAAGAGTCAAATGAATAGAAATCAATACTCCCTTGCCACTCTGCCTCATATATACATTCCTAATTTGCATATGCATATTTAATTAGGAGTCTGGGATGCAGTAGTTCCTTGGGTCAAATTGTAAATTGAGCTGTATACGTCTCTTCTACACTCCCCTCAATAAGTGCTGGCAATACTTAAACCTTTTAATTGGTTGCCATTTGAGGTTGAAAGAGTTTATGCACGAGCTCTGACCATCCTTCTGTCCATCTGGCAGAAATTAAGATGATCCAATATGAATTAAACTGCATAAAGTTGCGTTGCTATTTGGGACTTTCCTGATAAAAAAAAATGCACTTGCAAATTAGCAAATATTCCTCTTTGCTCTGGTATGTTTTCCATTTTGAGTCACCTTTTAATCAATTTGGCCAATGTTCAATAGGTAAGTCCATAATAGCAACACAACTTGATGCTGCAGGCTTGTTCGTGTTAGATAATCTTCACAAGTTATAGTGGCCCTCTGTTACGGATGGATGGACGGACAGAGCTAATGCATAAAGGCTTTCAATCTTCATTGGAGAGGCTGGTGTGCCCCAGCTTGTGAGGTGAACATGCCTTTCCAGCCAGACGTGGGTCTCGCCACCTTTCACCCTACCCATCAGATACTTCCACCTGGTGTTGGTCTCACTGAATAGCAGTCTACTAATGTAATATAAACTTTTTACAATGTCAGCATTAAGTAGTCACCTTACAGGCTACTGCTGTATCCAGTAAACCCATTTTGACTGGAAGCGTCTGCTTTGATGAAAACAAATGTGGGGAGCGGTCATGTAGTAGTTAGCGTGCTGCGCTACAAACCCAGCAACTCGAGTTCGGTTTCCGCTCATGACCAACACCAGTGACGATTATCTGAACTGGTCTTGGGCCTCCCCTAAATCCACTCATTCTCAAATAAGTACTTGGTGCGGTGTTAAAAAATTGCCACTGGGGAGACAGTCTTTGTTGATAAATACACCATGGCCCAATCTTCAATTTCACCTCATTGACCAATGTGGTGAGGTATGGTCAAATAATCCCAACTGTATGTATTGTATGGGCAGCCCCTCATGTGTGTTAAGAATGTTGCTATAGTTGCTATAGTTTAATTGAATACCGTAGGAATGAAAATAACACATTGTGCCTCGCGATTGTCTTTGCAGCTGCAACGGGAGCCGCGCCCATTCCCGACGCTGCACATTCGCCGCACGGTGACGTCAATCGACGACTTCCGTTCCGACGACTTTGAGCTGCGAGACTACAACCCCCACGCAGCCATAAAAATGGACATGGCCGTTTAGAACGAGTGCTTAGCCATGACCGCCCCTTTTTGTGTCGTCTCCCTATTCCGTTGGTCTCTGCTTCACACCTGGTGATTCGACCAGACTCAAGTTCACTCTGCCCAGATCCTGCATGGCCATGCACCATTGCACATTAGCAATCCTTGAATGATAAGGCGGGGGCGGGGAAGCATTTTGTATTGTTCTGCCCTCCCAGTCCATTGAATAACATACAAATCAACATATTTGTCAGTGTCAAAGTACCGTGAAGGCGATTGCAAAATGGGTATCCTGGACACCGTTTTCAGGGATCATTTAGCAAATTATGTTTATATATATATAGAGTACATCCACCAAGGAGATGGAGCGATGAGATTGGTTCATGTGCAGGTGCTGGATGGATTGGATGTTGCATTGCAGGATCGTGAAAGGTGGCTGTGACTTGGGGAAGCCATTGTCCAGCAGGAGATTGATCATGCTTGATGGTGGTATAATATATTTATCCTCCTCAGGTTGTTATTCCAATCTTGGAAAGTGTTTATATTTGTGAGATTGTTTTGAACAATTGTTAAAATGGACATGATACCCATAATCGGGATCCAGGTGATAGCTATATTAACTACCTCCACTCTTTTGTGGAAACTTTACAGAAGGCTCTTGACAAAACAAACGATATTTCTTGTTGTAGCGTGGAGTCAACGGAACATTAGTTTGAGAACACAAGCTGACACTGCCACTTTTACATGCCATAAATCACATTTCTAAGCATTCCCCTCGGTCGAGTTTGATGATATGGAACAATGAGCTGTTTGGATCAACATTAGTTTTGGCCTGTCAACTTCTCCAGGATAGTGTTAATTATTTCTCATTGTTGCATGATGTACAGTTAATGTTGGGTGCGGTGATTATGCTTTGCCACATTTAAGTTAATCGAAATATTTAGAGTACAAGTGAGCTGCATACATTTTTTATTTTGTCATTCACACACGAAAACAAACGTGTAAACATCACTTTTATTTTTAGTTCATATTGCAATTGAACGATGAATATGTAGAGTACTGTCTTTATTTTCCATTTTATAAGGAAATAACAAAGGATGTTAGGTTTCTGTGGAGGTGTTTGCAGTTGTGATGTATAGCCCTCTGATGTATATTTCTCACACTCCGGGTGTGTGCAGAGAAACGTAGGACATCATGCCAGACAACACACGGGGCAACCCGAAAATACATTGGAGAGCCATGTGAAGCTTCTAATTATATTTCTTAGATATGAATGCGAATTGTATGCTTAAAGTATATAAAGCTATTTGGAGATTTTTACGTGTGAATTTAAAGGGTAACATTAAGTTTATACATTTCAGATGGGAATTCCACCCACATTTCATATGGACATTAGGGATTATTACATTTTTTGCATTTCATAGCTTTGGTGGATATTGCAAGTAAACGTAAAATTACATGTAGTTAAGATGATAATAACTTTTTAAAATAAGCCTACAGTAGCTTATGTTCAGATAAAAATTCAAACCATGTGAAGTGTGTTGTACAGTATTTCAGAGTTTAGATGGACATTAAAGTGGTTATTGTATATCACATTTCAAATGGAAAATGAATTCAAGGTGAATTAAACTTCTTTTGAAAACTCGCTTCAGGCACATTGGTGTGGTGAATTTTACTAACTTCCATTTTAAAAAAATCACTCTTATCCTGCTCTGGCATTCCTCTATTTCATAATTATGATCCTTTTAACCCTCAATGTCCTATCTGTACACACTGACTTGTGTTTTCCAGTTGTATCCCTTCAACTGCTTCAGCAACCGTACATAATAGATGCCGTTTCGGGCAATGGGCCTCAGCGTGAGTTGTTTTGCTCATTTGTGTTCAGCACCACTTGTTAGTCAATAATAATCTGTACTTATCAGTAAATATGATTTTGGTTGTCGAATCCAATTTTCCAAAAAATGTATTCTGTTACTGAACACCCTTGGTGAGAGTATCTCCTTACCCGACATTGTGATTTATAGTAAATTTAGGAAATGTCAGTGTTGCTGTTTCATCTGGAAATTGTTTTGACAATTTACATATATATTTTGAATGAGGCGTTGGTTTGGCAGAGCTTGGGTGACTGTTTCCACACAAAAACATTTTAATAGCTCACAAAAGCCAGTTGCAATAGTATTTAATGTCTTAGAAAATATGATGGTATGTGCCCAATAAACATTCAACTTTGGCCCATCGTAAGCACGTGGTTGGATCCATTGTCCCAACCTTGGCCCAAAGTTCCATGTTTACGTTGTAGTCAGTGGTAGATTGGCATCGCATGGTTGTGAGAGATGGAGAAAAGATGGGGCGAGCTTAACACAGTAGTGGCTAAACCATGGCCAACGATGAACACACTTATTTTGAAAAATCTCAGATATAACGGAAACAAGTATGGTTAAAAAAAATATCGCAGTGTATACATTGGAACTGTATTTCAGAATACAGGTAACTGAATTCAAATAATAAAGCCCCGATTTTATTCCTAATTCAAACGGCGCTTCGCACATTCAAAAAATGAAGCTTTAAATCAGTTTGAATTTCAAAGAGTTGGCATTGTCAGGGCCGTTTACATTTCCCAACACGGATAGGCGCCGCATTTGTCAGGATCCTTTACATTTCCCAGCGCGGATAGGCGCGACGCGCGAGCGGCCGTGAGGAGACCACGTGACCCCGCGTCAAACAAAGGCGCCGTGAGGAGGCGCGGGTCCAGCCGAGCTCGCTCGGCGCCCCCCTCCCTCCCTCCCTTTTAAAACAACAACAGCAGCAGCGCCGTCATCACCGTCATTATCAACGAGATCCTCCTGTCAATGCGCCACGAGTAAAGCCGTCGCCTCGTTGCTGCTTCGCTCCTCGTGGGGGTCGAGAAGAGGTCGCTAGTCCGGGACATCCCATCCACACCCCCCCCCCCGTCACTCGCAGCCCTACCGACTCGGACGCGCCTTCCTCGGTAGGGTCGCTAGCCGGGTCGGCGTCTCCCGCCGGGCCTGCGGCCTAGTGAGTGAGTGAGAGAGAGAGACGTCCCCTCTTCAGTCGAACTTGCTCGGCCACTCGCCGTAGCTCGCAAGTCCCCGCATGGCTTCCCGCAACAACCGCGTGGTGACCGAGGGTGTTGGGGCTCGCATCGTCCGCGGACCCGACTGGAAGTGGGGCAAGCAGGACGGAGGCGAAGGCCACGCCGGCACCGTGAGGAGCTTCGAGAGCCCCGAGGAGGTGGTGGTCGTGTGGGATAATGGCACCGCCGCCAACTACCGCTGCTCGGGCGCCTACGACCTCCGTATCCTGGACAGCGCGCCCACAGGTAAGCCTCGGCTACTCGCCCGCCTGGGCCGTGGGGGAAGGAGGGGGAGAGTGGAGGGGGGTGGTGTGAAGTGGCAAGGAGAGTTGTTGAGTGACTGGGTGAACGAGTGGGGGGGTAGAGTGGATGGCGGGTGAGTGGTAGGATGGGTGAGTGGTAGGATGGGTGAGTGGTGGGATGGGTGACCGGTGGGATGGGTGACCGGTGGGATGGATGAGTGGTGGGATGGGTGAGTGGTAGGATGGATGAGTGGTGGGATGGGTGAGTGGTAGGATGGGTGAGTGGTAGGATGGGTGAGTGGTAGGAGGGGTGAGTGGTAGGAGGGGTGAGTGGTGGGATGGGTGAGTGGTGGGATGGGTGAGTGGTGGGATGGGTGAGTGGTGGGATGGGTGAGTGGTGGGATGGGTGAGTGGTGGGATGGGTGAGTGGTGGGATGGGTGAGTGGTGGGATGGGTGAGTGGTAGGATGGGTGAGTGGTAGGGTGGGTGAGTGGTAGGGATGGGTGAGTGGTAGGGTGGGTGAGTGGTAGGGTGGGTGAGTGGCAGGGTGGGTGAGTGGCAGGGTGGGTGAGTGGTAGGGTGGGTGAGTGGTAGGATGGGTGAGTGGTAGGGTGGGTGAGTGGTAGGATGGGTGAGTGGCAGGGTGGGTGAGTGGTAGGGTGGGTGAGTGGTAGGATGGGTGAGTGGCAGGGTGGGTGAGTGGTAGGATGGGTGAGTGAGTGGTAGGATGGGTGAGTGAGTGGTAGGATGGGTGAGTGAGTGGTAGGATGGGTGAGTGAGTGGTAGGATGGTTGAGTGAGTGGTAGGATGGGTGAGTGAGTGGTAGGATGGGTGAGTGAGTGGTAGGATGGGTGAGTGAGTGGTAGGATGGGTGAGTGAGTGGTAGGATGGGTGAGTGAGTGGTAGGATGGGTGAGTGAGTGGTAGGATGGGTGAGTGAGTGGTAGGATGGGTGAGTGAGTGGTAGGATGGGTGAGTGAGTGGTAGGATGGGTGAGTGAGTGGTAGGATGGGTGAGTGAGTGGTAGGATGGGTGACCGGTAATCCTGGTAGGATGGGTGACCGGCTGGATTACAAATAGCCTTGAGTCACATGGGTAATGGGTCAGAGTTGGTAGTAGCAGCTACTTGTGTCACCCACGGGTACAGCGGGGGCATGGGGTATTATTATATTGGGTGACTGGTCCACTGGAGGCTCGGCTAGTTGACAACGAGGCTGTCTGTGTGACAGACAGCGTGATAGAGTTTGTGAATGGTTCAAGAGCTCTGTGGCAGCATGTCTGTGCGACGGGTTAACTGGTCGGCGTCTTCGCCGAGAGGCAGACTGTGTGATGATGATTGGTCGAGCAAGAGACAGACTTGGTGAAGAGTGAAGCGAATATGACCTCGGTGAGGCTGGGTTACAGGTGGACTGTGTAACTTCGTGTACATTGGGTGATGGGTAGAGTGAATGGATGATGAGTTCGGTGAGAGGCTGGGTCTCAAGTACACGGGGCGGCAAATAATGTGACTGGGAGCCGAGGGGGCAGGCACACTGGCGGGACTGGGTGACACTTGGAGTGGTTTTGGGTGAATTATGAACTCCTTGGGGGTGACATTCCAGCCAAAACTTTTATTTATTTATTATCTGAAGGAGTCTTTAGATTGCCCGTGTGGGTGTACAGTTTATATTGATCAGCATTGCTTTTGTTGTTGTCACAGTCGTGCCTCGGTTCTACGGGGCTTTGTGAATTTCCACGTTTTCCCGTGACCCACCTGAATGAGATTATCAGCAGGTCACCCACACGCAGACTCGCTTCATGAGTGGTTGCTCTGATGACATAACTCAAAGGTGGTCGGTTCCTCGTTTGAGACAACTTCAGGAGGCCTCTGTTGAGGTTTAAATGTTTATGCCCATTACATTATACAGTACGTGCATGTCCAGCCCTTTGTCAACCCACTGCTGGATGAGTGCCTTTTTATTCCGTGTGGGTAGTGGGAGTTGTTTGACCTCCAACACGCTGGTGAAGAGATGTGTGGCATAGAAGTAAAGTACAAACACGGAATGGGCTACAGCCTATACCAACCTGAAAAGCATTTCGATTATTCATAATACAGGTTTTTGGGTTGGATCGCCGTAAGTATAAATGTGTCGTAACCCTCCACCACCCGACACAGACAGGTTTGTCACGTAAACAACGCGACAATTAGTTTACCAATTCAGCCCACCGGTGTGCTGGAGAGTAAATCCACAACATTTACAATTTGAATTCCAGCACAGCGGTGTGCTTAGCTTCCTCAATCTGACATGCTGCGTAATTTGTTCATCGGTAATTCATTATACCAAAGTTTTTTTTCTGTATTTGTAAATGTTTGCCCAAAGTGAGCGGCGACTCTACTCGTGTGAAGGAAGTGTTGGGTCTTGAAGTGGTGTCTAATGTTTAGGAATATTTTTTTTTATAATTGATTTAATTTCTTAATTTGTCGATATTTTTAAGTTGCATGGAGTCACTGACCCTGGACGAGTAGGGGACGTCTGATAATTACAAATCAGTGGAATAATTGGGAATCAATTGTAAAAAACATGCTTCGTTTCTAGTATTCGTAAGCAGGCAGTGTGAACTTTAGAGATGCAACAAGATTTTGGAATGTAAACCCGTACACAACATGCGAAGAAGTGCTTGTCTCTCCACTGCACATGAGGCTAATATTAGGCCCATTTCCCCCGCTCTGTATCTTGTTGCAGTGTGTGTTGCAAGCGGTGTAAACCTCACGTGTTTCTTGCGATACGTTGGCACTGCTTAAGGTATCATCAGTAATTTCAATTCAAAATATGAGTTTAAATATAGGGAGACGTCAACAAATAATTTGCTCACGGAGGAACCAACCCCAAAAGCGTATGACCATATCGCCCAGAATTAACCCGATATCATGCAGATATCAGAAACTAAGCCAGGTTTGAGCCTGGATGGTGCTAGGATTGGCGAGCAACAAGAGCTTGATTATACGCTGCGGCGATATAAGGTGGGCAACAGAGGGTAGTGTTGCCACATCGGTTGTTGTACTGCACAGTACTTGCATACTCCCACATTCCCCCCCTCCAATCTTCAACGAATCTCCACTGATCAGCGTGGCGAAGTATGGTCATAACAACCCCCATGACCAGCAGCGGATTGACAAAATGGTTGAGAATGGCAACAGTTATATGCTGTTTTATGATTTTATTTAATTCTATCTCATTTGCACATTGTGAGCTGAAGCCTTTTAGCACGGCTACTCTACTTTGTTATCAGTGTAAATATGTATTCAAGCTCTCTTACAGAGCATCTCTTTTCATGGTGTGCTTGGGAGTCCAAGCGGCCCCATCTGGTGTCCACGCGGCACCATCTGGTGTCTACACAGCCCCATCTGGTATTGTCCGAGTGGAAAGGCTTGAGCCGAGCAGGTGCTAGAATTGGACATGGCGATGTCACGTAACATCCGATTTCCGAGCAGCCATTTGTTTACCCGCAAATGACTCGAGAAGACGCTATTTTAGGAGGTTTCTGCCACAGCGCATGGATTTATAGCGGTTATCTGTTTGCTGGTGAGTGTGTATTTCATATCGGAATCGCCTCCAGTGCTGTTGCTGCTGGCGGCAATAAAAGTTGTTTAAAAAGTAAAAAAAAGTATGCTGGGCATTGGGACATTATTCTCACCAATTCCATGAACGAGTGTTTGCCTTCATGTGGGAGGGAACCAGAGAAGTGGAGAAATCCCACTCCTCCTGCAAGGGGGTAACACTCAAAAGTCTCTGTTTGGGTTCGCAAACCCACTTGCTCTTCAGTTGACTTGGCAGACTATGACTGCTATTGACGTTGTTTGTATCGTGACGTGATCTTGTTTTCAACTACTTAATTACGTTGTAATTCTATTTATAATGTAGAATAAATGTATCCAGGAAAGGCGCGATTAGCTTCAAGACTCTTTTTCGGAGGGTCCTGCTATGGGGATGTTTTTTTTCCTCTCTGCTGCCAGTAAGAAGTGTTTTATAAATATGAATAAGAATTAGAATATGAATAAGAAGTGTTTTGTTTGTGGGAGGAAAGTAGAGTACCAAGAGAAAGGCCACCACACTCAAAACATCCACACAGACTGGCTCATGTATCCAACTACTCTCCTCTCTCTTTGGTTCTTTCGGTAAAGTCACGTAGGTGAAAATAAAAAATAAGAATAAAAATAAGTACATTTATCTTTATTTAATTTTTTTTAGTTTTTTATTTTCACCTACATGACTTTACCGAAAGAACCAAAGAGTATGGATCCTTGCAGTCACGAAAACTTAATCTAGAATTACTCTCCTGTCATCTAGCCTCCTCGCAGCCCAGCGGTGTTTGGAGTTTCACAAATCTCTGCATGACCCACCAACTCTTTCTATTATTACGACTACTACTTAGGCTTGTTTACACAGGAAAGCCTCACTGGAGTCTCGTGGCTCTTTTTCAGGAGGGTCCTGCCAGGCTTTCACGGTAGAGGTAATGATTGATGTGTAGATTCAAATTGAGTAAATTGCAGGTAATTTTTTGAAGTTTTGGCAAATTCTTACCGTGACGCTGGTACTTGGGAATGCCATCACACCGTACCTTACCTCCAAAGCGACAGATCACAGACATGCACCACCTCGCCTGACTCGTGTTGTACTCTGTCTTGTTTAGTTTCACTGATTGCGAGTTCTGTATCATGCTGTGAAATGCTTTGAAGTGTTTTAAAATCACAGGACATGAACATTCTTTTTATTATAATTATTGTTGCTGTTGCAGCATTTGCTGTGAGGTTTTTGACAGGGGGTTTGCCTGTCACGGAATAAATATCTTAATCGGTGAATATCATGGGCTACAATGTGTATCAGAAACATGGTAAGTGACAAATACATTTAAGGCTGAAAGTGCGCAAAGCAGAGTGGAGAGTTGCATGCTTGAAATGACACTCGGAGACAGGAAGAGAAACGCATTGATTGCAGCCCCAGCGGGTTCGGCAGGTTCACGAATCTTCCTGCGATCCACCAACCCTCACCTTCAAAGCACCACGGGTCATACAAACACCTGTGCCACCACCACCACCATGCCCGGCCCTGACGGCCAGCTCTGGTAGCTTTCCTCCTGTGATGGCTCTCGTGTCTCTCCCCTCTCCGCCCCATTTTCCCCGGCAGGAATTAAGCACGATGGCACCATGTGTGATACCTGCCGCCTGCAGCCCATCATCGGCATCCGCTGGAAGTGTGCCGAGTGCACCAACTACGACCTGTGCACGGCATGCTACCACGGGGACAAACACCACCTGCGTCACCGCTTCTACCGTATCACCACGCCCGGCAGCGAAAGGTTTGATTCAAGACACAGAATCAGAATCGGAAGTATTTATTTACAACGGAGGAATCTGATGAGTTATAAAGCTCTTTTTCAATAGGGGCGCGACGGGGGTAAACGATACCTCTTCTCCACTGTACAAGTGAGCTTCACCCGAGCCGTGCTGAGCGAGCCTGGTGCGGCTCGGGATGTGCCAAGTTGGTTTTTTCCACTGCAGAAGCCGAGCCGTGCCGCGTTGATGTCATACGCAATGAAGGAGTCGAGTGGCATGTAGATGATGGCGGTGTCACTTTGTCCCTCATAGTATACGGACTGTCATTAGATGCATGAAACAGGTAATTGGCTCCGCCCTTGGCCCTGCTTGGCCCTAAGTAAAATGTGTCCGTGAGGTTTGGTAAGCACGGCAAATGGCCAGTGGGAATCCACCCATGCCTTGATTGCCCTGTGTTGGCTCGATTCGGATGTGTTATATTGAAAAGGGGTATTGGGGAGCCTTCATTTTGTTAGGCCTATGCTATTCTAGGATCAATTTCTCACCGAATATGTTTCAGGTCCCTGCTAGACTGGAATAGACATGTGACTGGTAACCACTGCCATAACGAGAGGGTATATTGGTTGTGGTGTCCCGTGGATGGATATAGGTTCTGGGTTACGGACCCGGATATACCTGGCTGCAATTAACCACTGGACTTATGGGGAGGAATGCGCGCTCCCTGTCTCGTCAGCTCTTGAAATCTAAGCTGGGTTGAGCTCTTGGATGGGTGACCAAATCAGAATCATATATATTTATACTGGAGGAATCCGATGACCTATAAAGCTCTTTTTCACAGATTTCCAGTCGTGGCGGGTAATAACGTTACAACACCAAACAGTATAAAAACATGATAGTCGTACAAAAACATGACTGGCATGCACAGCAGGTGCTATAGGCTGTTGCAGGGCTTTCACCAACACGCACTGATAAGTGTGGTGAAGTATGGCCATATAGCCCCCTTGAACCTCGCTGTGTCGGGAAATCCCGCCTTTAGTAGTGTATTGACAAGTGGACAAGGTACATTTTTATTAGAGGGTTGTGACTGTACAAATAACCTGTCTTGGGCTTCTCTTAGGTTGACTTTGCCTTAATTGAGTACCTGGTGTTGTGGTATGTAAATATTCTCCCTGGGGACATACTGGGAGCCTCTTAGGCACCACAAAGTTGCTCTTCATAGGGGCTTGCTAGCAGAAGCCTTTTTGACTGCAGTAGCCAATGAAGCTGAAATAGGGGTATGTGTCTTTGTGTGCAATTATGTGTGCATGTAACATGGCAAAATGTATGACGTGGTATGCTCTGGAAATGCTTTATCTTGTTCTGGTATGGTGTGTGGTATGCGGTGTGCTCAGGTTTGGTGTATGGTGCCCAAATGCTTCGTGTCTGATGTACTGCGGCGTGTTGTGGCATTTCGTGTGCTGTGGGACATGTTGTGATGCAGTATCCTGTGGTGTGTAATGCGAGCTTGGGTGGTGTATGGGGGTAAGCGGTGACGTGCCTCTCCGTGCTGCGGCCCGTTGTGGTGCAACACGGCTCATCGTGACACGGCGTGGCGTGTTGTGACGTTCTGTGTTGTGACGCTGTGTGTTGTGACGCGTCGTGTTGTGACGTGCTGTGTCGTGACGCTCTCTGTTGTGACGCTGTGTGTTGTGACGCACTGCTCGTTTGTGACGCGCCAAACATTGTGACGCGCTGCGGTGCCCCGCAGGGTGCTGCTGGAGTCTCGACGCAAGTCCAAGAAGATCACGAGCCGCGGCATCTTCCCCGGTGCGCGCGTCGTGCGTGGGGTCGACTGGCAGTGGGAGGACCAGGATGGGGGGAACGGGCGCAGAGGAAAGGTGTGTACCGTGGTGTCATCCACGAAGCGGAGGAACTGCGCCAGCGTACCTCGGCATGTGACCAAAGCAGATTGTTGTTTTTTGACACTGATGTTTTTAATTTTACTTTACCGGAGCAATCACACTTTGTTTGAGTTCTGTAAGGATGGGTTTTTGGTTCAAGTTCCCTCCATCCTGTCCGATATTGTGCTTTACTATTTACCTTGTCAACTGGCCACCCCCATTCTTCCAATTATTAGCAGCACATCTTTCCTTTCTTGGTCTTTTCCCAAAATCCCTCAAGAGCTTACTTCAGCAAGCCTTCCCCTTTGACAATATTCTCGATGTAGAGATATGTTTCCGGCTTTCAGTTGGTTTATCTATAAAGAGTAGCCAGCACTTTCTGGCTGCTCTTTCTGTCTGTCCAACTAATTTTATCCATTCGACATTGAACACAGACACACCGAATTCTAGAACGTCCGGTGTTACCTATTTGTTTCTCGCCGTAAACATCCCTGCAAAATATAACACTCCACACCCGGGCCTTGACGAATCTCTTACACAGTTCCCCGCCCAGTCGTCTTATCCGCAGCAACTTTTGCTTTCTTACTCCACTGTTTCCATAGAAATCCTAGACGATATATTTTTTTTATCAGGTTGGGGGTTTCTTTGTAAATGCCTTTTTTGTCATCATTTGCTTATAGTTAAAAATGTGTTTATCCAGGAAAGCAAAACTGATTATCTTGACCTTTTCAGGAGGGTCCTGCAATGTGATGTTTTTTTGCCATTTCCATTAACAAAATGGACAATTACTTCTCAAGGACTATGTTGCACATAGAAGGAACGGATTTAAAAAAAACTCTCTCACTCGCCCATCTACACAGACGGGTTCCCGAAGCCGCTTACTGTGCTGCAATCTTGCTCCTTGCTGACCAGTGGGTTTGGAAGTTTCACAAATTTGTGTGATCCTCCAACCTTTACCGCCAAAGTGTCGCATCGCAGGCATGTGCTATCTCGTCGGGCCCTTTCTTTATTCTGTGTCTTGTTTTGTTTCATTCATTGCGGGTTGTGTGTCAAGTTGTGAAATACTTTCAGGTGGTTCTCTTTAAAAAAACCTAATGTCCATTCTACAAACATTATTGTTGTTGGAAGTCGTGTTGGCTGTTGGTGTGCGTTTAGGAGGTATGTAGTAGTCTTTGACAATCATAAACACGGACATCGACAAAGAAAATGGAACAAAAGTTGAAGATGCATGGGGAGGTGTGTGCTTTGGAATTACACTGAGAGACAGAAAGAGCAAAACACGGATTAATGACTATGCCCACATTAGAGACGTATATCCTGTTAAAAATGTAAGTTGGCGTGAATAGGACATGGTCGCGAGAATGAATGATGACCGGTGATTAACACTTAACGACTGCGTGACAGCCAAAGGAGGGAAGATGTCTAAGAGAGGGCATCTACCGTGGAGATAAAGTGACAAAATTGGCTTGTGTAGAAGAGTTATATTTATTAGATTGAAAATAATTTCTTTATAATTTTTTTTTAGTTTGTTGTCCTTCCCCCGCACCTCCGTTTAGCGCGTTTGGCTACGTACGGTGCGAAAGAAGTTCAACAAACATTGTCACATTGCAGAGTCATTGTGAGATACGGCGTCAGATTGGGGAACCCTCCTTCCACTGCTAGATAGGTTCTGGCTAAATATTACGAAGTTCGCCTCTTCCGCTCAGGTGACGGAGATACAGGACTGGAGCGCCGCGAGTCCACGCAGTGCCGCCTACGTGCTGTGGGACAATGGCGCCAAGAACCTGTACCGCGTGGGCTTCGAGGGCATGGTAAGGGGCATCTCCTCCTCTTCCTCCTCCTCCTCCTCGCTTTCTTCCTCTTCATTGTGAGCCAACGTATTCGCTCCCTCACTTGCTGTTTCTCGGAACAGATAGATAGGCAAGTGTAAGTGACTTACAAGTTCGGAATAGAGCGTGGCAGCATCGTATTGTAGATGTAATCAGCAATAGGGGGCTGTGATGGATTGGGACACCTGTGTAGTATGGGGGGTGAGGTCAGCGACTCGGAGAAGACCTCGAGCCCCTAGCAGATTGCGAAGTGTCACGACATCAGTAGTTTTGGCTGTGATTTAATATTAATTTTCTGTTACTGTATAAAATGATTCGATCGGTATTTTCCTGGAAAGTTTTGCTGCCGCCCTGCCACGAGTTGCTGCCGTTGCGTTTTGTGGTAAGAGTCGCGTCGAGTAAGTTCGCTCAACCAAAATTATTGTCGACGGGGACGCAACGGATCATTGCAGGTGGTTCTGGATCAGAGCCATGAAATAAGCGGCAAAAGAGAGCAGGTTTGGAGGCGTTTCGGAAAAACTGAATTTTGTGATGAAAAGTACCGTTTCAGCATGCCTAAAGGAGACAGTTTTTGAATCGGTTCATATTTCCTGCTCTGACACATGAATCAAAAACATGGGCAACGACAAAGAAAATGGAAAAAAAAGCTCTGAAGTGCACGAAGAAGCATGGAGAGGCACAGGCATGGAATTAGATTGAGAGCTGGGAAGAAGAAGAACACATTGATCAGAGAACAAGCGCACATTGGAGACATCACTTTGATGACTCTTAAGAAAATCAAATGCGCATGGGTAGGACACCTCACGAGAAGGTTTTTAATATCTAGTGGATGAGACCGCTGATGGAATGACGGCCGAAGGAGGGAACCCGTCCGGTACGATGACCGTAGCGCAGACTGAGAGATGGAAATTGGCTTGTGCTCCGGAGCGGGATGAGTTGTGTCAATCCACGACTGAGTGATGGCGACCAATGTGGCGAGGCCTTCATTCGGCTAGCAGTGGATATACAATGACAAATCGTCGCCTTGTTTCAATGGGCTCCTTTCTGGTAGTAAAACAAGTCGTTTAGATAAAGGCCAGCTGTGTTTCAAGGGAGGCGGCCTATTACATAAATGCAGCAAACTTGCAAAGCGCACCGCTTGGACAGAACAACGGGGAAAATACCGAATGAGGAGCTGCAATCCTCTCTCTGTGTCTGCTTCACTTTGCCCCGTTGTTCTTGCGAACTCCCCCAATGTTTCACACCGTGGGGTGCGCGCACTGTAAGTCTGACGCCCGTGGCTTCTCTCTACCCCCTTTTGTTTGCCAACGCCATGATGTTTGGCTGGAGGTCCAGGGCACGGGGCCGCTGCAAGCATTCGCGTGCCGCCTGCCGCCTCATTGTGCGCCGGCTTTGCAGTCGAAGTCCAACCCCGAGACTTTTTGAAGGGAGCCGTCGGGCTACCTTTTGTCTACCCACGAATTGATTATGTCCATCAGTCTGTCCGTTCGTCCATCTGTTCGCACGAGGGCGCTTAACGCTCTTGCACGAAAGCTACAAGGGCCCTAACCAATTGCCATGAAACTTACCGCGCAGCTCACCAGTGTTCACATCTGGGAATATTGGCAACTAAATATTTTTAGTTAAAGTTTATTTTAGTTTGGTGTATTCCTTTGGGAGACGAGATAGTAGCCACTAGACGAGAACAATGGCACAGTGGCAGCTGGCCGGGAACGCGCGCCTGAGAAGACGTCCACCACGGATTTGAAGCAAAGGAATTGTCTTGTGGTGCCAGAGCTGCATGGATTGGATTCCACACAGGACTACGAAAGATAGTGATGGCTTGGTGGGGGAGGGGGGGTGGTCTTCATCCAGCAGTGGATAAATCATTGCTGATGATTCTTACATCTAAAGTCTTCGGATTATAAAGCTATACAGCCTAGGGAATACCCTTACACAATGGAGACTCCATATATGGACTGGTTTGCCAGCTTGTTTTTTTTTATTGTGGTTGCAGTCACGGCAGGGCCCCATGAGACAAGCCTCTCTCGCGTTGACGATGAAAAGCCCTCGCCTCGGCTTTTGTTAAGTGGGCGGTCGTGAGTGGGGAGGGCACCGAGGGCCAGGCTGAGGTTTGGAACAGTTGGCCTGGCTGGGGGTGAGGGACGTAATTTATCATCTGCTGGCCGGCATCTGTGTGCATTTTCACGCGCCTGTGCATGCATGCATGTGAATGGAGAGGGGGTGCAGGGGTGCTATGGTGCAGTGATTCGCTCACCGTGCTACGAAACCCTGTGACCTAGTCTAATTCCTGCTCGTGGCTAACGTCAGTGACGAATATCGGAACCTGACTTGGGTCTCCCCGAGGTTGAATCTGCCTTTAATCATTATCTGATGCGGTGTGTAAAAAAAAATATCACTGGGGAGACTAAAGACGGCCGGGGGTATGCTGCTGGTCACAACCACCCCCTTGTGTGTCGTATTGGCCCTCATAGGTGTTCGCTAACGGCACTTTCCCCAACAGACTGTGTAGGCTACACGGGGAATCTTTGTCTTTGCCATGGAGAGGGTGTGGATGGGGGTAGGCGGAGGGCTCTTCGAGATCCGGCAAACAAAGGAAGAGCACAAAAGCCGGGCGCTGCTATTCCCTTTCCCAGATGGCTCTCACAATCGCTACCCAAATGTGAAGCCTGAACTGTGAAGTCATGGAAAGAATCATTCCACATGCAGTATCGCACTCCACATGTAGGTTTTCGCAGCCAATATGATTCATCATTGATTTTTGGGTAAGGTCACATAATGATCTGGCCAAAGTTATGACGTTAAATCCATACAAGAAGTCTGATCTTGACTTCTGGAATTTTTTCTCACTTCCCGGATATTGTCCTACTTGACGTAGTTTGAAACGAAACGTCGTATCCAATAGCGAAATTTGGTTGTCTGAGAATTGTTCTTCAACTTCCATGTGAACCTAAAGAGTAATAACCGCGTTAAACGCTTGTACACGTGACAATTACATTTGTTTGGCTGTCGGATGGAGACGGGTCTTAATGACACGAATTTGGCGTGATCGTTACGTGGCATAATAACGCAACGATCAATTGTGAATCGGTATAACACTCGTTGTGTGCTGTAGTGAAGGATCATGGGCAGCAAATGTGTAACCAACAGACAAGAAGTCCATATCAAATATATAATGAGCAGGCAGGAAGTCCGTTAGAATATGTAATAAACAGACAGGAAGTTTGTTTCTCGAACGTAAAATCAAACCTCATTTATTTTTCCACCGACCCTTGAACTTTCTGGACCGATGATTTCAGTGGAATTTGTTTATGCAGGCAAACGCAGGACCTGTTTTGACCTTCCAAGTTCCATCAGCAGTAAGCGATCGAACTTCCCGTCTGTTCCTTATTTTCAGCTTCTTCCGTTTGTTTAAAAAACACAATTGGAATTCATGCAGTGGCCAAACGTCTCGTGGCGCTGTACAGAAACGGTGGGCGCGTTTATTTCATCGACAGAGGCATTCTGTCAGAGGAAGACATTGAATTCTTGGACTTGAACAGGGGCAGTGTGTCGACAGTATATATGACTGTGGGAAGGGAGTTCCAGACTCTGTGGGCTATAGAAGAGAATGAGCAATCTCTCACCAAGCATAGGTTGACGAGACGTTTAGACCGAAAGCTTAGTTCGCTGGAGTAGAGAGTGTATGGAGAGGCGAAGAGTTAAGGTGATTAAGGGGGAGAGCTTAGTTCTTGGCAAGTCCATGGGCGATATCTGTGTCGGCACATAACGTTGCCCGCATGAAGAATGCGTGATGTGGTCATAGTGCAATCTGCTTGTGATTAAAGTGACACGTTCTGGCTTGTTGTTTGTTTTACAGTCGGATTTGAAATGCATCCAAGACGCAAAGGGTGGATCCTTTTACAGAGATCACTGCCCAGTGTTGGGTAAGTGCCGGTGGTAGGCCCATCACACACCACAGTCCTGAGCCGGCATTTATAATATTAACCAAAATAATCGTGCTCCATCGCAATTTCTCTACTACGGGATGAAGGCCTCCCCAAGTCGTTGCCGTCCCTCACGGTCACAGTGATTAAACTCTCCGTCTGGCTCCTGCACACGAGCTGGTGTCTTCGCTCCAGCTCCTTAACAGACGTCCTGCCGGGCATGTACTCTCCTTCGGCTGTCACGCTGTCGTTAATCTCGACCACCGGCCGTAGTCCCTTCTATGGACTTGGCCTATTCAGGCCCTCTTGCTATAATATTAATATCGACCTTAATAATTGCCCAGTGAAGTTTCATTGAGTTCAAGACTCTTTTTCAGGAGGGTCTTACTACATCGGAATATTTCTCCAATTCCATGAATCCGTGTTTGGTTTCATGTGCGAAGAAAGCGAAGGACCTGGAGAAATCCCACCATGCCTACTTAAGGATCGCATTCAGCTCTGCACAGATAGTTTTAGTATGCATATTGATTAGGTATACTGAATCCATCTGTCAACTGATCTCTGCATTTAGACGACGACGACGACGATGACGGCTGTACATTGATCCGCAGGCGAGTTGAACGGGAGCCGGAATCCCGGCGGGCTGCAGATCAGCGACTTGGTGAACATCGACCTGGAGCTGGAGATTGTGCAGTCGCTGCAGCACGGCCACGGCGGCTGGACGGACGGCATGTTCGAGACGCTCTCCACCACCGGCACCGTGTGCGGCATCGACGAGGACCACGACATCGTCGTGCAGTACCCCAGCGGCAACAGGTGCTCGCCGCGCAGAGAGATTCTTCCAGGCCACTGATTTGTTGAATAGCATGGAAAGTTATCAAGCAGCTTAGCAATGCCAGGGGCCTGATCTCTTTAGCTTTGCACAAAGGGTCCTACATTGGAAATGTTTGGCCAAATCCTTTTTGCGATGAGAGTTTTGCATCTGAGAATAAACCTGGAGAAATACCGATATGCGTAACAGGGGATGACACTCTACGGATTCAAACACTTAAGTTTCTGTTCCGTCTGCTTCGCAAACCCAGCTACTTTGGGAGTTTCCCATTAGTGTGTAACCCACCAGCTCTTGGTTCCAAATTGTTGATACACAGATAATGCCACTATGCCCAGCTCAAAGTAACCTCAGGGACTCTGCTGGTAGTGGCTAGTAAGCACCGGCATTTCGACAATGTGGCGATACTATGATATGTAGTACGTTGCAAGAGCTGCGATAATCATTTAGTTCATTTTGCTAAGTTTTATCATGTCACAATTGTCATTTGCTCGTGTTATTTTCTTTCATATTTTACTTCTTTACAAAATATTTTTGGAAATCTGAAAGCTCAATGTATAAAGTTGTCAAATAAGTAGCTATTACCTATTGCGATAGTGCTTTTAAAAATGTTTTCTTGGAGTAATTGATTGCACAATAGTCATATCGCCTCATCATTTTCGTAGCGCATCCAAATATATGTCTTTTTCATGTAACTAACGGGAAGTTTATTCTGTGTGTTATTGATTGTAAAGTTATGATGATGAGAAGGTTCATGGCAGGCTCATGTGTATGTAGAGTGTACTGCACCTGAAGAAATGTTAAGTAATTATTGTGAGTATTGGACGTACAGCGAAACGCAACAACGATGCGATAATCGTGGAAGATACGATCGCAAATTGACGGGCAACTGATATTGCGATATTTTGTCACATTGCTAAAATGTATTTCGTACATATGGTATCTCAAAAAATTATATCGGGGGATCATAGTAAGCACGTCGTGTTCCTGTCGCGCAAACGTGATTATGGTATTGATGTTTATTCACGTGAAAGTGACAGATATCTTCATTTACATCAAAATTACAAAAAACAATTTGCATTGCTCAATATGTCAAGGCAAGTGTTTCTGAGGTGGATGAGAAATAGGCTAAATCATTTATCAAATTGTGTTCATCTTCACTGTGTACACAGACTTCACAGCAATCAGTCAGAGAAAGACAGATTGCTGTGCGTAACTCTTGATAAGTGAATCAAACGCTTGGTCAATTGAGGTCTTCGTTTGATTAAATCACACCAAGCAGGAGAAATGGGTTCACCGCAGTTTGTCGATTGGCTGGTCGCGTGTGGCGGTGTAAAATGTGGGCATTCCCACATCTTCCCAAGTCCAAGACATCTGGTCGAAATGCCCTTTAGTAGAGGCTTTTCTGCCAGGAGTGGCGCAAGCATGCCATTGCAGGGCTGTACCTTTACCTTTCCCAGGAGTGGGACGATTCCTTACAACTGTTAGTTTTGAGGCCTCATCTTCCCAGCGCTAACCAACCTCTCTCTTGTGCAACCCCCTCCCACCCCTCTCTCTTATCATCCCCACGTGACCCCCCCCCCTCTTCCTGCTTGTGCAGGTGGACCTTCAACCCAGCGGTGCTGACCAAGGCCAACTATGTGCGCGGGCCGGAGGGCGCGAGCCACGGAGCCGAGGGCGGCTCCTCGGCCTCGCAGTTCACGGTGGGCGACGTGGTGCAGATCTGCGGGGACCTGGAGCGCGTGAAGCTGCTGCAGCGCGGACACGGGGAGTGGGCGGAGGCCATGCTGCCGGTAAAGGGCCGCGCGAGGGAGGATGCCGTGAGGGACGAGTTTGGAGTTTGGGCGCGTGTGGGTGGCGCGGTGGCGCCTCGTTCGCATTGCGTCCGACGTGCAGTCGTGTTGGCAGGGGGGTTCTCCTCGCACTGCGCTAATGAGCCCGCAAAACCCGGTTTGATTCCCGGCCGTGGCTATCGTGGCTGGCCAGTCACGATTCTGAACCGTCCTTTTGGTTCTTTCGGTAAAGTCACGTAGAAGGGAAATAAGAAAATATTTTTTATTATTATTGTATTTTTTATTATTTTATTTCCCTTCTACGTGACTTTACCGAAAGAACCAAGAAGATGAATCCCTGCATGCACGAAAGCTTTCAATCGAGATTTTGAACCGGTTTTGTCGTCTTGGGAGTACCCGGAGGAAACCAGTGCATATGCGGCGATGACACTCGTAGATCTGCGCAGACGTGTTCACGAACCCGTTTGTTGTACTGCCACCTCTTCCGGATACTTGGAGCCCAGCGTATATGGATAGCTGATGGACGAGGCTGCTCAGTGTTGCTTACTCGGCGATTTCGTCGCTGGACCTCAATTACTTTTTGGGTTTCCTTATTGGCAGAGTTTTGTCAAAGTGACGAATCTAGTGACTTTCTTGGAAGGAGGATATTATGCGGATTTGGAGTTATTCCAGGAATGTATAATACTAATAATTATAACAATTAAATTTGTATCGCGCACAAATTTCACGACAAACCCTTCGATCGTGAACAGGATCCTGTTTTTCACTTTACCGCGTGTGCAACTCGGTATATTGTCCGGTGACGTTTTTGACCTCTTAAGAAGGTCTCTCTTTTGACACCGAGCAAATTTTTTTGAGGTTCGTTTAGGGACATTCTGCTCGCGCTGCCCATCATCGCAAGCGGGCGGGCGGGAAGCCCGCGTGTCGAGTAGGCAGAGGTCGCCGTGGTATCTCGCTCGCCTCCGGCTGCGGCGTGAACTGCTCCGCTGAGCGGGGTCCCAGGGGTGGCGCGGTTTAGAGGGGAACGGTTTCCCGCGGGTAAAGATGAGCCTGCGGTAATGCTGACGCTATGTAATTACTTAATTCGAAGTGTTCTACAGATCGTGTTTCTGCACGCAATCTCACACGCGCACGAGCGCACACACAAAGACAAAGATTCACCATGTAGCCTTTAACGGACTGTTGGGACAAGTGCTCTTAGCGAACACCTTTGAAGGCCGGCACGGTACACTAGTGGGTGTGTGGTCAAAATTGCATGCTGCTGCCTGTGTCTCCCCAGTGCTGGTGGTTACCTACGACCCGGTACTCTTTTAAAACTTTGCCGTCCTGGGGAGGCCCAGAACCGGTTTAATCTCTCCCCGAACGTGTCCAGGCACACACACGCTCACACACACACATGCGCGTGTGTGTGTGAGCGCGTGCGGGGATGGGTAGTTTAGTGGGTAATGCGCTGAGCTATGAACTCTATCGATCATGGTTTGATTCCTGGCCTCGACGAACATTGGTGGGTGAGTGATATCTGAATCGGTGCAGCACCTCCTCTAGGTTGACTCGGCCTTAAAATAGTACTTAATGCATCGTGTCAAATCAACACTGGGGAGATTAAGTTGGCCGTGCGTGGTGATGGCCACGCCGTGCCGGTCTTCAAAGGTGCCCACTAGCAGCACTTATCCCAACAACGTGTGTCGGCTACATGGGTGATCTTTATCTTTGTGGTTTTGTTTGTGTGTAGACCCTCGGCAAGGTTGGGCGCGTGCAGCAGATTTACCATGACAACGACCTGAAGGTGGAGGTTTGCGGCACGTCCTGGACCTACAACCCGGCTGCGGTCACCAAAGTGTCGTCCGAGCTGCCTGGCACCAGCAACCCATCTGGAGGTACGGGCCCGGCATGACCACTTACATCAGATCACATCGCCCCAATGCCCCAATAGTGGCACTGGCTCCCATTCCCATCCTGGATTAATTTACAGATTGCACTCGCCTTCTTCAAGATCCTGAATGGACTTACAGCGGCCTACCTCTCCCTTCTCATCTCACTGTACTCCCCTCCACGCACTTTACTACTTCTCCCCTCTCATCTCACTCTACTCCCCTCCACGCACTCTCCTACCTCTCCCCTCTTATCTCACTCTACTCCCCTCCACGCACTCTCCTACCTCTCCCCTCTCATCTCACTCTACTCCCCTCCACGCACTCTCCTATCTCTCCCCTCTCATCTCACTCTACTCCCCTCCAAGCACTCTCCTGCCTCTCCCCTCTCATCCCACTCTACTCCCCTCCACGCACTCTCCTACCTCTCCCCTCTCATCTCACTCTACTCCCTCCACGCACTCTCCTACCTCTCCCCTCTCATCCCACTCTACTCCCCTCCACGCACTCTCCTACCTCTCCCCTCTCATCTCACTCTACTCCCCTCCACGCACTCCCCTACTTCTCCACTCTTATCTCACTCTACTCCCCTCCACGCACTCTCCCACCTCTCATTTCACTCTACTCCCCTCCACACACTCTCCTACCTCCATGCACTCTCTTATCTCTCCCCTCTCATCTCACTGTACTCCCCTCCACGCACTCTCCTACCTCTCCCCTCTCATCCCACTCTACTCCCCTCTAAGCAGTATCTTCCCTCTCTCCTCATTTCACTCTACTCCCCTCCACATACTCTGCTCCAGTACACCAGGCTTCAGGCAAACACAATTAAGGGCTTTAATGTCACTTTAATGTGTTTTTTTGTCATTATTTAAGCCTGAAACTTGTGAACTCCCTGTGAGAATTTATTATTTACAATAAATGCAGATTGTATGCAAATAGAAGTTACATCTCCACGTTGGACGTTAGTCACGAGCACCGGCCGTCATCCCTTCTGGCGATGGCTCCTGCCCAAGGCCGCTTTTCTTGATGGTCCCCGTGGTGTTCTCAACTCGTGCGCGTTTTCCCGATCCACGTGTTCCTCTTTCTCTCTCCCGCTGCACATGCCAGCCACCCGCCTGTTCACACTTCTTTGCGTGCTCTTTCAGCTTTTTGTCAATAATTGTGTTTTTCGAGTCGCACGTCGTCACAGCATGAAATATGCACTAATTGAAAACTTAATTCTTTGGGCACATTGCCAGGGACACTTTAATAACCCACTCTGTCTCATGATAATACATAATCAACGAACTGGCTAGCCAGTCCATTAAAGGGGCCTTCTGAGGTTGCCTGGTGGCTGAGGGCTGAGCTGTCACCGTTGGGTCCCATGCATGAATTACATACAACGTAAACGAACAGAAAACAATCAGTCCTTACGCAAACAATTCAGTAAAGTAATCGGAATCAGAATATTTATTTATACTGGAGGAATCCGATGAGCTGTGAAGTTATTTTTCACACATGTCTGGTGGGGGCAGGTCAAAACATTACAACAAACAATACACAAAGTATAGGAGAGGTAAACGAATCGCTTAAAAACATACAAATGAAACTCCGCTAATAAAAGTATCGAGGGCATCAGATTGGATTATCATCGACGAATCGATGCTGCATTAGATGCCTGGAATGGCAACCTCGAATCGTGGAACTTCATCTCACTCTCACTGGTTTGGGGGTGAATCGCCGTTGTGTCTGCTGCTCGTGGTTGTACCCACGCGACAGGAGCCCCACAAGCGCCTTTCCTTTACTTTGGGCCGGTGAAATATGCCTCGTGCGCGTCGACGGTTGTCACCGGACGCGACAGCCGGCTTAACCTCCACGCAAAGGCCGGCGCGTGTCGCACGCTGCAATGCAATGCGCGCCGCGCTCTCATCGCTGGCGTTGGCCGACACGTTGCGGGCACGGAGAATTAAACGCCACTTTTAATTAGCAAAGAAGGAACGGCGTGGCCGGGCCGGTGGATTTCACGACGATTGAAAGGTGGACCATCAATCATCGAATTGGGCCGCTCAGGCGTGGTTCGTTGCTCCAGAAAACGCTGGCCGATTCCTCTAGGTAATCAAAGTGGAGTTTAATTCATCTTGCAGACACGGGGGGGGGGGGGGGGGGGGGCATTTTTGACTCGCAAGGGCACGCGTGCCATTAGACGGGCCACCTGGCACCGGTGAGCACTCTAATGCAGTGCTTTTGCTTTTAGTAAAAATGTTTGGACGTTGCCGACAAAAACCTCCCTCGCCCCTCCTGTGTTCCCGGTGACAGGTAATTTAGTTCCTGTGTTGCGATGGTGATGCGAGCAGTTGCGCTGTAACGTTTGGTATAATTTTTCTTCGAGCGGGGGGTCATTTGTCAACAAGCAAATAGGCTTTAGTGGATCTTGTTTTCACTTAATACATTTTGCACAACTGCTTACTACACACGCAGTGTGCTCATAAATTAGCCTGTTAATGAATCGGGCTGTAAATTGGTAATTAAATAATTAAACGTGTTGTGAATGATTGTTGAAGCCATTTGCAGGGACGCATTTTTCTTTGAAGGTGAGACGTGTGCAACCGGCCAAGAGACCCTTGCGGCATGTGTGCGTGTGCATGTATGTGTGCACGCATGAATGTGTACGCATGTGCGTATGTGTGGGTGGGGTGGGAAGCGGTGGTGTCGCGGCTAGCACATGCTGCACTAGGAATCCGGTGACTCGAGTTGGATTCCCGCTCACGACCAACACCAGATTATCTGAATCGGTCCTGAGCCTCCCCTAGGTCGACTCAGCCTCAAATGAGTACTTGGTGTGGTATATAAACAACAGTATTCAGGAGACAAAGGTGGTCAAGTGGCTGGGCGTCGTACTTGCCACCCTCGTGTGCCGTGCTGGCCTTCATTGGCAATCGCCAACAACCCTTGCCCCAGCTGTCCGTTAAAAGCTACATGGGGGATCTTTGTCTGTGTGTACACGTACAATGCAGAGCGGCTGTCGCAGTTGCTCAAGAAGCTGTTTGAGACGCACGTGTCTGGAGACGTCAACGAGGAGCTGGTCAAGGCTTCGGCCAACGGCGACGTGACCAAGGTGGAGGAGATCCTGTCTCGACCCGACGCTGATGTAAGGCGCATATTCGCACGCGGGACTTTCTCACTCTCTCTCTCTCTCTGTGGATCAGTGTGGGCAAGGGGAGTCCCCCCCCTCCCCCCCCCCCCCCAGGGTAGGCTCCTGTAAGTGAGATTGCCGACGCATGGTTCAAAAAGAGTGGAGACCTGAGTTCGGCAGGCTTGATGGGACACGTGTGATACGAGGTGACGGATAGCAGCATACGCGGTCAGAATCCTAATGCAAACATGTAAACGGCAATGAGTGGTGTTCACGTGCAAGCCCTTTGTCAGTCCACTGCTAGATGAGGGCCTCCGTGGGTTGTGTGGGTTATTTGACCAAACCTCACCACGTAAGTCGGCGCGTGATGGGTGAAGGCGGACAGCATTGACGTGGTTGCACAGTACGGGAGGCTGAGTGGGAAGGCTCATTCCACAAGCCGCCCGCCCTTTGATGTGCCATCGCAAACACGTCGAGCGAGCAAGGTGTGCACTCGTCAGCTTTCTGCGTTCACATTTTAGTATTCACGTAATTAACACACCGGGCATTGAGGGTAAGCGCAAAGGCAAGGATGTTCAAAGCTGCTGAATTTTTCTTCCCGCCTCCGCCCCACCACCTCTGCGTCTCCTTAACTTCGTCCCCGGAAAACACCTCATTTTTGCTTGGATGTGCAATAGCTGTAAAATGGCATTCGCATTCATTATGAAGGGGGCGCGCGCGCTTACCCATGTAGGGACGCGACCGCACGTGTACGCGCTGTCGCGGCGCGCGCCCGCCGCTGTTCGATAATCGCGCTGATCGGGAGGATACGTGCGTAGCGCTGAGAGCGCGATTTTCTGAGCGGCTGTCCTCTGCTGGCATTTTAGAACTGACGACGGCTCCCGTAGGAATTTTTCTTATTTATATCGAAGTGCCGACTTTGTCCGAAGCGATCGGCGAGACCGGCGTGTTGACTCTTCTGAGAGAAATACGTTCGCTCTCCTTCAGCTGCCGCTGGATTTTTTGTTTTGATACGGCTGAGCGCAGCCCAAAAAGGCCAAAAATGTCTTGCGGGCAGCACTAAACAGCAATATTGAATGTGTAATAAACAATAGTTACTACGTTTCATGAATTGAGCGAGGTTATTATATTAGCTTGGGGGAAAGAGACGTTGGGAGGGAATTCCAAAGCTCAGCAGCGCTAGGGAAGAAGCAGAATGAGAAGTGAGGTGACCTGCAGTGTGGTGAGTGGGTTGGTGGGGTGAGCATGTGAATGGGTGGGTGCGTCACTGAGTGTGCTGTTGCGATCTGCAGTGCGGTGGCTGAACAGTGTGGTGGATGAAACGAAACGGTCAGTGTCTGATAGACTCGAGTCCTCAACGTGGCAGGAGGAATCACTGAGAAGTTCACGAGAACAGTCACCATGGTAGTAGCGATAAAAGAGTGCTAAGGAGGGGTGGTGAGAGTCGCTTGGCTTGGAGAAAGCTTGAGAGAAGTGCTCAATACCTGGGCTCATTTAGAAACACCCCGACGAAATTGTAATTGATCGCAAATCCGACGTGTGGAATACGAACAATGCGCCGGCTTTCAAACACATTTCACCTTCCGACAACGAGGATGGGAATTTAGAATGCGTCGTCTATTTTTTACTGTCATTTAAAGTTATTGGTTTACTTGCTAACGTGTTCGTGGTCACTCAAGCACTCGGTTACAGTTCCTTGACTAGTGAGGAGCGGATAATGACTAAACCGGCACACTTGAGACTGCTTTATTTTTTTCCTAGCACGATTAATCCACAACTGGGTAATCTCCTACGGATTACCGAGCATTGACTTCATTTCGATAGCAGCTTAGAGCTCCACATTTTCCCTTTGCCATCGGGTCCTTCGTGGGCACATAGCAGGAGTCGGTAAAGTGCAATTCATTTTTAGTCGTTTGTTCATCCACTGCTGGATGGAGGTCTCCTGATGCCGTGTCAGCCTTTGGGGGGGGGGGGGGTGTGGAGCGATTCGACCGTACTTCACGACGCTGGTCAGCGCAGATTGATGAAAAGGGGCACCCCAGGACCTCAGAGACCCCATGCTCATTTTTCCATGGAGACACAGTTTTATTTAATTTTTCCTATTTTAATGATCGTATATATCATTTACTGAAAATGATTTATTCACGGTTCAGCGATTTGTTTATCCGGCAAGTCCTGTGGCCGAAATCGCCACCGTTGCTGAAATAACCAGCAGAGGGCACACGGACCCCTCTCATTCCTTGAGGGTTTCTGCACTCAACAGCAAAAACTGCTTCTACAAAAAAATTAAGTGTGATTATGATCATCCGTATTGCGTTTTGGGTCGGGCCACGTGGTAGTTTTACGCCAACATTCTTTCAGCCTCGCTCCATTCCCGCGTCAATTTCCTGATGAATCTCAACTGCAGTTTTCACTGAAACGTAATCGTATGTTGACGCTAAATACACAGTCGTGAAAAGTCTTAAAATACCGGTGAGGAGTAACTCTCATCGGTCAGAACTTGATTGATACATTGACACGTATAAATAATATCTTTGTAAACGTGACAGTCTTGTCGGGTCGTGGACAGTGACCTGCGCAATAGACTTCCAGTTGGGGTTGACGAATGTTGTGCATATTCTTGAGTGAGTAATTTGCGGTGTAAATTTAGAATTTAACAAATTTGGACTTTGACACCACGGCACATTGGCCTACTCTCTTCAATGACATTATGGGATCTATAACGTTTACCGTGAAGCAGACAGAGCGTGTATTGTTACAGTTATTGCACCGTGCAATATTATTCGGTGCGTCTTTTGGATTTCGAACCGTGAACCTCTGCAACGAGCAGCTATGAACCCGGTGACCAGCGATTGATTCCTGGCCACGGCTACAATCAGTTCTTTCTGATATTCGAACCTGTTCTAGGTCAATTCAGCCTTAAAAGAGTAGCTGGTAGAATGTGTCAACATCAGCGTTGTGGAGACAAAGGTGGCTGGACGTGGTGCTGTATACACTTTTATGCCTCGTGGGGCGTGCTGTCCTTAGTAGGTGCTTACTAACAACTCCTTGCCCAAGAGTCTGTAAGAGGCTGCAGGGGGAATCTGTGGGTTGTGAAGGTGGAAGGGTTCTCATTAGGCATGAAACTATGCATTCGCTCATCCGTTTGTGCTTAGTTTGTTGTCCTTCCCCGCACCTCAGATTATCACGGTTGGCAACGTACAGTGCGAAAGAAGTTCAATGTACGTACATACATTTGTTGGTGATGCGCGCATGGGTCCATGCATTTAAGAATCTGTGGTCCGCAATTTGTGAAAATTATTCTCCAACGATCCGTTTACGTTGCACAATGGAGCAAGCAAAATTTACAAACGAGACGGCAAACGACACCAACATTTTTAACCGATTCTCACATCTGATCGCAACCTTGAATTGTGGTAACGAATCGAATCGCTTGTGGGGTTGGTGGGGGGTGTGAATGATGGCATGCCTGGCTCTCACACTTGCTTGCGGAGGTTAGGGGCGGGGCAATGGCTGGCAGGGATGCGTGGCGACGGGGGTGGTGCGGGCGGGGGTGGGTGGGTGGGTGGGCGGTGGATGGGTGGTGGCAGCGGCGCCGCACGGGGGCCGCGTGTCCTCATGGCCATGCCGATGATTTCCCAGGGGCCCGCGGGGGACTCTGTATTTAACACACTGTCACGGCGCTACGGGGACGGAGGAATGGAGGAGGAGGAGGGGCGGCGAGAGACTAGGAGGGAATATATCCACTTATATATTGCACACAAAAACCACACGGAAAGCAAAAGGAAAGTGAAAAAACTTTACAAGCTTTAGGTTTCCCTAAACCTTTCAGAAAAGCCATTTGTTTTGACGGTTAAATGAATAAGGACAGCAAATCCTCAACGCCCAACTCGCGGGCCACAGCCGGCAGATTAGGTCATTGCAAGGTGGCCTTGCGCCTGTGTTTTTTTTCTATCATTTTTATTTTTCCCCCTCTACTCCGCCCCCCCCTCGTGGGCCGCGTCTCGTGGGCCATGGGCAAAGATTGACGTCCGCGCCCCTCGGCAGCTCCCTGCTGAAAAGAAAACGCTCTTCGATGCTGACCCAGCGCACCCCACCCCCCTCCCCCCCACTGGTCGATCGTCTGCAAATTCGCAAATTCTCATCTTTACTTAAACTTATCAAGGGGTGGGAAAGCTCCCACCCCGTCGCAACCCGTCCCCTCCCCCGACTTCATTGAATATGACCCGCAGCTACACGTGACCGAGTGCTTCGAAAACAGCCGGCAAACGATATTAATCCGTCAATGCGAGCGTCTTAGCCGCGCTAATCGGATGCAGGAAGGGGATAGTTTTTACCTGGTAGCCACTCGGCGTTTCAAATTTCAGCGCGCCCATTCACGTCTGTCTCTGCAGGGAGGGGCTATTGCAGTGATAGCAATGACCGAGATGTCCTAAATACATGGATATATTTGGCCCTGGGTGAGAAAAAAGGTTTTCCTACCAATCGCAGTCGCATACGGAGCAGAGCTCCTGTCTGCTCAAGAAAGAGTGGGGGCAGCCCTCTGTTGAAGGCCAGGTGCTGGTGCTGGCAGCCCAGCGAGAGAACCAACAACCACTGTTGACCTCCAATTAAGTGGTGCTCGATTTATCTGATGGATGATGATGATGTTCAGCCGAGTCAACGCCTTACCGGCATTATCACTGGCAACTCGGGTTGTATAGTTCTAACGATGCATCGATTCATTACCATCCGTTCTTGAGCTCGCGATACATGCTTCGCGTGTATAGGAATGAACGGTTCATATTCGTTGTTTATTAACGGGTGCCCTTGACCCCCTCCAGCCACTTGAGGTGGCTGCTTTTATAGCAGCGCAAAAGAATAGAATCGACTCTTGCATACACACATCGCGTGCCTAGGTCTGTGACAAGTCATCAAATCACAAGCGGTTGGGTTGGGGGGGGGGGGAATTGTTGCAACCCAACTGGCGTCTGCTCCGATTGAGAGTCAAGCGCTCCGAGCTTGTCCCCCGTGTCTAACGCCGCATTTCATCGAACCACGGAAAAACTCGACGTGCGTGGTACTACGCGCTCATCCCCCCCGACGCCCCGGGTTTCTTGTGTTGAGACAATTTGAGCCGGCTGCCAATTTGGGCACGAGCCCGAATCTTCCCGGACGATGATGCTTCTCGGGCTGGCCAGATTTCCAGCGTCAGAATTGAGGCTGAGTAGAAAATATGTCAGCGTGCATGTCAGTCAAAACATTTTCATCGGTAGGCGTTGGGAATGTTTAATTTTCACAGTCAGGGTCGTGACCCGGGCCGACTGACGGCGATACTTTGAGTAACTCGGGAAAATTAAGATGCCACTTTTTTTTTTTTATAACAAAACCCGACTTATCCATCATGATGCCAAGTTGTGGGAGAAGTCCGGCCGTCTCGGCGCAGATCCAGGGGCCCGGCTATCCGTCGAGAGGGTTCGGAGTGTGAGCGACGTGGGAGACGGATCCGCAGCCGTAGCGGGGAACGCGCGCGCGGTGAGCGCGGGTGCCCGCAATCGATTGCGTTGAAACAACGCGAGCAGAGGGGGCCCCCACAGTGTTCCGCGGGGGTTAAAGGAAATAAATAAACAGATCACAGGAGGTGGGGGGGGGGGCAAGGCTTATGTTGCCAGCGCAGGTGCCAATACGCTGATCTCGTTTGATGAATGAGCGCCGCCGGTACGTAACGTGTCATTGGAAAGGTTACTTGCTTGGGGCACGGGTGGGGGGGGGTTCCGAGGTTGGTCGGACCGTGTTGCTAAATCGCTGCATGGCACGCAGCGGAGCGAAGCTACGGAGGAGAAAGGGAGTTTGCGCGCTGCTCTGTTGAGTCCCCGTACCAGAAGGGATGGAACTTGGCCTCCCAGCTGAAACTGCCGAGTGGCAGGGGCGAGCGCACGTGTGTTACCGCCCCCAAGAAAAGGGGTGATCTGAAAGGGAATTTTTTAAAATTATTATTTTGGGCCAAGCAGCCTTCATTTATCGATATTGTAAACCACCCCCCTCCCCCTCAAAAGAAACACTCCTCCCAAATATTTTTGAACGTGTATCACTGCCGCCTGGGTTTTTTGCAAAGTATATTTAATTGCTATTTTTGTTCCGGGTGTTCACACGTACACACTGATGAAGCGATTAGAAACGGCGCAATATAAAATATGTCTGTGGCGACAGACTCTTGAAAGCGTTCCAGCGGGGCTGAGGTCAGAGCTGAAAATTCCATACGCGGACGTGAAATACTGCGCGACTCGGCACGCGACAGATTTGCCTCTTGGCCACCGTAAACATCTGATAGTGGCGACAGTAACTTGCGAGCCTCTCAAACTTGTGCAGATTTTGCAGAATTTTTTTTTTGCATTTTTTCTTTTTACTACTTCCCTCCGCCTCCCCCAAGTCACCCGTGTTTATTTACTTATTTATAGCACGTTTCACCTGGAGGGTTTATATATATATAAAAAAATCAATAGATGCATCGTCCATCTTTTTTCAGGTGACTGACCAGGCGGGAGGTTTTGGGGCTCCGCGGGTTGTGTTCTGACCGCCGGCGCGTCGTTGTGTTGCGTGTCCCCCTTTTGCGTCTAACAGCAGGCCAACGGGCAGTTTGCGGGCCACACGGCGCTGCAGGCAGCCAGCCAGAACGGGCACGTGGACATCATCAAGGCTCTGCTCAAGTACAAGGTGGACCTGGAGGCCGAGGTGAGATCCGTGGGAACGTCGTGCCGCCCCTGCCTCACCGCACCGCGTCCTGCGTCACCGCACCTCACCCTGCCTCACTTCACCCTACCGCACCGCACACCCTTCCTCACCGCACCTTACCTGACCCTGCTTCACCGCACCTCGCTGAGAACTAAAGGAGATCGGTGTTGGACAGAAGGAGACCCGGGGCGCGTTCCCTCCGTTGCCCGGCACTCCGTCGTTAGTCTCGATCGCCGGCCATGCTGATGATGCTCGTAGGCTACCGGGAAGACAAAACTCCCCAAACGACAGGCAAAGTGTAATCGGTTATCCGAATCGAATCTCAACTTCGACTATAAATCCTGGCAATGAATCGAATCGTTACGGGGGGGTGGGGGGGTGGGAGGGTATACCGTAACACGCCCACCACGACGCCCCCACGGGGCCGCGTAACGGACACCGACGTCAAATCGCGGTCCCCTCCATCGCCGACCGAGACTCGCGCCGGCGGCTGGGGCGTGCGATAATCCCGTCGAGCGAAGCAATATACCGTTCCCGGATTCCTCCTTTCCCCCCCCCCCCCCCCCCGATTTTGTGTTCATTAATCAGTCCGTTTATCGGAGGCTGCGTGAGAGTCCATTTGATATTGCTGCAATATCTCTATTGCAAGGGAGCCCTGTTTGCGAGGAAATGCACGGACGGAACAATATGAAAGGACACGGGGCAGGCATGCAGCACTGCTGCCTTTGGGGCTCTACACGGTCTTGCGGCAATTATTTTTTTCTGGCAGATCTGATGCCCTGATGGGAAAGCCACTGGCTCTGCGACATTGCGTCAATTCCTGGATCAAAACTCGGTTCCGCATTGCCCCGTTTTCCCGTTTGCTTCATTGATGTTTCTTAGTAACCTAATTTATTTTGCCGTGTTGGTGACCCGGGTCATTTTCTTGGCAATGAGATATTCGTCGTTCCTTGACTTCTCACCTCGGTAAACAGAATTAACTTGATATTATTCACACGTGGCATCGCGAGCGTGAGAATCTTATTATTTACGATTTATTCCAAAATATAAGCGCGCAACGGACGCTATTTTGGTGTAATGGTGAGCAGTATAAATGGGTACATGACAGTTAGTTGAACAGCAGGTCGTGTTTAGTGGGGTAAAGTATGGGTAATCTTACCTTATTTTGATAACGTTTGGCTAGCGTGGAAGAGTAGACCAAAATACCCCCCGGAGGGGAGCCAGGAGTGACAAGAGCAAGCGATTGCTGAGCTGCACCTTTATATGTAGGGTAACTGAGCGAGGAGAAAACGTACAAACAAAACACAGACCGAAAATCCAAAACCTTACAAACAAACCAGATGAGATGTTAAATTACATATTTGACCGCAAATTCTTGACACGTCATCGAAATCGCCTGGTCGACTGATCGCCGCTTACCCAGCGGGCCGCACGTTCTGCACTTAGTCCTTGGTCGTCCGCTCCACTCCTCGCTTCGTTCCCTCTGCAATCGCCAGTTCGGTCGGCTGCACGCGCGCATCCGTCCAACAAAAGCGCTCGCCAAATCCGGAGCATGCGGCTGCATTGCAGCTGCCTGGTGTCCACGCACTTATACACACACGATTAGCCAGCGCGAATTAATCGCACTTCCCGTCGCCTCCGATTAGCTCGGCGGCCGTCATTCATTTGCCGAGGTCGCACCGAGGAGGAGCCTGAAATGAGTTGAAGGTAGCGGGAACCTTCAGCCGCTGAAACCCGCTTGCTTACGATGGTGCCCGGCCCCGCCGGTTTTCACCGCCGGCCCTCACCACAGGCCCTCACCGCCGTCGCTGTGGGGCTGTGTGAACGCCGCACGCCTTGCGCCGCTAAGGAGCGGTGTCAAATGATTTCGCCTACACGCCAGCGATTCTTACGTGAAGTGCCATGGGCCGTTAAACGCCTTCCCCGTGGACATCGCACGGCCGTGAGTGGAATGCTCGTGCAGTTTAGATTCCTTTTTTTTTTTCATAAAATATTTTTTAGTTTGATTTTGCTCATGCCTGCTCCGTCTCCTGCTTAACGTCGTTGGGTGACAGCTGATGCCACGTTGGCGGTGGGGTTCTCCAGGCTCCCGGAGAGGATCTGAGGCCAGAGGCGGTCATCGCTGGACAGGGAGTAATGATAAAACACACGCACGAGCAGAGCATTAGAGACGGATGGATGGAAAGTCGGACAGACAAACAGGCAAACAGTCAGGCTGACAGTTTGGTCGGTTGACTGATGCACAGACTGGAAAGACAGACAAACAGACTGAAAGAGAGGTAGACAGGTTGACAGAAAGGCAGATGCAATGATTGAATGACAGGAAATAGTCAGACAGAATTTCAAACGAGAGCCCTGGAAGGATCTTCCTCAGTGCTTGTGAAAATACACGCTCCTCGTGTATCTAACATTGTGTCTGATGAGCTCAAGACGTATAACATTTGAGAGTTGACGTTTCGTTGCAATTTCTCCTGTCACTTACACGATGAGTCACTGTGTTGCATTGTGCCTCATGCGTGTGATATTTAAGGAATGTTCTTTTTTTTAGAATAACAACGTTTGTCAATCCACTGCCCGATGAAGGTCTACCTTTTTCGTGTCAGCCATGGGGGTTGTTTTGACCATACTTCACCACGCTGGTCAGCACGGGTTGACAAAGTGGACCGGTTGAGATGTCATCCAACACCAAAGTTAGCTGTGGTCGGGGATCAACTCGCGTCACGGGCTTCCGAGCGCCGTACGCCAACCACTGCACCACAGCTCCCACTTAGCAGCTTAGTAGTCTGTGTAATTAAAGTCATTAAAGGGTTGTAATTGGGATTTTGTGTAATGTAGCAGCGTGGTTCGTTTTTGCAGATCTCCGTGGTTCACGAGCACACGACAGACACTGCCGTCTGCTGACTTGATAACAGCGCGTATCATTCATATGGAACTCTATTAAAGCGCTGTCGGTTCGATGTTAGCATTACACCACAAGTTCTCATAATAATGACTCTAGGCAGCTGGACTCTACATTACCCTGATGTGTGTTTTCGTCATTATTAAGCGCGAGGGAGCCATCGCCCGCCTCGGAGCGCGTTAAATTCTGAATGGCGCTGTCGTAGCAGCGTGTCTCCCCTCCCCTACCCTGCCACCGTTCCCCGCCCCCCCATCTCCTTCACGGGAGAAAATCGCTGATGGAGAAGAAGGAGAAGAAGGAGAGAGGGGGACGAGGCGCTAAATTTGCCCTTGCGAAGGCGTCAGAAGCCCGGGACGCCGGTCGCCCGCTAACACCGCTGTGCGACGCGGCTCGGGGAGGACGGCTCCCCGTGACACCGCTGTGGCCATTATGCTAATGATCTGCTATTACAGCCGTATTAAGGCACGCGGCCTCTCAACGTCAGCAAATTATGCCGGGAATTACGGGGAAGGCCCGGCCGCCCGATCCGGCCGCCCGCCCCGGCGCCCTGATTAACGTGAGTGATGGGATTACCCGCACGGACGGGAGCGGAGTTTGGCTAATGAACAATGAAGGTTCCGCATTTCGGGGGGAAGCTGATTTCTCATGGGGCGCACCGTGATGTACGACTCGGAGCCGGCCCCACCGCCGCACGTGCGTGAGCGCGCGCTTGCTTGCCTGTGGGCCGTATTTAATTAATGTTGGCGGCCGTTAAAAATGAAATCCAACCTCCTCCTCGTTCACAGTCGTTGGGATTCTGTGAATGACCGCGCCGGGGCGAGTTTTTTTTTAAGGCGGCTACTTATTGCCGTGCCTGGGAATCGTCGTGTGCGTTCGTCCGTCCGTCTGTCCCATCAGTAAGTCCATCTGAGGAAACTTTCTATGTCTTCATTGAATTGCCACACGACTTGGCACACGCGGCTTAGCAATTCAAGTGCCCCCAGATCGATTTCGTTTTTGGGTGAGAATGCTAACATGATAATTGCTCAAGTGTGTTTATAATTATTATTACAGTAAACTAAAATGAAGCATGGCGCACGGAGAGCAAGAAGAACCAACAGAGTCAACCGCGAGAGATTAAAAAGTTCCGATGGCTATTTTGACACCCAGCTTCGCGTTATGGCGAAAAACCTCCGAAAAAGCACGGTTGATGAAAAAGAAGTTCAACATACGTACGTGTTCACAACCAAAGGTCAAAAGATCATCACCGCTTATGTCGTTGATGGCATCAGTGACTCAAGTCCACCTAATGGAGTTGTTATTATTATGATCACTCGCCAGGCAGCGTAAACCCGTCATCGTGTTTCAGAATGACCCATGGGAAGTGGATATCACAGAGCTACATCTTAAGATCCCGAATTCCTTGTCACACTTAGTAATATTTGTCACGTGAACAGTCAAACCAATATGTTACATTTTCACAGCAGAAATTTTTGGAAAATTAAGTCCTGAACCAAATTTTATTTGGTGGCTTTTTCACGTGAGATCAAGGTGACCCGCCACACTTCAGAACTCTGTTCAATCGCGGGCTTATAAAACCCTGGACTTGAACCCAAGTTCCCAGCAGTGCCGGCGGCTTCAGACCTCTTTGAGATGGCGGAGTTATTATTTATTTTTGGTTAACGCCACCGGCGCTTCACGTGCGCGCCGCCGGTTTACGTCACCTGACCGCGGATTGGCGCCTCTCTCGTCCGCGGCTCCCTTATCCTGGCGCGGGCAGGATAAAGACGGGGACCGCGCCGTCCACCACGCGGCCTTCGGGGACGAGGGCGCCGTCATGGAGGCGCTGCAGCGCGGCGGCGCCGACCTCAACGCTCGCAACAAGCGGCGTCAGACACCGCTGCACATCGCCGTCAACAAGGGCCATCTGCAGGTGGTGAAGACACTGCTCGACCTCGACAGCCACCCCAGCCTGCAGGTGAGGCCCCGCTGTTGACTGCCTCGCCTGGTGTGCAGGAGTTCATGGGTTCGATCCAGACCCTGTGACGCCTGCTGTACATTTGGAGTTTGCGCATCTCTCCCTCTCTCCCCGTTTTCCCGTGGCTTTTTCTCCAGGTCCTCGGGTTTTACCCTCCGCTTTTAGAAACGCGCGGTTTAGAGTATTCAGATGCTCTACATTTCCACGTGGTATGGCCACTTCGTTGAGCTGTGATTTGTGGCCAGGTCACTTCTGCAAAAGAGCTATATAGCTCAGTGGGCCTTACATGGTAAATTAAAGATAGTTTATCGTTAAAAATAGTTTATGGTTCTCATCCCCGCTGACTTGCCCGCTCACCAATTTATCTGTTCTCCGCCTCGTTCGCCCGCTCACCCACTTCTCTGCCACTTCACCGAATCTCCCGTTTGTTCATCCTCTGCTTGTTTACCTGCTTTATTTACATGCTGTGTCATCCGCTTACCCCCTTATTTGCCCACTTGCTGGTTCATTCATTGTGCTCTCTTTTACCCGATCACTCAGTTTATTCGCCTCCTCGCTGATTTGTCTCCCTGCTCATCGTTGGGCTTGTTCTCCTGCTGCCTCACGTGCTGCTCACTTGCCCACTCGCTCATCCAATCACCCAGCGTGGCCATGCTTGTTTTGTACATGGCAGATTTCTTATTTGCTACGACGCTCACCAGCGATCCAGCGCTTTGGAGGCGAGGGATCCTGGATCTCGCAGATTTGGGAAACTCCCCAACCGTTTGGGCTGCTAGGTGGCAGTAACAGTGATTGCGGTTTGTGATCCTGTCTGTGCGGACGTTTGTGTAATTATCTCTTAGTATTCTTGCGCTTTCGTTGGATACCTAGTTTCCATTCCACATCACAGAGGAAATCGCCAAACATCCATTCCACAGTAAGGTTTTCTCTGGATAAATAAATGCTTCTATACAGGTCCCACCAGCCACAGTAAAAACTCTAATAATAATGCTCACAATGCCCTTTAATTAACCAGGTAAGCCTCGCAGAGTCTCAACAATCGAAGCTCAACACTGACAACATCTGGCATTCCCAGTAAATCTCTGTAAGCACGAGCCAAGCAAAACCCTGCCTAGCTTCTGACGTGCCGAATCGCGTGGCCGTAAGCAAACTGTGACCTCTTCTGCGGGGTGGCCGATCGCGGTGGCGGCGGTGGCTCTGATGGAGTGTACGGCCGCTCGCTCTCACTTCCACTGTGGTGAGAAGCTAGCCACCTCGAGCCCATGCGGTTGTCCTGCGTTATTTGTGGTGCATGAGAGCGCTCGGGAGAAGAGTGGCGGTGCTCGTTTCGCGGGGGGCGATCCGTTAAATTGGCTGTGAGTGGCGTGAACAACAGCCGTTGGCTGGTGTCGTGGCCGTGAAGTCCCGATAGGTCGGAGCGTTTGCTTTGACGTTCCCCAACGCAGAACGACGGATTTGCGGTGTCCATTTCTTCGCGGTTGGTGCAAGCAGATCTTGCATGCTGAAGATTCTGCAGTTGCGATAATTATCATTGCCCGACGCAGATCGTCGTCGTCCATCCGCCCGTTCGGGATTGATACCAGAGGTGCAACGATTCACGGCCCTCGCACTACGATTCAGAAATTGACTATTTTCTAATTGGTATGCTTCATGTAGCAACCTCTTAATCAGCTGCAGGGATCACGTAAACCCATTGCATACAACTAGGGATCGTAATAAATAATCTGATTCTTACAGGCCTGATTTTACACGTGAGTTTAATAATCCATAATAATGCATGATTTGATGCGTCATTATTACACTCTGTAGTCGATGAAACAATGACCGCTTTGCAGGAAGTTGATGGACGTTTCATCCTCGCCATGGGAATGTGGAATTCCACCACTGTTTCAGAGCCAGCGCTTGAGACAAAGTGCCCTTACTGCTGCTCGTCTGAGCGGGATTGGTTCAAACTCTGACGTGAACACTTTTTTTCCGCTAAATCTCACTGCGGGAGAATAAACGCCACCGTCATCCCCCGTGGCTCCCACTGCTGGCGATGTCGTGCCGCGTCTTGTCTCGACGCAGCCAACGGGGCAGGGACGAGGGGAGGGGGATGTAGGGAATGGGGCCTTCTGGAGCGACCGGCTCAACACACCGGCTTTATTTTTCACGTCGAGCTCAACGGTCTGAACTGCGCCTTGATCAGGGGCAAATTGGAGCCAGGGGCCTGCGAATTTGGGCCATTCACAAACCCTCCAGGGCTGCTTGAGTGGCATTGCCCGCCCCCCCTTCCGCCAGCCACGAGGTTGAACCCCCCTCGCCCGCTCCCATCGCCCCGACAACCCTCGTTTGCAGCTGGCTGGAGCGCTGCACGGGGCTAGCCTGGCGTGCCGCCCTGCTGCTAAAGCAGGATTATGGATCGCACGCAATATGCTAAATATAACGCTTTCGCAATATGTGTTCATTTTGACGAATGGCGGCATCAGACGGGGGAAGAGGGATCTGTTTTTGCGGCAGATGAAAAAGCAGTAATCCATATCCCCGGCCTGATATTGTTTACGGACACGGCACTTCATCTCACGCTGCATCTGATGAATACCGAAGGCACGAATATGCTGCCGTGGGGAATGCAGATTGCGGCTAGTGCCTTTCAGCACAAACTAGGACATCATTTTCACGAGCGAGGCATCATTTTTAGTTGTCTGTTTATGATTTTTTTCCTCCCCCCTTCCCTTCGCGTTGGATTATCGCCGCTCTTATTTCACCATCGGCGTTTTAATAATAATAATTATTTACAACCTCATGTCAGTCCACTGCTGGGCGAAGGGGCCACCCTGCTCGCCATGCGTGTCGGTCGTGGGGGTTGTTTGATCATACTTCACCGTGCTGAGCAGTGCCAGTTGCCAGAGGCTGGGTTAGGCAAGCAATGCGCCACTATCGCTTTGGAGGAATTTAGATGAAATGAATATGCAATTCGATGAACACGAGCTCTTACCTTGTAGATATTGCCGTGGGCCATGTGATCTTTCGTTTTTCGCTTCATTAAAGGGAAAAAAAAATTACCTTAATCTCTAATCGTGCACTCACAGGGACTGCAGTTGGTAAAGGGGTTAACTCAGGCCCGGTTCACGTATCAATTGTCACCGATGTTAGCAGCGGCCAGGAGTCAAACTCGGGTCATCAGGTTCGTAGCTCGGCAGGCAAACCACTGTGGCACAGCTGTTGTTGCTTCGGGGCCTGTTTAATTCTGCATTCAAGTGAACGAAGTGCAATGGGCTGCATCGTTTTATTGTTTTTCTCTTCGTGTTGTTTCCAGTTGTAACATTTTCCCCGTTTACCGTAGTGGCCAATTTGTGACGACGTTAACGTCACTTGCACGAGATGTGACCATATTTCGGTTTAAAAAAAACAAACTATTTTAGTTGTTTAGTTTGGCATTCACAGCGAGGAAATGGTACAGGTGAAAACGACGACACACAGGACGACACGAAGCGCTCAAAGAGACACAACCAAGTGCTTCACATGCGCGCCGTGGTCTTATTGGATCGGCCAACATCCGAAAATCGAGATAAACAACATTATCCAGCAGTCAGAGCTTCGAAGCCATTATCTCACAACGACAATCTTGCGCCTTGCTAAAAAACGAAAGGGGATCTTTCGACCCGTGTCAGAAAAGCCACCCTAATTGAATCCCTGTAAAACCAAAAGATCGGACGAATCTACCTACTCTCCTTTCAAAACGGAGACACGGCAGGGGAATCGGGGAGAGGAAGTAACCTGCCGATTTTACACCGGCACGTGATAGTCGCCCGCGTGCCATCACATTTGTAGATTACGCGCTCACGTAACGTGGTATTTCCGACTTGCGGTGCACCCGTTGTCCAGACAATGATTCCACTTCCCACAGCAATCTGTCATGCGAGGAATATTTAGAGGTTTACCTCTTGGGCAGCCGATATCATCCGGTTGTGAATGTGTCTCCAGTACGGAATTTGCGGTCATGGTGGTATAAATAAGCCTTGGTGGTGTTATGCATGTTGGTGGTAGCGATCGGATTCAGGTTTTATTTCAGCTGATAAGGCCCATTGAACTAACCATCAATTTTCCAAAGACGATTCGATTGCCATGGCCATGGTGATGATGTTGGTGATCGTGTTGGTGGTGGCCATGGTAGTGACTGTTCTGCTGATCTGGTGGCATCGGTTACATTGGTGGTGTGGTATGGTGATTGTGGGGTCCATCTTGCCGATGATAATTGTGGTGATATCATTTTCAGTAGTACCCATGTTGACGTTGCTGTGACTGCTTTGATAGTGAGCTTGTTGCTGATGGTAGCAATGGTGCTGCCAATGGTGGTGGATTCCATTTCGATAATGGCTTTGGTAGCAATAATGGTGGTGGTAGTAGTGGTGTTGACAATGCCTGTGTTGGCATTGGCAGCGTTAGTGAGAGTTGGTGGTGGTAGCGGTAGCAATGGTGGTGTGGTGCTCATTAGTGGTGCTAATTGTTTAATTTGTGGTAGTTCAGGTGGTGGTGCTGGTGGCAGAGGTGTTCTTTTTGTCATCGTGGTGGTGGCAACGAGGCCGTTTTGTGGTGTTGGCAGCGGTGCCATTTGTGGTTGTCGTGGTAGTGCCGTTTCTGTTGATGGTGTCCATCGTGGTGGTGGCAGTCATCGTGGTGGCGGTGGTTGCGTCTGTTGTGGTTGTGGTGGCGGTGCTGATGGGAGCTCGCGCCGTCCGTCCGTCCGTGCAGGACTCTGAGGGCGACACTCCGCTGCACGACGCCATCAGCAAGAAGCGGGATGACATGCTGTCCGTCCTCATCGACGCCGGTGCGGACGTGTCGCTCACCAACAACAACGGCTTCAACGCGCTGCACCACGCCTCGCTGCGCGGGAACCCCAGGTCGGTTGCACACACGAACGCCGCTACCACCGTCAAGTGGGCCGTTGCGATTTGTTTTTAAATGTCTTTTTCTCAACTTTATTCCAGTCTTCTTCTTCACGATCAATGGGCAGATAGCTCGTCGGTGTCCACTGCACATTTTATCATTTGTTTCCACTTTGCTCTTCCGGCCACCAAGCACAGCATCGTTGACGGTCGCAGGTATTTCTAAGAGTTGTCGGTAACCTTGGGAGTTCCAATGTCTTCTGAGGGACCACAGCCACGTAAACGAGGAAGCAGTCCTTCCAGTCCAGCGTGGGTTCTCTAGGTGTTCTGCTGCCTTGTCACAATCGTGAAGCTCATCTGAGATTCATGACCGAGTTGCTGAATCGTGCTCCGTCGGTAACCCCCGCCGCTTTCAGTCTCTCTCGTTTGTTCGTTTATTTGTAAAGAAAAATTCGTCGACCCCCAACTTCCCCCCCACCAACGAAATTCTCCTTACCCGCACGCTCCAAGCCATAAAGTCGACAGTTAATGAATGATTATTGGTATTAGAAAATTCCTTTAAATGACCTCTGCTCCACGCATTAAGGGGGAAGCACTCCCCCCCCCCCCCCCCGCCCACTTGCCCTGCCACACAGAGAGAGCAATCTTTGTCGCATGACAGTCGAGCCGATATTTCTTTCAACAACGATGGGCACTGCACCGTCTCCTGCTCGAGCGGGGACACACACTTTGGCTTGACTTTCCGCATTATTGAACTAAGCACAGCTCGTAAAAATACATACGCATCAAGGTCCCACATCCGGCCCTTTGGCACTATATCACACGCCTCGGAGACAGAGTGCCTCTGTAGTAGAATCGCTTATTAGACACTAGTTCTTTATTATGCGCCGCGTGAGACGCAAGGGCGATTGGCCGCCCGCTTGGATCCACACTGGAATTTTCCCCCTTTTCACGTTGCAAAGTTTACTTCTCCACGTGTGACATCCGTAGACCTTCCTCCACCTTCACGTGACAGTCGGTCTGATTCCCAAGAATTCTAGTGGTTTGTTTTGCTCAAGTGTGCCGCAAATAAAAACAAAAATCTCCACCAATTAAATATTCTGCCGCTATCGTGAGTTACGGTTCCATCATTCTCCCGAAGGGCTACCATTAGTTGAGAAGCGGCGTGTGTGCGAGATGGCAAGTCCAGGGTGTGTGCCTTGCTTAACGTGGCAATGCACATCCTGTGGACGTCTCTCTCAGAGAGACGAGCACGGAGCATATCCATAAAGCGAAACGATTGGAAGCCGTGCAGCCGTTTCAATAATGCGTCGCCGCTTCTTGGATCGTCACGCGCGCGGGCACTTGCGCCGCTCAAGTGACGGTGCTTCAAAAGCGGCCGACTGCAGTGGCCTTGCTCGGCGGGTCCCGCGACTTTTGCCCGTGGTTTTTGGTCGGTCGTTTTGGTCTGTCGTTAACTAATAACCGTGCATGTGTATGGCACACGTAGTTGTCGTCGTCATCATCGTTATTATTATTCGCCATTTTACATGAACTGCTGGGTGAAAGCCCTCTCAAACTCTCGCCTTTGTTCACGGTCTTGCAATTCAATGATCTGTCTAACACCCGCACGTCGTGAGCTAAGTCCATCGCTCCACCCCCCGTGGTGAACTGCCTGACGGCAGTGTCCTCTTGGGCGCATCTTCTTTTTCGGCTGCCACTCTGTTGTTAGTCTCGACCGCCGGCCATCGTTCCTCCGAGCGACGAGGTGCCCAAACCCATTTACTTTTCTAAAGAGCCGTCGTGACGTCTCTTATCTCATGCTACGCAATCGTATAAGTGTATTGATTCAACCGCCCCACCAGCGATTTGATTAATTATCGTTTTTCAGGGTCACGGTCCGATTCAAGAATCGGTTCTCTTTGTAACCTTGATGGTGAATGTAGCGACCACTCGTGGGCTGCATTGGTGCTGTGAGCCCATTACATTCAACATGTGTGAATCCTTCTTAACCGCGTGATTCATGTGCGAATCTCAGGATTAAGAGCCGTATTAATTGATTAATGACTCCATTCGTTCATTCCCACTGTCATATGTTTGACTTTATTCTCAATTACTCTTCGTACATCGTCAAACACGAACACGCTTCTGTACGTGCAGTACGTGCATTACATATATGTCCGTTTTATTTGTAACTTAACATTTCCCGGATGCTTTTCGACTGGAGTCGGCACATGACCAATATCCACAGCCATAGCCAGATGTATACTCGATGTGGTGTGCCGGGTTGCGGACAGATTTAACCGGGCAGCCCTACTTCTGCCACATGCTTTAAAGCCGGCACATTTCTCTCAAAGAAACACACTAAAAAGTGCATTCTAATTTTTCGACTTAACAAAGCAAATATTTTGACATTCCCCGATTCAAATTCTCAGTGGGGAGGCGCCCTTGTTTTACGAGATGCTGGGTGAATTACCGATATCACCGTGCCTGCGCTGCCGCCACCCTTAGTATGCAACTTGCGATCGCCGCCGGAGTACCCGGCCTGCAGCCTCATTATCATTACGCGCAATGCTCTCCGCGCCACCAACGAGTGATCTGCATAGTTTATTATGGGTCGCCCGGTGCACGCGGTGGCGGCGATGGTGGCGTCTCCAAGCTTGGTTCCTCCGCTTTAATCAGCCTCGTTAAAAAGCGCTTATGCTGCTGCGGTGTCCGTTCCACTACCCCCCTCCCCACCCACTCCGCACCCCGCGCGCCACTCCCCCCGCCGTCCTGGCACGGGGTGGATGGTGGGGAGTTGGGTGTGGGTGGTGGAGCGAGGCTCGCAACAACGAGCTTGGCTAAGAGGCAGCAAGTTTGCAGCGTGGCGGGGAGTGCGAAGTGGTGTATCTGCCAGTCATCTCAGTTCAGTCGATTCCAAACACCTGGGTCTATAACCGTGGACCTCCTTTGCCCGGGAGCCTTCTACACTTATTCACACGGTCTCAAAGTGAACCGAGCTCGTGACAAATGCTGCGGTGATGTCACCGCCACTGAATTGCCGTGGTGGGTCGTCGTCCGTCACTTTTACGCGAGTCCACCACAGTAAAGACATTGGGTCGGCGATATAAATGGCGGCACAGTGCTTGCAGTTTATTTGCGGCAGGTTTAATGTTGAGCCGTCTTGCTCCAGCCTCCTCCCTCTCTCCCTTCCCATCTCGCTCTACTTCCTGAGTCGGACTCTCCGCTCAAACAGCCAAGGCCTCTTGGCAAAACTTCAGTCAACCTACAAAGCTATGGAAGGTCACTCCTTCACCTCTGCTACCTCCTAATTCCGAGAATTTCCTCCCACTAGTCTGCCGACTCCACACTGCTGACTCGTCCCTCCTTTGGATTGAAGATCTTCCATTTCTCCCCTGTCTTTGGCGAGCGACTTCTCCAATGACACCCCCCCCCACCCTTCGTTCCCCCACGTTTCCACTGCCACATCCTCCCCACTCACCCCCCCACGGACCGTCCTTCCGATCACCTGCTCCTTTCCCCAAACGCGTATCTCCCGCTGTGTGCGTCGTTTAGAAATTACGTCCCATTTAGCAGCAGCGGCGGCGGCGGCAGTCTGGTAATCCAAAGTGTGTTGAATAACAGAGCCCGGGCTGAGCGGTGCGCAATCACTTTTCAGAGGCAGCCTGAGGCTAGGTTTAGAATCAATCAGCTCCCACGGTGGACCACACTTGCGGGAATCGCCTTCAATGCATTGTCAAGGTCCCCGCATTCCGTCCGTACGTTAAACTGCTAAATTCTGTCCGGGAGTTATTATTTCCAGTGGTTAGTTTTGTGTTGGTTCTATTTTTTTTATCCTATCCACCCCCCAACCCCCAGCCCAGAAAAGTGTGCACGATCCTTTCCTGTATTGCGCTACCGTTTGCGGATTGTGCACTGTGTGAATATTGATCAGCGGACCCGGCAGTGATGGATCGTCCCATGCTGAGATTCAGCAGATTTCTTTTTCGAGACGCAAGTTTGTTAATCTCACGCAAACACGAGCACGCAGCGTGTGCAGTCGGCCGCCGCTGCCGCCACGCGCACCGTGTGGACGCACGGCGCAGGGACATCGTGCGCAAGGCACGGAGCGGACACCGGCGGCGGACCAGTCAGTCCGCCAAGGTCACAAACAGTTTTTCCCACGAGCGCTTCCCTAAGTTGCCTGCATCGTTGTCAGTTTCGCCCGAAAACACCGCGACTTTCAGAGGACACAAATGCCATTGTGGAATGCTCTGTTTATTGTAATTTCTCGTATTTATTTACATTATTGCTTTTAGTTCATTTTCTACTTGCACGGGAAAAAAAGGGGGACTTTTGTTAGATGCAAGTGTCGGTCGCCAATTATTGTTTTTGCACGGGTAACCTCGCGGTTTTTGGCTTCTTAACTTCCGTCAAACTCCTGTCGCTGCTGTCGCGGCACCGTGAACGAGGCGGGTAGCAGCTGTAAGGCAGAGGGGGGAGAGAGCCTTGTCTTAACAGCCTTTCTCGCTCCACGCTGGAGGAGAGGCACGATGATGGGGGCACGTTGGATGCCGTCGCTTGGCGCTCGAAATCGCAGGTGTCCTTTGGGACTCCGCTCCGTGGATTCTCCTGTCGCTGGAATATTCTCTGCCTTGCTCGGGGCCACGGGAAGAAGCGGGGCAGGGGGGAGGGGAGCACATGGTTGTCCTCATTGGGCACAACAGCAGCCATGCCAACTGTGCCTTCTGTCGGAACGTGGGTCAAAAAGGAAGCAAGTTACGTGAAGCGCACACCTGATTTTAAATGGAGGCGTATTTAAAGAAATTGCACAAAGGGACTTGTCGGTCCTGTACGTGACAACGCTGCAACGGGTGCCGATGGTGTCATCTGCTGATGGAGGCAAGGAGAAGCCACCCGAAAGTTCCTTCCAGTATGTGGCATTGTAGGGAGCTTGAGCTATGGGCTGCCCTTGGGCAAAGCACTGAATCGATGAAGGAACAGAATAAGAAGAAGACATTAATATTATTAGTTTTTGCCGAAACACATTCCAGTTGTGCTATTAGTGTTACGTCATGAAATGGAGACATGTTGATTTGTATCTCTTGCTGCGAGCGGCGTCGCGTCACCTTGTGTCGGCATGGTCGCGGACGTCGACGCCGTAAATCTCCCGAAGTCCCTTCCATCACTTCCATCGTCATTGGTCATGATCTAGCCACTGCTGGATGGAGGCCTCTCCAAGTCCTTGCCGTTGAACTCGGCTCGATGTAGGCCTCCTTTAGCCACACCGTATTTCACATGTGTAATATAGCCCTGCAAACATGTAGAGAAAATATCGTAAATATTATCAGAGCTGTAATAAGGTATTTAATAGGATAATTTTTTTCATGCACTCTTTGATTACCGGTTGAGAAACCATCCACTCGCTACATCTTAGAAATGCGGTTTATTTACAGGCGTCTGATCCCCACATTCAAATACACAATTCTACCAACCCACTTGCTGTACTGCCATCGCCGCTTAGCCACTCCACCGCAGAGTTTGGGCATTTCATAAGCGTTCACAATCCACCCACTCTTGCCTCCAAAGCAATGGATCACATCCGTGCGTCGCCGCCACGGCCCGTCAAGGGAACGTGCACTTGCTGCCACTGGCTCAGGGTCGCCAGTGGAGAGAAATGGGCGCCGTGTGTACGTGTGGCCCCTCTCCTCTGAATATTCGCCGGCACCGCGACCGTCCGTAACGATTTCCGTGGCGATCCCTTCCGCCGTGGCGCGTAGCTGGCTGGCGAGGTGGCCGCGTCATCAAGGTGTCTCTCCGCCGCCGATACAGTTCGGTTTTCTCTTACTGTCGACGCCGATACCACCCACCATACCCACCCCGGTTGCGATCACGGTGTAGGGTGTGGCCTCTGCAGCTGGTTGAAGGGGACCAAATCCCATCTGCAAACGATTTGGTTCCGTTTTACCAGCTGCAGCGGCACCGGCTGCTTTAGATGAAGACGGCCGCCGCCCCTCGCGGGAGACGCTCCCCTCTCCGGGACCATCCGTCCGTACATCTGCCGGCCGTCCTTCTGTCGCGTCCATTTGTCCCTCAGTCTGTCCATCCCTCCGCCCGCCCTTCCCGGGCCAATTAAAACGCCGCTGTAGGTGTGCCGAGTTCCGCACCGAGCCCGCGGGGCGGCTTGTTACGTAACCCCTGCATGTATTGGGATTTGCGTTTTAGGTTTTTTTTCTCAGCACCAGCTGTTGTGTTTTGAAAACATTGGTTGTAGAGGCAGCATTGACGGCGGCGGCGAGAGCGATCACCCGATGAATCACGGGGCCCTGTCACTGAACCCTCAAGGACACCTGAGTGAGTCTGATGGAAGCTTTTCCAATTCCTGGATACGGTTGATTTGTTTTCCTCCTCCTAACACACTTTAGGACATGGGGAGAAAAGCACTTTAGAAAATAAGGCCTCCTGGTCCATCCATATGTAACCCAGCTGGAAATCCCTTAAATATGCGTACGGGGTTTTCCAATACCGTGAAAGGACCTATGGAGTGGATGCTGCGGTGTGTGTAAGGTGCGAGAGGTTGACCCTCGGAGTCCCAATTCACACACACACACTCTCCTGCGAGCTCTCGAAGAGCCGGCCCCGCTATCGTATCGCTCGAGACATGTTCCCACGCACGAATCGTCTCGTGCTCCCCCATCCCCAACGGATGGAGTATAATGTGGCAACCTCCACTCAACAATGAAGAGGGACACGGGCCGTTTCCGCCCCGGAGGCATGGGCTGTTGCGAGTGGATCGGAATCAGAATATTTACCTATCATGGCTGGAATCCCATGAGCCTATGAAGCTGTTTTTCACAGATGTCCAGTTGGGGTTGGTCAGAACGTTACGGCAACAAACAATACAAAGGAGTGCAAAGTATAGGAAAATAGTAACAATTCACTTTAAAAGATGCAAAGAAAACTAAACAATTTGTTATCTTACCAGCTAAAGCCCACTGAGGTATTAGCTTATTTTTCTGAAGCGACCTGGCTATCACAAATAATCGCTCAACAAAGTGGCTTATCAGGTGTTATCGTAGTTCAATCGACTCGTCGTCGGCACGCACGCACGCCTGCCGTCTTGCTTTGAGGAGACGACAGGAGTCGGGACGCGGGAACGGAGCGACCGCCAGTGCCCATGCCTGGCTCCCTGGCAGAGCGAGCGGGCGAGCGGGCGGGCACACGAGCGGAGGACACGTTCCCCTGGTCCCCGTTGCCCGGCTGTGTGCGCTTGACGGGCATCGCAGCAACACGGCGAATGGCGGTGGCCTCCAGGGCCAGCCGCCCCGAGCTCCACTGTACCCGAGACATTTAGCCCAAAAGTTTACTGCGGGAAAATGAGGCTTAATTCTTGTTTATTATCCAACGATCGCGTCTAACAGTTGACAAATGTAAAAGTATAACAAGCGACTGTAACTTAATAGGGTTTGTGAACGTAACTCTGGTTGCAATGCTGTACTATATTGCTTGAAGTGTATCGGACGGGAGTCCGATAAAAAAAAAAAATATCTGGCCTCGATTTCAAACGCTGCGCTCTGTCTTCTTTGCCGAGTGCCAACGCAGCGTAATTGACCGTTGTTAATTCGGACGACGAATCATCGGAATCTGTTCCGGCCGCCCTGTCCTACGAGAGGGCGAGATCGGAACTAAACCGCAGTCTCAGCCGGAGAATTGCCGGTGCGTGCCGCGATAATTAAAACCGTTAAATAAACAAGATATCGCCGTTATGGCGAGACGCTTTGGAAATTGCCTTAATTAATTGTGCGACGTGGCTTTTGAGTGGCCGCGTGTGCGCAGCTTTGGAGAACGGCAAGCGCAGCACAAAATTATGACGGAACGCTTTCGCGGGGGGGCACACACGCACGGGCGCGCGTTTTATTTTTGTGCGTCCCTCAGGATTTGCCGGAATGCACCACCGAAACGAGTAACGCCGAACGCTGTCGCGCCGTTTTCCAACAAGCGAGAGCCGGCCTGTAAATTGACGGCGATAAATGGCCCACGGAAAATGGCTCGGCGGCGAAATTGAGCAACGGCGTTTGGCCGCGTTAACTAAACGACAAAAGCAAAGCATGGAACGCGCGGCCCTCACCGTTTTCAATCGTGGGGTTGGCGTGCGCCGGTTTTTTTCCTCGACGTGTAAAGAGTATGTCAGCGTTGTTTAAAGGGGCCGCCACTCTGCGCGCAAGCGCGGCCCGCCGAGTTTTATACCAGAGGCGTGCGGTGACGAAACGCGCTGCAGAGGGGGAGACGGTGCTGCGCGGGAACGGCAATTACCGTAATTGGCTCCTGAGGGCTGGGGGCTGCTCTCTCGTGATTAGACGGCGGAGATCCTGGCACTTTTCCTCACGCTACTTTGTTAATCCCTTTCGTTTTTTTTTCTCTCGCTCCACCAAGCGAGAGCCGGCAGCGCTTGCTCATGTGCCAAAGCAATAAACGGTTTTGTGCCGCAATTTTCGAATGACCGTAATGTTTCAAACCGCGGAGTGATATTTGTGCGTGCCTTCGCGAAAATTTTTGAAAATGTATTTAAAGTGTGCACCCATAACGTCACGAGAAAGAGATTAAGAGTTAATTCAATTACCCGTGGTGAGCGGCGAGCGCGCTATTTTGTCCTGATTCACTGGAAGTTGTCGCTGCGTGTATTGGACAGCGTCGCCACGGTCTTCCCCGTCCCTGCAGTGGGCCACGAGTTGTACGTGGACATAGAGTCAGCACCACGGGTCTTCTCTCCCAAACATCTTTTAGATGAGAATGTGCTGCTGATTCCCACCCAGAACCCATACTTCTTTACATTCCACGATCCCAGCTTGCGCACGTGGCTCTATAAAGAAGTACGTGCTCTGGCTGGGATTTATTCTCCGTAACTTTGACACTTTCTAAATTCCGACGGTTCATAAATCTCCCCGCCCCCAGCCAAAGTCGGACAGGATGCCATGAATACAATTTGTGAATAGAGAGCAACCGTACCTACCTGCACGTTGAGTCACAGGCCGCTCCCCCTTCTCCTTTCGCGACGACGGCGACGGCAGGAAGTGAATCTTTTCTTTCATTCCCATTCGGTGCTCCTTAATCACTTCGGGAAAAGCACAGTCTGTTCGGCGGGCAAAATTATAATCCCTTATACAGTCTTCGTTCGTGCCTTCGGGTTCGCCGGCCTTCTGCGCGCAGGAGAGGCCGGGTTTGGTGCATCGGTTGCTCCTCGGGGTGGCTGTGCCCGCGAGCGTGCGGCGGAAGCATTTGAGAATTCTCACTCCGTCCCGGCCATCGCTCGCTCGCTCGCTCGCTCGCTGTGTCGCACCGCTCCGTCCGCGTAATCGATGACCCGCCCCTCGTGACGCGCCTCGTCGTTTGCGCACATGCATGCGACCTTGCGCCGCCGGTCCTCCGTCCATCCGTGCGTCCCCCTTCCCCCCCCACCGCCTCCCTCCTTCCCTCGAGGCTGCAAAATGCGCGTGCGCTAGTGGTACACGAGCGCGCGCACACACGTGGACACACACGTGACACATATATTCTTGGGTGCACTTACCACACACAGGATCACGTGAACATTAACACGTGCACGCAGGCGCACACACCATATCAATGTATTTATGGGTACATGGCACACGTGAACACGAACATATGTGCACACGCCACATATGCACATGCATTATACACACATTCATTGGTTTACACACCATACAGGCTCGCATCAGCATTAACACATGGGCATACAAAGACAAAGATCCCCCCTAAAGGCACAACATCCTGTTGGGGCAAGTGCTGTTAGCGAGTACCTATGAAGGCCGGCACGGCACACGAGGGGGTGGGTGGCCAGCACCACGTCCGGCCGCCTTTGTCTCCTTAGTGGCGAAGTTTACACACCGCACCATGTACTCATTCGAGGCTGAGTCGACCTAGGGGAAGTCCAGAACCGTTTCAGATAATCGTCACCGGTGTTGGCCATGGGTGGTAATTGGGTCGTCGGGTTCGTACTGCAGCTCGCTAACTGCTACACTCCTGTTCTCTACAAAGACACGGACACGTGCACACGGACACGCGCACACACATTGATGGACACGCACACAGGCACACACGTACCACAGAGCTTCAGTTGAAGCCACAAGGGTGCCTTGCCGACGTGCACACGAATCACATTTGCAATAGCGCTCTTCTCTGCGTTTTTTTGTTTCTTACGCAGCACGTCTTTTACAAAGCGGCCACGGCGTGGAAACTGCGTTAGCGAGTCGTCCCGCCGCTGGGGCGACCGCTTCACTCCCCGGGGGCCTCCCCTCGGGCGCCATGCAAACATGCCCTCGGGGCACCTGCCCACCTCGGCCTTGCACACGGCGGATCGGTGCGACAGCTCGCGTGCGTGGCCAGGGGTGTGCGGTGTGTCGAGCCACGTGTGTGTGTGTGTGTGAACGAGTGGAAGGAGTTTGTGGTGGGGGAGGAGGGAGAGGGGGGTTGGTGGTGGGGGAGGGCGGTTTTTGGGAAAGAAACGCCATTGAGCGAGTCCGTCACGTCCGTTGGTGATTTTCTGCTGCGCGCCCTCCGTTTTAAATGCGCGCGTGTACCTGCGAGACTACGATCCCCGCCGCATGCATTATGAGCGCTTCTTGGAAGATGTAATGGGGGGGGAGATCCCTCTGGAAAAATAAAGGCATGCTGTCGTGCAGCAATTACTGCTCCCCGCCGTTCCTCCGGCGGTGATGTCGAAGGCTCCGTGCACCTGTCCTGAACTTGCACGGCACTCTTGATTCACACGTGCATAGCGGCTGTGTCTGTGTGCGTGCGTGCAAGCGTACTCGGTCACACGTACGCGATCCCAGGTCGAGGAGCCATGTGTTCCAAAGGGTTTTGGCGCATTGGAGATAAACGGCGAGCTCCTTGTTCAGTTACACACAAGGCAGCTGACATAGGGGGAGTTGCGCTACGAACCCGGGGGACTTGAGTTTGATTCCCAGCTGATGTCCCGCGGGAGAGTGCTATCTGAACTAAGCCTCGGCTTCCCCTAGGTCAACTCAACCTTAAACGAGCACCAGGTGCGGTGTGTTAAATGTCAATACTGGGGGGGGGGGGGGGGATAAAGGCGGCCGAGTGTTTTGCTGGCCACTCACCACCCCTTCGTGCGCCGCGCCGGCATTAATAGGTGAGCTTGCATACAAATGTGCCTCAGTTATTGACTTGAAACGGTATAGTCTTGAGTAGTGCTGCTCTTGTTTGGCACAGGAATGACTCGCCGTGGCAAAGCGAGCAAGGGAGGTGAATGTGAAAGTTGCCGCACACCCTCGTACGTCTTTAATGTGGGCACGTGGCACAGCGGCCGGCCTGCTCGTTAGGGTTATGCTGCAGTGTCTTCACTATTCTCGCAGCAGGGCAAGCACTTCAAAAATGTCATTGCACATTTCTGGGTGGAGTTGAGCTCTGAGCTGCCAAATGCTTGCCATGTGGCGCTTGGGTGGCAAGTGAGCTGGTCACTCGGCTTTTCAGGCACCCCTATGTACGAATGCTCGGACAGTCTTGTGTGAATTAATGCACGTGGTTAGGCATCCCATGTATAAACATCTAGATGGATACTGTTTGAGAGCCTGTATGTACATGTAACCACCCTGTCTGTGGCTGGAATTAGAAGCAGTGGAGAAGAAGTAATGTTTTTCCTTTCCTTAAGAAGGCCAGTTGGGTTGGGACGTCCTTCAGAAAAGAAAAAAAAACCCACCGTTCTGTTTCATTTATTTTTAAATTTATAAATTGGCGCGTGCGAGCGTGAGCGCGGATATTGTAAACGTGCGCATATACTGCAGCGTGTAATTTCCGAAAGTGCATTTAAATTACCGGTACAGTTCATCGGTTTTAATTACGAGTCTGAGTACGTTTTACGTCGCCACTGCCGCCACCGCGGCCGCTTTGCAGCTTTAATGTGCTGAGACAGCAACTAGGCAAAGCTAAGCCAGTCAATCACGGAGCCGCTCAATCATAAAACAGCCGAATTTTGCTCCCTTACGTTTCGCCGCGATGCGAGGAGGCCGCCGCCTCCGCTCCTCGCTTGCTCGCGACCGTTGCCGTGGCTGTTGCTTCTGTCGTTCTCTGGTGCCGCGTCGGCGACCGATCCGCTCTGGGGCCGGCCGGTAGCGGAGGAGGGGGGGGGGGCAGTGCAACAAAAAATATAAAATTGCGGGGTTTTACATTTCTTTCATTCGACGAAAAACAAACGAATGCTGCACGACGTCGCGTCGATTGTACTCCGTGTTGTTAAAACATAAAAACGGCAGTGCCGCAGAGGGTTCAAGGATTGTCAAGATTGTTTTTAAACAAATCCATTATTGTGAAACGTACAAACGCGCACACGCAGAGACGGACACGCGCGGCACACCACACCGAGAACCGGAACACTCTGCCCTACTTGCCAAGTGCACCGTATCATCTCGCGGCGTTAGCAGCAGCAGCAGCACCCACCTGAATTGCGGCACTGCCACGGCCCCCAAGGAGCGCCGCTCACGAGTTGGCGGCGGCGGCGGCGTTTAAATGAAGGCCGAGCGCCGTTGCTCCCCGGTAAATCCCCATCAGGTAAAATCCCACCGCTTCTGTTGCCCTTGAACGATGAAATCTGCCGGAGAGGCAACGGGCTGGGCCATTTTAACCCTAAACCCCCCCCCCCCGCCCGCCCCCGTCTCTTCCCCTCGCCCGTCCCCCGTCGTCCCCCTCCCCACTTCGCCCCGCACAAGTAGCGGACGCACGCAAACGCACGGTCCCACCAACCTGACCGGCATGATTAAACCAGGCCTGCCTCTTTCACAGGTGGCGTTTTATGGCCGGCGTTAAATTGAGTGATGAGTGAGATGTCGATAAAAAGAGAGCCACTGGGTTTGGCACCCCGTCCTGCCGCTTTGTTTAGCGAGCGGTTCTTATTTTATTCGCGGGTTTTGTTTGTTTTCGCTCTGAATACAGTAGTCCAATTGTGATCAACTGTTTAAAAAAATGCAATTTCGAACAAAGTCGTCTAAAGATTCGACCACCCAGCCCCCCAAATTTCTCCAAGTCGATGACTTGTCATGATTTGTGGTCACCATTTGGTTCCAGATTCTATTTTTTTTTTCGTCACGTTTCTTCCGTCTCGTTCGTATTGTTTCTCCCTGAATACTTCTTTACGTCCGCGCCGTTAACACAAGTGTAACATTAACATCTCAATTTGCATGACATGTGCAGAATAGATTCTCGCACGCGCGATTCTATACCTCTGTCGTTTGCGTATCAATCTATTTCAATCTCCGAATCATCCCGTCGTTACCTCGCCCGCTAAAAAAATTGTCGCAAAGTAGAACGGCATGAAAATGGGACTGCGGTTTGATCGGAGCTGGCTTATTTCATCCTCCCCAAGACCCTGTACGCGCACGCACGTGGTCCTTGATGCCACCTTGTCCTGCCACGGAGGTGCAGGGGTGGAGGGGGGGGTGGCGGGGGATGTGGGGGGGGTGGCAGCGTAACGCCCCGGGGCCCCCCACGATCGGCGGCACCGCCGCCGCTGCGACACCACGGGGGGGACGTGGTCAGCGCGGCGGCATCCGCATTGCGCCGCGGAGAGAGGGAGAGACCGACAGTCACGGCTGCTGAGCCCACTCGAGGGTTAATGCATCGGAGAAAGGGGAGTGGGAGAGATTGATGGATTGATGGCTGCTTTGGCTTAACCTAGCCGTCTCCCCGGCCCCCAGCCTCCGGTGATGCGCCGCTCGTTAGATGCCCGTATGGTTCCGCTGGGTTCCGGTGACCGGGCGTGAGCGAGGGGTCAGCACCCAGGGCAGCAGTAAAAAGAGCCAGAGCCGTGGGACCTGATGAGGCGTTGGGAGATTCAGAGAGCCTTTGGCCCATTAGCAGGATTACAGGAGGAGAGAGAGAGAGAATGCGTAGGACCTTAATCCTTCAGTGGCATAGTCGTAGTGAAAACAAGCTAAATATAAAACAAATAAATCTGTTTTTAAGTAAGTTATTGTTTGCCCAGGAATAAATTACTAACGCTGTACACTTTTGGGAGCATTATGTTATTTTGCTAAAGTGCATTTCTCTTGAGCCTCACTGCCCTGGCCTGTGCTTGTGCATGTGACTTTCACTTTCATTTTGTTTTTTAATATGTCTTTTCACGGACCAATGTAACTAAATTGAAAAGCAACTCCCGGCCCTCGCGATGTCCAGAAATGTAATTAGGAGAGACCATCCATCCTGGAAGAACCGCACACACGTGTGCTTGTTGTGTATAATAGAATACGCCAGCGCGCCATGCGCGGTGTGTCCGTGTATGTCTATGTACATGCGTACGTACGTGCGGTCGCGCGTGCACCTCTGTGTGTGTGTGTGTATATATATACGTGCGTTGCACAGATTATTAATATATATAAAACAACAAAAAAATTTGGGTGTAAGCACTTGCTTACTCGGCCGCTGCGTGCATAATTCATGAGCGGAAATGTGACGGGCGACGCGAGGCTGTGGCAGCGGCGGCGGGCGGGCGGCCGGTGTCCGCGAGCACGTGATGATGTGGCAGTAACTTCAGGAAAATGTGTCGCTCGCTCACTCCGTGATTTATGGTCTGTCTCCCGTAGTGTCGGCCAGGGGGGGATGAGGGTAAGTGAGGCGCACCCCAGGGACCACTTTACGCTGCTCCCAGCTGCGGCCGGGTTGGGTGGTGGGTGGGTGCGGTGGAAGGTTTCGTTTTAATGTAGACATTTCTTTTGGGGGGTGAATTTTCTTTTTATGTTTACATCTTTGTTGGGGGGCGGGGGGGGGGGGGGTGAGCACGGACGCGCTCTGTATGCGCGCGAGTGTTTTTTTTTACGCCGTAGTTTATCGTTTTTTGTTGGTGGGACGTAGCCGATACGGGCAAATATTAAAATGCCCTCTGGCCTGCATCTGCCGAGCCTCTCGGTGACGTGTGGCGGCACGGCGGAGTAAGAGGCGGGCGTGCCGCCGCCGCCGGGATGTTCAACTCCCCCGTTGACGGATCGTCTCCGCGCCACAGCAACACCCCCCCGTGCAGCAAATTACATTACGTTATAAATTTACATGAAGTGTGCGTGTAATAAGCTCCCGGACGCGGTTATTGGAATGATATCAGTGTCTCTGCCAGCGCCATATTTTGTTTGTTTCTTTGGGTTTTTTTAAAATATATTTTTTGACGCTCGCACGCACGCACGCACGCACGCACGCACGAGCCACTCGGGTGCCGGTGGATTTTTGGCCGATAACCGGTGACTGTTATCTTTCACCCTCTACACTGAGTGATGGTGCGGTGACCTTGACTCGACTGGGTTATAAAATTTCGCACATTCTGTGTAAAGCTCGCGTTGGTATATTTATTATCTCACGGCGGTGCAGGTTTTTTTCTTGCAACTTTCAGCCGCCTATCTTGTTAAGCGTCTGCTTTTGTGACTGCAATGAGATGCCGTAAACCCCATCGTGGAGCCGGCAATTCTAAACGCGGATTTTTTTTCGTGCTTTTTCCTGTGGATCTCGTCTTTTACGTACGTTTTCTTTTTTGTTTACCGGTAATTGTGTGTATAAAACACTTTTTCTTTTTTACACGGCGATTGCATTAAATAGGGGTGTAGATTGCAGCTATCAGAAAGAATAAAATAGGTTTTAAACCCAAGCACTGTGCACTCAAGCATGGGGGATTAATTAGACCCTCCATCGTATTTATTGGACTTAACCCCGTTCTAACTCACCCCCCGTTGCAGATCTAGCCCATAAACGTCGCGTGGCGGCCGCCGCTGTTGAGTTCCCCTCCCGCCGCGATGACGGCGGTGGTTTCTCTTGTGCGTTTTTTTTCCCTTCCGTTTTTTCCCCCGATTGATTCCTGCCTTCCGTTGCAATCCCTCCATCATCTTTCCCGTCCTCACCATCTCCCCCCCCCCCCCCCCCCAGGTCTTTTTTAAAACTTACGAGGTTAATTGCCGCGACTCTTCCGTTTCGACGCCAGATCGATCGGTTCGCCTGGCTCGGGAGTGATTGAGCGTTGCGTGCAGCTTTCCGTGAGTTTTTAAAGAAAGCGCCCCCCTCTCTCCCCCTCCGCCGTTCCACTATTGTCCCGCTCTCTGTGCCCTCCTCCCGCTCGCGCCTCCTGCGCACCTACCCCCACCCCTCCACCTCGACGCTCCCCCCACACTCCGCTCCCAGCGTCCTTTGGGGCCGGTGGCGAGGGGTCGCCAGGGTTGCGGTGAAATTTTGGTCGCTGAAAACGAATTTAACGCTGACAGGAATCGAGGGAAACTTGCATGGGGCATCATCGATTATAACCATACGATCGTCGTCGGTGCAGTTGGGTGTCGTCGTTACAGCCAAAGGGGGGGTGAGACATTTGGTAATTGAATTGGTTATGCAAACAAAGGTTCTCGGGTTTATTAATTACTCTATTGATTGGCGAAATGCACAAAGGATAAACACGTGGCAGGGGACTAGGTGGTTAATGTGGCTTCTGGGCATCGGGTTTAGATTCTTCCACCGGCTCTTATTTTGTTGTGATTGCGTGCGTGCCACATTCGCATTGCGCGGAGTCCACGCACGTGCGCAGAATGGATGTAGCCATTCGGCCCCCTCTCCCGACGACTCGGTGAGTTGTCACGGTGTGAATCCAGGAATCTGTTAACCTCTTCGCATTGTCGTAATGGATGTAGCGGCCTCTCGTGGCTGCAGGGATCATCCTGGCCCTTTACATTCAACAGATACGAATAGAAAACGTCGATTCCCTACGCACACTAATTGACGATTGTATTGTTTCGGCCGAGTTGCACCACTAAGTAGCATGGAACTGCGTAAGTTGTAGGAGCATTACCCAACTTTATTCTGTCGTATATGCTGATCAGTCCAATTCCCTTTAAATATTATATATAATTTCTAATATAATGAAGCCGTTAATCCTGCACAGGTTTAGCTGCTATCAGTCCACTGCTGGAGGTGGGCCTCCAGACACCGTGTCCAGTCATGGCGGGTTTTGTGACCATACGTAACCATGATGGCCATTGCTAGTTGGTTAAAGATCTGATTATTGCTCGCCGCTGATGTTAGCCACGATGGAAAATCAAACTCCGGTCGCCAGGTTAACGGAGCAGTGCCCATACCTCTGGCCCACCGCACTGCTGAACCTCCTGTCGAGCTTTGGTGTTTGTAAAAAAAAAACGCCGCTGCATTGTGCATTAATTTAATAAGTAATTTAATGAATGAATCAATCCACAAAAATGACTTCTTGTGATAGACATCTCTTCTGGGAAGCCTTTGTGTTTGGCCTCAAAACAAACAAAGCCATTGCAGCATTAAATGCAGCAAAGGTTTCTTGTCCTGCGCGGAATTTTCTCGTGACATTAACTGAAGGGTGATACAGATATATTGAGGGGACCCAGGCAGATTGCATTTGTATTAACTGCAAAGGTAATGACTGTGGTGACCCGAAATGGCCCTGCGTCTGCAACTAAGTCATCCGCCCGAACATTTGTTGTTTACCGTGGCATGTCATCTTTCTGAAATGTGCCGTGAATATGTAACCGGGCGCTCCAAAAGTAATGCCATCGTAAAAAACATGCACGCCACCCCCGAGTTACAACCACCAACAACACCAAGGCCACCGCCACCACCACCATCGTCACTGCCACCGCCGCCACCACCATCACTGTAACCGCCGCCACCATCCCGATTGTGACCGCTACAGCCACCACCGCCAGCCACTACCATTACCATCACTGCCGCCCACCATCGCCGCTGCCACCGCGATATTTCGGCCACGTGCCGGCAGTCGCCCCTGGCGCAATTGGAAAGCAAGCAGAGGTGACACGCGCTGAGCTGAGCTGAGCTGCACGCACTGAGGGCCGTTGGTACGGGTGTTACCGAGGTGTAACGATAAATCGATCATCATTGATCAATATAAATTCTTATGCTCGTTATACAGTGCCACCGAATAGCGGGTGGAGTTAGTGATCAATGTTTAAATTTGTTTTTATGTATGTGGGGTGGGGTGGTGGCATGCGTGGTTGGCGAACTGTGCTCTGAATCCAGACGGCTAGCATCAGTGGCAAGAGATGTTTGAACCGGTCCTGTGCTCCACCCTTGAGCAGTTCGCACTGATCAGCATGGAGAAATATAGTACAGGTAGTCCTCGTCTTATGACGGAGATGCGTTACGACGACCCCATCGTAAGTCGAAAATATCGTAAATCAAAGATGGCCTAGCCTACCCAGGAGTCTTAAAGAATGGTGATAATTTAGCAAAACAGAGCAATTTATCGTGGTAACCTTAAAATGAAATCGCTAAAGCTACGTATCATACACGCATTGAACGTATCGTAACGTATCATATTGTACTGTACTCGCCAAGATTCTGTCCTGTCGTCTGCATACTTGAACGATGTTAGGTTGTTGATGGCAATTTTGTCGAATCGCTATCGCCATCGTAAGATCGAAATATTGTAAGTTAGACCATCGTAACTCGGGGACTACCTGTGTATATATATGGTATATACACAATAACTATCAGAATCTTTATTTAGACTGGAGGAATCCGATGAGTTATGAAGCTCTTTGTCACAGATGTCCAGTAGGGGCGGGTCAGCAAGTTACAACAACAAGCGGTACAAAAGAAACGATAGGAGTGCAAAATGGAGAGTTAAGCGAGTCACGAAAAAACAAGTTTACATAAATTCCTGCCGATTTTTCAACACCAAAATGCAAGCAAGGGGAATGCAGTAAAACGGCAACAAAAAGAGTCCCTAGACCAGGCCAAAACAACAACAACACACAGTCCCTCAATACAATTGCACATTAAAATAGACCTATCGGTACACGGGCGGCAGGGATCAAATTCGCAAATCACATTTGCGAATGTGACTGTACCCGTCGCCAATCTTCAACAGCATCCTGTGACGGACATGGCCTGTGAAGGGCTTCATCCAGCAATGGGTTGACAAAGGGCTGTCGGTTTTTGTTACGTTATATTATTTAATACGCTTAATGTGGCTCCATGCCTCGAGTGGAATCAATGATTTGTATTGTTTATTATTTTATATTTCTCTTTCATGAAGTTTTGTCACCCGCATTAGCATACATGTAACATTAGCATTTAATTTGCACATCATTTACACGAACCATAATCAGAAGGGCAATTCGATGGATTTGCCATGAGCATAAGAATCAGTTTCAATATAAACCAAGGCATTATTACGCGCGGAATCACTAGACCCTGAGATTTGAGCTCAACGACACTGAAAATTGCACTTACCCGCTCATGTCAGTGTATAGAGGGTAGCAACTGCTGATGCTGATCCTGCTAGTGATGATGATGCTGCTGCTGCTGGTGATGCTGCTGCTGCTGGTGATTATGATAATGATGCTGGTGGTGATGCTGCTGCTGATGAAGCTGGTGATGCTGCCGTTGTTGCTGTTGATGGCGATGCTGCTGACGATAATGATTATAAAATAACCATGCTCCCCTTCATCTCCCCCCCACCCCCCTTTCCACCGGACGCGGCTCGACACCGCTCCTCCATTCCGGCAGCAGCAGCAGCAGCGTAATCCAATAAACCAGGGATCGAATTACAGGTCGTGGCTCGCTGTGCTGCCGCGCCGGGCACGAGGGAGCACGCCGTTTTACTTTTCTTTGCGGGATTTTTCCTGTTCCGCCGCCTCTGCCCTCGAATTTTGCCAGAATTGACATCTTCCGAACGAGGGCTCAGCAGTGCCCGCTTGGCTGTTTCGCTGGGGGACGATGGGGTGGGGTGGCTTCTGACTCATTGGAAAGTGGAAACAAAGCGGTTCGCTTGCGTAAGATCCGTTCTAATGCGCATCTTCAATGTTTTGTTGATCGTCGTCATCGATATTATCATCCTGTTATGATCTCGCCAATGTTGGTGAAGGATTCCTTGTACCGCGTCGGTCACGGGGAGGTGGGAGGTCGTGTGAACCATACTTCACCACCCTGGTCGGTTTGGATTGGTATAGCTCGGGGACAGTAACCATGACGGTTCATGTATCGCTCGTCACGGATTTTAGTCAAGGGACGGGACTCGAATCCAGGTTTTCCGTTTCGTAGCCCGGTGCTGTAGCTCGCTCTGCCAAATTTGATTGTTACCGATGCTTAATGCTCTCATACTGTTGGAGGTTTGTACGCGGTTGTCATTGACCTTTTATACTCTTGTGTGTAATGCAAAAGTTTTATTTTTTCTCCTCTGGTCTCTCTCGTTATGTGCGTCTCGATGGGCCCTTGCCTGTTTACAAACGGCGAATACGAATTGCAGTAATGCTTGCGTATACATTACACCCGGAACATCTTGGAGCGCAGTTTTTTTTTATCTTTGGGGGGGAACCCCGTAATGATAGCTTGTCTCAGCGAAAGTAGGGGAAAAAAAACCAGAAACGGTCTTAGTGGACTCTCGCCCGCTTATAAATAAAGGAGGGACAGTTGGTCTCGGTGGGGTAGTTAGGATGTGAAAGCTAGGGGATGGCTAGCCTCCATGGGCTCCCTTACCCCTTTCTGAATACGGTGGCACATGGATGAATGAGTGAAGAGTGGAGTCTCCCCCAGGGTTGGAGGGGATCCGTGTCGTCTGCGACGCGTTGACAGTGACGCCGGAAACGCATCCATCAGGGTGGAGGGGCGAGCTGCCGTCGGTGAGAAACGCGGAGCCACCGCTTCTGCCGACGGCGTCGCTCCCCATCGCTGCTTTATTGTCGCATCGCAAATGCCGCCGTGCATTGAAAGCTGGGTGGGGGTAGCCCATTGCGATGCGCAACGGGCTATAAATTACCTTGATCTGGTCTGCCAAAACATCGAGTCTTTCCCGTGAAAAATGACGCCGCGATACATTTTTCTCAAACTTTATATATATTTTTTAAACCAATGACGAGGTGTGTGGACACGTCCCGCCAGGAATTCGTGTGCACACCTATCCATTGTAGGATTTTAAAACACGTCACGTTTCACTGTTGTAAATGCTAGAGTGAACAAGCAGTGGAACTGAGTCCATCCTGTGTGCCTTCCCCCTTCTCCACCGACCTGCACTGGCCGGCGTGACGACGTGGGGCCAAACAACCCCGACAGTGATAATTGTTTTTTTACCCTTCTATCTGGCAACAAAACTGACACCTTTTTTTACAAGGAGTCATGTTTGCATAGACCACAATACCTGCAGTCATAATGCAAACAAAAAACATAACTCTGATAATGTATGCACTGTTCTTGAAGTTGATTGGTCCACACCCGAGACAGCTTTCCTTAGAGCCTAGTCTCACATGGGTTGGACCAGATGGGTTGGACCAGATGTAAATGCTTACCCTGAGCTCTCATACTCTGATGGTGCATTGTCTTTGAGTTGTGCGCCTTTTGGCGTCATCTGGTCCAACCCATGTGAGACTAGGCTCTAAGGAAAGCTGTCTCAGGTGTGGACCAATCAACTTCAAGGACAGTGCATACATTATCAGAGTTATGTTTTTTGTTTGCATTATGACTGCAGGTATTGTGGTCTATGCAAACATGACTCCTTGTAAAAAAGGTGTCAGTTTTGTTGCCAAATAGAAGGGTAAAAAAACAACCCCGACAATGTAATAGAAATAACGTGTGTGTGTGCGTGCGTGTGTGTCCATGCAGCGCAGTGCGGGTGCTGCTCTCGAAGCTGCCGCGTCCGTGGATCGTGGACGAGAAGAAGGACGACGGCTACACGGCGTTGCACCTCGCCTCGCTCAACAACCACGTGGAGGTGGCCGAGCTGCTCATCCACCAGGTGAGAGAGGGCCGCCCCCCCCCACACACCCCACCTTCCACCTCCCCCCACCTCCCCTCCCCCGACTTCACCGAATATGACCCGCAGCTACACCTGACCTAGCGCTTCGAAAACAGCTGCCAGACGATACTCGTCTTAGCCGCACTAATCGGATACTAGAGGGTGATAGTTTTTACCTGGTAGCGACTCCGCGTTTCTAATTGTAGCGCGCCCATTCACTTCTGTCGACGCAGGGGGGGCTATTGCAGTGATAGAAATGACCGAGATGTGTTCAATACATGGACCCCCCCCCCCCCCCGCCGAGAGGATGGGCCACACGGAAATGGATTGGGGAGGTTGCCGCATAAACCAGATTTTACTTGATGACGGTCGTCTCTCTGGCCGGCTGAGCCCAGCTGACGGCCGCGCGCTTAACCTCTGCAGGATTGCGCCACGCAGCACGCGACCCCTGTTGTTTTTTGCGCTTGACGCCGAGTGCTGTTGTGCTTTCAGGGCAGCGCCAACCTGGACATCCAGAACCAGAACCAGCAGACGGCGCTGCACCTGGCGGTGGAGCGAGAGCACACGCAGGTGGTGCGGGTGAGTCGAACAACAACGACGACGACGAACGGCCGCCGGCCGCCACCAAGTGACCGTGGCATCACCACGGCGCTTGTGCGGTGACTGAGGTGTCACCAGCTGTGCTAGTTGCTGGGCTATGGGGAGCGGAGAAATTCTGTTGGTCAGGGGCGCCCCCCACTTCAGAATCGGGCCATCCATGCTACGCCGCTGGAACAGGAGTCCGCGTGTCGTCAGTTGCTCGGTGTTCTCGTGTGAATTCTTGTGAATTTGTGCACGCGTGTGCATGTGTTCCTAGTTTTTCCATGTGATCACGTGCGTTTGTGTGTGTGCGTGTGTTCAGCTGTGGTAGTGGGGAGCGGCGGTGTAGTGCACTACGTATGAACCCGGTGACCAGAGTTCGATTCCCCGATAACGATCCATAACAGTAGCAAATACTTGAACTGGTCCTGTGCCTCGCTTCGGTTAACTCACCCATAAAAGAGCACCACTAGGGAGACAAAGGTGGCCGGGCGTGGTGTTGGCCACCCACCCTCCTCGTGTGACGTTTCAGCCTCAATAGGTGCTCGCAAACGACACTCGCCCAACCCGAACGGTGTGTTGAAGGCTACGCGCGGCATCTGTGTCTTTGCTCAGCTGCTGGTGCGTGCTGGGGCCAAGCTGAATGCGCAGGACAAGGATGGGGACACACCGCTGCACGAGGCCCTACGCCACCACACCCTGTCGCAGCTGCGTCAGCTGCAGGACATGCAAGAAGTGGGCAAGGTCAGTGTCACCCCGCCGTCATCACTGCTGCCGACGACGATGTCGCCACACTGCTCTAGCACCGTTTTACTCCCTGCTTTTCTCAATTTGAATCTCGTCCGGGCCTAAGGTGCGAGGTGGCCAGAAGATGGCGAGTGACATTTGTGGCTTCTTAAATGCATCTGTGCGGAGGGTTTGAGTGCCAGCTACTCGCACATGACAGTGTTATCCAGATATTGCAGTCTGCCCCCACATTATTATTATTATGATCTCACGAACTCCGCTCATTTTTTATTTGCACGTAGCTTACGCCACTGTTAACGTCGCTGACGCTGCCTATTTACCTCTTTCACGCCAATTGTCATCCTCGCCAGTCCTTGCAGTTCCTTTAGGCTCCTCATTACAATTCTCGTGTATGTTGCTGCGCCACAATCACTGGCAGTGCCTTGGTCTTTACAACTCGGCCTTAATCTGTCGTGCGCGCGTGAGCGTGTGTGTGTGTGAGCGTGTGTGTGTGAGCGTGTGAGCGTGTGTGCGTGTGAGCGTGTGAGCGTGTGTGCGTGTGTGCGTGTGAGCGTGTGAGCGTGTGAGCGTGTGAGCGTGTGAGCGTGTGAGCGCGTGAGCATGTGTGTGTGTCGGCATGTGTTGCTTTTCGTCCGCTCAGCGGCTTTGCTCCCAGTTGGAACTATTATTCACTCGCCTCTCATCTGTGCCATCCTGAGGATTCCCTTCCCCGCAGATGTGTGACTCGTTAACCTTCACGCTGGCAGTGAGAGTGCTCTCTGAGAGTGCATAGGCACTCAAAATTCTTATTCTTTTTACATTTCACCAGGTTTTAGATTCCCCCCCCCCCCACCGCCGGCCCCACCCCGCCACCACGACGAGTGAACGTGTACTGCCAGAAACGTTCATGCGTGCATTTCTCACAGTTGTTTCCCTCTTCCAAAGGCCTCGCTCTCGCCAGCAAGATTACAATTGAAGAAGCATCTGTCCCATAATCTGATGCGGCACCCCCCCCCCCCCCCCCCAAAAAAAAATATTGAACGTTTTAAGCAGCAGTAGTTTCTGACGAAGTTAGATTTGGTTAATAAATAACAATAGTAATGCTACATGACCGTGTGGTGGTGAGGTGTTGCTTGAGGCTGCATGTAGCTTAATCTCGAAGGCTCGCGTTTCATCGCGGGCACGGAGAACAGATCGTGGCGGCACCTGCCGTGTACACCTCGGGTTTAACGCGAGCGAGCGAGGGAGGGAGGGAGAGAGAGGGGTGGAGGCAATGGGTAAAGCTGTACTGACAGAGTTGTCGCGCACTGTTGACAGCTCCCGCTGCGCCAACGTGCACACACAAACACCTCCCTTACGCGCGGCGACAAAAATCCGATGGAGAGTTAAAAACCACCCAGGGAGTTAACGCGAGTATCAGGCAACAAGTGAGGCTTCGCCGGGAGGGATGAGGAGCGAGAGAGAGAGCGAGCGAGCTGCGCTGAATCCGTTCAAGGACGAGAACCATCGCCCTGCGCGTGCTGCGGTCGGCGGCGGTGACTCGGCGTGCACGCGGCGCGGTATCGGTGACTCACGCGCCGTGACACGGTCTGGCCCCGTGCTCCCGGAACCGTTTATGGGCTCGGCTGTGCGCGGTGGCGACTGGAGGTCGAGGGGGTCCGTCGCGGTGGTGTCGGCTTGGCGGGTGACTTCCCCCGCTTGTCACATCCAGTTTACGTCCGGTGGGCGATCGATGAAGCCGAACGTGCTTTTGGCCCCTGACCCTGCACCCTCTCCCCGTCCCCTCCCCGTCCGCGGCTCCCTCCCTCCCCTTTACCCCTCCCTCCCTCCCCTCCGTCGCCTCCCTTCCCCCCACCTATCCTCCTGTGCATTTTCTAGTTGCTGGCAGCACATATCTGCAGAGTGCCTGCCTTGCAATCATGGCTGTTGTTTTCTACACGCTAAGCAGTGTCTCACTGCACAAGTGTATCTCCTCTGCCAGCCTTGGGCCAGTGATTGAATTTCCACATTGCTATGGTGGGTGGTCCAGTGTCATCAACTACTGTTGATTTCATAGAAGGGATGCAAGTTGTCATATTTATTTTGGCAAATATTTAGATTTGTATTAAAATATGTCTCCCACAAAAAAGGAGTGGCCCTTGGGTCTAGGAATTGCAGCAAATCTACAGATTTCTAGTGGCCGCTGCAGCTTCCAGCGCGGAATCGATCTTTGGGCGCTTGCATGATGCGATGTGGCCAAACACGGCACTCCCGTGCAAAATATGAACTTGACCCTTTGCGTGGAGTCTTCAAGACAAGATTCCTGCGGGTCCACGACAGCTGCTGCCCTCTCCCCGTGGCCTCTCTACATGTCACCGAATTAGTTTATTTTATATCAAATGCTTTGCCGTCTGCGGGGTGCCCTAAATTAACGATTTCCTGTAGAGTCCTGGTAAGCAAAATAGAGTTCACACCACAGGCTCTGGTGACACCTCCGCATGTTGGTCTCTATTGCGTCACGATGCTGCCCTCTACGGACCGTGGCCGAGCTCGCACGGAGCAAACGGCAAGGCTCGTTGATCGAAATGGACCGCGACGTTGCCAGGAGAGTGTGGGTTTCGCGTGAGGAAGCTGCTGAGAAGTTACGTAATGGGTTTTCCAGGGTATCCATTTGAGGCACGATTGGCTGGAATAAAGCCGTGCATAGCGCACCGTCCTTTGTTCAAGCCTGCTTTACAGTCTCGTGGAGTGTTGTGGTGGTGGCGGCGCAGCGAGGTCGCGCACTGCGCTGTGAACCCCCGTGGCACGAGATCCAGTCCCGACCGTGGCGATCGTCAGTGGAGAGTGATCACTGAGCGAGTCCTGGCCTCGTCTTCGCCAAACTGCAGTGTCGCGTAAACCCCCATTCGCTGGCATGCTGTGGAAAGGCCTTCATCCTAGATGGACAAGCTAATTTCTTTAGAACTGCTTTTTGTGTTTAGTTTGTCGTCCTTCCCGCGCACCAATTACATTTATAAATAAAGTAATTTATGCTTTTAAATTGAGCCCTTTATATATATCCACCATTGGATGTATGTTGAACTTCTTTCGCGCCGTACGTAGCCAACCACGCTAATCTACTGGAGGCCCATCCGAAAGCGGTGGCATGAGCAAGCAATTGCAGGGCTGCACGCCTTACCTATGTTGAGGACGCACTGTAAGTCCACCGCCACGTGTGTGTCCCCCCCCCCTCCCCACCACTACAGCTGCTGATGGGACTCGGGAACCAGGGCGCGGAGAAGAAGAACTCGGCCTCCATCGCTTGCTTCCTGTCCGCAAACGGCGCTGACCTGTCCCTGCGAAACAAGAAGGGGCAGTCGCCCCTCGACCTTTGCCCCGACCCCAACCTCTGCAAGGCGCTGTCCAAGTGTCACCGTGAGAAGAACAGGTGAGCAGTTGGCCGGTCCACGTTACCCACGGCTCGCGACTACAGGGCAGGTTTGAGTCACGGTCATATCGTGTGATAAGATCAGATGTGTGAACTTCTTTGGTTTAAACGGGCACTCATACTCCACTGGGCTGGCGAGATTAGTTGGGCCGGGGCGGATACGTGACGGTTGGATATACGACGTTCTGCTGTGTTTGTATCGGCATGTTGCCGTGCTGTGATGATTATCGCACTGGATTCGATCTTCCGGCGCGGCAGTTGAAACACATGGGGGGGGGGGGCTTGTGTCTTAAATTCCTCCCCTGCTTCTCAGCGGACTGCTTGGTGGACAGCCAGTCAATCCATCGGCAGGTCTCACGTGTGTTTGAGAAAATCGTGGGTACTCTCTCCACCTCCTCCAAAACGTCCAGCCGGCGTGCAAGATGAGGCAAAATTCCTGCATCGGTGCTCTTGAGAGCCACCTCTAGCGGAAGGCCCTTCCGCTGAACCGGCGGGCGCAAGCAAGCGATTTCAGGGCCTGCGCCTTTTACCTTTTCTGTACATTTTCCGCGTCGTCGCTGTGACTCGTAACCGACAACTCCGCCGGTGCAGCCCGCAGGCGTCGTGCCGCAGCCCCTCGGGCGGGGGGGAGAGCGGCGGGGAGTCGCACGAGGAGTGCATGGTGTGCTCCGACCTCAAGCGCGACACGCTCTTCGGGCCGTGCGGCCACATCGCCACGTGCTCGCTTTGCTCGCCGCGCGTCAAGAAGTGCCTCGTGTGCAAGGAGCCCGTGCAGTCGCGCACCAAGGTGGGGTGGGTCGGTGGGTCGGCGGGTTGGCGGGTCGGCGGGTCGGCGGGTCGGAGGGTCGGCGGGTCGGCGGGTCGTTGGGTCGTTGGGTCGGTGGGTCGGCGGGTCGGCGGGTCGTTGGGTCATTGGGTTGGCGGGTCGGTCCGGTCCAAGGGAGCAGTGCACCGCCACCACCAGAGGATCGGTCACCCAGGTCACTCGTGCAAAATTAGATTTGTCCCCGAGTCTGTTCAAGGAGTTCTCTCTTTGCTTGGTTCAACAAAAAACCACCTTGAAACTTGACACGGCACCAGCAGGCGGTGAGGGGGGGGTCCCAATGACTTGGCTGAAAAGGAAACACCGTGGCCCAAAACAGAGGGAACCACATTAATTTCCCGACTCAGTCTTATCCTACATCGCATGCTAATCAGTTAATTAAGCAATTCATGAATTAGTACATTCGTACATAGTTTAGTTTTCTAATTCATTCATGAACGGCTTAATTAATTTGTGATTATAGGATGAGATGGAGTCGAGGCATCCCTGTGGTGCCCTCTCCAGTGTGCCACGATTGCTTTCTTATTTTCAGTTCCGTCATTGGTTCAGTTTTGTTCATTGCGTTCAAGTTGCAAAAGTCACAAGTCAAGTTTCAGTGTCGTTTCGCTTAGCCAGGTGAGAACACACACGAGACCAGGATGAGTCTCATTCTGCAAGAGTCACCCGATACCATCCGAATGATAATGCGAAGATCCATGTGGAAAATGTTTGTCTGTCAGCCACGGCACTTGTGTTGGACAGAGCCGAGTGAGGCCTCATGTTTTCACCACGAGGTGCCAGGGATGTGTATGGTATTGACGATGATGATGTACGGTACACCTAGGGATTTTGATCTTCAGTGGAAACAACAAATGTGTGGATTGTTTCGCCGCCTGCCGCATAAAACGTCGTGTCGCACCCAATAGAAAAGGGTGGACCGGCCAGTGCGAGGTTGGTGACTCGCGAGGCTTCGGGTCCTGCATCCGCTGCAATTTGATTCACGATCGTGGCTTATAATAGAATCATCCCGTCCGTGTGCGTGCGTGCGTTTAGATCGAGGAGTGCGTCGTGTGCTCGGACAAGCGGGCCGCCGTTCTCTTCCAGCCATGCGGTCACATGTGCGCCTGCGACAGTGAGTATCTCCTCTCGGCCGCTCCCGTGAACGCAGCCAGCGGAGGGGGGGGGGGTAACGCCCGTCGCTCACGATGGTCGCGACGTGGATCCGGCCGCACCGCCCGCTCGTGTGCCCGCTGCACTTTCGATAGTTGCTCCCTAGCACAACGTAACGTTACCTCCAAGAGCCGACGAGACTGTGTGGGTGATCTTTGTCTGCGTGCATACTCAGCGGTTCGCACTCTATTGACTTGGATCAAGGAGGCCTGACTAGGGTGGCCATGATCCGGCGATACGACGATGAATCGTCCGATTTAATAAACTCCGAGTGTTTGTCAATAACACTATGTGTGTGTAGCCTTGAAAGGTTTACCCTGGTTTTCCAAACTCAGTGTGACCACGCAGGCTGGGATACCTTTTAGAGCGGAGAGGCAGTGTTCGGACCGTGATATCCCCTCCACTATTCCAAATTCCTTTGTTTTGTATTGTAAACCGCATTCACTCTCCGCTGACCCACGTTTGGAACCACATTTTCACCCACACCCTATCCCTAATCCAAACTTTTTGCCTTTCTTCCCGATCCGTATCGTGACCTGCACCTTAACCACCCTCTTGACTCGCATGAACCCACACCATCTCCCTGCCTTTCTCTACGACCCACACCATGCCCTCACCCACATGTCAACCCACACCCGGACTCGCACCGTATTGCTCATATTTTCAGTGACCCCACACCTTTACCCACACCGCGCCCATACTGGGCGTCTGTGAAAAAGAGCTTTGTAGTTCATCGGATTCCTCCTGCCTCAACAAAGATTCTGACATTGTGGAACCCACACCTTCTCACTCTGACGTTCTCTGTGACCCTACACGCCGACTCGCACCCTAACCCCGGACACCCGCCGCCTGTGCCTTGCCGCGTCCGTGCCTGCGCGCAGACTGCGCAAGCCTCATGAAGAAGTGCGTGCAGTGCCGCTCCACGGTCGACGTCCGCGTGCCGTTCAGCGTGTGCTGCGGCAGCAAGGCGAGCGACGAGGAGGAGGAAGAGGATGAGGACGACCCCTACAGTAAAATCCTCCCGCCACCTCACCCGGGCACACACGCACGCGCTCGCCCAGATTCCCTCGCCCGCGTACGCCTCTGTTGACTGGTTGGCACGAGTGTCGTTCGAGGGCACCTGTTGAGGCCAGCACGGCGGCGCAAGGCGGGGTGGGGGGCCGCGGTAAACGTTCTTGGAACGTTGAGCCAAAGTTGGTCCAACCGTTCCAACCACGTGCCAATGTTTGCCCAGCGTTGCCTGTTTGTACTGCGGTGCAGCCAATAACGTGCCTGGCTGCCCTCCTCGTCTGGCCTGCGCTGATGTTTACGCACCGCAGAAGGCGCTCATTTGAGTTGAGTTCACCGCGGGGAGACCCTGAACTAGTTCAGATGTCACTGGCCACTGTGACTGAGAATGGAACCCAGACAAAGTTTTCAGAGTGCAGTGCAATAACCACTGCTCTACTCACGTACGCACACATGCTTCACGTACACACACATATAGGTACGAGCACACACACACATGTACGCAACCCATTCGGGCACATACATTTAAAGAATGAGTTGAACTCATTCTTTGAGATTCCAGTGGGGATAGACAGGACATGGGATGTCAAATGGGTTGCATCCTGAAACAAAGAGGGCAACAGTGCCACCTTGTGGCAGAGAATGGCCCAGAAAGAAGCACTCAAAGAATGACCTCTCAAGTTCCTTCATCCATAGGAGAACACCTCTCTATTAAACTGAAATTGTTAATTCTCAGAACGGGGAAAAAGCAAGAACCAACTTTACTGGGGCAGCTTTTTTGGTGCCTTCATTGGCGACCACGTGGAACTATCGGCACGCTGCACTTGAGGGAACCGCTGCAAAACAAACGAGCTTGGTAATGGCTTTGCTTTGTGGGTAATCGTGCGGTTGTACTCGCGTGTGTGCGGCAACGCAGGTGGCATGGGAAACATGCAGCCGCTGCAGAAGGACAAGGACAACACGAACATGAACGCTGACATCCACAAGCTGCAGCAGCAGCTGCAGGACATCAAGGAGCAGGTAGGTTTACTCACCGGCACCGCTCCTGCGATAATCCTGCACCTCTCCTGCACCGGTCCTGCACCGCTCCTGCGCAATTCCTGCATCTGTCCTGCAGCCGTGCGGAGCACACGCCAGTCTGTTACGGCTGCGGCAAACACTGTAATCTCAACACAAAGCGACTGTGCGGATTGGACGAGTGGCCAGAAAGAGAAAAAGAGACGGCAAGAGACGTAGACAGACATGCGGAGAAGAAAAAATAAGATGGAAGAATATATATAAAGACGTATATAGGAATACAGTTGGACAGATGGACGCAGTGTGAGAGAGACACACACAGAGACACACACACAGAGACACACACACAGAGATTCTAGATTTGAAGCTTTCGTGACTGCAATGATTCATATTCTTAGGTTTTTTTCCGGTAAAGTCACGTAGGTAAAACATCAAAATTAATAAAAATAAAATAAAATAAAGATCACGACGTTTGCCTCCGAAACGTCGTGATCTTTATTTTATTTTATTTTTATTAATTTTGATGTTTTACCTACGTGACTTTACCGAAAAAAATCTAAGAACACACACAGAGACACACACACAGAGACACACACACAGAGACACACACACAGAGACACACAGAGACACACAGAGACACACAGAGACACACACAGAGACACACACAGAGACACACACAGAGACACACACAGAGACACACACAGAGACACACAGAGAGACACACAGAGAGACACACACAGAGACACACACAGAGACACACACAGAGACACACACAGAGACACACACAGAGACACACACAGAGACAGGCACATAGAGAAACGGGCACACACAGACATGGAGAGAGACAAAGAGTGGGAGGCTAACAACTGAAGGTCCCCAAAGAAGCAAGTGCCTTGTGCACACGCACATGTTGGTACGCACATATTGGCTCCACTGGGCCAGAGGAGAGAAACAGTGTCATGTGACTGTGAACAATCTCAGACTTTGTCACCACTGATGTTCGCCGTGGGTGGGAATCGAACCCGGATTTCTGGGTGGAGTGCAGTGCGCTAACCACTGTCACTGTGACCTCCCCCGATAAGATTAGTGTTGAAGTGAAGATGTGCACATTCAGGTTATCGATTTTTTTTTGTCATCGACTTGAATTACTTTCAGCTCGGTTTTGTCAAGTCTTCTTTTTTTTGTGATCTCCATAGCCAAGGTTATTGTGCAATCTGTCTTTGTTACATTTGCACACTTCATGCTCCTCTCTGTGTCAGCTCTCCCCACTCACCGTCTCACACCCACCATTCCAGCTCACATCTTCCATCACGCACATCAGTCTGTGCGTGATGGCGGAGGGTCGCTCTCACTGCTTTTGTGCACTCGCCGCCGCAAAGGCCAAACTTTTCTACCAGGCCTGTACTTTAACCTCCCGGCCATGAATTACATCCATATCAGAAACCGTCACTGTAGATTCACCTGGTAGAGAGAGATGTAGTATTTTATCTTGGAGATGCATACGTACGTACTCGCGTAAGCAGGCTACGCTCCGTTCTGTCTAACATGAGTATTGAGCTGCTGTTAATGTGAAAAGTTGGGAAGTCACGCGTTCACGTGGATTCATTTAGCAGCTTTCCAAAATGCGTTTGTCTTCGAAAATGTTTTAATTACCAGTACGAAAGAGGAAGGGTGGCCGTCAGGGCAGATCTGCGTTGGATGTTGACAGTCACGTTAGCTCCGCTTTGCTTTTAGAAGATTTGAGCGGCTCGTTCATCAGTTTGGCCCACGTTCAACAGAGGAAGCCCCTAATGGCAACGCAACTTGACGCCGTTGGGTCCGACAGTGAAGTGTGATGCGCATCATTACGGCACACTGAAAGGGCAAGCATCGTCATGGCACTATTGACAGCACTGAACTCTCACTCGCTTGTGTTTGTTGTGTTGTCGATGCAGTGATGTCACTATAAATGAACGCTAATGACCGTTAGCTTCACTTGAATTTTTTTTTTACGGACCTTCAAACTCATATTGGATGGCGCTAAGCACAGATTCAGTACAAATCCACAATATTAGGGCTGCTTATCTTTTTTGGTTTGCGTCATAATTTAAAAGTTACAAAGCCTACACTGTACATCATCTGGATGCATGTTTGTATTTTGATGTTTTATACACAAACACACACAGTGCCTAAGCTGGGTTGAGCCTGGTTAGTTCTTGGATGGGTGACCACCAGGTTGTCATAGATGGTCGTGGGACTACGTTGCGGGCAGCAGAGGGCAGTGTGTAAAACTCCAGTGTTGTATTGTACTTTGCTCCAACGTCTATGCTCTCCGCTTTCACCAATGGGAACTGACCAACGTGATGGCGAACGGTCAAATAACTCACAGAGTGTGGGTAGGCCCTCGTTCAATTGTAGTTTGACAAAAGGGCTGTACGTGCGTGCGGGCATACATACACAATATATACAGAAATCAAAATGCGTTGTGTTCTTCCCTTTTCCTCTTTGCAATCTACCCCCCCCCCACCCTCCGTTCCATCCCCACCCGCCCTCGGACACGCAGACCATGTGTCCCGTGTGCCTGGACCGCCTGAAGAACATGATCTTCCTGTGCGGGCACGGCACGTGCCAGCTCTGTGGGGACCGCATGAGCGAGTGTCCCATCTGCCGCAAGAGCATCGAGCGCCGGGTGCTGCTCTACTGAGGACGCTCGCCCGCTTGCCCGTACGCTTGCCCGCTCGTCCGTACGTACGCTCGCCCGTTCGCTCGCTAGCCCGTCTGTCGATACAAACCCGTACGTCTACACCAAGCGCACGCAACACCTCGCTCTTTGAAAACCCCCCCCCCCTCCACCACCCCGCACCCACTCCCCCTCCTTCAGAAGCACGTGCGCGATTGCTGACCTTGTGGCCGGACAGGCCCGAGTGGGCGCTCTGTGCTTGGGCGGTGGTGCCAGCCGTGCGGTGATGCCACGTGTGAGCTGTGCCTTACGCGCTCACTCGCTGCCTAGGGCGCGCGGTTCACGTCAAACGAGGACCTCGTTGATCGTGAACGTAGATTCCTCCCGAAGAGAGAATAGAGCGTCGTGAAAATTCCCAGTAGGGGGTGGCTGGTGGCTCCCGCCCGCTCGTTGGCACACAGGCGCGTAGCGAGCCGCGTAGCGAGCGTCCCCATCGAGGCTGTGGGAGTGGCAATGGGGGGGTGTTAATCCCATGGTATTCAGCCTTGCTGGGATCACCTGTTACAAATGTACACCAAGTGCCGCATCCCCCCCCCCCCTGCCTGCAATCAATCTTAGCGTTGGGTGGCGTACAGGCACGGTGTCCACTTCTGAGGGTCCCTCAGAGTCCAGAGTAGGTGAGGATGTCAGATGCAATAGAAATGGCGGGGTGGGGTGGGGCGGAACGGAGTAGATAGTGTTTCCGGGTGAAGCGGAGTTTGTGTCACAAACCTGAGAGCCTCGTCCCAAGCACTGATCACCGCACAAATAAATCTCTCCGTAACAGGAGTCTGTATGTGCTTCTGTTTCAAGTTATGTTCGCGTTGGGTTCACGACCAGAATCAGAAGCCCTATCTCGACTGGATGAATTCGAAAAGCTATGAAGCTCTTTTTCGTAGTTGTCCAGTCCAGGCAGGTCAACAAGTGACACCAACACACAATACAAACAAGATGGAGTAAAGGTAAGCAAGTTGCTATAAATAAAGTATGCAAGTACAAATTGCCGATTTGTCAACACCAAATGCAAGCTTGGGCAAGGCAGCAAAACAACAACAACAAAACATTGTCCCAGACCCCACCAAGACAACAACACAACCCATGTAACCCTAAACGGGATTCCTACATTTCTTATTTTCATACCTTGGCCTTGAATGATAGGAGTTGCCCTGTAATTTACTGGAGCCACAATAAACGTTGTGCATTGTCGCCTTTCGCAATGTCCTGAGTAGGTGGTGCGGATTCTTGTAGAGTTGTTTGGGGAGCTCAAGTGAAAGCCACCGCCTGGGTTAGACGCAAGAGCAGTAAAGATGCCCGTTAGGTAATGGAGACAACAGGATACTTGCTTCTTATACATCGCAGCCTCGTTCCGATGTCTGGCCAGAAGATACCTTCGCAATTGTCAGTAGCACAACTTGTAGCGTGATGCAAACTTCGCTTGCGGCAAAACAATGGGAGCCGTCGGTGGACGAACACGTTGGGTGAAATGTGGCAGGTTGGGCTCTGTCCTGGGGGTGAGTGTCTTCTCTGTGTGTCTCGATGACAGTGTTGGTCCACCAAAGTCCATGCCGGCGCTCAAGTTACTGCAGACTTTGATGGCCGTGTTTGTTCTGCGTGGAAATAAATATTCCAACTCGGATCAACGGGCCTGAGAAAGTAAACATGTATTTTAACAATAGAACCAGCAAGTTAATCCACGTGCATACATACTGAGCGGCAACCTTCTGGCTAAAAGCCACTGCCTGGTTTTGTACCTATGCATTTGACCAACTCGTGATGGTGCACAGCTAAAGACGCCATACCATTGCCGCATCTCACAGCACAGTGCATCTTCTACCATCCCCTGTTTCGCAACACCCAGAAGGACCTCCACTTTTCATCCCTCCGCACCCACGTTGCTCTGTGGTGCGACTCGTTTTGTAGCTTCCCACAATTTCACACGTTTGCTCAAGAGCCAAAAACACGATTATCAGGACAAAGACGGGTTCTTGAAGCTTGTTGGCATTTTCAATCTGCACCCCGGCAATAGGCTTTGGGGACGTTCGACATCGCACGCAGAGCTGCTGTCCAGTTGAAGCTTCACTTCTTCGAAGCCTCGTCCCCTTTCGCATCCACCGTCATGGTCACCAAGCCACCGCTTTCCAGATAACCCCGCCGGACCAATAGGTTCAGTGTTGAACGTTGCGTTCTCAAAGTTCTTAGCTTCGATAAAGTAAACATGTCTGCTTCCTCTGCCAGCCTTGATTGCACACGGAGGCAAAACTATAGTTTTTTACTTATTTCCCAAGCGATTAACACTTTTTACCAAGTCTATCTCTTCCCACGATATCTGCTGAGAATAATTGCGGACTTGCGTTTTCATTGCTGCTGCACGACTTGTTACTATACTCTTTAACAATCATGCTTCTTGTTCAACATTGTCCAACATTTGCAAACTGTTAATTTGAAACATCAGTTCTAAACATACCAACAGTTTCCGTTTTCTACAAAATGTCTTGCCCTTGAACGTGTATTCCCAAAATCAAGCGGTCGCAAATGGGGTTCATCTGCACGTACTCCGTAATCGCAACAGACGGCCGCTCGTAGCGGCATTATTGAATACCAATCTACTCTTTCTGCGGGAGCTTCATTGCTTGCCTCGAAAGTATCTCTCCTGGCAAGATATTTTGCCAGCATGCGTTATTACTCGGTCATGCGGCAATACCTTACGCATGTTCTCGGTTCATCTTCGGATAAGCTTCGAACTGTCACAGACTTTACTTTCATACAGTTTCTGGTTACTATCAACCGAGCCCATCTTTGCTACGAGAGGGTTTGTTGCCTGATGAAGACAGATTGGGACGGGAGGTCAAAGGGCAAGAGGGCAACAAAAAAAAACACGTGAACAGTGATGCAACGCGCCCCGTAAGAAAAGTCTCCGACATTGTGTGCACAGAGACATGCACACCATTTATTTTTTAAGCCTCATGTAGCACGTTGTATAGCTAAACGTTATGTTTAAAGCGTTCGTGCATTCGCGTAGTTAAGCTTGTGTGACGCGTTAATTTAAGTGTTATCTCTCCCCCTTAAGACCTGTGTTACATTTAAACAGTTCAGTTATTGATTGTGTAAAGGTTGTTTCGACTGCTGTAATGCATTTGTAACCATACTGATGATGCTAATGATGATGAAATGTGAAAACGGTTCCCCTAAGGTCTGTTTGTGTGAGGCCTTTTGCATCGTGCGCGGAATAAGTGCCCATCACAAAGATTCCGCTTCAAAAACACAAACTGGGCTACTGGGCATCTGTCTGATCAGCTGGTGCTGCAGTTAGACTGGCCACATACTTGGTGCATCCTAAATCTCAACTTCATTGCTAGCTATTGAAGTATTTACGTTGCGCTAAGGATGTGATGGCCCAAATACTGGACCAACCGAATGCGGCAAATGGTTGGTTGCCCGATGGCCAGATTCAACTGAATGCTAAGGTGGGGTGGGTTGGCTCCTTGCCCGAGCCCAGTATTTCCAATGCTCCAGTCCATGTGACCACCCCATGAAAGTTCTCTTTCTAGTCTGTTCCATGTGCTGTCGCGTGCTCTGTATCGTGGTGGGACGCAGGCATACACGCACACGCAAATCCTAACAAAAATGATTATACTTTGGTATATATTGAGAGATTGTGTGTACGTCTCTATTTTGATTGGAATCGTTGCTGTCAATTTCCCGTGAGACGTGTTTATCAACCATCAGTCACGTGCAGCGTGAAATGTACCCAATTTGTATTTGAACAGCATTGGCTTTACACGCAAAGTGGTGGGTCGCGAGAGCTTAAAACTCTGGAAACATTATCCTAGCCCCTTTACACTGCTATTGGGTGTTTGCATGGATGAGTACAACTGTTTTGAGGCTATGAACACCCGCAGCCCGGACTCGTATATTCACAGCTTTATACACAACGCCACAATCTATGGAACGTTGTAGTTTGCAGCTTTGTCCATATCGGCCTCTTAAACCCAGTGTCAGTACGGCTTTCATTTATATAATGGGATGGACATCATAGCCTACCCTTCTGCTGAAACTCAAGACGAGCAAAAGAGATGGAGGAGCATTGCTACCCCAACAACAACAACAGAGTACAACTGCTGCCACCAGGGGCTCGTGGCAATGCAGGGTGAGCGCTGTAGCCTTAGAGTGGGTCCGCACTTGATCACTAAACGCAAGTAACTTAATGTAATGGGCAATTATGGGCCACTGATAAGTTACGTACCGCTCTTATTCACTTGGGTGAACATTGGAACGTTAAGTGAACCAGTGGCTAATCGGGATCAGGGTAATCGGAGGGTGAAGCCAAGGGTTTTTGAAGCAATTGTACAAACCACGTGGCATACCATGTGACCATAGCATGTACGTGCCACTGTTACCATGCGAACACGTTTCGCATGAAGGCAACGTGAAGTTCATTTAACGTTTGTCAAAGATCCAGTGTGAACCCACTCTGAGTAAACATCCTAGGCATACGTTATCAGATGGCTTTTAGGAACCGGTGTGATGATGCGAGACGTTTGATTATGTTCAGACTCGGTCGCGTCTTCAATGCTTGTGCGAACCCCTAACGGAACACGTATTCTCTATAATGTAATAAAATACGTTATCATTGAGATGCCGCCCCCGTGTCTTCGCTTGGGATGAAGAGGAATGCCCACTGCACCTGTGTCGTCACCTTCATCTCCCCGTGTGTTGGCGTTCGAAAGTGCTTTAAAAGTAAAATTTCCATGAGCTTATATACATCGTAGGACCACGAATTTCAGTGCGAATGCAAAGTCTGGTGCTACTTGTTTGTTCCACTGTTACATTTAGTTCCACGGATTAGCTGCACCCACACGTTATTTATTTGTCTACATTAAATAGTAACTGGCAAGCTTTTAACGTGAACTCTAACCAACAGACACAATGAACTGTAATGGTTCTAAAAGTGGAATTAATTTAATGGACTGCTGCCTGTTTATTAACGATATTCTCGATTCTTAAGAACCGAAGAGTGTATTGTGGTGTTGTCATTGCCTATAACATGATTGTTGTTCAAGCTGTCCTGCAGTAACAATTAGTCCCCTCACAAAACGATTCCAATACCGTCATCATCATCAATGTCACGAACAACCACTTCCACTATTACACATGACCAGCGGTTTATTGTGGTGACGTCCACAACAAGCAATCACGTGGCATCCCATGTGACCTGGGTGTGGTGCTCAAGGCCCGGGCCGGCCCTAAACTGCCACGGCGAGGTGGTGCCACGGACGGTACCGATGTGGGGGGGGGGGGGGGGATTCTTGCAGGTTCGTCCCGGTCTCATCCCATGGGCCATGCGAATAGCGAGCCGGAGGACTTGGTGTGGCCAAATCAGTCATCTGGAGGGAGGGGGGTGAATAATCTAAAGAGCGAATTGTCTTCTCATCGTCAAAATTCAAATGTCGGGAAGTCTCAAGACTCGGACTTTTCAGAATATGAATATTTATCCTGGAGGAATCCGATGAGCTAGAAAGCGCCTTTTCACAGATGTCCAGTAGGGGCAGGTAAGAACGTTACAATAAATATACAAAGAACACGATGGTCGTGAAAAGTAGAGGAAGTGCAAACAAATCGGCCAAACATAATGAGCTGGTGAGGCCGAATGAGCTCAGCTGTTTTACGAGGACGACCACAGACCAAGACCGCTGGCAAGTGGCGGCAGTGAGAGGAACATTGCTGAGATGTCAATGTGCCAACTTACGAGCGAAAACGAAACGTGTTGACACGAAAGCCATGCCAAATACGCAGACTCCGCGGTGCTGTTCCGATTGCCCCGGATGCCCCTGGGGCTCTGTGTGGTTTCTTTTCCCCGTTTCCCTGCCCTGGTCACCCTCACCACCTGCAAACCCACCGTGGGTCCTGTCGAGGTCCGAGAGGACCTCTTTTCAACACCTCTTAAAGCAGTCCAGCCCAGCCGAGCTCTTGAGCGCACAGCCACTCCTTAGCGCAGCACGACAGCAAACGAAGACTCACCAACTTTTGCGAAATACACTTTAAGTATAACACCTAAAAAAAACACAACAACCACATTGACCAACTCACACGCGTCTCACATGAGACGTCGCCCAACTCCGCCGATCGTTTATTTTTTTCCACGTGGCGTCAGGTCGCAAGCAGTGCCGGATTCAACACATTCCTGCGGAGGGAGATGGTAGGAACGTTGGGTTGCTCCGTCAATGGCCAGGGTCAACGGCGGCGTGGTGTATTCCGCAAATATGCCCGACTGTGAGGGCGGGCATAAGCCGGCGTGAGTAGGTTAAACGTTGAGTTTTATAAGGGCACCACGGGGTTACCAGCCCCTCTCCACCCAGCTCCTCCCCACCCTCCCCACCCAGCCCCTCCCCACCCTCCCCTCTCTCTGGGTGGAGAGGGGCTGGGTGGGGAGGGTGGGGAGGGGATGGGTGGGGAGGGTGGGGCTGGGTGGGGGTGGGAGGGGTGGGGCTGGGTGGAGAGGGGCTGGTCACCCCGTGGTGCCCTTATAAAACTCAATGTTTAACCTACTCACGCCGGCATGTGCCCGCCCTCACAGTCGGGCATATTTGCGGAATACACCACGCCGCCGTTGACCCTGCAGGCCATTGACCGAGCAACCCAACGTTCCTACCATCTCCCTCCGCAGGAATGTGTTTTTATTGTCTTTGCATTTTATGTCAGTGTACAATATTTTAATAGCCTCCCCCCACCCCCACTTGAGTGGAGGTGCTATCACATTTAAAATAAAGACGGTTAATAAATGAACGTGATTCTGATGTTCGCTGTCACTGGTTGGGATGCGACGTGAGGGTGGCGGGGCGAGGTGGCAACGCGTGGGAACTTGCCACCAGAGGGCGTCCTCGAGCAGCGGGCCCGGACCGCACCGCGTGTCTCGACAGCCCCGCGGGGCTCCGGACAAACACCCGGGGAAGTTGGGGAGTGGGGGGGGCTAAATAAATAATTAACGAGAGGGTGGTGGGTGGGGGGAGTTGTTACGGAGAGAAAGGAAAGAAGGTGGAGACACTCTCTGCCGATCTGCTTCGGCCGGCGTGGGGTGCTTAGAGGGTGCTTAGGGTGGTCGTGGTGCTGGTGGTCGTGGTGCTTAGAGGGTGCTTAGGGTGGTCGTGGTTTGCGTTCGGCTTGGGATGCTGTCTGGATCACAGGGCGAGCTCTGAGTCGCCGAGGGCAAGCACAGCCATGCAAGGTGAAGTACCACTCGGGCCAATCAGCACGTCCACGCGAGTTTTTATATCGCCACCCTTTACGCACGCACGCACACGCACACACACGCGCGTCCACACCGCGTATAGACACAGATCACTCGAGGGTGTTGGTCTTCACGACCTGTTGGCGCAAATTGCTGTTAGCGAGCAGCACCTTGCAGATGGGGTGGTGTGTGGACGAACGCCACGCACGGCCGCCTTTGTCTCTCCCCCCCAGCTATACATTTTTTTAAGGCTGAGTCGACCTAGTGAAAGCGCAGGAACGGTTCGCATGTTCGCCACCGAACGCTGCCCGCGACCGGGATTCGAACGGCGTCCGCTGGGTTCAGTGGCGCAGTGGTCAGCGCTAACCACTGCGCCACCGCTCCCCACGATCACACACGCGAGCCGTATGTATGCAGGTCTTGCACACACACACACAGTGGTGTGTGTGTGTGGGTGCACACACACGTAGGGTGCAATATGCACATGGTCAGAGTTTCACGCGCACAAACTCAGGAACGTGTGCATGAACACGACTACGTACACATGGATGCACACACACGCGCAGGTCACTACACACGTGTACACAACACGCACACGTGTACACAACATACATGTGTTGTATTGCTCGGACAATCTGTACGTGCGGCAAACCGATAACCGGTTCCCCCCCCCCCCCCTTGTTCTCCAAACCGGTTACCGGTAATGCAAGAAAAGCTGATTTTAACACGGCTCATGGCTCACGCACAACACACACACCAACACACACAACAACACACAACAACAACACACACAATACACACAACAACACACACAACAATAACACAACAACGATACACACAACACAACAACAACACACAAACTCGACGTCAGCTTGTATGAAAGTGTAGCAATGCACTTTATTAAAAGCCTTTACTACTCAACAGGCTCTGTACGTGTGCACGTGTGTAGCCGCCCCACCACCCCCTGGTCAACAGCACTCGGCTGAAGGCTACCCCCACCCCTCCCCTAGGTCGACTCAGCCTCAAATGAGTACCTGGCGCGGTGTGTAAAGCGTCGCCACTTTGGGGAGACAAAGGCGGCTGGGCCGTGGTGCTGGCCACCTCACCCCAATGCCGCGTGTCGTGCCGGCCTTCCACAGGCTACTGCACTCGCGAACAGCACTTGCCCCCAAAAGTCCGCTAAGGCTACACGGGGGATCTTTGTCTTGTTGGGTAATCGTTGGCACTCATAGGGACAACGTTGTTGTTCTTGCATGATTTAAGTTACTCGTAAGAAACAACAACAACAACTGAACAAAAAACAAGTTACCCCGTTTCACGTGTCGTGTGATTCATGCTTTAGTTATTTTGGGGTTAGATCGTTCCGGTAAACAAAATGTGTTCGTTTTGTTGCACTAGAAAGCGTTCACCAGCCGACAGAGCCGATCAAAGCAAGTCGCCACTTGTGGGCACACACTCCGGTCGATTTGGGGGGTTGAAACAAATCCGGAGGACGAACGTCGACATTTCAAAGCGAAGTTTGAGACTGAGTGGACAAATAAGAGCAGTTTTTACCCTTTCTGGCATTAAAACGGGTGAGATGTTAAGAGGTTCAAACAGCAAATAATTTATTTTGCAAGGAATAAAGTTCTGCATTAACCACACGCAGTACCTGTGGTGAACACGCAAACAAACATGCTCTGATAATTTGATATGGATCGATTACGTGTGATCAATGCAGACTTTGTCTTATTTTTTTTTATAACACTTTGATAAGTTTGTACGACAGACCCAACTTGTTTTGTTTGGCTGTGTCGGGTGGTGAACGGTTTATAGTTTTTTTTTTTTAAAGAAGACATTATAGACTCCATGATCTTCCCCAGAATAAACGAATGATGGATCGTAATATTTGGTCGTGAAAACTTACGCGTGAAAGCTTTAAGCTCGCGCGTATGATGTTCGCGATAGGCTCAGGAGGGATTTTTTCACCATCGGAATCTTTGCTTCGTCTGCCGGAGGAATCCGACGAGCTACGGAGCCCAGTGTGGGCGAGTCGTGGTGCGCAAAGCCACGGGAGAGAGAGATAGACAGGGCTTCAGGGGAGAGACACGGAGAGAGGATTTCGTGGTGTCCACCACACACACGCACTGTGGGGAGAGGTGGTGTAGCGGTTAACGCGCTCACGGCCAGCACCGGCGACGATTATCTGAACCGGTCCTGGGCCTCCCCTAGGTCGACTCAGCCTCAAATCCGTATCTGGTGCGGTGTGTAAACTTCGCCACTGGGGAGACAAAGGCGGTCGGGCGTGGTGCCGGCCACCCACCCCCCTCGTGTACCGTTCCGGCTTTCATAGGTGCTCGCTCACAGCACTTGCCCCTACAGTCTGTTAAGGCTATACGGGGGATCTTTGTCTTTTGTGGTGAACACATGTGGAACACACGTGCGCGTTACGCGCATCGCGTAGAATGCTTGGCGATGATGTCAGCGCTTGCACGTTGTGTGTGTGTGTCCACGTGCATGTTTGTATGTATGTACTTTGAACTTCTTTCGCACCGTACGTAGCCAACCGTGTTTATTTAGGCCCATCGTGTACGCCCAACGGCCCGTTTTTGTCTGTCCAATCCACTGCTGGATGAGGGCCATTGAGGGATATTTTAGTTGACCATATACTTCACCACGCTTAGATGGTCAGTGTGGTGGTGGTGTGGGGCGAATGCAGTACTGTACAACAATGTTTTTGCTGCACCATCCTTTGCTACCCACAAAGCCTTTTGCACAAGGCGGTCACCCACCCAGGCTTTTTTACCTGCTTAGCTTGCGAGATCTGATGAGATGAGGCGCATCCTGGATGGTCTGCTCATAGTCACTGTAATACTATTACTGTCATGTATGTTGTATGTACGTTGAACTTCTTTCACGCCGTACGTAGCCAGCCGTGCAAATCGGAGGTGTGGAAGGACAGCAAATCTTCTTGGTTCTTTCGGTAAAGTCACGTAGAAGGGAAATAATAAAATAATAAAAATAAAACATAATAAAGTAATATAATAAAATAATAAAATAAAATAAAAATGTATTTCCCTGTATTTCCCTTCTACGTGACTTTACCGAAAGAACCAAGAAGATGAATCCCTGCAGTCACGAAAGCTTTAAATCGAAAAGGACAGCAAACTTTAACACACAAAAAAAACTGTTCTAAAGAAATTAGTTTGACTCGGCAGTGCATTTAAGACACAGTGGTCGTGGATTGCTGGCTGTGTATTTATGCAGGATAAACACAACCCTCCCCGAGTCTCAATGCTCTGTGAGCAGGAGGGTCCTGCAACATTGGAATTGTTTGGCCACATCCCAGTGAATGGGTGGTTCGTTCGGCCTTGAATGTGGGAGGACACGGGAGAGCGCAGAAGGGATGAACAGTCGAGGACAGCTCGGATGGATTCAGGAATGCACGGCCCTACTGCTGTCCGCCGGCCATCTCGTTCGTCCGCACACGCTATTGCATATCGACCGTGATGTCCCAGCTCTCTGCTGCACTGTGTATATTCAAGTGTCTAAATTGTGTTATGCGATGGCACGTGTACGCATAACATATGCTATCTGTGTGCGAATCGTACATATGGCGTGCGTGTGCACTGCGCGTGCAATGTTTGAGAACAATAACCAAAAATATTCCACCATAAAGCCTTTAACCGGCTGTTGGGGCATGTGCTGTTAGCGAGCACCTATTGAGGCCGGCACGGCCACGCCTGGCTACCTTTGTCTCCCCCAGCGCAGATGTTTACACACCGCACCACGGTATTCATTTAAGGCTGAGTCGACCTAGGGAGACCCAAGACCAGTTCGGATATTCGTCACCGGTGTTGGCCGTGAGAGGGAATCGAATTTGGGTGGCCGGGTTCGTAGCGCAGCGTAGCGCTAACCGCTCCACAACCGATAATGCACACTCCGACATACATTGACAGTGTAAGTTTACACAAAGCAAATTATGTTTACACATTACGAGAGGAATTAAAAACTCTGACTTTGTGAGTGAATGCGGACCCCTAACATCAGCACTATTTATTATACAACGCGGTATCCTGTTTGTGTAATTAGGACAAGCAGCTGTTTCAATATCACAAATGCAACTTATAAACACTTGGCAACATTATTTCCGCACATTTTTTTTGTTACAAACCTACATTTTTTTTGCACGATAGCAACATTGTAGCAAGCTCGAATTGATGACCAGGGTTCCATTTTCGTCGAATGAGAAACTTAAACCGCAAGCGACTCAATCGGGGACGCCTGTATACACCCAGGTTCAAGCATCGATTCCCTCCACACTAGCAGCAGAGTCATTGCACCCCCACAGGTCACTCTTGCCAATGAGGTTCATCCTGGTCTCTTGAGGTCTCACCTGGTTAAGCAAAATACTACTTCTAATGAATGGAGATGGAGCGATGACATCGGCTCATGCTGCGGGGTTCTTGACGCACCGCTGCATTCGCAGAACTGTTCGAGATGGCGACGGCTCGGGTAGATCATGGCCGATGACGATCACGACAATGATTGGCGCAAGGAAGCGCTGCAAATGCAGAGAGCGCCTTCGGGGAAGCGGGCGCTGTGCATCAGCGCGCGGGCGTCATTGTCAACACAGCCTCGTGCGGCGTCACGTGGCCGGAGTGAGTCGGGCACTGGACACATTCTCAAACGTCGGCACGTGGCGACGCACAGCGCTTGGACGCTCCCAGCAAATGAGTCCTCACCCACCCCCCCTCTTCCTCCGCGGGACCGGGTGGCGCAAACGCGTTCCGGTTCGTGGCACGGGGAGAAGCTGGGTAGCCGCGGTGGCGAGGAGATGTTAACTCCCTCGCCTGGTATGCAGGAGAGGTGGTGGGGTTCGATGCCGACAACTGACGTTTGTGTATTTGGAGTCTGCGTGTCTCTCTTCTCGCGGTCGCCAGGATTTTTCTCATCGGGGTTTTCCCCTCCACGTTTAGCCTCAACATCACGCGTTTAGAGTATTTGGATGCTTACTC